CTTGTGGTGAAAGCCTACAGCTTTTTATTTTACTTAATCCTCTTTTGGAAGGATCTTTGATGAAATAGAAGAAAAAAACATTCCCATCTTGGGCTCGAACCTCCGCCTTTAAACTCGTAGAGCACTGCCTTCGCCAGTAGACCGCAACGAGCTTGCAGTGAAAGACTATACCTTTGAATACCTTTTGGGTGGGATCTCAAATGTACTAACAATTTAAATGAGTTCCCTTTAAAGACAATGTTCATGATTTTTTTTCTCGTCTAAAACCCACACAACTGTGTCTTATTCGTAGCTTGTAACCTAATATTAACCATTTGTGTTGTCGCTACTCGCTAAAATATCACACTGACATATAGTTATGAAGTGTCCATCTTTCTGCAAGTTAGTTATATGCGGCGCAAGTGAAGCTAACGGTTACGGTGCGATTGTTTTGTATTTTTAATGAAGTGAAGTCAAAGTAAAGTACAAGAATTAACAATGCATTTCAAAATAGGTTTAAAAGAAAAAAAGTACAAGATTTAAGAATAGCCGAATTCATATTAGTGACGGGAAACTCATCTTAGAAAAGATGAGGTAAAAACCCATCTGAATATGAATTGGGATATGGATAAATTTATACGTATGATGGGTCGGGTATTGAGTAATCATTACGATAATAATTTTGTTTATTTTCGCTTAGCCTTGTTCCGTCCTTGACCGTGCTGATATTTTACAAACTCGTCTGATTTATCCGTCTAAATGCATGCGAATTTAAAACGAGTTTCTGTTCCAGACGGGATCCAGTCTAAGCTTACCCGTCTGTTAAGACGGCAAAGTTAGACAGGAAAATTCGGACGAGAAACCCGTCTGTGATTCACATCAGACGAGTTTCCCGTCTTCGATGAGTTTCCCGTCTTTAATATGAATTCGGGTAATGTATATGACGCGTATAGTCACGAGGCAACAAGCATTACATCTGAAATCGCAAATGAAGCAAGGTTACTAGCTGGTTTACTAGCAAGTATAACTCGTCGATTATAAATACGCGAAGAAAAAAAGTTTTCTTCAAAAGCGCAATTTCCCACCCGCGGTAACAAACAAACAAACAGCAGCTCAACAACATTACAGCCACGATTCATAATTATTTCATTTAAAAGTTCTTCGAACTTTTATCGGCAAACGATGTGGTCGTCAAGCCGTTGTTAAGACGTTGGTCTCTTGAGTCCAAAGCTTCAAGTATTAGATTAGCGTATTTTATAATCGACGAAACTCGTCTGATGTGAATGACAGACGGGTTTCTCGTCCGAATTTTTCCGTCTAACTTTGCCGTTTTAACAGACGGGTAAGCTTAGATTGGATCCCGTCTGGAACAGAAACTCGTTTTAAATTCGCATGCATTTAGACGGATAAATCAGACGAGTTTGTAAAATATCAGCACGGTCAAGGACGGAACAAGGCTAAGCGAAATTAAACAAAATTATGATCGTAATTATTACTGATTACCAGACCCATCATACGTATAAATTTATCCATATCCCAATTCATATTCCGACTTTTTTACCTCATCTTTTCTGAGATGAGTTTCCCGTCACTAATATGATCAATTTGGCTATTCTTAATTCTTCTTTGATGGGTTTCCCGTCTTCGACGAGTTTCCCGTGATCGATGAGTTTGCCGTCCCTAATATGAATTCGGCTATTCTTAATTCTTGTACCTTTTTTCTTTTAAACCTATTTTGAAATGCATTGTTAATTCTTGTACTTTACTTTGACTTCACTTCATTAAAAATACAAAACAATCGCACCGTAACCGTTAGCTTCACTTGCGCCGCATATAAATAACTTGCGGAAAGATGGACACTTCATAACTATATATGTCAGTGTGATATTTTAGCGAGTAGCGACAACACAAATAGTTAATATTAGGTTACAAGCTACGAATAAGACAAAGTTGTGTGCGTTTTAGATGAGAAAAAAAATCATGAACATTGTCATTAAAGGGAACTGATTTAAATTGTTAGTACATTTGAGATCTCACCCAAAAGGTATTCAAAGGTATAGTCTTTCACTGCAAGCTCGTGCGGTCTACTGGCGAAGGCAGTGCTCTACGAGTTTAAAGGCGGAGGTTCGAGTCCCAGATGGGAATGTTTTTTCTTCTATTTCATCAAAGATCCTTCCAAAAGAGGATTAAGTAAAATAAAAAGCTGTAGGCTTTCACCACAAGAAGTGATGGTGTAGTGGTGAAGACTGTGAACTACCAAGTATACAGTCGATGGTTCAAGTCCTGGATCAACCGAAAAAGAACAAGGTAATAAAGTGAGAATTTGTGAGTGTCAGAGGAGTAGAGCGAGAGGGCGAATATGCCCTCGCCTTGGGCGAGGAGTAGACTGAGGGGGGTTCTCTTTCCCCCGCCTTTCCCGACTTTCAAAACGAGCTTTCTTCAAACATTTAATTGTGTTAGGGGATAGTTAGGGATATGTGAGGATAGGAAAAATTAGGGATAGATAGGAATAAATTGGAGGATAAATAGGGGTAAAGAGGTTTAAATGAGTACTAAAAGACTTAAACATTTTATATACTGTTTTCTCACCTATACCCTTCCCCCTTTCTCCGGGGGCCGAGGCCGCCGCCCAATACATTTTATATACTGTTTTCTCACCTATACCCTTCCCCCTTTCTCCGGGGGCCGAGGCCGCCGCTCAATTACTAAGTCTTTTTGTACTCATATACCCCTCATTCACCCTATCTATCCAATGATTTCCCTAAAGATTAACTTTAATTTCCAAAGATTAACCGAGTATAAACCTCCCCGGAGCAACATACCTACCATTTTTTTTTTTCTTTTACCGCCATGAGAAACGTACCATCCAGTTCTTGATACCTCGGTCTTGTACTTGATAGTCCACGACTTTACCACAAGGCTAACTGGTGATTGTTGGAAGCCTACACCAACTTATTCTCCATAACCTTACCATGTAATATTAATAACGAAAATTTCCACCTAAAACGAGATTCGAACCTTCGACTGTCGACACATGAGACCAATGTCTTGACCACTAGACGACGAGATCCTCTGCTGAACGGTTATGATTATTTAATTGACTATATCCTTTTCACGAAGTTCATAATGAAAAACGGTTATGGTAGGATTCGAACCTTCGAATTACTACTTGGAAGATTATTGTCTTCGCCACTAGACTACAAGATCGTGTGCTGAAAGGCTATGGTTATTTCATTTACTTTATCCTTTTCACGAAGTTCATAATGAAAAACGGTTATGACAAGATTCGAACCATCGGTTTACCACTTGGGGAACATTGCCTTCGCCACTAGACTAAAAGATCTTCTGCTGAACGGCTAAGCTTATTTAATTTACTTTATCCTTTTCACGAAGGACATAATGAAAAATTGGCATATTTGGATTTGAACCATCGACTTGGCAATTGGGAGATGATTGTCTTCACCACTGGACTACAAGCTCATGTGCTGAATGGATGTGGTTAGTTGATTTACTTTATCCTTGTCTGGGAAGACATCATGAAAAACGGACATGCTTGGACCCGAACCCCAGGTTTGAAACATGGGAGAGCACTGCCTTAACCACCCTAGAACAGCAGAACTTCAGGCGAATTGCTACACAATTTCATTTTACTCAACCTTTTTTCGAAGGATTTTACAAACATTTATATCGGTTAACTATGATAATGACAACTTATTCTCTTGTCTAAAACGCATAAAACTATAAGCTAGTTTTATGCGGCACAGGTGAAGCTAATGGTTACGGTGCGATTGTTTCGTATTTTTGATGAAGTCAAGTCTGATTTCACAGGTCACAAATTAAAATTTGTGGAAAATGGTAATTTAGATTCATTATAATGTTTTAATATTTGCCACTTATTTCACAGCTGAAATTGTACTCCAAATCTCAAAAAAACTGCACTGTCTTCCATTAACTTCAAAATTTCAGCCAAAATGGTAAGGGTGTAATTCATTTTCAGCATGTTAAAACATTTCAGAAAATTTTCGAAAATCGTCAATGTTGGCCAAAATAGTAAGGATCGTTTTAAGGTGGAAAAAGTGGAAAACCTTGAAATAACGTGGAAAAACTCGTCCTGCGGCCGGGCTCGTTTTCCAACCGAGTATTTCTCGTTCTCCCAAACTCCCACAAGTGTTTCTAAAACTGTATAGAAAAACTGGAAAAAAATGTTTTCTGGATTTTTTATAATATAACTCGATAAAAAGATTTTGTACAAATATTAAAATTTGATTCAATTACAAATTCTCATTACATAACTTCGCTTGTCAAATTCGGCGGGAAAAGTCCCGTGTTTCCATACAGGTATAGAAACACGCTTCTCGACCAATCAGTACGCGCGTACTATAAATATTATATTATAACACATCTTAGAAAATTTTAGAAAATTTTAGAAAAATAAGAAAATCATTAATTTTGAAAGTGAATAATCAATATTAATTGTTGGCATTATTATAGTGTGTCCTGTGTTCTGTGACCAACTTTTGTATAGCATGCACATATAATATCACATGCATGCTCAGTCCAATTTATATTAAGCCAGATTGATTATCACTGACCCTCACTAACTGCTTCTCCCGGCAATATTGTCTCAATAAACTGATAACTGGGCCCCCGAACTGTCCGTTTTTAATACAACGCGCTAATATCGCGGCATATCATTAACATTCCAAAAGTTGCTCCCCCACTAATAGAATGTTTTGCTGCGCAGAATATATGCGCAGAACGGACTTTACATCATCTTTAAAGATCGTATTATTTAGAACAAACGTCAAAAATATATTATTTTCCATTCGGCATGTAAAACTAAATGCGCTCTACAGACTATTTTTGGATTTAGGAAACAAGAATAAAATAAAATTGCCACAGCTAGAAGGAGTATAAGAAAGTTAGTATAACTGCAAAGTTTAGTTGCGCACTTTTGTAAAATACGGAAATTACAGCTATTTTTGTATATTTATGTATTACGTGCGGAAATGTATACTTACTAAACGACTTCCGCTAACTTTCTCTTGCCACTCTGTGCCATGTAGCAAAAACGCAATTATGACGATTATCATACCAACGGACGTTGTAAACATAAAAAACTCCAATCTTGCCTGATACCCAAAGTCGTAGGGATCTGGAAACACGTTTTCATCTTCTCTACGTGTTTTGTTCACATTATACCCGACACTTGCTGTCGCAATCAAAAGGATAATCTATGAAAAAACGACTGAGGTCACATATGGCATACTTTAAAATGTCTCAATGCCTGTCACTGGCCGGATTTATGATAATACAGTTGACTTTCACTCTAGCACATGTAAGAACGAATGAATATTCGGGTTTATGTAAATGTTTTTTGGATTTCCTTGCATAATTAAATTAGATCATGAAGGCAAATTCCAAGTTCTCTGATTGTTTTCTTATCGGTCTACTAGTGGTGGAGAAAGTTAATTTAAGGAAAAAAAACGCTCCATGTAGTACTTACAAATTCTGTGATCTTTACCACAATGATAGCTATCTTGGAAAGTTTCATAGGTGATCTGAAAATTAAGAAAGTGGATGATGTAGTTTATTAGTATTATTTGTGCCAAAAAAATAAGAATACAAAGAATATCACAGCTGCATGAATCAGTTTATATAATTGTATTAGTTACTTCAAGAACCTATATAGAAGATGTCGTTTGTATATCAGAATATTATATCTCGATCGGTTGGAATGGAAAATGGAATGGAAAAACTTTAAATTTATTAAAGTTCTGGTGCATGACGCGGAACCCCCTTCCTTACATCACTTTTTATGTCTATTTTAGGCACTCCCGTTGTTATAGTCGGGTTTTAAATCGCTCCAAAATTGCCTGTTGTTCAGTATATATCTATATAGCCTTGTTTAAACCTCATTATAAAAATCACTATTCGGTGAATAGCGCTACCACCGGATAGTGCCGGATTCCAGCCTTTCCAGGTCAGTAGCTAATATATAAATACTGTATTTGAAAATATACTTTCCTAGTAAAATTGACGCATTTTTTGATATAGTATAAAGGCTTTTATTCGAATTTGCCCAGTCAATGAAGTTCGTCAGCTGTACAGTTTGTCATTTTTAAGCGATTTTAGTCGGCTGAATGCAATCGGAAAATATCAAAAAAATAGTTTATTATTTGCCGATTAGAATCAGCCGACTAAATCATACGACAAAATTTCGTATGATTTTAGTTCGTGGCGCGCCTAGCTTAAGATTAAATGAATGTACTGTTAAACTTAAGTTAAAGTTAGATGAATGGACTGTTAAAGTTAAATGAATGTACTGTTAAAGAACTTAAAGTTAAATAAATGTACTGTTACAGTTAAATGAATATACTGTTAAAGTTAAATGTATGTTACCCTGGCCTGAGCTGTATTTTATAGTTCGGTGATATCATATCGTACTATATACTCAGATCAAATCAGTGACGCTTTTCATATACTATATACTATACTATATACATATACTATATATACATATACTATATACATATACTATATACTATACTATATACATATACTATATACTATACTATATACATATACTATATACTATACTATATACATATACTATATACTATACTATATACATATACTATATACAGCTGTTCGCATGTTATGCTGCAAATTAACCGAAAAGTGAACCACTGGCACTGATTAATCTAATCCGTTTGGTACTATATTGGGGAATTTGCATGGATTGCATGGATGGCATGCATGCCATTCACTTAATGGTGTCAACAAAAAATGGTTCAACTGACCACCGAACAAGAGTCATATCTAAATAGTTGAGCATAAGCCTAAACTTATTATCAAAATTATAAACGCCTGCTAGTGCTAGTATATATATAATTGTCTAATTGTCGACTGACGAGTCTAATTGTCTTTCCGTTTGAGCTTCTAAACTACGCGAGAACCAAATAGATATTCTCCTAAAGTACATGCTTTAACTTAGTTAAAATTTAGTTTGAGTATAGATTATATAATTACAGGTTTCTTGGAAAGATGACATAGTGTCCCGGAATCAAGACTTCGAGTTCGACTTTGACAGCGATGGCAACTAATATATCGCAATAGTCCATTAATTTCAATATAGTTATCAGTAAAGACTAAAGTGTCATATTCGTAGTAAAGTTTTACAACGGCAAATATTGCAACGATTGTTTTATTCGATCAAGCAATATACACGGCACGAGCTAGTGCAGCTGTCTTTCATTTAGTCTACTAAATTGTCAAAATTTGACCGAGGACAACAACTGTTTACTATTGACCAACTCCTGTTAACTCGATTTCTCCTGTTATAACTCGATTTCTCCTGTTATAACTCGACTGAAATAAATGCCATTTTTCTACCTCACAGGCAGGGCAGATATACACATAAATATATTGATTCGTAAACTTGACATATATAGTTTGCATGTTGATTTAGCATAAAAGCTCTATTCAAACGTACACAACTTGTATCACTCTCCTAAGATTGTAAACCGGTTATTCTTTCATGAACATCTTCGAAGTGCCCATATATGCATGGCTTTATATTTTGTGATAATTTAAATGTTTATGCATGGTTTAAGCCAATATATTTATACCTTAGATTTAACGAGTTTTGTTGATCCATTGACACCTATCCATGTCCATGACTTCAAATTTCTCCATCAGTTTATCGTTTTCCATATGTCGAGATATACAAAAGTTAAAAGGTAAACATAACTGAGCGATGATATCCCTAAGAGAAAATTAGCTACTCGAAACAATCGAACTTCACTTCCTTTTATTGAAATTTATTGAAATTACTTAGCTTAAGAGTACTTAGCTTCATGCATATATGTCGAGAGTAGCCAAAACGGGATTGCGGAAGCTGACGAAGTCGACCATGATCAGTAATTTGACCTGATCAGATTTTGAATTGAATGAATCTGCATAGAAAGAAGCAAGAAATTCATGCAGCGTTCAATTTTACTGCGCATCGCGGAAATGCTGCTGAACCCAGAACCCCCGTTTTATAAAGCCCCGTTTACACTGCACTCAATTTATTGGCACGGCTAAAATCTTATTGTCAAAATTGTCTCAAAATTGGAAGCATTGTCAAAATTAGCAATTTATATCAATAACACAAACACGATGTCGATGCATGTACGTGTCCGAAGTGAATTTTGATCCAACAAAGTTGATGTGAATAGACCTGAACACTAGGCGAAAGCTTATTTTCATTACAGCCCGGTCATTCGTTTTAGGGTGGGTTTCAAAATACAGAGAAATAGTTCGCTTGCGAAATATGTGAATATTTGCTTTTGAATTATACCCATGCATGCAGTGTTAAATTGTTTGTGTAGGGAGATCCATAATCCATTTGACAACAATACAAAAATTGTAACGCGAGACGAAAATTGAAATTTTGTGCATCAAAACATATTTATTACCGTTCAGTTTCTTCGCAATTCTTATATTTCGACTCCATTTATATCTTTGATTGTTATTCTTTCTAGTCGAAACTTTGTAATTAGCTATGTTCAATTATATACTCTTACATAAATCTGAAACCGAAATAAAGAATATTCCACGAAATGCAAAGTATAGTTTCGAACTTTCGATCAAGAAATGGATATTTTCTTGGCTTCATATCGCCTGGTTTTTCCTAGTGAAGAAAGCCGTACGTCCAATCAAAAGCAATCTACGACACATTTTTACTATACAGAAAAAATTTACGTCCGATCAAATTACATAAGGTTGATTCACGATCATTTTTGTGCATGCATAAATGTCAACTATATAAAAAATAAAAAATGATGTCATAACGCCTATTCCATGTCTGCTTAACTAAATGGTTAAATGCACACGTTTAGGTTGAAGCGCATTACATGCCAGATTTTGGCCCTAAATATAAGGATATTAATTTGTTTTAGGATTTCAATTGTTCCCGTATTTTGATATCTCATGCATGCATGGTACAAAGTTTCACAGACGAAATAGATGGCAGATGTACATTTTACCAGAATACATTGCGGTCGGAAATCGTTTAAAAAAGTGAACTGACGTTTTTTAAAAGACAGGCATAAAACAGGAAATTATTTTCTTCGCTGTGTTAAAATTTCACGTCATTAGGAGTTTTTCTTGCCATCTTTTTTCAGTCAATCATTTTTAATGTCCGCAATGCATTATGGTAAAATGTATATGCCGCCATCTTTTTCGTTACGGTGAATTTCAGAAGTTTGACTTGATTGGATTTTCAAAACCCACGTAATTCTTTAATTAAGCACAGCGTCCCTCAATTCTCCGGACCGTACGAAGCCTGCCAGTTCGTGCAAGTTCAATTCCTCTAGATGACATGCAAGTATTTCTCGGCTGAAATCCGATTTTTCATTGATCATAACCAAACATTTTTCAGCCTTTTTTCTTGGTTCTGGATAATTAACATTGTCCTTAAACAAATTCTCGAAGTCTCCCCTAGGAATGTTTTCCAATGCCGACAGTTCTTCCCACCTCATGACAATTCCTTTAGACAATCGCGTAATCTCACGCCTGTTTAATTTCATTCCAAAAATCGATCTTTTATCTATATTGAAATAAAAATATTCAAAATAACAAAATTTCGTGCCATTTTCCCCTGTAATTTGATTGGATAGTTACACTGAAATACTAAAACTGATTGGTTATTGTGGTGCAGAGCTTCAATCTTATTGGCTAATAAATGATGTGATTATATATGCTCAAAAATAGTGCGATTTGAGAATTAATCACCGACTATTTTTAACCATGCAATGAGATTGCAAGAAACACCACTGATTTCAAAATGAATATAATGAAAGTGGTAATCGATTTATAAACCCTAAATTGCGTAAACAAATTGCCCCATGTTGCTGTCAATACCATTTAGCTATACTTTTTATCACCAGAATGGGTTAAGAGGCTGGGATATTGGCAAATTATTCGTAGTGTTTCAATTTTCTTACCTTCTACTGTGCGGTTCTGAAAAAAGAAGACAGCTCATATTTAGTTATTTACCTATAGCTCGTAAATTATTCTACTGATAAGGTTTGTTCAGACTTTATGGAATATATAGTAATGCGTTCTGTTGATCGAATGAAAGATTGAAATTTTTTTCCAAATACCGAACACAAAAAATGATTGTAGTCATTTTACTCATTTGGCCACTATTTGGCGTGGCGCAATCGAGCGCAGAAGACAAATACGAAAACACACTCAGAGAAGATAGACACAAAGGTTAAAGGGGTTTAAAAGAATAACAAAAATGGGAAAATAAAAGACCTTAAAGTCTAACTCGTGGAATATGGAAGAGAGGTTTGATGAATATACAACCGCATTAATTGGCAGTCAGAACAGTAATGAGGCCCAATATAAATATAATAATTTTACAAACATGATTTATAGGGAAGTGCTTAGAGCACTTCAAGAGCACTTATGGTCAATATGAGCAAGTGCTAACAAGGAGGAATTTCGTTTTCAACAAATCTGCATGTTTGTTTACATTTTTCAGGCAGAGCCAATCAGAATCCTAAATTCTTAATACCGAAAGTGAGTAGTCATGATTTATGCATTCTGATTGGCTTACTGAAAATGTAAACAAACATGCTGAATGGTCTAAAACGAAATTCACCCTTGTTGCAAGTGCTCCGAGTGGATAATTTATGAGCATATTATGAGCAAGCGCGCTCAAGACATTTAGAAATATACGAATGAGCAAACGTTAGCGGGAACGAGGGCAGAGTAGCTAATAAGCAAATAAATCTCACCCCATCATTAATCGCATCTTCAAACGGAAACATGTTCACAATTAACCTTCGATCCTCCAAAAATTTTATAATAATCTAAACAGTGAAACAAAAAAGCGGTTAATCGCAGGATAAATCATATGCATTCACGTGGCTCAAATATAGCAACTTTTTCTGGTGTATATTATTACATTCTCATGTACAAATAGAAATTTACCTCAATTAAACACGATCGACATGCATATATATCATATGCAAATAATTTTCATCTATCTTATGAGTTCAATTATACGCTCTGCCTTTACTGCTCAAAATCTACACGGTCTATTCCAAAAACCTAATCCTATTATTTCAGTATGCAATTATGTTCCCGGTTAATAAGAAGAAAGCAAGGTGAAAACTGACCTTCCAGTTCCTGGATGTGGATCTGTACGTGCTGGCGTTTCCAAACATATACAGCGCACATTGAGCCCTCGAAATTGCCACGCATATTCGATTTTGTTCATTAAGAAACCCGATCTTATCTTCTTTATTGCTGCGAACCAAAGACAGTAGGATCACTTTGTTCTCATTGCCCTGAAACATGTACATAATACAAATTATATATGGCACAGAAGATACGTAAGCAAGTTAAATCGACGTATTAATTGAATATTACATGCATGTTTTTCAAAATACATATGAAATATTGTGACCATTTGATGACTGTTTTATTAATAATCATATATAATATAGCTAATCTACTTTTTTGTTATAAGCGTCGCCCACGTTTTACTTTTTTAAAAGTAAAGATCTTTTAACGAAAATTTAAAAATGTTTGAATTTTTTTCGTTAAAAGATCTTAATAAATTCCGGTGGGAAAAGCAAATGGTACAAGGTATTTGCATATAGACGTATGGCGAAAACAAAAGCACTGAGTTTGGCGCGAAAATAACGCCAATCTTGTACTTACTCATAGTCGCACTCATAGTCACTATATATAGTCAATGGCCTAGCCAGCCTGACGATTTTGAGCTAGTTATTATAATCATTCATGTCTTTAGTAGAAATCTATTGTTTTCACAGTCAGTGAACACCAAAATATTAGCATAGCGGGACAAATCGACAGGCTGGCTACGCTACTGACTATATAGTAAACCTTATTACTGTGTACTACAATTGCGTGTCAACGTTTTGACAGCACCAACATTTCAAAATCCAACATACCTGGAAACTGTCCACAGTTGTAATAGAAATATCTCTCAATTTAGGATAATACTCTTGAGACGTATCCAACGACTTTCTTTTGAATGCAGCTTTCATCTTTTCAACCTATAAAACGGAAATATGATAAGTATACTGTATATAAAGGTTTTAGGTTGACACATTAGAGAAACATCAGATTCTTCAACGTTTCGTATGTTACTGAAAATTTCGTAAGGGTGAAATTAAGGGTCGTTATATTTTTTTATCAATTGTAGATATATTATAACGGTCGACGAGTTAACGTAAGTTAACAATTATTCGCCGAAGGCGAGGTGAATAATTGTTTTAGTATAATTGCAAAGGTGATTTCTTGAAAAAACGAATCTGTTTTATAAATACATGTTTTACAAACGTAAACAGATATCTCGACAGTTCTACGGCGATTCAAGTAAAACTAATGTTTTCGCAAAATAAAGTTGAAAAGCGTTTTACAAAGTAGCTTTTACCTTGGAAATAATTTTATACTTAATTTCTTTATACTTAATTTTTTTACTTAATTCTCACTTATTATATTTTATCTGTCAGTTGTCACTTTGGCTAAAACAACTCGGCGCCACTTTTGAAAAATCTGTTTCCAAAGACAGATCACGACTACGCCGTAGAGATTTTTTGTAATATATTACATAAAATATAGTCTATAGTAAGATAATGATTAAGTTTGATTAGGAATGATTCATTTTGATTAAATTGTCAATCGACTAAGACTATATGTAATCGGTCGTTACCTGAAGAGTGGATCTCTACAGCTGTCTCTGAATTTAAACAATTGCTGATATAGGTCCTCGCTATATCACTCTCTGACTAACGACTAAAAACAAATCTACCGTACATGCGTTTTGTTACTTGTAATTGGAACCGACATCCTGTTCATGCTATCGTCAATCATGTATGTTAATCAATGATATAAATCAAGGTGTAATCAAGTTATAAGTTAGGCTGACTGAAACAAAATCCAATAATAAATAACCTTTCTAATAATACTAAAAAAATAATCACTTCTTGATTCAGTTATAGACAAACTTGTAGTAAAGGTCTGATTCCGCGGGCGCTTTTTCTCGTTTGGTTTTTTTATTAAGTCGTAATACCACTCATATAAATTATTTCTGCTTGATTGCCTTTAATTTATGATCAAGAAAAAGCGAAATATTTCGCATTTCACCTGTGGGATTAGGACTTGAGAATTCCGAATAAGATTAACATATTGCATGCACTTCGCCCCAAAATTTTAGTTTTAGTGGTAGCGGTATCAAAAGTGATAGGCGAGAAGTCGCTGCCTCTGGTCTATTACACAAAATCCTGCTGTCTGTGTGCATGCTAACAGTTCAAATATACCTGGCCACTGTAAGCGCAAAGGACTGTGACGTGGTAAGGATTGTAATTGTTCTTCATCAAATACTCAGCAACTTCCAAGACCATGCTGATTTCTTGTGGGTTCCACAAACTGTTGGATCCTTTCATTCGTTTTTCTGTTGATTGGTGTTTCACGAAGAGTAGGCTATGTCCAACACAATCTGGTGGATTGTTACCGCTCGTTTTCTGTGGGTAAGAAATAGAAAATTTGTCCCTCAATTGCGTTGAAACAAGTCGTTCTATAAAGCACTCATGTGACTTACCTTTTCGTTTGTTTTCAAATCCTTGTAAATATTCAGCGAGCGAAGAAGATCGGCAATATCATCTCGCATTCGGCACTGTTTATCAAGCATCTGGTAATCCAGCTTGTAGTTTATCAATCTTTCAAACATAGAGCAGTCAAGGTTCCGTTTTTTCAATTGGTAACAATTTAAACGAGGCTTAAGTTGTTTCTGATCTCCTAACATAACCAGGTGCTGGATGGTGGGTGGGAGGACAGCAAGCAACTGGCCCTCTATTATTTCTGCAGCTTCTTCCACGATTACTGCACAAGGTTTAAGTTGATCTAAAATAACGTGTAACTAGTATAATTACGACGGTGTATATAAAAAATTCTGGTTACTGATTGGTCAAGTGACCTCAGGCTCTACTATCACGCAAAAACCACCGATTCCCATTTTGCATTGTAAGGTATCTATCAAATTTAAGTGAGGTATCTAGAAATTAGGTAAGGTATCTACATTTAATGGACGTTGATGAGGGGGTTGGTACTGTCATCTGTGGCCACGCAATATGATTCGTTATACACCACGTGTAAAAAGAACAAAATATTCGATTCGTCAAATAAAGAATTTTAACCCCCCACTTTTTCTTTCGTTTTCCCATTATAGGAAATTACTGTTGCAATTTGAGCATTGGATCAGATTTCTTCCTTCCACGTCTCTCCTTTAATTACACGTGACATCTCTAAAAAAGAACTTACACTTACCTAATATGTGTAATCACACTTACCTAATAAGTGTAATCACACTTACCTATAAGTGTAATCACACTTACCTAATAAGTGTAATCGAAGTGCAGCCCCGGTGACGGTCATACCAATTACGTCGTATTCTTTTAATGTGTTAACTGTACTGTCGTCTAAGTAATCCTGATGGAGCTTTGCGTTCTGAAATGGAGTTTGATCATTATTAGTACGTGCATGTTAGCAAAAGAAAACAAGTGTGTGCATGTAGCTACATGCAACTGCGGAGATAAATTGAAATTTATTGTGATGATTTTTGTAATGGCCCGTTTACACGTGCATGCAATTTTCGTCCTTTGGTAGATGTGAACGAGTGACTATAGATAGGAATGCTCTGATATATAACAGATTTTATATTTGAACATCTGTAACTAATTCACGCGTTCACGTCTATCAAAAGAAGAAATTCTCACATAAAATCGCAACAATAATTGCAAGTGTAAACATGATGTAAAAATGCGCACTTACATCTTCGTAGGATCTAACGGCTTTGCCAAATTCACGGACTATTTCCCGTTGTAGGAAGCAAATAAAATTTACACGTTCGTCATCATCCAATTCCCACAAATTAAGATATTCGTAAACGTCTTCCTCTTCGTCTGAAAAATGTTTGGCAATGCTGGTTATCGCAGGATATATATAGTAGTCTATGATTATATTTTTTGAGTCAGAATGAAGTAGAAAAGGTAACCCCACAAGTATATATTAGAAATGAAGTAGAAATAGAAATAACTAAGTTGTTCATGTAATTGTTTCACCACTGAATAAACTGGCTCCAAGTCTCCCTGACTCGCTCCAATTGTATATTGACAGATCTATATCCTGTGATGCATTTGCATATACAACACCTGCAGGTAAGCTACCATATTACACACACTACACTGCCTTTACAACCAACATCATCAGTACAATAGCTACCTTCATAGTTTTCCCACACAAATGGGATGTATACGTCTGGGATCAAATCTCCATCATCACCACAGTCCTCAGTTTTGTTTGGTATTTCATAATCGTCTTTAGGACAGTCACCTTCCAAAGCGTTTTGCTCTCTTTCTTGCGCTGCGACTTTTGAGTCAATTGCATAATGTAAATCTGAATCATCTTTTGTTGGCGACGAGGAAACACTAAATATATATTCAACTATAAGCGTCAATAAATTATTTCTACGGACTTTTATGCGCTTTTGAGTAAAATAGGCTGCATCGCCTGCATGCACACAACATATTAAACGATTTCAAAAATCAATACTTCACCCGGTTTCCAGTATGGCAAGAAAACACAGCAAAATGTGGTTTACCTGTTTTTTACATGGAATTGATGAGATTCTGGAACAACTTTTGTGTGATTCTTAAACCTTTCTTGAATTTTGTCTCTGGGCAGCCATATTTTTAAACTTTTCCTCACAAGTGCTACAAATATAACACTACGGTACGTCAAATTTATTGCATGGCGTTATACCGTGATCATGCCTTTTCGTATGAACAGGGAAGATCGACAATGTTCGTCAAATAATCGGAATAATAGTGATATTATTGTTGTTAAGTTTTTACCGTTATCGCTACCGCTTCATTCAGATAAGTCACGTTACTAATGAAATATACGAACCTTTCAACCGTTCGTTTGGAGCAGTGTTTGGCTTCCATTTTGATAAAAGATCGTCGATCTCACGTTGATTGACATTAATTTCGTCTGGATTCAAAAGTGACGTAATATTATTCCTCGACGCTGCCTATAAGTGCGTCAGAAATAAGATAAAAATTCAAACTCCGGAAATGTTTCACATGTCATAAAGACGGCCATCTCCATGAGTGGTGTGAGAGCAAATAAGGTGTGAAAACCATGATGATGCTTGCGAAAATCGTCTTACGTTTCCTGCTACGGTGCTCTGTTGTATATATAGCTCTCTCTAGTTTGATGGCGATAATCCGCAATTACAAGCTTGATCATACCCCCGGAAAACAAGAGTTGTCCCTTTTGCGACGTTTCCGGTCAATTAAATCTTAGAAATTTGTAATGTCCAAATTGATAGACAATCATCCAGATGAAATCAAAGTGAAATATTAAAGAAGTGCAATAAAAAAGATATATAATATTTACCTGGAAGAATGATCTTATGGAAAAGATAGGATTTGATAAACATTTGAATAAAATTCTTAGTTTAAACTGCGATTTTCGTTTCATTTCTTGGACTTTTTGGTCATTTTGCTGCAGTTTTCTATCAATTCCCTTTCTCACCTATAAGCGAAAACAATGCATATATTTCATGGGCATGCGATAGAATTGACAGTTAAAGTAAGAATACTGTCGTTATACTTTTTAGCAAATGCAAAAATAGAGAAAAAATAAGACAGCAATTTCTAGCAGTTCCTCCTTATCTAAAAAACGAACGGGATCGATCCCTAAAATATCGGGTGGAAATTGTCTGTCCCTGCAAATGATTAGCTATGTTTTAGTTGAATAATTAGCTATAATTTAGGCATATCTCACATTTCTAAGATTTATTCCCTCAAGCTTTTCGTTACCGTTCTCATTCGTCCTTCCAATTCGAACCATTTTTGTTGTATATTCGAGGGATGCCATCAGGAAATGATCCAAAGCCAAATTTTTGTAGGTCATAACCTAAAAAATGTTAGCTAGCTGGTCGTCAAAATTCGGATATTAGGGACCTTAAGCACGTAGGACGAGAACACGACGACGGCTATATCAATACAATGGGTCATTGAAAATAAATGAATGATTTAAGACCGCTAAACGTCGTTTTTCACTTCTCGCGTAGAACGTTTGCATTTCGGGACCCAGTGAGCGCTACCTCGAATTAGTCTCTATAATATAGAATTGTCCCTAACAGTGGCGTCGCCAGGTTGTTCAGATTGGGGAGGATGAGGCAAACACCAAAGGCGCGAGACCTCTAGGAGGATTAGGGGCCATCCCCCCCCCAAAAAAATTTTATTTCTAAAGCCCCTAAAACGCTATTTCCCGCATTTTCAGGCAAGTTTTATTACAATCTGAAAGCACGGCAATTTTTGTTATAAACAAACAGTTTTTTTTCTGTTGTTGGCATCTTAATGTGTCGCCAACAAGAGTATCCAACTCAATCTTATCTGTAATGACTCTTTCTATGCTGATATGTCACTAATGTTATTCTTTACGTACAATGATGAATTAAAGTAATGTTGATTCGAAAATAATTTATTTATTTACACGGCTGTTGGAAATTACAATCATTGTACCCCCCCCCCCACTTTTCTCTTAAAATTGAGAAAAATCTCAGAAGTGGTCTGGGGGACAGTTCCCCCCCTAGCGAGGCCACTGGTCCCTAAGCGTAACCACGATTTTTTCAACGTCTTATCTCACTAAATTGGTACAATTGATAATATGCAACAACCGCTTTGCCATGGCATTTTATTTAGAGGAGTATTTCAGCCGCGTCGTCGTCGTTTTGCCGCCCTACACGGTTTTAGATTTTAGATAGTATACGGTTTAACTAAATTTCTTTTTTTCCTTCTCATTGCTGAAAATGTATGTGGAACATACATGCATAGTAATAATAATAAAAATAAAATATAATAAAATAATAATTACCAAAATTGGACCTCCGTAACGCTGATGAACTCCCAAAGAAAGCATCAAACGTAGAATCTTTACACCCAGGAAAGATTTGCCTGTACCTGGGGGACCCTAAACAACACAATAGTAATAGTAAGTAATTATAATATTTAATCAGGAAACTTTTTCATGTTACATGATTTTCAAAAAGGACCTGAATATACATAGTTCTTCAAATCAACCAGGGTATTTACACTATATTATATATATTAAATGCCACAGTGAGGCGAACAATATTTATATAAATAAAGAAAAAGAGAAAAATGTACGAAATAACTCATGTTTAATGGTCACGTGATTGATTGATATTTATTTATTTGTATACATAGAGATCAGATTTTCTTCTACGAGAATCAGTTTCAGATCTTTTCAAGATCGATTTACTCATTGAAGAACAGATATTATCCTTTATCGCTATAGTTTAAATTCTTTGATTACTTCTCCCAATTTAAAAATTTAGAGAAAAATAAGATCAGATTTTCTTTTACGTATAATCAGTGGAGCGAAAAAACAAATGGGAAAAACCAAAAACAAAAGATTAGTGAATTTTTTACTCTTTAAAGTTGTAGCGGTCTTCCTTCCTTTGCCTGCCTTTTATCAAATTTGATACAGTATGTATTCATTATAACTTACCTGAATTAATGACACTCTATGTTGCAAAAAGTTCTCAATGCCCTTCATTTGAGATTCATCCAGTAGACGTTTTGTTGATTCCGCTTCCAGGTATTTGAACTGTTCAAAGGGGTTAAGTTGATTTTCTTCAGGAAATGAGAAACCGTCATTGCTTGGCTTTTCAAATATAGTGCTCCAATCACATTCCTTTTTCGGATCACATGACATTGTATATTCAGGTGGTGAAGACTTTCTTCCAAAAACCAGTTCATCAGCAAGAGGCATGTTACCTATATAAAAAGGTGGTGACGTACTTGTTGCTAGATTAGCTATAAACGGCAGCCAATCAGAATGCAGCATTTTGCAATAGCACTCGACAAAGTTTTTGTTAATGCATCTTAGAATGTTCATTTTGTCAAAATCGGGACATCCTGTAGCTATATAAAAACTTTCCAGCAGCAGCAGTATACGCAGGGTAAACATATTAATTAACAATAACACGAACAAACAACCAAGGGGTTTATGAAAGTTTTGTTCTTAAACGTGCACAAATCAGATTTTTAAAACTCTTTTTAACGACAAGATTAAACTTTTGACCATCGAAGAAGTTGCAATGTGTAGGCTGATATATGAAACAATCGTCGAATTCGGTGCATGATTGTGATATTAGGAATGATTAATGTACTGATACCATAGAAATTAATAATATACTGATATCACAAAAACCTCATCCAGTGATTGTTTATTATACTTTATTTCACGTCTACTATTTCCTTAAAGTTCGCGTGGTATTCATGCTAATTGTATTATTATTATTGTAGTATTACTAGGCACGCATTGTTATGGTTTTGGATTTCCGTGTTCTTATTCCATTCCGTCATATTGCCGCAAGCGCATGCAGAAGACACCCTGGTCAAAAACAAGGCATACTGAAGTCGAATACTATAATCGGGTCGAATTATTCACGCAAAAATTATTCTCTGTTCCTTTACAAAATTGATGGAAGTAGGAAAACTCTGGATAAATATTAGAAAAATGTAAAATACCAAATTAATTTGCTTACCTTCTTCATCACTTTCATATATCTCTTTTAGGCGTTTCATACAAGGACCGAAAGCGGGGTAAAACGTTGGGCTTTCTGCCATTAGAGCATGGTCTCCTGAAATTTTTGCAAAAAGAAGACTGTTGCTACTCAGAGATTTCCTAACCTAAATAAGTTTCAACAGTTTTTGAATAAGTTTTTTCTAATTTCAAGCAATAAAGCTGTGAAGCAAAACGTTTAGCCTCCTCCGCAGGCATCTCTTATTAGATATTAGCTGTGTCATGGAAGGCGAGGAAAAAAGTGGAATTTTTTTTCTCACTCCCCCGACACAGCTAACCCAAGCCAAATATGAATGCCTAATATAAATACAAAAGAGATGCCTGCGGAGGAGGCTATAAAACGTCCTTGTTGAAAACAAATTTCAAGAAAAGGTGGGATGTGATAATACATGCATGTGATACCTTCTGTAATCAGTTACCTTTATTAGTTATTGCTGACAATTCTAACAGAACGTCGAGGTTTTCATCCTTATTTCGGTCAGAACACAATCTTACAGAAACTGTCCTATAGCAGTAATAAAATTAATATAGAAATTTACCACTAGCTTTTTTCGTGAAAAGGACCCAAAGAAAAAATAAATGGTGATAGAACGGTAGTTAGCAATTAGAGAAGACGAAGACGAACCGAGACGAAGTCATTAAGGGTTTTTTCAGTGGTGTTCACCTAGCCTAAGGCGATCGATCTGTTAAGACCAATCTGTTATCAACTTTTTTACATACATAAATAGATCCTCGTCCTCGAGTTTAACAGCGATTTAAAGAAAAAGATGTTTTATGCGTAAATAAATTTAAATGAATACTGTTCTTTTTACCCCGAAGTTTTTTTAACCACTTTTTTCGCTACTTTTGCTGCTTTACAGGTGCAGCATTTTCTTCAAAATAACTGATTTCTTCATCGGTCTCTTTGAAAAAAGACCTCGCCGCCATGTTGAAAAATATCCTTTGAAATTATATTAAACATCATTATTCGTCTTACTTTTTGTGTGAATGTTGTTGACATTCAGATTTCACCACCGTAGCCCATATTAAATTGTCAAAGCTCTTATTCAGTGAGATGCACATTAAGCTGCCGTAGAGTATTTTATGAGATGCATTTTCTTCTTCATCTTCCTCTTCCGAGCTGGAAATAGTAATAACTAGTAATTCTTTTTACTTGTATAAAGGGACTTGAAAGGGAATATAAAACTGTATAAATTATTATGCCCGGGACGGCGTGAAATTTGGAATTGTTTCGTTTTATCATACGCGAAAAGCTGTTCACCATCAGATTCTATATAAACACACCGTTCTAAATATGGTAAAAAGTGGAAAAGATTACTCAAATATTCTTGTATACCTGGTCTTCTCATCTTCATAGTTGTATTCCTCACTGTTTAACTCAAGCAGGACTTGTGTTTCACATGTTGTTGATCTCAACGTTATTCTTTTAAAATAAAAATTAGTTATTAGAGTGCGAGTTATTAGGAATTACTGATGAATTACATCTTCGATATACGGACTGAGAAATTGCAAGTTCAAAAAGCGGTCAATACATGTACAGGATGGCTCAAGAAAAACGATATCCTAATTTTAACATCATTGTCCTAACGCATTGGGTCGAACGGTTTAATCTTTATATAGCGCAAGAAAGAGAAGTTCTTGGCTGTCTCGAATCATTAATAATTCATGAATGAACAAATTATTCAATCAGAGCTTCTTAATTGAACCACGTGGTGAAATTAGATGTCCCAGCAATGTACCGAGTAAAAATATATCATATTCTTAAACTTTTTCATGGTGTGGAGGAATTTTGAAAGAGAAATGTAGAATCAAATTCCAAGAGTGAACGGCAAGGGACACAAAAAAATGCATCTATATATGATTTTTACTTGTATATTTTCATTTTCCGTGGATCGTAATTCCCATTTTGAAAATCTTGTATGCCAGTACACAAATCTCTTTGAAACATTCCTCGCGGAGTAAAGAAAAATTTATATCCAAATACTGCTCGACGCTGTCGTATGGTTTGTCATGTTTGATTGGTTGCAGACTTTCGAAATCAAATTCTATATAAAAGTAAAAAAATAACACATGCAAGGATAAACATAAAATTACAAAGCCGCATATGCATGTATATGAATAAAAATAATTTGATAACATACCGGAACATATTTCCTTCTTTGTTGGAATAATCGGCAATTCATTCCACGCACAATTAGTGGGGTCTACATCCTGATATCCTGGTACTGCTTTTGCCAATAACGTAGCAAGATGAACCAAGTATTCTACGTCAGAACATGTTGAATTTTCCTCTGGGTTTTCGTCGCCAATGCTGTTTACATGCATTTTTCTGGCTAGATATTTGGCCACCTTTAATATTTTGGTTGCGGTTTGTGGGGAGTGCTCCATCATGATTTCGAGAAGTGACTTTAAAACGTTAATATCTTCACTAAAAATATGATGGTTATACCTCCATGAGTTTAGTTTTAAAGGATTACATGCATAATAATTATTTAGCGGCTTGAATTTTTATATATATGTAGCCTATCTATATATATTCATGCATGAGTCAGAATTTGAAAAAACCGTACCAACTGCTTGGTGAACTTTCATAAATTATTTTTCCGTGATATTTGTATAGCTAAGCGTGATGTAGAATAATAATAATAATATATAGTATACTATATATAGCGTAATGTTTTCATGCCTAACATAACTTATTACCCAGGGTTCTTCAAAATAGTAGATCTCGATCGACTTTTTAAGTTTGTTAAAAAACCTTATAACGATGCAACTAAGTATTCCACATATATAGTCTCTTAAAATTTAGAAAATACTGTTGCTTTTAGCGTTCAGTCTGCAAATGACCGACGGTCGAATCGTCGCGACGCAGCTATATAGTTACGTTCGCTAGTTCGCGTATAATATATAATAATATATACGTTAAAGAATGATTATCGGTTGTTTCAAAACATACTCAAGAGACCACATACCTCTCACTCTCATTCTCACCATGATTTTCTATGAATCCTGGCAACGCGATAAAAAACATCGATGAAGAAAGATCTCGCAAAAACTCTTTACAGGATGGCTCGCTTTTTTTTGACAACTTTTTTGACAGTGATAAAGATAAATTCAAAACATCTCGTACACATTGCTCATCTTCAAAAAGCTCTTCGTCATTCTTTATACTATTCCAAATTCCTATGCATCTGCAACGCACATCAAAATTAATAATCTAGATACATAAAATTGCATGATTTTTCTTTGTTAGCTACTTCGTTTTGCAGCCATAGTTTCCACGAGTAATCGTTTATGGAAGGGTACAAGTCAAAACTTCAATAATATTTAGAACAGCTACAAATTTATGATATATACCTTGTTCTCAGAATGTTATAAACATGCAAACAAGACTCTCCTTCATTAAGATCGTCCAACAGGCTGGTGATAAAGTCAGCTTTAGCTTCTCGATTTTCACCCGAGGATGGTCCTGTAGACCTGTATAGTAAAGGATTGCAAATTTGAATTAAGTAAAAATTTTGATTTGAAAGTGTTTTAGTATGAAACTTTCACCTTATTATACAATTTGAATTGCGTAATTTGTTAATTAATAAGAATTAAGAAATGTTGCAATTTTTTAGTGCATGTTTTTCACATAATTATTTCTTATATGCAAAGATGCGTGATGTATGTTGTAGTATTGGAATTACTCTCCATGCAACGGGAATCGAACCCGTCTCTATAACAACCTCGCAAGCCAGACTTTCTATAATGCCATGTTATGAAATATGGTTTCTGCATATACAAAAAAAGATGTTCAGATAATTTTTACACATTAAGCTGTATAGAGAACATCAACGTACTAAATTATATTACTATAAACTTACATTACTTATACTTATATGTTGTGACTTTAAGCACATGCAAAGCGCATCGTATATCGTTAGTAGAAACCAAGGGCATGAGCTCATTGTATTGCCATCTGAAACCCTATATATAGTCTCGCTGTAAAACAACTGCTCATATTTGACCGAAAAATTGGCAGTAGTATATTTAATTTTCCAATTTATATACGGAAATCTTTCGAATATCATCCCTTTGGGAAATATAGCGCAAAATACCGCGCTTACTTCGTGGGTACATTTGTTAGCTGAATTATATTACAGTTCGTATACTATATCTATATCTATATATATATATAGTATACTGTAATATAATTCTGCTAACAAATGTACCCACGAAGTAAGCGAAGTATATATATATATATATATATATATATATATATATATTATATATATATATATATATATATATATATATATATTTATATATAATTTATATAGGTATACGTACTTTAATATTTGAACACTGTCATTCTGTACGTCTCTAGATCTAAACGAAGTACCCTCAACGACTTTAACTTCATCCCCGGGATAAATAAGCTCGTAGGAACACGGAATATTGTGGCAGTGAATTTCTTTCTCGTCCTTGCAATTTTGAATCACCCAAAATGATTTCTCGCATTTACAAGTGACATACCATACCGCGTTCTGTTCATCGGATTCCAGCGACCCATGGGTCTTCGCCGCAGAACTTCGCCTGCCTTTATTTGGAGATTTACCAAAAAATTCATCTAAGGCTACTTCGTCAACACCGTTCTTGAAATTCAAGCCTTCTTTACTACTTAATTTAGTCTTCAGTTCTTTGTTGAAGTCCTTTGCCAAATCGAAAGTCGGGTTTTGCACGTCTCGCATTTTTTCTTTCCAAAAATTGATGGCATATCGATATCTGAGTTTGTATGAATGCCCGGGAACTGGCAGCTTTATTCCATTATCAAACTGTATCAAAGTGTTTTTGATGCGCCTTTTTATTTCCTTACGATCACTTTCTACACAGTGCCGAAGTTTGCTCTCGATTAGTTCCAGAAGATTTCCAGAATCTGAAGACTGACTTTCTAACATGATTTAGATACTATAGCCTTGGCGACACAAAGCTTTGCAAAGCAGAGGCAAAACTAGCAGCCGGGTTTCTTTAGGATTTCGAGCAATGAGTCGAATTTGCTACATACTTATATTACATACAACCACAATACAACGATAACGAAAACACAAGTTGCAATCGATATGAAACAATAACAACGCTTTGGGTTCCCGGTACTTCACCTCATTTCTTAGAAAAACGTTGAGCCCGCAAACTTTAAGTCACCTGACGCTCATCCACTTAGCTCAAAAGACGACTTATATAAAAAATATAAATTAAGTTTTGATTCGAATTCGTTGTAAAGGTGCCAAATTCTCGATTTGTGCTCCGCAATAAGATAACCGTAGATTCGACCGTATTTACGAGTTACGACATTGTCTGCTTTTATCAAGTTACTAAATTCACTGCACGGCTAAAAAGGCATATTTGATACAATTTTTGAATGAAACTTCTATGTTTCCTAACCTTGTTTCCCCCAAAAAACGCATATCGAAAAATAACTCGACTCCAGGCTTTTATACAGGATTTCAAAAAATTCGGTATAGTGAAGGTTATTATAAAATTAATAACACGGATATAACGTGTGTTTTGATTGGTCAAAGCCCGTATTTGGATGAGGCCATCCAAGCACGGAAATTTAATTCGCGTATGGAATTAATTTGGAACACCACGTTCAGTTGTATTGTATAAAACAATTACTTAATGGTTTCCGTCTAATGGATCCTCGCCTTCTACTCGTGTTTCAGGCGTTTTCTTAACTCTCGCAACTTTCCCATGTGTTTGGATCAGGCCATCCAAACACGGACACCATCTGCATCTATTTCTAGTTTAATAGTTCTATTTTCGGATGGAATTTCTGTTATACATTTGAAATGATTTGTATAATATCAATTGAATTTATGCATTAAGGGGCAGAATAGGGCTACCTTTCCGTTATTTGCCATTTCTCGACTAGTAATAACAATTTGGATGTATAGTTTTAGCATTGACTTGACATACATAATACAACTATGAGCAGATCGACATGTTACCACGGCTGTTCTTTACATCCGCTTACAGTGAAGCTGTGAAGGTACGCAAGATCTAGGGTCAAAACCTGAGAAAGTATACAACGCAAACATTTCAACTCAGGATATCAACTCATATCTTGGCAATGATCCTTTGGTAAAATTTTATTATATGACGAAAGCAGAAATGTCTTGAAATTTGAGAATTATATTTGAATTCCGTTCCTTCCTATATTTCGACGGAAAAATTGTAAACAAATAGATCTTTTCGGTAATTACGTCACAACATTTTAACAACACAACGTTTTAAATTTAGAACCACCTTAAATGAAATGGATTTCAAGTTTTACTCTCACGAGCCACGTGCAAAGATACAAAGCATCCTTCTTCAACACATGTATGAAATTCAAATTCGTTTTGACCATGCAATAAATGTGGAAATAAGCCATAACACGAGAACGAGGCTGAGGGGCCAAGACCGCGAGCCTTGTTCCCGCGTTATGGCTTATTTCCATACTTATTAGTCAAAATGAAAAATTATTCTTCATGCACGGTTATAGAAGGATGTTTTACATATTTGCACATAGCTTGTGAGAGTAAAACTTGAAATCCATCTCATTTAAGGTGGTTCTAATTTTAAAACGATAATGTTGTGACTGTATTTACCGAAAAGGTCTATTGCCGCCACAATATACACACGACACTATTACACAGTTGTGAAGAAACTCGTACGTCCAATCAAATTGCATAAAACTGATTATTTACTGAGTGATTTTTATTTCATTTTTTTGAATGTGCATAAATTTCAGTATACGTAAAATGAACAAGACGCCTGTTCTGGCGTTAACTCCGGCGCACGTGCCAGTCTTCAATATAGAGCTTCTGAACATAAACAATGCAGTTCATATTCGCATTTAGACGCCTTGCGAACCTAAATGTTCCATCGCGAAATTCAGAAGCACATCGTACTTTAAAAAGTATAGAAGTTCAATTGTTCAAAAATGTAAATAAACCGCATAATACATTCGCTTTGTCTTACACTTTGCCTTTGGAATTCGCGCTTATATAGTTATATTAAATCTTCAATCCTGTGCAAACTACGACGAGTCAAAGCGCCCATACACGACCACATCATCTTGTTAAACGGCGAAATAGCAGCGATATTACTAAAATAGGACCAGAATCTACACGTATTAAATATATTCTTACCCCAATTCAGTCTAAACTTAATCGAAAAGCATGAAAAGAACGGTTTATTTGTTCCTCTTGGAGGAATTGCCGTATCATGCGAGCGAAATCGAATCGCGCATCGGAAAATTAGCCAAAGCTGTGCACCACAACTCTTGGGAGACAAGACTGGGACATAGATAAATCCAATCACATACACATTTTAAATACTAGAATGTTTCGCGCCATTACAGACTTGCGACGACGAAAAATAATAAAAAAAAAAATAAAAAAAAAAAAAACAAAAACAAAACAAAACCGAGGCGAATTTTCAACTCCGTCGCTGACGCCGGAGTAATTACTGTATGCAACAGTATGGCTAATACAAATTACTGTATACAACTACTTGCAATTGAACAGTGTTTATATGTGTTACAGTGACATGTCCGCCTGGGGCCGGTTGTTCGAAAGGTGTTTAGCTTAAACGGTGAATAAGTTAAAAATAGAAAACCAAATTATCTATTTATCGAACAACTGAGCTAAAATATTTCGATGTAAAAGGTTTAATTGTCAATGGAAGTACATATTAAATGCATAAGATGCAGGTTAAGTCATTCACAAGACCTATGAGAGTATTTTTAAACTTTGGCTTATCCACCGTTTAAGCTAAACGCCTTTCGAACAACCGGCCCCTGACGTGTTCCTATACTATGAGAGATGTTTACCAAAACTAGTAAAATGAATAATTAATGTAGTGTATTCCGGATAAATAACGACTTACCGCGACTACAATTATCGCCCTAAAAATAAATTATATATAGTTGTGCAGAAAGCGCGTGTTCGTAATTAAATGTTGCAACTCTATTTTTAGAGATTTAAGTATTGTCAGTTAGATTATGGTTAGACAAGCAGCAGAAAGAAAGCGTGCGCCGTGGGGTATACGATCGACGAGACAAACAGATGGTTGAAGCGCCGATGAAGGCAGGCACTTGCAAAAATGTTGAAATTCATCAAATGTTATTCAATAAAAGAGTAAAATACGACATGTCTATAGACTATACCGCCATTTGCAGTTGAGCTTGCGGCTTGCATTTCAAAGTTCAAACGCCGTGAAACGCGTTGTTCCATTGTTTGAAACGGTGCGTTGATTGCTAAGAGCTAAAATTAACTTTTATGGGCGAGTGAAATTGCGTCATGAATTTATTTAGACGCTATATAGTTGGAATATGGTGACGAAAGATTTTCATGATTTTTTTCATCGTCCAACATTGTACGTCCTATCCGCTTTCCTGTACTTGATCATATTGCAATGTGTATTGTCAGGTAAATCAGACAATTCGACATGTGTGAGACATGCAGTCTATAAATTCAGTAATACATTTCCTAGGTATGACATTTCTATTTATAGGAAATGTATATTATCATTTAATTTTAGCCCTCAGCAACAAGGCGTTTCAAACAATGGAACAACGGGTTTGAAATGCAAGCCGCAAGCTCAACTGCAAATTGGCGGTAATATGTGCAGTGCATGGCGCATCCAAACCAAGGTAAGGCAGAATAAACTACTGAAGCTTAATCTCATTCTGCAATCGCATTGGCAGATTTTGATATAAAATATTGTTTGAAAATCCATAGCCATGCAGTATAGTTTGTTATGAAGAATTTTTTCCCCTGTGTAAATTACTTTGAACGATTTAATAAAATGGACCTCTACGACGGATCTACAATGGCATCAAGAAACAAGACACTTTGAAGCAAACCTAAAAACCTCATATATATTCCAAGCTTGTCCACTATTTCCTCTGGTTTCCAGTTTCGTTCGGTTGATAGAAGTGCATCAGTCCAGGCGTCCATTACGACCCTAAAACCCAACTGAAACAAATTTGTTGGTTACATGAAGTAAAAGAAAATTGTTATTCTAGTAATCATATACTAGAAACACATGCATGCAGCAACCCCTCGCTATATGAACTGCATCCTTACCGCGAAGCAAATACGCAATAAACAAAGTAAACACGTACCCCGAAACACTTAAGCTTAAGAATCATTTCTCTTACACCGCTTTGCCTTGAACTGTATTCATGTTTTTCATATTTATCTGGTATCCTTTATCTTGTCTCTTCATATTTTATTTTGCACAAATTTAAAACACTTATACAAAAGAGTTTACAACATTTCTGTCTTAGCCAATGAGAACCTTATTGATTACCAGTCTTTAATCGTTTATCTTTCGCGCATGCGTATTACCGATAAAACGGTCGAACGTCCACCGTTTAGAATTTAGACAACTTTGGATTCCGCTATGTTATCTCACAACACTCCGAGCGGAAATGGTGCCTTCGCGGGCGCTTGCATGGGGATAACTTGCACATAATCGGATCATGTTTAGTAATGTAGATATTCAGTATCACCAATATTATATCACCGATATGTTAAAGCATTCTTTAGTTTTTTAAAAACTAGGTCTCTCAATAACATCGCATTGCCATCTGAAATCCAACAGTTTAGTGGTATAAGACAACTCAATTCGAAGCGCAGGTGATCAAAGAAGTATTTTTATATAGGCAGACAGACAGTATGAATCAGTCCCAAAAGCGTATACTAACCTGCTTTTTTTCCCTCCAACTCGATGCGTCCGAATCCCCACCGCTTTCGTCCAAAACAATAACAAGAAACCCCTCATCATCGAGGGAAGTACGATACATTTTTTCCTCCGCCCGACGGTAAAACGTCCATGCAAAACCTTCTGGCATTTCATGGTCTTTATCGTCAGGAATCGACATTTTATGCTCCGCTGTATCGATTGTGCAATGAGAAAGATAATCCGATAGGATTGCATCTTCTTCTAGACACACCTCATCTTTGTCGGTCACATAACGGGGGCCTAAATGAAAAATATTATTCCTGTTAAACGAAGGTTTACTAAAGTGACATTCTTCGCTCAACCCGGCGAAAGCCTTTGAAACAAATTGTTAAATTGCCATGAAACTGCAATCAATATCGCTAGTGGAAATCAAAACAGCTTGAGGATTAATAAGACGAATCAACGAAAAACCTGTGTGACCCTACCATATGATAAATCGTGGAGGCTGGTGATACACATGCGTGCGTTATTAGACCGCACGTCGTTTTTTTTTTATTCAAATGTGCCTATATTAACAACCAAAATGTTAAAAACGTTATTTGAGTGCATGAAAAGGCCATGCATACGCAGTTTACATGCACCGACGATCTTAGGTGTTATTTTCTTCTTTTGACAAATGTAAAGAAATATGTATAGTTGTGTGTTTTGGAAAGGTCCTTACTGAATCTTGACTTGGATATCCATTCACCCGATCACATACACAAAAAATGAAATTGCATGTAAAATCGCAGTAAACATCTCCTGTGAACTTGCCTTATTAGCTCTAGTCTTTGGTGTTGAAGTTTTATGTCATATTTAACTCTCATCTTGGTATATAATTATATGAACAAAAAAGTTATCACATGCAGCGTTATTTTAAGCCCCGTTTACACTACAGTCAATTTATTGGCACGGCACGGCAAAAATTGGTACCCGTACCCAATTTTATTAGTGTTCAGGCAACCAAAACAAAGGCCGAGCACTGATGAAATGGGTACGGGTACCCATTTTAGCCGTGCCGTGCTAATAAATCGAGTGTAGTGTAAACGGGGCTTTAAGAAACAAACATGCAGCTATACCTCCTCTTAACTTTATTCTGCAGTCATACGGAGAAGCAGGTATCATTATTTCCCCTCGGAGAACTGATGTAGAAGGATAACATAACCAAGCTTTGATGCTTTCATTTCCTCTGAGGACAACTTGTGTTAGAATATTCTTTACTTCCATTGGTGGCTCGTCTTCTGTATCAGACGGTAAGCCTTCCCATACTTTGAATCGCACGTTCCTTCCTATGAAGAAAAATTACTTTCTATCGCTATAATTTATGTAGTTAATTAGTAATATACTTAATGGCAACGTGAATATTCAACTGTTTTCGAAGCCAATAACACATTTATGACATGTTTATCCTATAAATTGGCAACTAGCTATAAATTATATAAATCCGAGAGAAAATCAAATTTTCTTATTTGAAACTATTGACACATGCACATGCGCTTTTAAAGCTTCTATAAACATGTATAGCTAAAATTTCTTCGGCTTTGAGATTTAATATAATTATACACTTATACATATAGAATATACAGTTTTATTATATGACTTTTCAAAATCCCCCATTCTGATTGGTTGATGAGCGGTCCGTAAAAACCCATACCCTGTTATGAAATAAGGTGTGCGATCCACGAAAGAGGGCGGGTGGGTGTTAGATTTCTTGCCTTAAACATGCGAGACTTAGCTCTTTCGAAAACTCGAGACATAATGCAGCTTGTGAGGATATGGGCTACGCAAAAAAGGAAGGCCTGCACATTCATTGGTAGATATTTCGGTGTTGTTGATTTCAACCGTGGCCGTTACTGCATGCATGCACTTTTGGCTAAAATCAATTTGCTATGCATAACCATGCAATTAGATTGCAGGAAACACCGTTCAAAATGAATAATAAATTTTGTAATGGCAGAAATTGGAGATCAAATAGAAAAAAATACCTGTTGGAGTGGTGAAGCCAAAATCATAACGCCACTGTGTGTGATCCAGTTTGAAATCTAGATATTCATCCTCTTCGAACGCATCCTCGTTTATGCGTGATGGATCAACACCCTCTTCAAAAGAAACTCTCCAAAAGGCGTCCCTGTTCTTACCCTTTAACTCATCTTTGTCAGTCATTATCTTCAGGAGACGTCCATTGATAGCCTCTGCTGTCAAGGTTTCCATAGTTTCCTCTATATTGTATGCATGAAAGTTGATTTTATTGGGTAGCTGTTGTTATTTTATTGGTCGTTTATCCGCACGAATAAATAATATATAATATTTTCACACTACCAAGTTCATGAGACAAAGAAATGTTTTTGAAATACATATCAGGTTCCAAACTGTCCCAAAGCAAAATAACGCTCACAAAGAAATAACCTAAGCTAAGCTCCAACCTAAGCTTAAATTTTCACCTACTTATTGTGTTGTTCACCGCCAGGTTATTTCTAACATGCAATCGGTTAAGGGATTTATAATGTTTAACTCTAACATTAATATAGAATAACTCGGAAACTAGAAAACATTCGCGTTGGGAAAAGAAACTGGATAATAACTCGTTCAACTTGCATGAAGTGTGTGACAACATGTTTTTTTTGTAAAAGCGTTTGTATTGAAATTATATAGTGCAGATAGCTTTTATTTAAGAGAATAAACAAGAAAAAATAAACATAACAGCCTATTAGTAAATACACGTAATTAACTAACGAAAAATTGAAGAGTGTTATAGGCTTACCTTCATCAACATTAGAAACAAATACTTTTCCAAAATGGCACCAAAGGTCAATCAACAAGCCCTTTTCATCTTTACATTGCCTTATATTTTGCAATGGTGTCAATAAACGTTCCCTTATTTCTAATACTGTTCGGTCATGGTTAAAATCATTCTAAGAAAAAAACACGAAGTTCATTACGACGTTACCTTTTAATGTTCTTTTTCGATAAATATGCCCCACAGAAAGATGTTACCGCATGCTAATTCCATGCAACAATGCATACAGATCGCGAAGCGCCGCGTACTGACTGTAAACTCGGAGGTAAGGTTCCGCTTGGGCATTTACACCGAAAATGTTAGAACTATGGCCACCCTCTTCTTTGATTTTACTTTAATGACTTTGAATTGCCATTATCACTACGCGCATTGAGAAGTACAAATAACCAAGAGGGAAAAGTCGTGACAAGCCAAAATGAATATTTCCAGTATTTCAGGTTTAAGATATTAATGCCACAACTGTAGCTAAAACGGGTCGCCAACTGATAGGAAGAGCTTTGCCTGTATACCGATCTATACAATACCTCATCGTTAGTTTTGATCCTATATCTCATTCCTTTAATGAAACCATCCAATTTAGGAGGACTAACATCTGATATTAACCGAAATTCTTCTGTTTTTTCTTTGAAGTCGAAGCAAACAAATTTAGTATCGCCACCATATTCATTTCTCTTCTGCCTGTCCTTAATGATGACCTAATAAATTGAATACATAAAGTCGTTTTGGTATTTACGCGGTTAAAGTCTTATACAAAACGTAGTTTAAATAAAAGTATGCATTAATGTACCACGCATTGTTGAATAAGCGTTTCTGCTCTATCACAATTTGCTTGAGGTCCAATAATCTTAATTGGAATTGTGTCTCCTCCAGCGTCTGTTTATAAGCAAGACAAAATGTGATAAAGTAAATATATATTTGTACTGTAATAAAAATATACAATAATGAAATGGAATTTTCAAAAAAATTCCAGTGACTAACTGCAACATTGCTTGTGACTGCAAGAGCGTGCATATACATAGCCAGGCGTAGCCAATGATTTCAGCCGCACAATAATTTACTCAGTTTTGTCGAGGCACGTCATAACGTCATGATCTCAGATCATCTTGATGATGACCGAGATTCATTGATGGAACATACCCTACCTTCTGAAGTTCGACGAGAGGGCACTATGATTTTTGTTTCGGATTTTGTTGCAATATCATCTATGTTCTTATGATCTTTGCCCACAACAATAGTTATATATTTCTTCTGTACCTCGACTATTTTTTGATAATTCCTCTCTTCTTTATTTTCCTTACATTAAAAAGGAACAAACGGTTAGAGGGTTAATGCATAATAACTAATACCATGTGAAAAGAACGTTACATAATGCATGCATATGATGCTAAATGCGGACAAAGTGAGAGAAAATTTCGACTACGCAATTACTAAAATATACTACAAAATGACTGTCAAAGGTAATTATTTTCGTAATACTAATTTCTACTCACTAAACAATCTGTTATGGCCTGCCTTGCTTTTTCACAATCAGATAGCTTGCCAGTCACATGAAAGCCACTTTCATACGCCGTGGATTTCTTAATGTCTGTTTGCGTATCGTGTTTAATGTTTTTAATATTTTCTCCTCCAAATCCTATTATTCGACCCATGTGTTCCTCCGGTACAGGTACAAAAATTGTTGTTGTCTCCGACGACACCTTTCGAGCATAAAAAAGAAGTTTTAAACTTAGAGCCCGTTAGAATGAATAAAATTATCATTATTATTGAAGTTGCACTATGAGAGATTTATTTTATTTCACGGGCATGTGAAAACGATTCCACTATTCATGCAGCATTTGTCTGACTTATATAACAAGTCAATTTGGTCGCGGCCAGCAATACTATATGTTCACACCAAGGGTAAGGAGGTTGTTAGTTTTCTGCCATGTTCTTGCACATATAGAGGTTTAAATTTTGCTTTTTCTTCCAGCTAAAGAATTTTAACTAAAATACGGGGGAAAAGTCAACATTCACAATACAACACGAACTGGACAAAATGTAATGAACTCAGACCTGCTAAGGCTGAAGACCTCAAAATAATTTTACAATAGTAGTTAATTAGAATAAAGATGGGCAGTGGCGTTAATTAGAAGCATCGATAATTGGGGAAGGGGGTATTTATATATTCTCGTTCTGCATGATCAATTTCCTTTGAAATTAATTGTCTTCATAGTCCGTTAACGTGAATATATGAATACAGTCGAAAAAACCTTTACCAAAACCCACCGCCAAATTGTTATCGATGCTTCCCACTTCACGGTAGATAGGGTACGACTGAGCCTACTTACCAGATTGACATGAGATGTAAAAACCACCCTCTCTCACATTCGGCTTGTATTTTGTAATCCTCGTTTGTGTATCGTTTTGGATTTTCTTTATATTTTCTCCTCTAGGTCCAATAATACGACCCATGTGCTCATTTGGTACAGACACAGTGATTGTTATTCTCCTTGACGACATCTTGCAGAAGATAAATATTATTGTTGTAAATTTATAGGACGTTAATATAAAAGGCAGTTCTAGCTAGTAGCATTTGGAGAAGCATCACATACCGATTTTTTACAAAAATTTCATTTCAAATAGTTCATTTTACTTTTGAAATGCCATTCTCACAACTCAATGTAATTCAAACCTGGTCCTTAAAATCCTTTAGATTAAAATGAATAAAATCATTGATTTCAGTTTACGGAATATTGCGTCCGTTGGATAGAGTATATCAGACGTTTATTATATATTATCTGTATTTTTGTAAAAGCGTTTTTGCTTCAGCACAAAAAGTATAATTTTTTCAGAGATATATAAAAAAATACATCTTAACGGTATACGACGTATAAGACGGTATATGACGTTATGACGTCACACGTTGGGCATGACGATTTCACACATGGCAATCAGAGGCTGTGAATTCTTTTAAATAAATAATACAAATTATGCAGTTCCTAAACCAAAAACGAACTTTATTTATTAGCATTAGTTAATCTGCCCCATGTTAATGGAATATGTTACCTCTCTTGGATAAATAAAGGGAGGAAGTATTGACAAATTTAGAGGTACCCTTGACCGCACTTGAGTTTCTCTCTTAAATTATTGCATATACTGTAATGTAAATAATGTAATGTGGTAATGCAATGCATGCGTGTGATATGCATGTATGTGATATGTGTATTTCAATTTTTTAAATGCATGAAACAGCCCCTTGAAAAGCAGGAGTCTACATAGGTACCCTGAAGGCTCGATATTTTAAAACATTTTAAAATTAATAAAAATATATAAATACACTTTTATTTTTTTAAGATGTTTCAAATATGTTTTGCCCTGTAAACTGCTAGAAAACTTGACAGTTATTTTACATACACAGTGTAATAATTAACTTTGACTATTTGTCCTGGATCCTTTTATAAGTGATTATATGTAGGAGTGATTTGTTCACACTAGGGTATGCTACATGTTGTTTAAATTCAATTCAGCGTTGGTCAGAGTTTAATTACAAACCAAAAACTTTTAACTAATAGGAGGAAAAGGAAATAATTATGCTTTAAAACCTCCAAGCGGAGATCATCTAGGCTATACACTTCTTCATTTATGTCTAAAGAATTTTATTCTTTGCAACCATGCATGCACATGAGATTGACATGATAAATGCAAAACAAATTCCTTAAAAATGTGATAAAGTGACAGTAACTTACTAACTGGAATTAACGATGGAGAGAAATTAGCCAATGTAGGCTTCAAAACAATAAAAGTGCAATATCTCCTAAGTGATTGAGAATTGCATTTTCAGACCATATATATGCATGCCTGCACACATAGATCTTGCAACTCCTAAGGGCAAATAATTAAGGTATGCGAGTCTGGTCACTTGCAAGAAAATGGTTTGGGAGGTTCAAAGAATTAATATACAAAGTAATCATGATTTTATAACCAGTACCATGCAGTGCAATACAATATATGTTGATTTGGTATTCTGTATACACATGCAAGCTCATTGAAGACGCTTACAAATTCATATAAGCTAAAATCGTATTTGAATAAGACGTTTACAATATAAGTGGCATGCTCTCTGAATGGGTCTGATGAGGTTATCAAGCAATTAGGTTTCTTAACTTACTTAATTGCAAGAGGCGTATATTGTTACACCAAATATGTTGTGTAAGAGACTGACCATAAATGTCCCAGTTCTACACATTAAGTTGTAAGTTTTACCCCACAATGGCAAAATGAGTTGTGCGATGAACTTACGTTCTATATGTTCAAGTATTAGTACAATTATTCTCATAGTAACAATCTTACCTTATTTTATAAAATTCACGTAGATTTTTCAGTTTTGATTTTCTGTGAGCACTGCACAGTACACACTCAATAAACTCAATACACATTAATACATCATATTAATACGTGTAGTCGTATAAATGTATCGTATGTATCTTATTACGAGCAGCTTCCCGGTATGGAATTCCCCTTTCCAAGAAATGGGCTTGAACAATGACGTATTACAGTTAAGCCCAGTTTCACTATCAATGGTTTTATGATCTCACCACAAATGTCACTTTTCCGGCGACTTTGGTCATTCGTGCCACTTACGGCAAATATCTAGCATGTTTGATAATTTCTGCCTCGCGTCCCGAAATCCTTCCGTGTGTGGCTAAATGAAAGCTATCTGCTTACGGAATGTCTTAACAGCGCATGCGTAGTATACGAAAGGCGCCCGAAAAGTCGCCCGCACACGAAAGCAGCTGGCTTACGCCAATGGCCACAAATGACTTTTTGCTAAGCACATAGCTCTAGTGTACACCGGCCTTAACAGTACGGGAGAAAAATGTGGGGGGCGTTTGTATTATTATTCTATTCATAATCCAGATGATTTCTGTTATTCATTTCATCGACCCTCACTCATATCACAGGAAGATGCAGACTCGTTGGAATTTTAAATTATTTGTTGTGCCCGAATAAGCTGCCCTAAGAGCAATCAGGAAATGGTCAAATCTTAAAAGCCGTGTAGCCCCATCACCAAGTCTGTTTCGTAAGTCACAAGTCTGCAGTTATCACACACAAGCAGTCGCACTCTCAGTCAGAAACTCGAGAAGGAAAATACACTCAAATTAAATAATGCGTACTTTCTGTTGGGTCATGGCCAGAAAATTCGGACATATTTAACATTCTACTTCCGCCTAAATTTGCATATGGTGTCAAAATAAAGCTTTGTGAGTTTATAGTAAACTGTAATGTGCACAGTACTAAACGCTAAAAATACACCTTTAGGTAGGTCGATTATAATTTGCCTTAATTGCTCGTTGCAGAGCAAGTTAATCTTAATATTTTTATACAGTATTTCAAAATGTTTTATCAGTATTCGTCCTGCATTTTCAAAACAAAGTTTTGGTCATTTATCACGTTGAATACCATATAAAACGAAAACCGTAATAGCGTAGAAATAAAATAAAAATGCAGAGCCGACATAAACCTTTGCCAGCAAAATATTACCTCAGGATCTTCAATATGACACGAGTTACAAGAAACAACCAGGGCAAATAGCAAAGATGCAATGATTTTCTTAAATTTTGCAAAATTTAAGAATGCGCAATATAATTTATAGTTCTGCAAACGAATAATATTTGAACAGATATGCAAATTTGCTACGGCAATCTGCATATTCCATGTCCGCAATTTCTGGCCATGTATATTTAACAGAAAGCATTATTACAGTATTAAACTTATAAACTTACTAAGATTAACGGATTTTAATTAGGTGCAGAATTATTTCAGTTTATACCTTACGGTCCAGAATATGGTGTTGCATGCTTATTGATCGCAATTTGTGCTCTTTGTAGTATCGCTACAATCATTCTACTGATTCTAGTGCATGTGTTTGTTATATAGCTATATAGTTATAAAAAAAACTTCTTCGCCATTCATCCCAAACAATGCCAAATAAATTTTCGACTTGCGGTATCCAGGTTTTTCTTTCAGCCCTTGATAGACTAAATGAATAGAAATTAAGTTATATTAGTGTGCCGCAAGGCTTGTTTCTTGAAGAACTGCTTTAATTAACCACGTTAATAGTTATAAACAAGTTTCTCGGTATGCAGTATAGGTATATCTATATTTGATCGATATATACTAATTATATACTTTCAAGAGACAATAACCGCATTTTTAACGGAATATTGTTATTTCAAATATGTGCCTTTTAAAACATTCCATGCTTAAAATTTGCATGTTTAAATAATAAACAGCATATATCGTACGTTTTCTTGGAAATATAGATTTTCTCATGTTGGGAAGAATATTACTCACTCGCGTTATCTGCGCTCAATGAGTAATATATATTCTCCCCAGCACTCGAAATAAAATCAAGATTTCCGCCAACTACGTATTATCATGAAACCTGCTATGTTTTTTCAAGTATTAGGACATGTACCATCTGAAAATTGTGTACCTTGCGGCAGACTTGTCCAGATTTCTTCCCTCTCTTTCGATAACATTTTCCCTTGTAAACGCAGAAACCCTGCTTGACTTTACATCCACTTCTACTACACCTCTCGCATTTACGGCACGGTGTTCCACTGCATATCCCGTACTTGCAAACATCATTTCTCGTACACAAATTATTGTCATTACAAGATAAAGTATTGTTGTTAGTCCACGTTGCTTCGCACGTTTGTTGACAATCCTGCATTCAAAATGGTCATGCAATGTTAAAATAATTCACTATATATATATATATATATATATATATATATATATATATATATATATATATATATATATATATATATATAGTAATCTGTATAGTAATCCACTAAAAATATCAACACGCAGTTCTAACCTGACACTGGTTATTTGGATGTAAATCACCATAATCAAAACATTTTTGACCAATATTGCATTTTTCCTTTTTACATTTATCGCCGTCTTTTGTGTAGCAAGAATTGCATGAGCAGTTGTAGCTACCAGGGACATTCACACATTTGTGATCACATGGATTGCTTAGGCATTCATCACGGTCTAAAGGATGTAGAGGAAACTTTGCTGTTAGTAAATTGCTAGATATCGATCATATCCCAGGTGATCTCGCGCTCATATTTTAGGCAATCAGCGCTCAGAAGGGTTGTACGTCGCAATAGAAATTCATCCTGCATGCAGTATACAATCGATTAAGTTTTTGGTTGTTTTTTATGAAACTATAGTCGAACTTTTTAGATTCTGTTTAGTTATAAGAACTATAGCCCTGACATAAATTTAAAACCGAATATCAACTAAATTAAGTTGTTTCAACCGACATATTAATTTTTATTTCAGAACTAGTGCCAGTCTTTTCCACCATTTTAGATCACCTTTGAATTGAGATTAGCATGTTTATCAATATAGGAATGTGTGCGAAAATACAGAAAGAACCAGGGCGCCAGAACAACAGTGTCTTGTACTGCCCGTTGCTTACAGGAGCAGCCTTTTGTCGCCATGCGCTCGCCAATTTTGTTGACAATACGTTCTTCTGAGGATCTACAATCTGGGGCTCTTGAATTCGAATATGTACATTTTCATTCTTGTTATAATACAACTAATATTTATCTAAACAAAACTATATAGACAAGTGTATTCTGTTAATCTGTTCAAAAGAGTTAATACAATTATTTTCCAGCAAAATGCACGCTGTTTTAGCTTCTTAAATAAAGATTTAGTGAATGAGTTGTTAGTTTTCTCTCTTACATTCAATCCTACTATACTTAGTAACGTCAAAATGCCTATATGCCCTTAAAATCTTTGGGATTAGAATGGCTATTTTAATTGTTCATAAATTTAAATGATGACTACATAAAAATATTTATATACCTATCTCACAGCATGTTCCGGTCCAACCTGACGTACAAGCGCAAGAGCCAGGGATTGGGGAACCTCCGTTTTTACATGCATTTCTATTGCATGGCCTCGACGAACTTAAAGAGTACGGACATGATCCTCCACAGCATTCAGTTACTGTTTTGCTTCTTGTTCGTGTTTGGGTACCCGTACTACCGCATATATGGTTGCACGAGCTCCATGATGACCAATGCCCGACTTGACAATATCGCACGTTTCTCCTGCGTCGCCTGCGCCAAAACCAACCACTTGCCTGCTCTTGCAGGACGGATAGTATTACGATGCAAATCAAAATCTTTCTCATCGACTTCAATTCCATTCCACTTTTTAGTATAAATTCTCTGTTCTTGGTGCTTTGTCGAAAGATCTGCAGTTAAACGCACAAAAATAGGCCTACACCTCTTTTTACATTTCTGCAGCAACTGTATATGTGCTGTCATCAATTCATGCAATATTATATATAGCTATTAAGACCCGGGTTAGCGGGCAGGAATAAATATCATGTAAGTACTACAAACCGATATAGTTAATATTATCCAGTATTAACTATATTTTAGAGGTTTTTGGTTTTGAGATGAATACATTCCGTTGATTGCTAACTGAAGAGACTGGCGATCATGCAAATCACAGACCTATGTATTAAGATTACTTTGGAGGCAATTGTATATATACACACCATAAACTATATTCTGCTTTGTTTCAGTTAGCTATAAAACGTCATCGGTAATATTGTCGTAAGAGCTTTTGAAATAATTCTAATCCAATTCATGTTCTGGGACAGAAAATTCAGGTCTGTTTATATTCTCTTTTTAATAAAGTATGTTAAAAATTAAGAGGCACGAGTTTTCAACTTTAATTTGGGTTATTGTATATACTTCACATGCATGTATATAAAATTATGTATATTAGGCCACCAATATTCTGTAACCTTACAATTAATATAGCTATACTATATATAAAAACCATTTTATAATATATACGGGTATAATAAACACATAGTCTGACCTGCTTTATAAGTTATCACTACACCTCAGTTGCTCATAACCTGTCCACTCCTGTAGAAGAAGCTATAAGGAACGAAATGAAAGTGTGATTTTGGTGTCTAGCATTTAAAGACTGAAAATTAACAGGATGTTACTGTCATCCATGAAGTATTTTGCTGAAGCGCTATAAACGTTAATGAATTAATCCTTGTTTCCCAATTTCAAGCAGCTCTTACAAATACGATTTTTTTTAATCACCCAGAGGGAATAACCAGATGTTATATCAATCAACATTGATCATGAACCTGCAGTTGATACAGCTTGTAGTCCCCCGCTAACTCGAACTCGTTTAACTCGAACTCCTCGCTAACTCGAACCAAATCCAATTCCCCTTGAGTTTGACACTGTTTTTATAGTAGCTAATTTACTCCGCTTAACTCGAACTCGCTTAACTCGAACCCCTCGCTAATTCGAACAAATTTTGTTTTGCCTTGGTCGAAATATATCCGGTTAACTCGAACTTTGGTTTCGAATCATAGATCAGCAAACTTTAAAATGTGAGAAGATAGCATTTTGACCACTAGAAACTATCGAAATAACTATAATAAACGTAATCTGACACCAACTCCTGTTAACTCGAACCCCCGGTAACTCTAACAATTTTTTCTTTCCCCTTGGGAGTTCGAGTTAGCGAGGGACTACCGATATGCAATCCTCCAATTTATAAAATTTCTATTTCAGAAATCCATGGAAGCTCGCCTACTTAGATAAAGTCTGTTAAATTATCAATGCTCAGATCGCACTATACAGTATATAGGCATATTGTTTGAAGAGATAATGTTTTCCTGGTATGGTTTTATATCAACGTACTCTGCATTTTTAGTTTATTTCTACAATCGTTTGTATAATGGTATTCAACGTGATATGTCACTTATATATGACTAAAACTGATAAAAAATTTTGAAAATCTGCCTCAAAATATTTGGAGTACCTTGTTCTGCAACTAGCAAACGAGGCAAATTATAACCAACCTGCCGATATTGTTTAGTATAAACTCACGCGGCTATATACTCACACTGTACATGCAAATTTCGGTGGAAGTAGAATGTAAATTTTATCCGATTTTCTGGTCACGCATGGCCCGTGATCATGAACGAATGTGGATATATAGTTTGTGTGTTACACTGAAAATGAAAATAACATAAGTATATCCTTTACCTTTACCTATAAGACATTACCAGCAGATAATTTAATAAAATACAGTACTGAAAAACGTACTCCGAAGAATAATATCTTGTTAACTGAAGATACGAAGTACACTGAAGATGCGAAGACAAGAATTTTACAGTTGACCTACACACTTTGCCTCATCATTTGCGAACGTTTTCCTCCAATACTGAGGAACCCATACACACTGAATAAAAGAATAATCTGGTTCTGTTAGACCTATTTAGCATTTAAAAATATAAAAGCCTGCAAATTGACAGGATGTTTTTGCCACCCCTGATGCTGGAAAAGATTTTGCTGAAGCACGGCTATATATATAGCGTTAAACAATCAAACTAATCTTTGTTATCTATTATATGAAAGCCACATAAAGATAACACAATTATACCCGCCTCATGTTGAAATGTTTGTGCAAACAATGGCATTATATAGCTACTATATGTCGGAACTTACAATATACAGTGTTTTCTAAGAAAATGTCATCATAAACACGCCGACATTGCTATTTCAAGGGAAAATGTGGCCAATTTAAAAAGATTATAAGCAAACTAGAAGCTTGCAAGTAACTTCAGACCATATCCACTTCAGGTTTCGTGATTTAACTCTACAGCTATTATGACACCAAGAAATAGCCTGATAATATACAATTCATAAGCAGATTACATCGTGTTTCCATGCAATATGGCTGACAGAAGTCATTAAATTAACTGCTTATAATTGCCAAGGGCTTTCTTTGCTGCAGAGAAATATCAACGTAATATGAAAGTAAAATATTTTGCCCAATCACCTAAACATGCAGAGGGTCTATAAATTATACTTCCGTTTTACTTTTATTATGAAGGTCTATAAGTTATACTTCCGTTTTACTTTTATTACGTGCAGTCGTGTAAATGTATCGTATGTATCTTATTACAAGCAGCTTCCAGGTATGGAGTTCCCCTTTCCAAGAAATGGGCTTGAACAATGACGTATTACAGTTAAGCCCAGTTTCACTATCAATGGTTTTATGATCTCACCACAAATGTCACTTTTCCGGCGACTTTGGTCATTCGTGCTATTTACGACAAATATCTAGCAAGTTTCATAATTTCTGCCTTGCGTGCCGAAATCTTTCCGTGTGCGGCTAAATAAAAGCTATCTGCTTACGGATTGTCTTATCAGCGCATGCGTAGTATACGAAAGGCGCCGGAAAAGTCGCCCGCACAAGAGAGCAACTGGCTTACGCCAATGGCCACAAATGACTTTTTGCTAAGCACATAGCTCTAGTGAACACCGGCCTTAACAGTACGGGAGAAAAATGTGGGGGGCGTTTGTATATTGTTTTATTCATAATCCAGATTATTTCTGTTATTCATTTCATCGACCCTCATATCACAGGAAGATGCAGACTCTTTAGAATTTTTATTGTTGTTGTGCACGAATAACCTGCCCTTAGAGCAATCAGGAAATGGTCAAATCTTAAAAGCCGTGTAGCCCCATCACCAAGTCTGTTTCGTAAGTCACAAGTCTGCAGTTATCACGCACATGCAGTCGAACTCTCAGTCAGAAACTCGAGAAAGAAGATACACTCAAATTAATTAATGCGTACCTTCCGTTGGGTATATTTAACCAGAAAGCATTATTACAGTATTAAACTTATAAACTTACTAAGATTAACCGATTTTAATTAGGTGCGAAATTATTTCAGTTAATACCTTATAGTCCAGAATATGGTATTGCATGCTTATTGATTGCAATTAGTGCTTTTTGTAGTAACGCTACAAGCCTACATTCATTCTACTGATTCTAGTGCATGTATTTGTTACATAGCTATATAGTTATAAAAAAAACTTCTTCGCCATTCATCCTAAACAATGCCAGATTAATTTTTCACTTGCGGTATCCAGGTTTCTCTTTCAGCCCCTGATAGACTAAATGAATAGAAATTAAGTTATTTCAGAGTGCCGCAAGGCTTGTTTCTTGAAAAACTGCTTTAACCACGTTAAAGTTACAAAGAAGTTTCTCGGATTATTGTATGCAGTATAGGTATATCTATATTTGACCGATTTATACTAATCATATTATAGATTACTTTCAAGAGACAATAACTGCATTTTAACTGAATATTGCTATTTCAAATATGTGCCTTTTAAAACATATTTGTTTTGAGTTGATAAGAATTAACAATTGTCATTCCATGCTTATAATTTGCATGTTTAAATAATAAACAGCATAAAACATGTTTAAATAATAGATTTTCTCATGTTGGGAAGAATATTGCTCACTAGCTCGCGTTATCTGCGCTCATGCAGTGGGTATAATATTCTCCCCAGCACTCGCAATAAAATCAACTATGTATTATGCGCAACTATATCTATTATCATGAAACCTGCTATGTTTTTTCAAGTATTAGGACATGTACCATCTGAAAATTGCGTACCTTGCGGCAGACTCGTCTAGATCTCCTCCCTCTCTTTCGATAACATTTTCCCTTGTAAACGCAGAAACCCTGCTTGACTTTACATCCACTTCTACTACACCTCTCGCATTTACGGCACGGTGTTCCACTGCATATCCCGTACTTGCATACATCATTTCTTGTACACAAGTTATTGTCATTGCAAGATAAAGTATTGTTGTTTGTCCACGTTGCTTCGCACGTTTGTTGACAATCCTGCATTCAAAATGGTCATGCAATGTTAAAATAATTCAGTATATATTTGTATAATCCGGCAATATATTTATGTCATAGTAGAGCGCGTAATACCATTTTAGCTGCAAGCAGAAAATGCTTCTAATTCTAATTAACTATATAACAACTAGAGGCTATATATATACCAATATTCAACTTCCACTGAATATCATATATTGTGTTATCACGGATGCATGCATCATATAAAATTAATCTGAAAACCCTACTACTAAAATAGACTGTCCGATCAGTTTCTAATATTTATTTAATTACAATGGAGAATATATATATATATATATATATATGTATATGTATATATATATATATATATGTATATATATATATATATATATATATATATATATATATATATATGTACTACAATATACATATATATAATACAAACTCTGTATAGTAATCCACTAAGAATATCAACACGCAGTTCTAACCTGACACTGGTTATTTGGATGTACATCACCATACTGAAAACATTTTTGACCAATAATGCATTTTTCCTTTTTACATTTATCGCCGTATTTTGTGTAGCAAGAATTGCATATGCAGTTGTAGCTACCAGGGACATTCACACATTTGTGATCACATGGATTGCTTCGGCATTCATCACGGTCTAAAGGATGTATAAAGGAAACTTTGCGGTAAGTAAATTGCTAGATATCCCAGGTGATCTCGTGCTCATATTTTAGGCAATCAGCGCTCAGAAGGGTTGTACGTCGCAATAGAAATTCATCCTGCATGCAGTATACAATCGATTAAGTTTTTGGTTGTTTTTTATGAAACTATAGTCGAACTTTTTAGATTCTGTTTAGTTATAAGAACTATAGCCCTGACATAAATTTAAAACCGAATATTAACTATATATTAAGTTGTTTCAACCGACATATTAATTTTTATTTCAGAACTAGTGCCAGTCTTTTCCACCATTTTAGATCACCTTTGAATTGAAATTAGCATGTTTATCAATATAGGAATGTGTGCGAAAATACAGAAAGAACCAGGGCGCCAGAACAACAGTGTCTTGTACTGCCCGTTGCTCACAGGAGCAGCCTTTTGTCGCCATGCGCTGGCAAATTTTGTTGACAATACGTTCTTTTGAAGATCTGCAATCTGGGGCTTTTGAATTCGAATATGTATATTTTCATTCTTGTTATAATACAACTAATATTTATCTAAACAAAACTATAGACAAGTGTATTCTGTTAATCTGTTCAAAAGAGTTAATACAATTATTTTCCAGCAAAATGCACGCTGTTTTAGCTTCTTAAATAAAGATTTAGTGAATGAGTTGTTAGTTTTCTCTATTACATTCAATCCTATTATACTTAGTAACGTCAAAATGCCTATATGCCCTTAAAATCTTTGGGATTAGAATGGCTATTTTAATTGTTCATAAATTTAAATGATGACTACATAAAAATATTTATATACCTATCCCACAGCATGTTCCGGTCCAACCTGACGTACAAGCGCAAGAGCCAGGGATTGGGGAACCTCCGTTTTTACATGCATTTCTATTGCATGGCCTCGACGAACTTAAAGAGTACGGACATGATCCTCCACAGCATTCAGTTACTGTTTTGCTTCTTGTTCTTGTTTGGGTACCCGTACTACCGCATATATGGTTGCACGAGCTCCATGATGACCACTGCCCGACTTGACAATTTTGAACTGGTGGATTTCTCCTGCGTCGCCTGCGACGCCAACAATTTGCCTGATGTTGCAGGACCGATAGTATTACGATGTAAATCAAAATCTTTCTCATCCACTTCAACTCCATTCCACTTTTTAGCATAAATTCTTTGTTCTTGGTGCCTTATCGAAAGATCTGCAGTTAAACGCACAAAAATAGGCCTACATCAAAAATATGTGCCGTCATCGATTCATGCAATATTATATATAGCTATTAAGACCCGGGTTAGCAGGCAGGAATAAATATCATGTAAGTACTATACAAACCGATATAGTTAATATTATCCAGTATATTTTAGAGGTTTTGGTTTTGATGCACAGACCTAGCTATGTATTAAGATTACTTTGGAGGCAATTGTATATACACACCATAAACTATTTTCTGCTCTGTTTCAGTTAGCTATAGAACGCCATCGGTAATAATTGTCGTAAGAGCTTTTGAAATCATTCTAATCCAATTCATGTTCTGGGACAGAAAATTCAGGTCTGTTCATATTCTCTTTTTAATAAAGTATATTAAAAATTAAGAGGCACGAGTTTTCAACTTCAATTTGGGTAATTGTATATACTTGACATGCATGTATATATATTTATATATATATATATATATATATATATATATAAATATATATATATATATATATATGTATATTAGGCCACCAATATTCTATAACCTTACAATTAATACAGCTACTATATATAAAAACCATTTTATAATATATACGGGTATAATAAACACATAGTCTGACCTGCTTTATAAGTTATCACTACACCTCAGTTGCTCATAACCTGTCCACTCCTGTATACGCAGTTATAAGGAACGAAATGAAAGTGTGATTTTGGTGTCTAGCATTTAAAAGACTGAAAATTAACAGGATGTTACTGTCATCCATGAAGTATTTTGCTGAAGCGCTATAAACGATTATTAATGAATTAATCTTTGTTTCCCAATTTCAAGCAGCTCTTACAAATACGATTTATTTTAATCACCCAGAGGGAATAACCAGATGTTATATCAATCAACATTGATCATGAGCCTGCAGTTGATACAGCTTGTAGTCCCCCGCTAACTCGAACTCGCTTAACTCGAACTCCTCGCTAACTCGAACAAATTTTGTTTTGCCTTGGTCGAATATATCCGGTTAACTCGAACTTTGGTTTCTAATCATAGATCAGCAAACTTTAAAATGTGAGAAGATAGCATTTTGACCACTGGAAACTATCGAAATAACTATAATAAACGTAATCTGACACCAACTCCTGTTAACTCGAACCCCCGGTAACTCTAACAATTTTTTCTTTCCCCTTGGGAGTTCGAGTTAGCGAGGGACTAACGATATGCAATCCCCCAATTTATAAAATTTCTATTTCAGAAATCCATGGAAGCTCGCCTACTTAGATTAAGCCTGTTAAATTATCAATGCTCAGATCGCACTATATATAGGCATATTGTTTGAAGAGATAATGTTTTCCTGGTATGGTTTTATATCAACGTACTCTGCATTTTTAGTTTATTTCTACAATCGTTTGTATAATGGTATTCAACGTGATGTATCACTGATATAACTAAAACTGATAAAAATTTTTGAAAATCTGCCTCAAAATATTTGGAGTACCTTGTTCTGCAACTAGCAAACGAGGCAAATTATAACCAACCTGCCAATATAGTTTAGTATAAGCTCACGCGGCTATATACTCACACTGTACATGCAAATTTCGGCGGACTGAGTAGAATGTAAATTTTATCCGATTTTCTGGCCATGCCCGTGATCATGAACGAATGTGGATATATAGTTGCATTAAAATAACATAAAATTATATACCCTTTTAAAAAGACATTACCAGCAGATAATTTAATAAAATACAGTATACTGAAAAACGTACTCCGAAGGATAATATCTTGTTAACTGATATATGTCATATGAGGTATTGCGAAGACAAGAATTTTACAGTTGACCACTTTGCCAGCGTTTTCCTCCAATACTGGGAACGCATACACACTAAATAATCTGTTTCTGTTAGACCTATTTAGCATTTTTAAAAATATAAAAGCCTGCAAATTGACAGGATGTTTTTGCCACCCCTGATGCTGGAAAATATTTTGCTGAAGCACGGCTATATATAGCGTTGATCAATCAAACTAATCTTTGTTGTCTATTATATGAAAGCCACATAAAGATAACACAAATACCCGCCTCATGTTGAAATGTTAGTCCAAACAATGGCATTAGCTACTACTATATGTCGGATCTTACAATATACAGTGTTTTCCAAGAAAATGTCATCATAAACACGCCGGCATTGCTATTTCAAGGGAAAATGTGGCCAATTTAAAAACTATTGTAAGCAAACTAAAAGCTTGCAAGTTTCCAATGCAAATTTCGGCGGAAGTAGAATGTAAATTTTATACATTTTGGCCATGGCCCATGATCATGAAAAAATGTGGATATGATTATTTAACTCCATGCATGCTTATCTGAGAGAATGTGGGTATGGTTTTCATTCATAGTTTGTTAAATATAGTTTGTATGTTACACTGAAAATGAAAATAACATAAAATTATATATCCTTTTAAAAAAAACATCACCATGCAGCAGATCAGGGACGGCGGAGCCAAGGAGGCTGGGCACTTTGTATTTACAGTAAGACCAAAAGATGTTTACAATTCTTATTTGCTGAGCAGTGCTTAGTATTTGGAATCGTTTTTATAACATCATATGTGGGAGTAAAGATGTAGCCCTCGCACTTGAATAACGCTCCGCCGTCCCTGCAGATAATTTAATAAAATACAGTACTGAAAAACGTACTCCAAAGAATAATATCTTGTTTACTGAAGATATGAGGTATTGCGACGACAAGAATTTTACGGTTGACCTACAAATCTTTGTTGTCTATTATAAAAAGGTACACAAAGTTAACACGATTACCCACGTTGAAATGTTAGTCCAACTGACAATGGCATTAGCTACTATAAGTCGGATCTTACAATATACAGTGTTTTCCAAGAAAATGTCATCATAAACACGCCGGTATTGCTATTTCAAGGGAAAATGTGGCCAATTCAAAAAGATTATAAGCAAACTAAAAGCTTGCAAGTTTGCAATGCAAATTTCGGCGGAAGTAGAATGCAAATTTTATCCATTTTTGGCCATGGCCCGTGATCATGAAAAAATGTGGATATGATTATGTAACTCCATGCATGCTTGTCTGAGAGAATGTGGGTATGGTTTTCATTCATAGTTTGTTAAATATAGTTTGTAAGTAACACTGAAAATTAAAATAACATAAAATTAGATATCCTTTTAAAAAGACATTACCAGCAGATAATTTAAAAAAATACAGTACTGAGAAACTTACTCCGAAGAATAATATCTCGTTAACTGAAGATATGAGTATTGCGAAGACAAGAATTTTACGGTTGACCTACACACTTTGCCTCATCATTTGCGAACGTTTCCTCCAATACTGGTAACGCGCACACACTGAATAATCTGGTTCTGTTATTTAGCATTTAAAATGTAAATGCCTGCAAATTGACAGCATGTTTTTGCCACCCCTGATGAAAATATTTTGCTGAAGCACGTACGGCTATACATAGCGTTAAACAATCAAACTAATCTTTGTTATCTATTACTATAAAAGGTACTTTATTAAAGGTGACATGCACAATTACCCTCATGTTGAAATGTTTCTAGAAACAATGACATTAGCTACTATACATCAGATCTTATATATAACACTATGTATATAACAATATATACAGTGTCACTATATAATTATATAACAATATCACAGTGTTTTCCAATAAAATAATGTCCCAATAAAATGAATTACTCGTCATCATAAACACGCCAGCATTGCTAATCAAGGAAGCTTGCAAGCAACTAAAGACCATATATACTTCAGGTTTCGTGATGGAATATTACAGCTATTACGACACCAAAATATAACCTGATTAGACAATTCATAAGCAGATTACATCGTGCTTCCATGCAATATGTCTGACCGAAGTCAGTAAATTAACTGTAGCTATAATTGCCGAGGGCTTTCTTTGCTGCAGAAAAATATCAACGCTGAAAGTAAAATATTTTGCCTAATCACGTAAACATGCAGAGGGTCTATAAATTATACTTCCGTTTTACCTTTATAATGAAACTTTGCCCACACACGCGTGTGGTCCTCGCGAGATGCGAGATAAATTCAATCCCACAGTGTTCAGTGTGCATGATAAATTTGATATCACACTACTGACTTTAAAATTTAGGTCTGGGTTGACTTCATTGTTCTATGGTTTGGCGGTTTTAAACCAGATTTGCATAACTTTAGAGCAAATTCTTCAAAATAGTACCTGGTACTTGAACAATAAACACCAAATAGAGTTTATTCAGTACTTCATGCATGCATGCATGTACATGAAGTTGTGCTTCTAAAATAAGTATGTCTACCTCAATTAACTGGTCATGAAAATCACGATCACTTGGGAAATCACAACAATTTGGATGGGAAAGTTGTATCTCTTAGGTTCATGCACCAAGCCTGTAGATAGCAACAAATATTAAAATTTAATTATGTTAAATGTTATTTAAAGTAATCTTACAACTTTATTTCATTTAATTTCGGAGAGAAAATCTAGTCGTATGATTAAAACGTGCTATTGATTATACGGTGGGTAATTGAATACTTGGAAACAGCTTTTTTCGGTGATCTATAGGGGCTCTAAATATAAAGATCGGTACTGTACTGGTCCATGTCTGGCACGTGACAAATTGATTGAGCTGCGAGTTTTCCAGCAAGGTTAATTCACGTTCAAAGTCCACATTTGCTTATAAAGTATAGCTCTTGATCACTGGCGCCTTCCTATACGAGGACGTCCTATGTGTTCAGAATTCAAAGTAGATCGGTATAGTATATAGTATATGGTATATATGATAGCATCAGTTTATATGCCGGAGACAGGGCCGAGGAAGAGGCAGATTTGCGCGCTCTTAGGAGCAAATCTCAATGCAAGAAGACCAAAGGGACGAAAGGGCGGGAAAATAACACCGCACCGAAACCACCAAATTTGGGTCTTCTCGATGAGCTAGCAAAAGAGTCCTCAGATGATGAGGATTCTTCAAGCCTTAAGAGCACCCTTGAAAAATACAAACGGCCAGCTATTAAACTGTACTAGCATGTTGGGCAAAAAATTTACTCCTGAGATATGGAGTCAATTCTAAAAAGAGAAATGATATACACTTACAGAATGTACAACAAACGATCCTAAAGGCTACCTTCGCAGTTTTGCAAACTTCAAATGACATAGCCACAAACAACTCTGGGGGGGATGATAAGAAGTTTCTTGCTCAATCAATAGACACTGTAGCTTTATTGTCACATGACATAGCCAACTTTCGCAAATACGGAAAGACCAAGTAAAGCCGGCTATAAAGCGAGAATGCTCAGCTATATGCTCAGCTGAAGTATAACCTGATAGCACCTTCTTGTTTGGCAATGACCTGGCTAAGACCCTAAAAGATGCTAAAGAGGCCAGTAGCATAAGCTCTTCAGTGAGAGCTTTCCCAGAAAAACCTTGCCCCACCAACCAAAAACCTGCCTATGCTAACAATAATGCACCCTTTTGTAAACGACCACAGAGGATTTTTTGTGGAAAAATCAGAAGACTCCAAACAAAAGGAAGAAACTTTGGAGTCAAGGCGGGACAAACGATCCAAAATAATGGATGAACTTAAGAAACTTAGAAATTCGGTGAGTGATTATGAAAACTTTGTACCTGAGGTTATATTTTACCTCCAGCAGGCATGCAACAATTTCAGAGCTGGACAGGTTGCCAAATGTTATTCAGAATGGACAAAAATTACGAATGACAGGGAAACTCTTTCTGCTATAAGAGGGGTGAATATTGAATGTCTGGAATCTCCAGTACAACACAACTCAGTCACCTCAACCAAAGTTTCCCCGACATGAGTACCCTATCATAGTGGGGTAAATAAATTACTGGAGAAGGAGGTTATAACCAAGGTAACTTATCACCCCAGACAAATTGTTTCAGGTATATTCCTAAGCCCTAAGAAAGATGGGATAAGAAAGATATCGTCTCATTCTAAACGTAAAACAATTCAATAATAATGTCATGTACCACCATCTTAAAATGGACTCGGTCCAAACCATAGTAAAAGTAGTGCATTGATTCAGTCAAAAGGAAACTTTGATGCTAATATGTTCTTATCATTATATGCAAAAAAGGAATTGCACTGGTGGGTGAATAATGTAGAGTCTACTTACCACAGGTAACAATTGGATGAACCCTCGCACCAAATAACAACGGATGCCTCTCTCTCTCTGGGTGGGGGCTGAATGCCAAGGGGTGTCATCAGGTGGGCTATGGACGGCAGTATTGGCAAAAATCCTCAACGAGGGGGGTCTGGGAATGATTATGTGTATTACCAGACTGGCCGACCCGGGGCTGGTACGGCAAGGCGTTACAAATGACAAAGAAAGAACCCATTCACATCAAGGCAAGAAAGGATCCACTCAAACTACCAAGTCATCCTAAAGAGATGCATCTGATATGGAACAAACTGAACCTCCTCGTTTGCCTCTTATCAGGGAGAGCTTAGATAAATATGACTTCTCACAAAACGTACATGACGTAATCTTGGCTTCGTGGAGATCGGGCACATCTAAGCAATACCGAACCTACCTAAATAAATGGAAAATGTATTTCCAGGAGCAAGATGTTGACGTTTTTAAACCGAGATTAAAATACCCAATTGAGTTTCTTGGTTCTTTGTACGACTCTAGCAATGGTTATAGGGCCATGCATAAACACTGCTCCATCAGCTCTATCTACAATACTCGACCGCATAGACGGATATAAATTTGGAGAACACCCTTTGGTGCGTCGCTATATGAATAGGGTTTTTGAATTAAAGCCCGTGCTCCCTAAATATTTGGAAATCTGGGACGTTAACGTTGTTTTAGACTATTTAAAAACATTCGATGATATCAACAGGTTGCATGGCGCTTAAGGATCTTACACTCAAACTTACAATGTTACTCTGCCTCACTACGGCAAAGAGGGCAAACCATTCACAACATCAATGTCAATTATATACAAGAATTACCGGATAAATGCCGGATAACTCTTAACAAAAAGCTGAAACAGACCAAACCCGAAAGACATCTGAAACCACTGGAATTGCGGAAATATGATGAAGACCCACAGCTTTGTGTGGTGCGCGACATCACCAGGAGTACTTACGGCGAACAAAACAACATCGAAAGGATCATTCCCAACTACTTCTAAGCTACATTAAACCCTTCAAACCTGTTTCCAAAGATACTATCTCGGCAGGAGTGGATACTGAAAAGTACTCGGCGCATAGTAGCCGGACAGCGTTGACATCCCACTGTAAGGGGAAAGGACTTAATATAAAAGATATTATGGACGCGGCTGGATGGTCGAACTCGGATACGTTTGCTAGATTTTAAGATAAACCGATTGACACGATCGATAACTTTGGGGACATGCTCTTGGCCTAATAACAGTTTGATCATATATCGAGGTTATGTTAATTTTTTAATAAAGATAAAATTGTTTGTTTTACTGTTTTACTGACTAAGTTCGTAGTACAGAACTTTGAAATCTCATGTGACTCCGTAGTAACGTAGACTGATGACAGGATAGAATTAATATATTAAACGAAACTTACCTGTAAGTTGAAGTTTGATTGTGATTCTATCTTGTCATCATGCAGTCAGGAACGAAGGAGTCACATGCCCAACGGGTTTTTCCCGTCCCGCCGGTAACTCCTTCATTCCTGGATTTCATGTACTACACATGTTGAACACTGACCAGCACAGCGCATGCGCATCTCATGTGACTGATGACAAGATAGAATCACAATCAATATATGAATATTAAGCGTTGCGTTTTTTTATACAGCCTGTACAGGCAATTTAAGAACGACTAAAAAAATCCGTTGGATAGGGCATTCCGTTTTGTACAAGTTGCAGTACAACCGATCCCATAATGCAGCAGGGGCCGGTTATATCAGCCCGTTTTACTTAAACGGCGGATAAGTCAAAATTAAATCTTGCACTCTGACATCTCTCTTAAATTAATCAACTTAAATATTACGCACTGAATATTTGTAGTTGTAAACAGTATCTTTGTATTAAGGTTTAATAAAAACATTTATAGACTTGCTTAATTTCTATTTTGAACTTGAACTTTACCCACCGTTTAAGCTAATTATATTTATGTAAATATATAGCATTGCAGTGGCTTCAAAAACATGTTGTTCACTCATCACTGACAAAAGTTCAGACATAAACAACGGAAGCTTAAGAATAAGATGCAATTATTGCTTAAATGATTTAATTTGTCTGTACATGCGTAAGTTGCTAAAAGTGAAAGTTTAAGTAATGCATATAGTTACAGAACTCGTATGTGATCCTGACTGTCTGACACTTAAGATAAAGCACACTAGGCTACATATACATTGCATCAAATGGGGTATAACAACTGCCTAAAATAGACAAAATACTTCTCGACGTTTCGACCTGAGGACCTTTGTCAGGATAGTCTCCTACTAACTCTCCTCCTGCAAACTCTCCTGACGAAGTCTCTCAGGTCGAAACGTCGAGAAGTGTTTTGTCTATTTTAGGCAGTTGTTAAACCACATTTGATGCTAAGTTGTGTGAAGACGCTGCCACGCTGCTCCCTGGTATATTGGTACATATACATTGGTTTCTGGAATTGATTTGCATCATAATTATGCATGTCCGTCCTTGGAGTAGGCGAGGTTGGAAAAAGAAGACAAAGAACTTTTAAAGAGTATGACATTAAATAAACGTAACTATAAATAATGACCTTTTATATTCAATGTTCCTGCATATATAACTCCATATAAGTGTATATGAAATTTTTTAAAAAAAGGGGAAAAACGCCATAAATAATATACGTGTGTACATGCAATAATGTAATCTGAATGGCCTATATGAAATATGCTTAGATTGCTAATTTTGAAACCTTAGATTTTTAACGATTATCTGTTTGAGACTTCTAGACGGGACGCAAGACAAATCATGCATTTGAACGTTCCGAGTGGTTTCCGCCCAGACCAATTATCCACGCATTATGCTCGCAATAATCATCACACGCACGCATAAACAGGGCTGTTGGAAAGGTAATTACAGTCATTGAATCATTTCAAATTTTGGCAGTTGGTTTTTGGGTCCCTGTGAGTGAAGAACGACTTATCCAGAGCAGCGAAAAATCGTGAATATATTGTTTAAAGAAAGATGAAACATCTCGAGATCCTGCACTTAATATTCTCAGTGCTCTTGCTCTCTCAAGTAGCTTATGGAAAGTACATTACTGAAGGCATGTATGCTTTATTGTTTAATTGCTATAATACCTCAACTGATTTCTTTTACTAATACCAATTCGTACTAAGACCCAAGTATAAGCCTTACTTCGAAGTGCATGCATGGTAGTCTATATATGTAGTGGTTTTCTATGTGCACTTTAATTTTCGTTTGTCGTCGTTATTTCTTTTATTTTGAGCCGTTAGTTTATTACTACATGTATAGGTTTGTTGCAAGCTTTTAGAGTCATGCACCCTTTGATTATGAATCATTTCATATCATGAGGCAAGTTTGGGCAGTGGGTAGTGCATCAATCATTGGTGGAAGATGTGTGTAGCAAAGATTTTACATATATAAGATTTTATATTAAGTATATACTCATACTGGTTTACTGCCTGTGTGGCTCAACGAAATTGCGAATCTTAAAATCAATACTATAACGTAAAAACTCTTGTTAATTTTTACTCATTGCAAATTCTGTTATAATACTTCATGCTTCACATATAACCACGCCAGTTTGAACGCATATTATGTACTGAATTGTTTATTTGGAATGTGAGGCTCCATGGGCACCGAGGCTACACAATTCAAGCATATAGTAATTTAATATTAGTCTGTATATATTAAATGTATAATTTAATATTAGTCTGTATCAAATGCGTAAATTGTTAAGTTCAGGGGCGCCAGAACCACGGGGGCAGCGGGGGCAGCTGCCTCCCTGCCCTTTGCTTACGGGGTTGAACGGGGGCAGGCCTGTGCCCTTTGCTACCATATAAAAACTAACCGAAAATATTATTGAAAATGCGTTCTTCCGTGGATTTGCAAGTTCGCATGTACATGTAAACTTGAGTTTCCTCTTCGTGTGGTTGCTAAGGTAAAATGAATGTGCCCTTTTCTGAACTCTCCGTCTCTGGTTAAGTTCATCTATATTGGAATAATAGTTGTGCATGCATGATAAGGGTTCCTTAAGTATTTAAAATAACTCCCGGCATGCAATCTGTACGTAAGGTATCGCAGGTTTCATGCGCATGGTCACAAAATTGGTCGATATAAGCTCCAGCACAATATCAGAGGTTTTTTAAACAATTTTCAACCGTCATTTTTAATTACAATTTCAAACAAAGAGTGTTACTAATGCCCGTCCATCATTGAAGCCTAATTTCGTAATAATTCCATGTTAATTATTTTTAATTGTTTTAAGGTAAACCCCTAAATAATTTGTATACGCATTAAAAACGACTATATTTTTGTAGATACTAGTTTCGAATGTAGTATCATGACATTACAAATCCTGCCATCGAGAATATCATTCTCCATTAAAGGACAATAGAAATACCGGTAAACTGTTCCGGAAGAGTGCACCATTGAAGATAAGCTATTCTGAGGATAATTTTTGCGGGGTATAATTGAGCAGCAAATTTTTTCGCGTAAGCGTCGAGAAGTAGGCTACCACAAATTCCTCCACAAGATTTGTATACAATAGCTTGTTGACGGACTAATTTCGCAATGCGACTGGGATATAATCTTATCACTAATGAAGGTAGCTAAAGGTCTATAGACCTACGATACATCAATAGAAGGGTATGGCCGCTTGTAAACTCGTGATAATCGGTTCAAAATATTGCTGAACTGGTACTAAAGGATTTTCCGCTTATTAACCGCTTCTATAGCTAATTAACATTATGTATAAAAAGCATTGCATTGCCCAAGATAAAATATCGTACTGAATCATGCAGGGCTTCTACAATGAAGGGGATTAATGATTGAAAATCTCTTTAACAACACCATAGGCATGCATATAGGGTTGATATTGACTGAATTACATACGCTTCAAATGCTTTTTGTTGCTTTCCGATAATCCGATTTTCCTGATTGAAGTATAGCAGATTTGGCTTTACAGTTACCAACTATTCAAGTTCATTCCCAGCTTGTTACTATTTAACAAAAAAACGACATGCCATTACTGGGGGCGCAGCTATAGAACAACAATAATAGGGGGAGGGGTTTAAGGGGAAAACCTGGTGATACAGAGGTTGAACACGAATAGCGAGTTGCAGTTTCGGTTCCTAGCTGTTTGAGCTTCGATTCTCTCTGACTTCTCAGTCGTTGTGTATTGGCAAACACTCGTTGCCGTATCGATATAACGTCGGTAATCAGTTCAATGTTACCTGTTGGCACAACATCGAAGTGAAAGGTGGGAGATCAAAATATCTGAGACACATAAGAATAACCCAACACTATATAATCAGTTGATCTTGTGCGTAGCTATAGAAACTTGCGGGGTGTAGCGATAATGGGGGGGTGGGGGGTGTTTAGTCATATATTCAGTTCTGCCCGGCGGATTTCTATTGTAAACTATTGAATTTACAAAAGAAATCCGTAAAGCCAGAACTGCATATATCGTTTTAGCCACGCCACTGGCTGTACTGTGTCTTTTACGACTCCACCTCCATATCTCTGGGTTATATTTTTTATATTATATTTTCAATAAATATAAATTCTACACAGATTTGTTGAGCATCGAAGAAGACGATCCCTTTTCAGATGTTGGCATACCATCAACTTCACCATCAGAGAAACCAAATCGAGGTTAGTATTAATGGTTGTATGTTAAGGGTGCAGAGGGTGGTAAAAAGAAGTGGTCCCCAACGAAATGTGGCACACCTGTATCTTTTCACTGTAAATGAGGGTAGCGCCAAAAAATATTATGTATTTGCGCACATTTCTTTAGTTTGAGGAGCCAGATGATAAAAATTGTGATTATAAAGTCCAGATTAAGGGAATAAAGTGTATTTGTAGCACTTTTCATAAAAATTCAAGATGGCGGTTTTCAAGAAGATATGAATGGAAATTATGTAATGGTTTATCAAACAACTGTCTGATTCACAACAAATTCTTCGGAAATGCAACCTACAATTTGAACAATCAAAAAAACAAATTAAAGAATTTGATTCATGTATAAAATTGTGCTTTAACGACACTAAATGACACGATACAGTCCTCTGAACTTGGGATGTCTGTGTTAAATGAAAACGTGCTCAAAACCCACCTATATAATAATGATTAATAAAGAAGTACACCTACAAATGTTGTGATATATCTACAATTTATATTACCTTTTAAACCGCCCATACTCATTTGGATGCAAATACTGTGCCCTTGAGCTGACTGTGTTCGGATAACATTCATTTCATTACGCATTGTTTTTGATTATATTATAACAAATGAAATTAAATCTTCAAAAACTAGTTAGAGTTTTCTAGGCCAGTTTGTATTGCATTATATGAATTATCTTTTTGCGCATTATTGCATAATGTAAATAAAATATTGGGTGCAAAGTATATAGCAAAATTATTTTTTCACTGAATTTCTGCTAAAAAGCCCCTAGCCTATCTTGGGTTTTAGTCTAGAAAACAGTTCGTGTAGTTTTTCTCATATTTTATTGCTCTAAATCACAAATGTGACTCACAAAGATACAGAACTGATTGAATATAAACAAACGGACATGATTTGTTAGTGCCTTCTTCTCAAATAATTCAAACAACTGAAGCTGGAAATTTTTATGCGGGGGGGGGGTTCTGTTTTTGACCACCCCCTGTAGGTAGTCAGCATTTTCATGTAACTTTAATGTTCCTTTAGGATACGTTTTTAGGCGGCAAACATATTTCAAACATATCCATACATATGCATAAATCTCTCGTTTTTTAGAAGAATGCCACAAGGACATTCTTATCGTTCTTGATACTTCTTTCTCTATTGGGGAAGCCAACTTTAACCAAGAAGTGAAACCTTTTCTCAGAGATTTTGTCTCGGATAAAACCTTGAATGTTGGACCGGACGGAGCTGAGGTAGCGACAACAGTCCATATTCCACAAATACTTGAATCATGGTCGAACGTCAGAGTGTGTTATAGTGTATAAAATTATACTTAAAGGATCTGCTAGATCTATGAAATAACTCAATCTTAGACAGTGGCAACATTTTAGATTTAGCCTCGTTCTTATATATTTTATATAGTTGACCATCAATTTGCATTATTAACGTTATGCATTTATGCATATGCTTTATGCATTTTGCATTATTAACACGATGACGTCAGACGTGAGGTCACGAAAGTTCCTATCATCGCAACAGGCAGTGATTACAATAGACATAGAAAGTCTTTATTGGCGCAATTTTGAAGTCATCAAAAAATAATTTAAACATTTTTATCAATATACGCGCTATCAATAACCTTCAGGTACACATTCTTACATTGAAATATTCTTTTTGTCATACTTATGTTGCCAAATTTTTAGTAACCCATTTGTTGTGCCTTGTTTTGGTTTTAGTCAACACTAAACGTGACCGTAAAAAAATTATACAATTGTAAAACTTTCAGATTGCTTTGTTGCTGTTCAGTAAATGGGCTGATCCAAAGAGTCGCAACTACAGGAAGAAAGATGACAGAACTAAGCTAGTAATACCCTTTAGCGAGAAAATAACTGCAGAGTCGTTTGAACGGTACATTAATAATACAAATTGGGTTGATGTTGAAGGTGGTCATACAAGAACGGACAAGGCACTACAGATTGCTAACGATGAAGTAGGTCTTAATTTTGAGAACCTTATCCCGGACACTCTTAGACAGAACTCGTATGTAGTTTGAATGAAAAAGGGGGAAATATTTTCGTCAATGGGACATTTCGGATTGTATTGACTCACACTCTTTACAGAGAGTTTGCAAAACATCGGCAGATTCTTCGTTCTTTTCGTTATATGATTCCGCTCCATTTCTTTTCGATAATATAATTCCGGTGTATGGGAGTTTCCATTACTCTCATAAATCTGCTGTCTTTGAAGGTCGTTGGCTTTAATTGAGTCCCAGAACAAACTTTTGAATTAAACGGACAGACTTTGCCTTTTTCAACGTCCCAAAAACCAACTTACAGCCAGACTGTTTTTTATAGTTTTTCGTAAATACTATTTAGGTATATCCTAAAAATAGCCCAGAAAACAATAGAAAGGATGCAGACGACGTCATCGTACTCATCACGGACGGCAGTCCCAGAGGAACAAAGACCGTGTTAGAAGACACGCTTGCATACGCAGACGAGCTAAAGAAAAAGGGTGTGCTTATCATAGGGGTTGGAGTTGGACAAAATATCGATGAAAACAAATTTTGGAACATTTTGAAGGAAATCGCATCGCCTGGTCAAGCAACTAGAGTGAAGTTTAATCAATTTCAAAGCATAAAAAATTCCTTGGTGAAGAGATCGTGTGAATTGCGTAAGTAAATTAAAAATGACCATTAGAATTCTGCATGGGTATATCGCCTGATTGTACCGACGGAACTCTAACTGAATAAGACTTCTAACTGATTGCGATTTTTGTTCCTCAATAGCTTTCTCCCCAGGCACACAATGCGAGTGCCCAGCAATTTCAATCAAACCGCACTATCTCGAGCCTGGTAAGACATCTACCTCTCTTTCTTGGAAAAGACCCGATCCTGAGTGCAACGCCGAACCAGCTAAATTCCGTGATTTTACATGGTATCCACATCTCAAATCCCCTGCTGAATTCGGGGTTGGCAAACACACAATCCACTACAAATTTTACTTTTCCGAAGGCCACGAAATGAACTGCACCGTGGTATTTGATGTCAGAGGTTCGTGTAGATTGGTTCTTTGATTTAAAGGCATCCCTAATCAACAAAAAACACAAAGTGAACAAACCGACCTGACACGTGAAATAGAGTCCTCGGTTTCATACATTTGAACCGATTTTACCTGTAGAGTTAGGTCAAAACTGATGTAGATTTTTTTGTAAATTTCGGTTATCTTAGCATGAATGTAGTATATAATGTAGTCTGGATAGACCACCGATGATAAATCAATCGTGTCTATGTTGGTTATAATCTGCAAGGTGTACATGAATAACTGTCTGGTCCGGACTAACTAATGACGTCACAACTAACTAATAACGTCACAACCTTTTGTGGGGGCCTCGTATTTCGTGCAGCGTCTAATTTTAAAAACGTTTTAATATCGTTCGAAGAATTATGGAAAGTTTTATCTCTCCAGTTAGATAAACAAAAACTGTGTTTTGCTTTGTGTAAGCTGATTTGGATACCTTGAAATTCGGTCTGTGAAGAACTCATAATCGTTATAAATACTCTGACATAAACATTATTTCAACTCGATGGAAAAAATGGGTGGTCCGCCAGTTTTCAATTACAAGTATTTATTTTCTTTAGAATGCAAATGTCCACAAGAAAAGCAGGATGAAGTTAAGGTGAAACCTGGTGATACAGATGTTGAACACGAATGGCGAGCCCCAGTTCCTAATTGTTTGGGCTTCGATTCTCCTCTGACTTCTCAGTCGTTGTGTATTGGCAAACACTCGTTGCGTTATCGATATAACGTCGGTAATCAGTTCAATGTTACCTGTCGGCACAACATCGAAGTGAAAGGTGGGAGTTCAAAATATCTGAGACACATATAAAAATAAGCCAACACTATATAATCAGTTGACCTTGTGACTTGTGTGTAGATATAGAAATGAAGGGCAGTGTCAGGCAGGGGCGTCACTAGAACAATAATTGGCGCTGTGGGGGGAAGTAAATATTCATGTACGCAGTTTTGCCCGACGGATTTCTATTGTAAGTTATTAGCAGAACTGGATATTAACATTATCGTTAAATGCGCCACTCAGAGTCAGGCTGCTACTGCGCTTTTAACGGCTATTCGCAAAATCGAAAGGTTGTTTTTAAAAAGGCAATTTATATTGAACACATGCAAGCAGTCCATTAAATCGATGATTTGAATATTTGTCTGTTTAAAAATTCGGTGAGTTATGACCAGGTATCTTGAACAACGAAAGTGACTTATTGCGTGAGGTTATTTAAAGAAATGCCTTCGTAATATGTTAGGTTTGATTTTCGAAGAGGCGTCCTGACCATGCTCTTTTTATCACCCTTCCCCCTCTTCTAAGTCATTGATTTCGTGCTGGCTAAACACATACGCCTATATTTTGAAAGCTCGATCACACTCGGACGTTTAGTGTGGCGTATAAATTTTTTGAAAAAATTGAAAATCCAGCTCGTATTCTAGTGCTTAATTTTGCGTACGCTGCATGTCTAATCTAAAACTCTTTCAAGTTTCAAGACAAGGTTGTTTTACTGCGTGACCAAACAGTTATAATCTATATGTACATTATCCCCAAGAAAAGGTACATGGCGTATATACATGGATTGCCCTAGAATAATAATCTTTTTCTTCATTTTTCTACAGGGGCACTTTGCAAAGGTCAAGGATACGACAAGAGTTCTCAAGAGTGCTGCTGTGGCGTAATTCGTGACAAGAAGCCTGGCTACGAATGCTGTGGGCAAAATCAATACAACATCGCCACACATCGATGTTGTGATGGAGATAATATCCGCAAAAGCGATGAAGATTGCCCGACATCTTAATAAACTGTAGAGTTTGTGAAGTTCTGTCAGTAGTTTTAATTTTTAGTTCATCATATTTTAGATAGTGCGTTTTGAACGGTAAAATAAGATTAAATGCTGATCTAAATTGACAGCCAAAAAATTCATTTTTCTCGGCAGTATATCTGTATATCGGTGATCTATAGCATACCGGTCCCATATAATTTAATAAATTTATGGATTTTTACCTTATGGGAATATCTCCAGGAGATAATAGAGTCCTCGAAAATTCCAAGCGATTATGTCAGACGAAAAGTGGAATAATTTCTTGCATTACTGCTTTCATTGAATTGGATACTATGAGGGCGACTTTTAAAGAAAGCGTGCAGCACTAGGACGGCCTATCATTGCAAAGCCAGTGGCCAGAACTGGATAAAACTTTATAAACTATATTCTATAGTTCGATATCGGATTTACCCAAATTGCGTTTAAAAAAACAATATGACCAAGATAAACTTACGAGCTCTCGTGTTTCTTCCAAAGCCAAGTCACAACTGAAGTTCATTTTCAACACGAGTCCGCCATAAAAAGGGCTCAATCGCTTTTTTTTAATAGCCGATTCTACAGGATTCAACTGGTGAACTTTCAGAAATAACAAACGTGCTACTTTCCAACACGTCAGCACCAGAAACAAATCGCCCATTATTTGGTTTCGAGATTGGCTCTGAAGCAATTCCCAATTCCGCGTATTCGTATCGTTCTCGCGGATATGCGTGCACGCGCGAAAACGCAAAGATAAAACGGAAAACAAACGCAAACGTGTAAACGTTTTAATTCGAAACGAACGCGTGTAGACAGAAAGGGCCTGCGGAGGAGGTAGTGTAGACAGGGTCTTAGTTCGCCGAACTGCTTAAAAAATCAACTGCCATCGGTTTGGTTAAATTAAGATAAAGTGCTTGCTTTCCGACTGAGCCAGAAGAAATCGGTAGGGTATGTATAACACATGCATGATTACGCAGTATGACATAATATAACATTATTGCTTTCTTTCCTCCGTATAATGTGGTTTTATTTTATTTTTGAGTTGAGTTCATTTTATCATTATTATTCTTCACATTCAGGTGTTCAGTTGTGTCCTTATTCCAAGTGACTGTAAAGCGATATCACTGACCGAATGAAGTTATCGCTAGACTCGGAAGTTATCGCAAATAAAATAGCGAATCTAATGTGAATTTGATACGAAGACGGAAAAGCTATACATGTTTAGCATATAATATATATGCCAAGTCACGAGTTCGCCGCGAGTAATATAGATGTAAACAAAAGTCACAAGAATTTACACAAGTAATTCGATACATTCCAGCACAGCGTGTCACGGGTGTACACAAATTCACAGAAATGAGAGCTAAGAAATTTTTGCTAAATATGTATGGTAAGTAAAATGTCTGATAAATGGTTTTAATGTCAGGTTCTAGCACGTCCACAATTATTATTATTATTATTATTATTTAAAAGTATTTAGACACGGTAGCCTTTCACTCACGTGATTTTCAAAGGGCCGTGTGTTTAAAAGAATCTAGTGATAATTAATACAATACATTACAAACAAACGATTACAACAGATTAATATAACTATTAAGTGAATTAAGGAAACTATATAAGGACTGGAGCTCAGTCGCTTGAAGGATGTAGGAAGGTAAGCTATTCCATGCAATCGCCCCGGGGTAGGAGAAGCTTCTTCTCAGTTTTTTCCCTTTTTTTCACCAAATTTTATCTTTGAACTTTCTAGAATTTTTCGGAGGTTATTTGGTGATCCAATAAGCATGTACTCGGTTTTCTTCAGTAAGGTTTAATGTTAATTTGTTACTTATTAGCCATTTGTGGATATTTTTAAGTCACAGTTTAGTTTGAATTCAATGTCTACCGACGATTTCCCCTCACAAGAAAGGTTGGTGTCGTCCGCAAACATTGAGGCCTTAGCAGTTTGAAGACATTTTGGAAGGTCGTTAATGTTGAATAATAAAGGTCCTAATATAGAACCCTGAGGAACGCCACTAAGTATTTCAGATATGTCCGATTCGGCATTATTGATTTTACAAATTTGTTTCCTTTTGTGTAAATAAGATTTGAACCAATTAAGAGAAGTATCTCTTACCCCATAGGGTTCAAGTTTAGCTAGGAGTAGAGAATGGTCAACTGTATCAAATGCCTTTTTGAGGTCTAGAAATACAACTCCGTTGATCAGCCCTTTGTCCATATTGTCTAAGAAATTAGTTACTGAATTTAGGAGACTAGTCTCTGTCGAATGATTTGGACGAAAGCCGGATTGATTCTAAACAATAACTTCATTTTGAATAACTTCTTTAACACGAAGTTGTTGACAAAACTGTTGACCAGAAGAACTTTTAAAAACTGTTTTTCCTATAAAGTTTACAAATACTGTATTGTATGATGGTTCCACGCAAAGGTCAAATTTATACCGTGAATATTTATTCACAGAACACAGCATTAACTGATTTGATCCAATTGCAATCTAATTAACCTAATTAGTACGCTACTTGCTCTTAACTCTACACTCTACCTCTTTTATATAAAATATATCAGAAATTTGTCTTACCTATTTGACCTAACTATTTGAATTATCATTCATGTTTGCTTTTACAATTTATAGTGTGTCTGCTATTATCAATGCTCCGCTCCCTTGTCACCAATGCCCAAACCTGCGGGGCTGGGGAAACGTTCAACGAACAACATGGAAGCTTCGCCTATAGCGATGAGTAAGTGTTTGAGATCACGTTAAACACTATGTGCACTTATTGATAAATAACTAACTTTGTTATATAGGGAAAATCAGGGAACTCTGATGTTAATGGCTTCAGATGTTCGGCTTTTCGAATTCTCGACTTCTCGTTATCTTTGCTGGTGACTGAAACTTGCAGTCTGCCATCATATATACTAGACTATTTGTGACTTAATTCTCTATGTGGAGGCATCATTCATTCCAATGTTTTACAGCTCCATTCATGATGGTGGGTTTGATCGTGCACTTTCATGGAAGATAACGGCACCACCTCGACAACAGCTCTCTATAGTGATCGATAATTTCATAACACCAACTTGTACAAATGCTACCACATGCACGTGCGCCTTCCTCGCTATCAGAGATGGAGAGTGCAACAACTCCCGCCTTCTAGGAAGATACTGTGGTGCACAAATTGACTCGCCCAGATTCTCATCAAGTGGAAGACATCTTAGACTTGAGTTTGTTTCGAAAGGCAGAAAAATCACGAAAATCAAGGGACATTTCACCGTGAGTTACTCCAGGGGTGAGTTTCCGAAAATTTCTGTATTCGGATGAAAAAGACGCGCCCGTATACGGTTGCATTCCAAGTTACAGGAACCTAAGAACGTGGCATAGGTGAGGACGTTTACGAAAATAACTACAAGTCAAGGGATGTGTAGCTGCGCGTTTGTTTTTTTCCAATAGTAATCGTTGTATGCTTTTAAGACTATACAATATAGCCTTGTTTCATGCAGAACCATGTTTCATAAAATAATGATGTTTCTTTTTACGCAGTGACGACATGCTATACCTGGCGATCACAAACACACAAATGCCCAAATGCGAATACCAAATTGTCACATAACGAATGCTGTATTATGAACGGAAGGACATCGTGTTGTTTCCTCGGACGACGCAATTGCACTGATAAAGGAATGTACCGCAACAGATCATATTGCCCGCGGCCACACGATGACGCATCCAAGACGGTGTGTTGTATCGTTGACAACCAACCATCGTGTTGTGAAAGTGGTGGTAACCATTGCAATGACAAATGGATGTATAATCGCTCTTACTGTCCTAGCACGGATGAGGAGAAGATGCAAGGCTCAGTGATATGCTGCTCTAAGGAAGACCGACCGTCATGCTGTTCAAAACCCGCACCCCAAATTCACGAGTAAGTATACAAGTAAATCGCACAACAGCTCTTGAATGCGCAAACAGTCATAGGTGGAAGCGGTTAGGGTGTAGCATCCAAGCCAAAATATAAGGTTCTCTAGCAATGCATCGTCTTTAAAATCATGAGTTATATGAATCATCGTGAATATTGCTGTAGTTGTTGATATCGATCATAAACGAATGAACTGTTGTGTTGAACAATGAGTTGTTGAACAATGATTAATGAGTTGTTCATGAACTAGAACAACTGGAAGATAATTTCGACCTTACCAACGATTGTAGCTAGCTGAAGCACAGTGAAATTGTTACAGGTAAACTTATGGTAGTGCTTCGTGCATTTAATAAATTGAATGTAGTGTAAACAAGACTCGAACATAATTTTAAAGTTTCTTTCAACAGGGCATGCCGTCCCTTCGGAAAAGACTGGGCAGAGGGCACCTGGTAAGCAGCTAATAACTGTCATCTGTACATTTTTAAGAGGCGGGTTTTTAGAGTAACAGGAAGCAACGTTTAGGCATTTAGCAAAATCTGTAGAGGCCTAAAATAATGTATGTATTTCTATATTTTGTTAATCGTAGCATACAGCGGAATGCATAAGACATTGCGTGTTAGAAATCAGGGGGGGTCAGACTGGCAAATTTTATAACCATGCAGATTCGGTCGAATGCACATAGACAGCCTCACCTAATTTAAACCATTATCAAATTGACACCATGGGGCGGGGGGGGGCAGCGCTAACTAGATTTGAGCAGTTTGGGTTGAAAAAATTGCTTATATAATCACACAGGGTCCACGGTTGAAACCCTATTTAGTTTTGACGTTACCTATAGGAGCTGTCGCATAGATCGCACGAGATCTCGATCCCGAGAACTCCCCCCCCCTGAATCCTTCAAATGTAGCCTCTTATTTGGATTTTCAGCTTCCCCCCGAATTGTAATTTGCTTCCCACACGACACTGTTTAAAAGATTTCGGGCGGTAATACATGCTGGGGGATCTTTTTTTGTTATGTTAAATCACTCAACATGGTATTATGGTTCTTTTTAAGCATTTTCATTTGGATCCTCGTGGCGGGCTTGATAATCTTGGCGATAGTCGTAGCCGTACTAGTGTGGCTGAAGTGGACTTGCTATCATTGCCTTGCCTACGCAATTGTTCAGTGTTGGCCTATGCTATATGAAAGAATACGAACGTTCTTTAGATATCTATCGTTCGCAGTAAGCCTCGTTGTCACAACTCTGTGTTTCACACTTGTCTGTTGTCCTTGTTTCGCTTGTTTTAGAGAATGGCCCTGGAAAGCTGCCTACCGAATCGTCTCCAGAAAATTTGGGATTGGCGCAGAATATATGAATGTACAATGAGGATGTCAGTACAACGTTTGACATGAAAATTATATATAAGCATATGCCTGATCGAGTCATGATGGTGGTGAATTCTAAATTAATATTATTCTTTTAATTTTGCATGGTGACATCAAGTACTTACGTGGTGTACCTATACAAGCTAATTTACTTAAATAGAAACTCATGGAACATTCGCTGCTTGTTAATTTTTTCAAACATTGCATGGCCTCATTGTTTTCTGTGTTTGTGGGAAATGAACGTAAACAAAAAGTCGCCACTTTTCCTGGTTATCCCTTGCGTGAAAAATAAGTGAATAGCGGCAAATGGCAAGCGTTTTTTCTAGGCGAAAATGAATAAACATCATGTTCAATTTCGAAACATGCTCGCAACGTGAAAAACACGCATATAGTACTTTTGCAAAGTCACTGTTGAACAGATGAACTGATGCGAATTGGCTTTGACTGGTTCTATATACCGAGCCTATAAGTTCATTAAATAAATTGTCTTCCTTCTAGCGTTTTAATTTTTCATTCTGGTTTTTGTAGTTCAGTCTATTTTCATGTTTGATACGGCAAAAATGTAAAACATCTTCATGCATCTTGAAAACATCTTAAACGAAAACTTTGGGAATGCAGTCAAACCACTATTAAATCCTGCTGCAGAAGTGGGTTTTTGACTTAGATGATGGCCACGTGTGGCATTTAATTTTGCACTGATAGATGCTCTATAATGACTATACGTTTGCCGCAGACGAGAGCTTTTGGCTAAGCTATATAATCCCCAATGAAGGGAGAAACTCTAAATATCCATCAATTTATTCAACCTCATTATAAAGACACGTATTTTACTGGCTTCTGAATTTATTCATTGCTGAGCGAATACCTCACAATATATTCCGCTCGCGTTAAATTTTTTCTATGCGTGGACAAGATTAAACACGATCACACGCGTCTTATCAGCCGCGGCAAAACCCACCGCAGACGAGAGCTAACTGCCACGCGTATAATTATTAGCCCAGAAAGTGCTTATTTGGGCTTTAAGCGACCACTCTCTATTAAACGATATGAAAGTCCCAAAACATTTGTATCAAGGGGCCGCGACCAGCCAACCGGCGGGCAGTCCCAAACGATGCTTTATATAAATTTTAACCTCTGTTAAGCTGCAACCCGTAGGATTTACTGGGCGCAGCACCAGTCAGAAGAGCCGCAAAATGCCGTGCTAATGTAGGCCTATTTCGAGCCCAATAGACTATTATTCGCGGTTTAAATTAAACAACAAATTATGTTATAGGTATAAACAAAGCGTTTCTCGCGTTAAAATTATCACGCAAATTGGGCTACTATGGCTATGGTATACAACCATGCTACGACATGATTGTCTCGCATACAAACGTTTACGTAAAGGTATTTCACTACTGAGGTGCACTGCACATGCAATGAAAGAAATTCAGCAGTGTTTGAATCTTGGCAATGTGTAAAAAGTGTGGGGACATTATATCTTCTAATAGAATAGACGAAGCGAGCTGAGCTTTCCAAAACAAGCTACGAATAAGATGGAGATAATCCTACCGTGGCGGACATTATTTATATACAAACACCTCGTGGTCTAATTTAGTCGATGATTTACAGCAACTTTTGTGACCTGAAACTAAAGATAAAAAACATGAGTTACACAGTAAAACAAGGGTATTTCTCTACAAAACTAGCTTGAATGTCATACCAAGTGATAAATCCACAGTAATTCAAATACATGAGTTGATTAAAATCAGCAATAATAAACCGAGAAACACCGCCATCAGAATTGTACGAACGAATATCCTTCCGAAACTCTGCACTACAAAGCTGCTCTTCCATATGGCAGTGAACATGAAAGGTTCATTCAAACGAATTTATTTTAAAAAAGTTAATTTGGCGTAGTTCTCGGTTTGTACTTTACTTCCCAATTTATACTGTTCACATGGGTTATTCCAAATTTAACGAAGCGTGAAATGACTTTTGAAGTATTGAAATGAGTAAATAAGTAAATAACATCACCCTGGCAGTCATCCTACACCTTACACCTAACCTTCTCTCCCTCCCTCCCTACTCGGCCCCTTTCAGAACAAAAGTTTATCTTTTCAATATCTTTCTATACATAAAAAATAGGTACGCAACGCGTACATGTGGGCTGCCTCTAAAGATATGGCAGCAATAAAGCTAAGCATTGGCAAAAAAATGTGCAAGTTGTGTTTACTGTAATACAAATGTATCATATTATTACAATTACTCATTTTATAATTCATTTTGCTAAACGCAAATGGCAATACATCATTTGCTTCACTTTAACTTCTCTATTCCTCCACTGATATAAAACACATTAACCCAATGTTAATGGTCAACGCGCATGCACAGCGGCCACGCAAAATGAGTGAGGTTCCCATGAATCTTCCTAATTTAACTTTTTTGCTAGTTTTTTGCCACTGACACACCGGTACCTGTCTCGTCAAATACAGCTTCTTTCCAGCCCTTTTCGAAGGGAAGGTAAACGTTTTTTTCGTCATGACCAATCTGTTTCCCGCGTGTACAGTTTCAGCTCATATTCCGTCATCGTTTGTCTATCGCCTGTCATACACACGAAGATTTATACCATTGAAAACTTACAACAGCGACACCGAATAGTACTTTTAGCTCCGGTTTACATTGTCAAAGTCCCTGTGTTCACGATGAATTAACTCAATGTTGACCACTGTATCAAGTTACCGTGAAAATTTCTACCAAATACCTTGAATCTTAGGATTTACCGTTTGAAAATGCCAACGGCAACTGTGATCACATAAAAATTGACAATGTAAACCGGTCCTTACAGTGTCGAAAATAGCCGTGCTCTAACTAAAGCATCCCAGCAGCAAAAACTAAAAAGCCCTAATTATAAACATACTTTAAGGAGTATTACGATCTATTGAGGAATTGTGTTCTACATATATGACCAATATCTACTAAAAAACCCCGCAAACTACGAGCCGAAACTACTTATATTTTGTTTTCACATCCAGGCCTCACTATGGAAAGTGGAACCCCTTAGGAACATAATCTGTCATTCAAGTATTCTACATCGCCAACCGTTTTGTTAACAAGTATTTTATTCATGGTATAATTTAGATAATTTTATCGTTTCTATAACGCTAAGGTAAAGAAGAACACAGATTGTAATACACATGCGCTGAGTAATGTAAAATGCGAGGGTAATTATATGGCATCATAACAAGGACACGGTAATACACAAAGTACATATTTATGATCAAACAATGACTACATTATAATAACAAAATAACTATAACCCATTCAAACGGAATGGCAAAAACAATTGGTTATAACTTCATTTATTTTCTATCCTAAACATTTTAGGGTTTTCGCTCCGTTGGAAAAAGTGAACTTTACAATATTGTTTTCATACGTTTGTCCAATTTATCTAATTCCCGTCCTAATTTCGCGGAACTCTCGGCCCGAGATTAGTTAGTGATGAAAACATATCGGGCCAGCTTCGATACGATATTCCCCTGATTCCGTGCTGATAGGGTTAACAGCCATGATAGGCAGACGTTGCTTTCGTTTGGTTGTGATTACTAGTTTAGTCTGGTGCCATGCTCCGTCTAAATTCTGAAAGAGGTAATAATAATAAAAACTTTGAGAGTTTGCCTGATGGTATGACCAAATATATTTCAGCATTTTGCTCACTGGCATACATATTCTATATCGTATAATAGCAAAGCTGGAAAATTTTTGTTAAAAAATCAAAATTTACTTTCAAAATCCGGTTCGATAGGACTTAGGACTAATGGAAATTGGGTAAGTTTATGAGTATGTACGTGCAATCTTGGCCTGATCAGAAACTCACATTGCATCCGTTTGATAGTATTCTTGGTTTGTAGAACATCGGGCTAGCCATATTAATCGGCATCTCGTCATTTCCAACCAGTTCAAGGGATTGTTTCGTTTCCTCATTCCACGCGGGCGAATCCTTGCAATGATAAGTGATGCTCTGTTCTACGCGTCTGCTTAACAACCTCAGCTTCTGTAGTTGTGGGTAATTGAATCTGAAGGTGAACTGAAAGAGAGAGAAAACTTTTCATGAAAAATTCATACCTTTCTTTCGGCTGAACCCACTTCGATGAAGCATGGCTAAATCTTTTAATCAGGCACGATTAGACGAACCGCAGAAATGGTGCCAAGGTAATAAACATGCTGACAACATAATACGGTGATCGCCGTATATTTAACAGTTATTCTGCGAACTCGAGTCGTATATGAGCTGATATTGTTTTATTATATACACAAACTTTGTCGCCCTTTCGGTGCATTTTGGTGTGCTATTATCAACTAGGCTTGGATTTCTATTTCACTCAACTCCCCAAATCTTTCGGCCATTTTGTTTACTTTCTTTACTAGACAGATATGAGCTAATATCTGTCTAGTAGCCAACCAATGAAATTGCAGCATACCTCATATCTGGCGTTTGTGTATATAATAAATTGTAATATAACCCGGGGTACCTCTCTATACATGCTGAAATTGTGCCTATTTTTCAAAGATACTTCTCGATATTTGAGAGGGACGAGTAGTTCATTCATAATATCGAAAATATGTACCGGTTTGTCGGCAACTGAGGAGACGCAAGTTTGCTTCTTCAAGAAATCACATCTGGCTACGAAAGAGTTCTTATGACAGCCCATATCAGGATCGATCCAGTAGTCACCTAGGAGATGGAACAAAGATTTCAGATTGTTGGAATGTCACGAATCAGCGGTCACTAACCCAGCACAAATCTCACTGCCCACAGCATTCATTGTAAAAAATTGCCGTACATTTCGAAGAAGATCAAAACATTTAAAAGATTACCCGCCATAATGGATTTTTATTGCGAATAATTCTCTTTTCATGCAAAAAGTCAAATAGTTTTAGGTTGCAGCGCCCTTGCAGTCTACGATACAATTTTAAAGCAAGCCTCACCGCTTTCTAATTCAGGATGATCCAAGATTAGGTCGGCGCACGAACGGGCAGGGTTTTGCCTGGTGCCATCTGCTTTCCATTTCATGACATAACGATCGTGGACGAAATCTATAAGCGTGTTCTGCACCTCATCTTCATCTTTCTTTTCCTAATAATCGAAACAACATAAAACGTTGATTACTGCGTTCAGACCACGAACACGGACAGCGAAGAGCCTTGTTTGTATAAAGAGAAAGGGATTACAAAGCAGAAAAAAATGTTGATTTTGGTGCCTTCTTGCAATAACACCGAAAGTTGAGAAATCATGAAAGAAATAGAGATATATGTTCTATTTTTGAAAAGTACGGTTGGTACTTTGACGGGATGTTTTTAATCAGGATAATTACTTGGAAAAAGCTATCTTAAAACTGTTTTCCATTTATTCAATATTCCCACGATCCTCGAAGAATATTACATGTAGTGGCAGTAGCATACCTCGGAGGAGTAGTATCGGGGTCCCTTTCTCGAGTCGCTGAAGATCTGAAGAAAAAAAAGAAAGGATATTTTGGACGCAAGTTCGTGCCTATGGCAAAGCATCTTTGAGGTTAATTTTTTCGTTACGCTTATGCATATCAATCAAAATAAAGCGAACAAAAGAATTTTTGCAAAGTCTTGTTCAATTAAAATAAAGCAAGAAAAAAATTCTGGATAAATTCGCAGCTAGCCTCTGCAGGCTTACTTTGTTTTAGGAATGCCAGGAGATTATTCTTAGTGTATTCAGGGAGCAACGAGAGAAGGAAGTCAGGGGACTGAGGATAGGGCGGAATAAATTTATTTCAGTATAATCTGAAATTAGCTGCTATCTTGGTAACTCTTTACAAAGTGTACGCCAATTTTTTCTTCAAAATCACCCATGATGGAACTGATAAAAATTAACTATGCTTAGTACTTACCACAAGGTTTTGTCCAGGTGGTCCCTAAAATAAAAGCGAATATCATAGTTAGAAAATGATGTTAGACTGCATTATCATAGCATTACAAAAATATTTATATTTGAAGATTTCCTCGAGATTCACTTTAATAAACAAATCTACTTACGGGTGGGCCAGGTGGTCCAGATGGTCCGATGGGACCCTAAGGAAAAGAAACAGAAAATAAATGACAAGGCTGCTACTACGGTGTTTTATCTCATTTCTTCAACGATCGAGAGCTTGAATATTTTAGCCATATGTAAAATTATCTCCAGAGACAGTATCTATATTACTGTCCATATAAACAATCAGCCCTCTTTCGCGTTTGGGAATTAGTCAAGACCAATTCTAATGTGATCAAATCAATTCTATGCTCAAATCTCTTCAAACAATTAAGTTACAACCCCCAAATTGCATATCAGGCTATGGTCCAGTTCGTCTACATCTTCACGGTTCATGCGCTTTCTTAATTCACCTCAAACGCGATGTCATGCATGTAGATTATAGAAATTGAACCATGAACCGAACTCAAATTCAAAAGTTGTCCACGTCACGGATGAAATTTATATGAAGCCAAACCATTGTTTTTGATTAGTTGGGACAAAATATAAATAATACGTTATTCTAAATGAGCCCTCCAAAATCGCGACATAAACCTAGATAACAGGTTGCATTGGAAGTAAAATTACATACTGATTCACCGGGGCGGCCATCTCGTCCTGGAGATCCTTGTGCACCTTGAGGTCCAACCTGTCCTACTCCACCCTGTTGATGTGAAAAAATGATAAGTTAAACGTGAAACATAAATTGGTAAATTTCCTTTAAACCTCCGCTGTGAATCGTATATTTTCGCATCATACCCAACACGTATCAAAAACAAATATCTACCATTCGCCTGATTTACAGTCGGATTTGCAAGCGGTAAAATGTTAAGGAATGTAACATTACCTGTCGGCCTTGCACACCTGCAGGACCATCTTCACCTGGGTCACCAGGGTCGCCCTAAAAAAATTTGAAGTTTGAAGTCATTTTTTCGTTCGTGTAGACAGTTAAATATTCTTGTTCTCGATCGTTCAGTCAATATCTCGTTATATATAGATCTCTCTTACCGGTGAGCCATCTCTTCCGGGTTCACCATCTCGTCCGGGTTCTCCAACTGGTCCCTATGGAAAATGGAAAAGAAAAAAGAGTTGAAATGAGAAATTCCAGTTCCACTTTTCTAATGAACAATTCAAAAACGTACCCTAGGTCCAGGAGGACCTTGGAGTCCTTGGAAACCAACATCACCCTTTGGACCGTCAGGACCATGCGCACCGTTTGGTCCAGGTGGACCAGGATCGCCTGCCTCGCCCTATTGGAAGACATCGTATTTTCAACAAAACATAAGCTACACAGCAATGCAAGCTTGCCTAAAAACAAAACTAATTCCATTTCCTAACGAAATATAGAAGTGAAGAATCTCTAGGTGCGTTGTTTTCAGACACAATCGTAGACATGGAAATAATTCAGCAAATATGATAAATTAAACAAATGAAAATACATCGGCTCATTCATAAACCTTAACTCGAAGATATATCACATGCTCACTAAAGTTCTTTTTACTAAAAACGCTGGGTTTGCATAAAGATCATGTTTATTGTAAGATCTGTATCCATCATTATTTTTCTAGTACTCGAGATTATACAAACAGCGCCTAAACTGAAATATTCCGGAGTATAAAGCCTTGTCCTTACCTTTTCTCCAGGGATTCCATTATTGCCGTCTTCACCAGCCCTTCCTACGGTACCCTAATGTATACAGTAACAATTCAGTTTTTAAATGATGCAGCGAAGAGCAGTTTAGTATACTTTAAGGATGACATTTTGCTTTGAAAAAAGGTTATTATATTGATCAATGTCATATATTGATAACGATAACGTAGCTGGGATTACTGAAAAATAGACGCCTTTGCATGAGAGTACAATGTATACCCGATATAACAATAATGACAATTGATTTCATTTCAAATTTCTCTCTATGGAGAGACGAAATATGTGCTCACCGGATTTCCGTTTGGCCCAGCGGCACCAGGTGCACCAGGAGCACCAGCATCACCTTCGTCACCTTCCTCTCCAGATGGACCAGCTTGACCTGGAGGTCCTTGCGGGCCCTAATGAATATAAATAGAAATTTTCATAATGAAAATGAATGCAATACGTATCTCGAGATATTGATGCAATTTCATGTGCGATTTTAATAGGTTACAGGGGTACAGTAAAACATGGCTTACCGCTTGTTTTCTCATATATTTCGACCGGAGTTCATGAAATATAACTTTAAGTTTAAAGTACCTGAACAAACCTATTATAGTCACGGATTTCCAAAGAATATCTTAGAAATAAAATCTACTAAAGGAATGACTGTGATGGCTTTTTAAAATTTTAAAATATCCAAATGAGAGCTATATTATTATGACCAGCACAACCGCCACTGGGAAATTTTGGAACTTCTGAGGATAAAGAGAGATGGCAGACAAGGACGGGATTACGTAAGCCATGCACCATATTCATAAAAACATGGTCGTTTTAGATGATACGGAAACGTCTTTGCTCAACATATCCTCTTATTCTATTTCGTGCAAACTTGTTTACGATGAAAACTATATAGATTTCGTTGAAGCAATCTTTCAGCAATATCACCACGTCGGATGACATAACCATACTTTTAAATATGAGTTTTTTTGAGATAATTTTCAAAAGCTGTTCACGGTGAGGCCATACGCTCAGACGTTTACCGAACTTCCAGACCAGGCCTCTAGCGATTATGGCAAACGAATGTGTTCGAAGCAATATATTATAAAAGATTGAATAGGAAAATAAGCCATATATAAATGAGAAATCAAATAAAGAACAACATGTGCAAAAACAGATAATGTAAAAATGAAAAATCATTATGAAGCATGTGCAGTACGTTCGCAAAGCGTAGTCAATAGATAAGCTAAATATTCAGGTTGAAAGTATGTTCTTTATGTCTATAATATTTATACCATTCGTGTACATACCTGTGAACCAGCTGATCCTTGTGGACCCTTGCTACCTGGAACACCAGCTTGACCCTTAATAAATAAAAGGAAAAAGTTCCCGTTATACTTTCTTCGCACTTTCCTCAATTGGTGACTATTTGGTAGCCCCATGATTGTATCGATAGTGTTATAATCATATGGAAGAACATACCGGAACTCCGGGGACACCATCTGGTCCAGGATCACCTGCGCTACCTTTCTCCCCCTATCAAAGCAAAACGCAATGATTTTAAGAAGCAAGCAGAAGCGAAAACCGAACCTAAAAAGTGGAATGTGATGCATTTAAAGGTCGATACAACTGCACTTTAACTGCAGTGCTGAAAGTAGTCTAGAGACGTAAAGCTATTAATTCATTATTCATTATTTTCAAATGAATATTAAGAAATAGGTCACAGGACAGAGGGCATAAAATCAATGAGAAATAACGAATATCCCGCATTTTCACGCGATGAACACTTGCCAGTACGATATCTGCCCGGGGGGGGCTTTTAAGATATGGTTATCAACAGTTAAAAAAGATATTCCAGTTATCAGTGGTGGTACGATCAAGAATAACAATGAGTACATACTCTAAATCCTTTCAATCCAGATGGGCCTGGCTTTCCGGAGGCTCCTTTTGGACCCTATAAATATAAGAGATTAGTTAAAAGTTATTTCACCTAAAGCAAATTGGGCATCGTTTTGGTAGATTATGTGAACTATTGGTATATATACAAGCTATGCAACGCTAAAGCATCGCATTACCTGAGGACCGTCAGCTCCAATATCTCCAGTCAAACCTTGAGGACCTCGTCTTCCCTAGTCAATGAAGAATAATAATGATTTAGCCAAACTTGTCATAACAAATGATAACACGATAAATATATCGCGATACGCGCTGAGGTTGGCGTCGCTGTCCCCATGGAAAATGACCCCACGACAAAATCTTCGCTTAAATGTGTCACGAAACAGGTTACTTCCCACGCAATGATAATTACCCCTCAATTCCATATACTTTTATCATGGCCGGTACAAAAGGCCTACAAATCTCACTACAAGGCTCGTTGGCTCAGAGTAATACGTTCCGTTAATATAAAAACAATTTGTAAGCAAAGACTGGTTGTCAACAACAATCACGACGATCCCGCTCGCAGGCTACTTACCCGTTCGCCGCCTGGACCAGGATCACCAGTAGGGCCTGGAGGACCTCGGACACCCTAAAAAACAAAGTATATATATACATTGCAATGCAAACAATCATACTACAACATTATTATAGGAATTTATTAGGAATTTTTAACATTCTGAAGTCACGTCTAAAGCGAACATAAACCAGAAGAACCAAGAAGAAGCTCTGAATACTATTATTATTGGGTGTTGTGAGATACTATCATGCGACAGCAATGGGGATGTTTTTTGAAATCATTATCTAGAATTGACCATTTAAATCATTAAAAATTTTCAATAACTTTCCGGTAAGTGTGAATAGATGAATTGCTTTTTCAAAAGTACAGTAGTTAATAGACGTACTATTCCGTCAATAAACTTTCATTGCAAAAACAGCAAAAGAATGGTGCTTGTTAACGATTTCATACCTTGTTACCAGCCGCACCATTGGGACCATCGGAACCAGGACTACCATCTTGTCCAGCGGGACCACTCACACCATCAGTTCCGGGATAACCAACAAGACCTTCCGGTCCCTAAAACGTGCGCGTAAGATTAGCATATATCCCGCCAATTGATACAAATCGATAATTTTCTCAACCAACCTTTTCGCCATTCTCTCCAGCAATACCTTTCGGTCCGGTGTCTCCAGCGGCACCCTGAGAATAGAAAACGGCATGTGTTAACAAAACCTGGTCAAGTTTGTTTTGCGAAATCTTATATTGGATTAGGCTCGAAGTGTACAATCGTTGACGAGAAATCAATGAAAAAGCTGTCAGCTCTCGTGATTTTGGGACACGGTCAAGTTTTTGTGGACGTGACCACGACGTGTTCCTTTCAACTACTTTAAATATTGATAACTGAAATTCTCGTTTCGTTACTATATTTTCTCGCGAAAGGCTAAGCTATGTTTTCCAAGGGTGGAACATGCAGACGCCAAATGATGCTTTCTCATATTGGATAACTAAACATGGCCTAATTTCCATGGCCCAGTGATTGGATGGTGCCTTCAAAGAGCGCTAAAGCAACGGAGCAGGCGAAACTTAATATTTGTAGCATTTACTTTGTAATGAAAACTTTCAGTCAACTTCGGTCAGTAAGTACCTAAAGTACTTACCGCAGCACCTGGGGCGCCAGGAGCACCAGGGGCACCAGGTCGGCCAGGAGGACCCTAAAAAGAAATGGTAGCGGTACAGCCCAATGGCGATGAAATGCAATGTGGATCTATATATACCATATCATGAAACAACAGAGTGAGGAGAGAACTATTCTCAAAATGAGCATACTTACAGCTGCACCACTTTCACCGGTATCACCCTTCTCTCCCTTATTACCTTTCGCACCCTAAAGAAATAGACGATTCATGAAGACATGGTGACCTTTGCATATTTGGCAGTTCGTTTTAGCCGACATAATTGCACTGCATGTGCATGACATTGTTTACTGGTTATTAAGTACCTTCAAACCGCCAACACCAACGTCTCCAGTGTCACCTCGGGGACCAGGTGCGCCCTAAAATGCAAATATTTAGCATTAAAAAAACCCACGAATTTACATGAAAGCAACAGCAAAACGGAATGGCAAAAAAGAACACAAAACAACACGAGGAAACATAGTAAATAAAATACAGTCAAAATACTACGCAATATATATGCTTTCAGTAAACAAGGTTTACGACTTTCACTCCAAAACTTCTCTAAAGATCAGCAAAACACCATCTTATGTGTACGAAACACTCACCTTATCACCAGCCTGTCCCTTGACACCTTTGGGCCCTGTATCACCGACTGGTCCCTTTAAAGAAAATTGCATATATTAGGCACCCGGCGACACCAATATCGTAAAAGCACGTTTCAACAGAATGACATGGATACATTCGTTATGACGGTTTTTCTGTACTTACAGCCTGCCCAGGATCTCCAGTTGGTCCCTTGGGTCCTTCAGCTCCTGCGGCGCCCTGGAAGAAAAAAAACAATGATGATGGCAAAATAACGTTCGTTCACAGAACAGCTTGAACTCTGTTGCCAATATGACCCTCGTGTCTGCTGAGATCCAAGTTCATCCATGAAGAACCATTATCATACCTGGTATCCAGGCTCGCCGTTTTCACCGGGGGCACCAGTAGCACCTTTGAAGCCCTAAAGATACAGAAAACAGTTCAGATAAGAAAATTCACTGCGTAGTTTTAGAGCGACACGGTCCAAAATAAAGAAGAGCAAAATTCTCTTTCAATTTGTAGCACGTCACGATTACTGTTTAATTTTCTTTCTTCTTCAATAAGATTTACAGGCCTATGTTTTCAACGCAATTCAATTGCTGTGGATCCCAAACCCCCGTTATCTATCTTACCTTGGGTCCTGGAGGACCTTGGGGACCATCGCTTCCGGGTTCACCATCAGCTCCCTAAAATATAATCACAATGACCGCGTGTTTCGTAACAAAAAGAGTAAAAAAGCCATCTGCATTCATTAAAATGTTCGTAATTCGTTTACTTCCATGTTTTTAAAGCGTTTCCTTGCACACAAAAATATAATACATTAATTCCCAAGCACTTTCTTACATTTTGACCTTCCGCACCGTCAACACCATTATCGCCAGTATAACCGCGTGGTCCCTGAAATGCAAGACGTATATTGTAAAGCTTCTAGTGTAAAAGCGATATATAGAGAGATGAAAGGCGTTGAAATTAAAAAGTGCCCTTTTAAATTAGGAATATAAAAGTTGATCCTAGGGGTTTGAAAGTTTATTTTTCAGCAGAGTTTATTTTTAAATGTAGTTCGCATTTCAAGAAATGCGAACTAAATTTAAAAATAGCCGATATTCCAGGACTACTTTTCGCATCCTTGTCATTGAGCAATGCGACTACATACTACAATTGCCTGTGCGCTTCTTGAATTCGAGAATCCCATTACCTGGTCGCCCTTTCTTCCATTGGCACCGTTACTTCCAGGACGACCGGCGATACCGTTGGTACCTTGTCGCCCTTGGGGACCAACTGGTCCAACTACACCAGATTCACCCTAGAAATAAAAAAGGTCGATTGCATATTCCCCGTACTTCATGAGATTGGCGTTCATCTTTTTTGGAACCAAATTACATAGCACAATACGCATGGGATTTGTGTCGTAATACCTGTTCTCCATCTTGACCTCGCTCTCCTTTGGCTCCTTGTTTTCCGTTCTTACCCTGAAGATTTAAAAAAAGAAACATGAAAAAAAGATGCAAGTGAAACCTGACTGCCGTACACTTTCTGTACAGGCGGTCCTAGTAAGGTCACTTCGAATTTGCTGTGAGATCGACGTGAGTGATCTCGTCAGAGGACAACGCCCGATTTACGAGAGCACATGTTACAGAGAAAAATTCCTCTCTATCTAGACGTAAGTAAAAATTTCAAACCACCTATTCACGAATCGTAAATTAGATTTTTCGCTTTAATTGTATTTTGTTCATTCTTTAAAGAAATATCATATAGTGTCTCAATGTTTTAATTGCAATAACTGGGTCCATTATGACGGACGTCCATACTGCCACAAAGACCTCCTGAAGCTGTTAAATGAAATTTGGCAGCCACACAAAATTTCAGTTTCCCTAAGGAAACGCCATGAGAATCGAATTTGCACTATGCAATTATCTTGCGTATGCAATTATGAATAGACTAATACACACAGAGTCGATTCTCTTACTTATGGGATTCATTGACACTCATAGATACATTTGAGTTAAGAATTAATCTCGTCAAAGATAAACATTCGCTGCTGTAACTTCGATTTACATACGAAAAATTATACCCCATATACATGTACCTACCCTAGGACCTTGAGGACCAGGTGTTCCAGGAGCTCCTTGTTCACCCTTAATTGGAACAATTTTTTAGTTTACAAAACAAACGAAATTACGACACGAGCCAAAAAAAGTGGAAAAATTACATTACAGTGCTCATCTTAAAAAAACTAGCAAAATCAACTATCTCAGGCTGAAACAAGGACAGTCTTTAATTTCACTCTTGCAATATTCGAAAGAACCCTTACCGCTGCTCCAGTCTTACCAGCCTCACCAGCTTCTCCAGATTGACCCTAAAAAAGGTAATACACAAAGATATTAAATTATCAAAATTCCCTCTTTTTATATAAATACGCTGCATGAAGATAAAGCTTTTTGCATGAGCCTCGTACCTGCTCTCCTTGTCTGCCCTTGGCACCTTGAGGGCCTCGGTTACCACGGGAACCCTAAAGTAATAATTATCAAATAGATGCGATTGGTTGGTCTCTAAAACAAATCATCAGTTATTCACTTTTATTGAACCAACATAGTTGTTGCTTTAGTAAGCTTAATTATTTCTTTCGTAAGCGAAATTAGCGCCTGTATTCAAAAGCTCATCAATGAGAAAGTTAATCAATGGAAAGATTTAAAGTAAAACACTGAAAACCAAGCTTTTATTTAAGCAGAAGAAATACCGCCATAAAAAAAGTTACAAAACCACCCAAGATGAGACCACCATGATGTGTTTGAGTGTGATTTCAGAATACAGGTATATATCATTTCCAAGCAATGCCTTCTATGTTATCCCCTTGCTTTTTCTTTACGCTTCTTCATCCCCCAATTTACCATCGATTGCAGGAACACTTAGCAAAATTTCACATTACAAAAGGTATTTCACACATTACCTTTGCGCCCCGAGCACCTCTGTTGCCACGTGGTCCGCGCTCACCCCGTCTACCCTGGAGGAGAATAAAAACGAGAATGAAGAACCGTAAAATACCATGAAACTAAAGAATTCCAGCGCAAGGAGGATCTGTCAATCGCAATGAGGAACAATAATAGTTGATTAGTGGGTTAGTAGATGTCAGGTTGTGCATGACGCATTTGTCGATAAAGGCGATGGATCGAAAGAAATACCGTTTCGTGTTGGCCATGTTAAGGCCGGTGCGTGGTAAGGCCTCTTGGATGAGCTGTGCGTGGCTTAAAAGACATGTACACATGAATTGCTTCAGACAGTGCGATTCTACGCATTGGAAATATATTATTGTATATATAACCCCTTTCAGCGCATTAATAACCACTGTTGGTGATCTTTTACAACAATGCGATAGACCCCATGAGTAAATTTGAAAATCGGCCCAGTACACTATATGGGCAAGTATTTGAAGACAGTTCGAAATACTTACATCTACTCCGTCTTCACCAGGCCCGCCCTGTGGACCAGGCTCGCCAGTTGCACCCTAATTAAATAGAAATTCTATGCTTCAGCAACCGGGATGAGACGCTTTAGACATTTGGACTTCGAAATAAAATACACGAAATTCCTGCGAATAGTGATGCACCATGCATAATATTCTCCTCGGTCACTAAATTCTTACAAGTTGCATAGTCTTTGTATATACCTTAGGTCCTTGGTCGCCAGGTTCACCAGGGGCACCCTGATCACCTTGTTCACCCTAACATAAGGTATGGAAGTAAGATTACCAACACTGTATACAGCATTCATTATTCGAGGGCTGTAGGTGATTATCATTATTATTTCTATTAATATGATGGTTATTATTACTATCATCACAAGTAGCTTTGACTGTTAAATTGCAATGTGATCTACAAACACATAGATACGATATGAACAAAAAATAGTATTCTAACATATATTACAAAGTTATTCCTAATTTAATATTAGTTTAATCTTAACGATTTTGGTAGAAGTACAAGTTTTTGAGACTAGAATATAAACAATACCTTTCGGACAAGATGGACTAGATATAATATGTACACGAACGAACAGTATATATATATATATATATTCACAAACAGCAACTAGCCCGTTAACGCCACATAGCGTATGTAAAACTAAAGTACTCACCCGGTGACCTTCAAAACCTGAATAACCGACGGGTCCGGGTTCACCATTTTCACCACGTTCACCAGGGGATCCTGGAGGGCCATCTCTTCCAGATGGACCCTAAATGTAACATTTCACATAGAAAGTGAAAAATCGTGCAAAAAAAACAGTATTATCCCAATCGTGCTAATAGGCCAGTAAATTATCTAGCATTCCTGTATGCAGCACTATTGGATACGTTAAGCGATTATTCAACATTGCCCAACATATATCTACAATTTTAACAGGACAAGTTATATGACTACAACTTACAGGGTCACCAGCAGCACCGTCAGATCCATCTTTACCGGCAAGACCAGGCAAACCCTTGAAACAAAATGGAGACAAAATTATGATGAGGATTGTTTTCGATATTTCATCTGGTGTTGTTAAAACAATATAAGGGCTATGTATTCTAATTTTTTAAATCACGAATCTCGCTCTTTTATACTATTGACTATGAACGCAACAAGCATAGATGAATGTAAGCGCAACATGTATTGCTATAACACCATAGCAACTGGATGCGGTTCTGAAGGAAAACTATTAACACAGAATGACTCACAGTAGGCCTTAGGGTCCGTGAAATTTTCACACAGAATAAATGGTACTCACTTGTGGGCCAGATTCACCACGTGCTCCCTCTCTACCATCTCGTCCCTAAGTAATAAAAAAATTGAGGCCGAATTTAGTAGTACAATAATTGAATTCAGGTAAACTTGGCTCCATATTGACCTTCCCACCATTTTATCATATGTTTTGTCATATCATGCGTTTGAATCTCCATTCCATTTCATTTTGTTGTCGAGTGACAACAGGCAACTAATGGTAGCAAAATGGTAACTATCTCTTTAGCACCAGAATTGAATTACATACCGTTTCACCAGTTCTTCCTTGGGCTCCACGTGCACCAGGCTCACCTGTGATTCCCTAATAAAAGACCGGAGAGCGAGAACTGTTTTATTGAGCTCATAACCTAATGATCATTTCAATGTTCAGATTCCTAATATCAAACTAGTAGAGCGCTCTTTATAGAAGTTCCGCCATTTTTCTTTTGACCGGATGTTCTCCCGTTAAAGTAAACATGTTTTCCCTGAATGTTTCATGACTCATTCTCTTAAAATACCTGTTAAATTTACCATTTTTAAGCTGGTAATGAATTCAACCGTACCTTATCACCAGGTTCACCAACCATCCCCTCGAAACCAGGAGGTCCTTTCTCGCCCTGCAAAAGATGGACAAGATTGGTACAAGATGTCCTACAGTCATTAATGCTCAATGTCAGATTACATGAAACAGAAAGAGGATGAAAAATCAATTTGAAAAATCATCTTCATTACCCCTAATCCGCCAGGGCCAGGTGGGCCTTGATCACCAGCTGCACCAGGTTTACCCTAAAGGAAAAATTAAAGTTATATATAAGTCTGAAAGCCATTTATACTGAAAGGAACAGTTACCTATACGAAAGACGGGAACACTGGGACATCCCTGAAAGTTTTATGATAAATTGTCCAACGTTCAAGGCATCGATAGAAACTCATGCATTCTACCACGCCCAACAACGCAGTTTATGTTAATTTTTTACTTAGCCAAGCTATCATTCGGTCGTTACCTGTCCCTACAGTGGTAAACGGTAGATGTGAAACAGTCTTCCTAAATTATGTCATCACCTCCCTTTCGGTGATTTATGCAAATCAGCTTGACCGCAGAGATAATAATGGTTCTATTTTACATCCGCCACAGTCGGTCCGTCGTATACTAAGTACAAGCACTGATCAAATAGAATCAAAAGTCTATTGTGACCAAATTTCACTTTGTCCTACTTTCGCTTTCGAGCTATGGCTCAGCTATTTTTAATCCTGGTGATTTTAAAACACAATACGGTTTTTTTGCCAAAAAAATTAGCACATAAATAGAGACCTTACGCAAACAGGGCGGCACCTTCGTAATGGCGTGTAAGAAATGGCGTTGCTTCCGCTTTTGCTAACCATATATATGCATAGATTAGCAAAAGCGGAATCAACGCCATTTCCTACATGCCATTACGAAGGTGCCGTCCTGTTTGCGTAAGGTCTCTATTAAGATAATCGGCTGGACGATTATTCCAAAAAATCTAACTTCTAATAAGAGCGAACACCTGAATACTACGACCGAATTATTTTCAGTAGTTACAGCTTGCTATTTAAACCAATGCCAAATACCAATACGGAATGTTCTTATTTTAAAAAAAAATTGTCTCAGAAACTTACAGCTGTTCCGTCACGACCTTGTCTGCCAGGCTTACCGGCAGGACCTGGGATACCCTGAAAAAAAACACATATGTACAATCTGCTATATATCGGTACAGAACCCTATAGCTGTATTAAAGATTCGATCAGGTTTAGAAACACTTATATTGCCAATCTGCTGCTATTACTCATGTTGGCACACTCATTCTTTGCCATATCTTGCTGACGATTTGTCTAAAACAATCACCACTACTAGTAGTACTACTTACGTTGGCACCTTTCTGGCCAGCAAGACCGGCAGGTCCAGGTTCACCATCTTTACCCTAGACAAAAATACACGGCATGATGTAGTGTAGGTGCTGCAATGTCTTGCAATGAACTGAAAATGTTCCAGATAACTGAAACATTCTACTTTCATATCTACAATTAGCTATTGCAATAGAACAATGTTATGAATCAACATACCCTTCGTCCCTCTTTACCAGCCTCACCAGGTTTACCAGGCAAACCCTTTTAAGCAGAAATTTATAGAATTTTAATTAAAACATACCTGGAACTATATAATAATAACTATATAATAATACGCTCTCCACATTCTACACCAGGAATTGGCTTTTCAGAGTCACTTACACAGGTTTACAGGTGATAGGGTTAGAGATCAAAGAGGAATACCCTTATCGATAATCTTAAAAGCAAACGTTATACAGTCGAACCTCTATTAAGCGGCCACTCTCGGGGATCGGCATTGTGGCCGCTTAATAGAGGTGGATTTCAGGACTTCGATATGTGGCCGTTCAATAGAGGGTGGCCGCTTAATGGAGGGCCGCTTAATAGAGGTTCGACTATATAGACATAGAAAGGTATTACGCTTACTTGGCTGCCAGAAGGTCCCTTGAAACCACGATCTCCTCGTTTACCGGTTGGTCCCTAAAATCATCAGTAATAGATAATACAGTTAAAAAAATTAGATTCAATAAGTGAATTGCTGCCCTTCAATGCAAAGGATGTCATCTTCACGTTGCATCGTATGGAGCTTCTTTCATGTTTTAGCTACAATAAAAACACTATTCATGAAACTGCCATTCTCACAAGAACAATGTCACAGATAAAAACGTAAAATGGTTAATGTACCTTGTCTCCCTTAGGTCCCTCGGGGCCTGGTGGGCCTTGAGGTCCACGGATTCCTGGTGCACCCTTCCTACCAGCTTCACCAGTTTGTCCAGCGCTACCAGTGGCACCTGGGGCACCAATGTTTCCTTGAGGTCCTTGCCTTCCCTTAGGTCCCCCCGGGCCATCAACACCAGTTGAACCAGGTTCGCCAGGTTTACCCTAAAGGAATGATAAATATGTACTTAGAAAATGAAATTACGTTCTTGTGCATATAGTTTAAAAACGGGTTTACACCAGAAATAAAGTGGAAAAAAATCCTGCACATTTCCCTAAACAAAGCCTTGTTTCAACAAGGTAACAATATCCTTTGTTATTAGGTAAAAGTTTAGGTCGAACGTACTAGTTCTCGTATTTCTAAAGTCAGGGTTGGACTTTTCCAGTGGCCAATAACTTTGGGTTGTTGCTGCCTACGCGCCGGACAGTGTCTATATATACAGACTATGTTCACTTACCGACTCTCCCCGCGTACCAGAATTTCCAGTTTGACCTGGTAATCCCTAAACGAAAGAAAGAGATAGGTCATACATATAACTGTTAATCAATCATGTATATGTAAGAAATGCTAAAGGCTTCGAAAACTGCTTCGACCGCACTTCAAAAGCCAACACACCCTCCACTCACCGGCTGCCCTGCATCACCAGCAGCACCGTTATCACCAGTACTACCAGGACTACCCTATAGAATGAAAATTAGAAATGAACATAGTCATGTATTTCAATGCGTCATGCGAGGTTTGTGAGGGGGAGAATATAAAAAACAATTAAAGAATTTGCCGATTTCCTTACTGGAGCTCCATCAGCACCGTTCTTTCCAGGAGCACCTTTAGCACCCTTTTAAAAGAGAAATAATACTTGTGAATAAATCTTGGAGTCTGTTGACTACATCAAAATCAACTATATGACTATATCAAGTGGTAAGCGATCAAGCACTCTGTTAAACTTAGAGTTTACAAGGATCATATTATGATATGATTGATGGGTACGAAAAATTTCTTCCGAAAAGGAACATTTGACTTAAAAAGCCTCTAGGGAAAAACTAGGGAAAACGTAATTAGAATGAAGAAAAGCTTTTTCTTCTCAGTATTAAATTTTCCCGGAATTTGAGTGGTATTGTTAAATTTAAGATTTTGAACATTCTCCAAATCAGGTGGAGGGCTGCGACAGCTCATACCAAAACAAACTAACCTTTTGTCCTATGTCACCTTGGGCACCAACTGGGCCTTTCAGACCAGATTCCCCCTGAAAACAAAAATACATAATATTATCATTGCGGGAGAACTCGAAATTGTGGGATATCTCTTTTTTCCGATCTACTCAAACTCCAAGATCCGCGACTTTCTCCACTTACAGGATCACCCTGTCGTCCAACATCACCAGGTTCCCCATCTTCACCAGGAGGACCCTAAAATTATATGTTTATATGTTTATTTATTTTTATTTATGTATATTTGTTGCATCATATTAAGCGGTACTGACGTGGCTTGGAATTAAATCCGTATTCGGAGAGACTGTTAAAAGTATATGTACACTTATACGAATGTTTTCACATGTTTGGTTCATACGTCGTCAAGAAAAAAGAGTTAGTAAGGGTCTATTTACGAACGATATACCGCTAGCTATATGCGACTGGTATTCTCAATAATGAAAACGGGTGAATATGCTACATATTGCTCATTCCACTGAAGAAATTTGCCAGAAGACGTTTGAACGTTTGTCTATCCGATCACATACGTCAGGATAAGAATCGTGTAACTGGTCTTTGAACACAAACAGACTAGTATTAAGCACTTACGGCCTCCCCAGGTCGTCCTTGATCTCCTTCATCACCTCGTGCACCAGGTTCACCCTAAAATATTGCAATATCCATGAATCGTTTTAGTTCAAACTCCCCAAAAGTCATTCCTACCGACTTCTCTTCTTTATGCATATAATAGCGCATTGTATATTGAACTTTGTCCCTTTTTTTGCCCGTATCGTGCAAGATATTGGATCTTTAACCCATATATAATCAGAGCCAATTATTACAGGAAAAGCTGTAACGGACATTACGTTATCATCATACAGTTTATGTTTACTTTATTTGTTTGGTTATGGATCAAATTAAACACAGTTTCGGATCAAATAGTAATGAATATATTTTTCTATACCATAAGCAAACATAAACTCAGTGCAATATCTATTATCCCGTAATTCAAATACATAACGAGGGAGGGGGCAGGGGACCTCAAAAGGTTGACCTGCATGTAATCTGTTCACTTTATTCCTTCCAAAAGTTATTACATTATAAGGAAGAACATATATGCAGCTAAATACTTTTTACAAAAAATTCTAGATCCAGTTACAGCAAATATCACACTATACTATAAAACACTATACTATATAAAATACTATATATTACCTGATTTCCATTAGGTCCAGGTGACCCTGGTTCACCAGGAGGTCCAACGCTTCCCTAGATTATACACATCAACTATTAGCACTTCGTGGTTAATCAATAGTGAATTGTTCCCAGTTCCCAGTGTAAAAATCACGCCTGATGAAATGCTAGCGCTATCAATGTGGATGCTGATGTCTATAAGAAATGGATCCTATCTTGGGATCTCATCTCATTGTATTTTCACGCACATTTGCCTGATGCAAAATTTTGTCACAAAATAAATTTTGTTGCGTCTAAAAAAATTGTTTCATTGCTGAATTTATGATTAATGTATTAAATAATATATGCGTTGACGGGTTATAATGTACTTTATCCAGCTTTTCAACTGCCGCAATACTATATAATTCATGGTAACAGAAATACATGATTTTGATTTGCTAATTTTGGATCAGCTAGTTTTAGTCCCTAACTGTAGTTAAAAGTTAAATACCATTCTAAATTGTAAATTAGCGTCTTCTTTTCTTCCCACAAAAAATGTCCGTTATATTCCAGCATGCATGGAATGGAACAGCTTTTTTCTTTTTCGCAAAGTGTGCATGTTCATATCAGAAGTAGTACCAAAAATAAAGTAGCAATCATGCAAGTATTATATGTATACGTGATGATCTTTTAAGTGGCGCTTTTTTGCCCTTTATCGCTCTTTGAGTAATATTACAGGCACGAATTTGTGTGCATGCATGCATCTGTCACTAGGACAATGCACTGCCTTGGCAAAGAAAACTGTATTTCCACTTCCTCAGTGAAGCAATTAAACTGCAAACAACTTTGATTTTAAAACTAAATCTCCAATTCTGGATTACCAACAATTAATAACTTATATTCCAAGCTGCAATATCCCGGCATCATGCAGTGTAGCTCATTGTGAGCAGAAGTTCTAAGTTTCCACTTCTATTTCGGAACAATAACAACAGATACAGTACAAAATCTTACTTACAGGGTAACCTTTAGGACCTTGTGGGCCGGATAAACCGGGATCGCCCCGCTCTCCCTAAAACGGTAAAAGTTTCTGATTAATAAACGTACTTTGAAGAAATGCGATTGACTGTTACATACTCATATCAAGAATTTCTAATATTCAATATATATGTATATATATATTAAAATTTTCACTCACAGCATCGCCTGGTGCTCCTCTACGACCATATCTACCGGGAGGTCCCTGCAAAGAGCAAAATTGAGTACATCATCACAAAGGTCACAGACATTCAAAACGATTATTTCACTTATTTATTTTTTTGCCTTTCTTTCAGGAATAAATATTCAATGTAGGATGAAAATTGCTGTTTTCGTGCATATGTGAGAAACCTCTCTCTCTTTCTCATTGCCATTAGGCAAATTTAAAATTCTATAACCATTCAACCAATTCTATAACTATAGCCGATTCTATAACCAACACTTTTTGAGTGGATATATAGTTACAACATGCGCCGCACATAGATATAGTACAGGGCACAAATGTGGTAACAAAAAAGGAGAAAGTGGAACGAAAAAATTAAATACCATGATGTACATGATATTAAACAATACAGTTCATTTGTAAAGTTATATACCATTTAGTAAAGGCTCTGCTACACGGTGCAATTTTACTTGCATCTTGCAATGCAATTCTACTTTTGAGGGATGTAAATTAGTGAAGAGTCTTCAATATGTTATTTTAAACCTACATGGAGTGTAATAAACGTAAAAATTTCTTAGCTTCCAATTTAAATCTCTTAAAAGTAGAATTGCATTGAAAGTTGCAAGAAAAATTGAAACGTGTAACAGGGCCTTAAATAGGTAATTACGTCAGAACTACATACTTCTTTTCAACTTAGAGATACATGGATTGGATGGATTGCAAGTTTTTTCCTTTACAGGTGGCTCATTTAAGTTGAAAATGAAGTTGTGACATAATTGTTAAAAAGGACTATTCACGAAATTTAGAAATAGTTTAGAAATTTTTTTGTAACAATTTTTTCGCGACAATGTACCATAATATTACGGAAACAATGCGAAAGAAGTATTAGAGTTTCACTGGTAGTTTTGGGAAGGCAATAGACGGTAGTGTTACACTTACCGGAGGCCCAGGGATGGCTTCTGATCCACCTGGTCCGCCAGGAGGGCCTTTCGCCTGGAAATAGATAATATAGTATTATAGATGCCCAGATATTTGCCCAGCAAGAAAAGATTAAAACGAATTGAAGATTCTGGAAGTAGTGCATTAGACACATACATCTCCATCATCACCAGGGGCTTGCTGTGCTGGTGGACCTGGTGGCCCAGTATCTCCTCGAGGTCCCTTATTTCCCTTTCTCCCAAGACGTCCAGGAACTCCCTACAGGAAAAGTATTATCAGGTTTTAATGTTTTCTTCAAAAAAACACTATAAAAACTTTCGGATTATCAGAATAACCGATTTCAAATTTCACTGGAACAACTCTAGTTGTGTTAGTAACTTCCATTCATCGTCATTAATTTGTTGAATAAATAAATAATTAAATGTACTTACCGGATTACCTGGGGGTCCGTCAGGTCCTCGATCCCCAGGAGTACCAGGTGGACCCTAAACAGAAATTGACATGTTAGAATTTCAATCATGAAGAAATTAACAGGAAGGACTGCCCTCACAGAAGGTCAATCTAATACACCAAACTAACGTTTGTTGATTTCCTGATGAAGTGAGGATTTTAGCATTTAGGTAATTTTGTATTAAATATATATTAATAGTGCGTATTAATAAGTATGTTGTATATGTATAGCTTCAAATATGTCGTCACACCATAGGCAGAGTGCGGTAATTAATATCCATGCAGCACTGATCCATTGCGTCAGTCAATACCGATCCCCACCAAGAGGAATTCAGCGGACACAAAATAAAATTAAGAATGGATAACTTACTCTCTCTCCCGGATCGCCAGGGTTCTCGCTTGCTCCCACTACAGAAATGAGAAACAATCCAGAACATCATTTTGTCGTCAGTTGAGGCCAGTTAGCACTTAGCATTCGTTCTATGTATTATTACTTATATACAGTTGAAAGCCAGCATATCTACTGTATACTTTATCACTGATACAATTGGGCCATACTTATATAAGTTGGCTATATTTACACATGTAGCTAAACGTTAAGGTTATTGCTCCTATCACCAGAATCAAATAAATCGGTATTAATACAGGGATATTTTTTACCTGGATCTCGGCATTCTAAACCCGAACAACCGTCATCACAACATTTTTGTGCTTCTGGACATTCCTCGTCTTCTGAACATAGGGATTGTGGAGTACCGCACTCAGGTCTTATAGTTGCTACCGGACATTTTCCAGCTGTTAAAAGAAAACGTGTTAGTTCTCTTCAAATCGAGAAATCTTGACCATAAAAATTGAAGCATGCATGAAATGTGAATTATATAATTATTCCCAAATGTGATTTAAAGTTTGCCGCCCCGGTTAGCGGTTGGCCATAAACATCAATCTTAACTTACTGGGGTCGGGGATAGTGTTTTTTTTCAATAGCTTTAAAATCGCCCGTTATTTGTTACAACTTTGATCAAATCTTCATATTCCTAAATCGAGGATCCTCTTTAATATTCGTTGGTTCCAAAGATGAGATTCGATCCCTTTTCGAGCATTTTTAGAACGGTTGAAAAAATCACTATCCAGCCTTGGTATACAACCGGCCCCTGCTTTCTATTGCATGTTTAGTAATTGCGGGAAAATTGTCGCATTTGAAGATACGTTGTTGATTCTGCCACTTTTGCCGCTGCAATTCGTGTAAACCCCAAGCTAAGACTTGTTTTAAAACTTTGAACATGCATGAAAGCTTGCATTTAGACTGATCAAGCCCGTTTAGCGTAAACGGTGGTCGGTGGAAAGGTAAAAATTTGATAATTCTTATCATCTCTCTTGAATGAGTCAACTTGAATATTATGTACTGAATATGTAGTTGTAAACAGTATCCTTGTATTAAGATGCTTTCTATTTTGAACTTATCCACCGTTTAAGCTAAACGGGCTTAATACAACTGGCTTCTGATGGGAAAGTAAGCAGTATAGAGTGTGAATCAAAAAGGGTCAAAACTACCCGCGTGAAAGAGTAGTTTTAGGGGTTAATTTAAACTGAGAACTACGCGTATTAGGGTAGTTTTGACCCTATTGAACGCACAGTGTATTTTTAGGAAATATTTTGACTCCCTTATACACTTCTTTCGATTCAAAAATTGCTTGCTTTCTCTGATCATGTTTTTGAAATAGCGAACGCAGATATTTCTGTAGTATACATATAAACATGCGGCAACATTTCAAAATTTAATTATATTTTCTTGTCCGCCGTTTATGCATGGGCTACAAATTATTACCTATCTTGTTTTGAAATGCTCTGCCTGTAGTGCTAAATGGAAATCTTGCCGCATTTCTGTGGCGCGCGCTTATGGAAAAATGCGCATCTTTTGGCTTACAACGAGTATTAAGTTACGGTGTAGGCCTAAATTGGTGTAACGATTCTCTTGCGAATTGAATTTACGTTTGCAAAATTCAGAAATTGTTTCCTTATCAAGCCTATTGCCGCACATAGTCAATACCACCATTGTAAAGCAATTAATATTTTTCATCTTGTAAGAGTCGAATGAAAAACGAGAATAAAAAAGCCAAAACGCGGCTTATACACCATATAAATAACGTGCCTCCCAATGACGGAACGTTTTAAATATTTACCATCGGCAATACGCAACTTTGGCTGAGGTTTACAACCCTTGGGCATGAAAACAACATTTCAATATTTTTCACCCTAGCTCGTAGCCTCGTGCCAACCTCAATATGTATGTATGTTGATTACCTATTACATTGTTTAATCTGTTAAAACATTGGATATAGACATCGATTGACAGCGAATGCATGCCGATATATGACAGAGAGAATTGTCTATATCGAGCACATAATTATATCTCCCTATTTGCTATGCATAATGTGTACATTGCGTCCTTTTTTGACGCATGGATTTTTGCCTAAATCCCAGCACTAATGAATCATGTACAGAGAAGTTTCCTCAAATTTCAGAGTTGCGCAAACACAGTGAACTCAATGTTACGTGTTGAATCACAGTGGTTGAACTCAGTGAAAAAAAAAATTGTGAAAAATTGCTCAGTGAAAAATTACTAACAGCACAACTTACGTAAAACTACAAAAAAAATTGGAACAATCGGCTGGCCTTTGAGCATAAGGTTATAATGTTAAAAGAATGTTTCCTATATAGATTGGATCGAAGAACAAGCCGGCCAGCTTGTACAAGAATGAAAAGTTTCCGAAGACATTTCAACTGTACTCATGTTGCTTTTTCCCTGCATATAAAATATAAATGCAAATTTTCTTTACGACAGTTTTATCCGACTCAAAACTGGTCGTTTGGACGCGCAGTGAGAATCGTCAGTCCGAACCATGGGTTTCGAGGTGCACAAAATCTGCGCAAAGGCAAGATTTACCTATAGTGACTTTGAATACGACATATAGGTCTTTAGTATTGATTGTGTCTTAATATATACTATCTATCTATATGTTCTAATCGTAATGCAGCATTCGGTCGAAACAAACAATCTCTAAAAATTGTCAATTGAATATCCCGCATGGCGCACGGCTTCTACAAACGTGCGCAAATGCTTTCTATACAGCGACAAGTACAGTTTTCTTTATGTCCAATTTGATATCGTCTACTTCAACGTAAACGTAGGCCATATAAAAGCTTGACTCACTGTATGCTAGGCTATGTTGTTTATCTATGCCTTCATTATATATTATAGCTTGTCCTCTCGAAAAAATTATGTATGTCAATCTCGCAATTAATACCAAAGCTTATTAACAACAAAAGGTAGAATTACACATCAATTTTACCTATATTTACATTTCCCGATAGCAAATACCGCAATCTATGTCAAAATGTTGAACATTTAAAAGAAAATAATAATAATCTAAAATTGTTCGGAATATGCGATATAATATTGTATGCTTAAACCTCTCATTGTGGAATTCGTGCATCAACACCTGACACCTGACCGTCTGAATATCAGGGAACAATCGGCTCTTTCATTACAACAGTGCTGACCAAACAAGAGAACACGGATTATTTGTGCTGTGCAGCGCGTTTTGTATTGAAAACAGCGTATTATGAAAATATTCGTTTATTAAATTCATTTTATGTACCGTGAAAATCATGAATTTAAAACGCACCAGTAAACCGCGCACCAAGCAAATGCGCTATTTTGACCTCGTATGAATGGGCCATTTATTCGCGCAAATCCATGGAACCGGCTTTGAATCACAGCACATAAAATACAAGACACTTTACATTGTTTATCAATGCGAAGAAAAAGAAAATCAATGCGAATAAGTGAACCACACAACACTGTGATGATACTTGATGTGGGGGATCAGATTTTATACACAAACCATAGCATAATAAAATGTACAATTGCAAGATCTATGTCCGTATTTACTCAGCACGCAGGCGAATATTTTAGGCAAAATGTATTTCAAGCCTTAGAAATCTACAAAGTTCTATAGTCAGTGCGAGTTAAAGCGTGAGCAATACCGATTTCTATGGCAGTCGGCAAAGTCACGCACGGCAGAGTTGGAAATTGGAAAATACAAAAGGCAGAATATTTCGTTTACTTACGTTTTCCCTCCTGTCCGTGCACAGTATATGCTAAGTATAAAAGAAACGCTAAAGAGAACGACCAACGAAACGCCATGACCATACGCTAGGCTTCTTGGTGCAAAATGGTTTCACGCACTACACACCGTCAGCCTGTACTGATCAGAGCCAAGATGAAGTTGCCGAGGCACTGCGCGAGCACAATCAGGCGCGGTTGACTAGGGGTCTGTGCTGCATTCTGTGAATAGCTTCATTAACAAAGACCTCAATTGATATTTGATCCGGCAAAAATAACGCCTTCAATGAAAACCCCTCTTTGATGACCACAGTCCTATTATTATGAAATATTAATACAACACTGATCAGGTTTCCAAATTCACTGCAAAGCGCGTTTTTAGGCAAAGAAATCGCCCGCACTTGTTTGTTTTTATCGCTATTTGCATAGATTCCGTCTGCGTTTACTCGAGGTCGGAATATATGCTCTTGCCCGGTGGCTTCGTCGTGCGTGATTGTTCAACAGTTTGGTGATTGTTTACTTGTGTGACAAGAACACGTCGACAGTTGAGCGGAATTAAATATTCCTTTCACGCGCGCATTATAAACGAAACCTCGCCACGAGATTGGCGCACGGGCACAAGGACTCTAGCATCGTTTGAAACCAGCTTTTAAGTTTTAGCTTGAAAACGTTGTTAGCAACACGCGCAACGCAGTCTTGTTTTCAAGAAGAGGTTGATTATACGTTTGTTTGGGAGTGAAAAGTTCATCGGCAAATATTTCCGTCACACAAAACACAGGGATATGTCATATCTGATATAACGTTTCTCACCGTCAATCCTGTATCACATTTTAAATTCGCAACTCAGTTATAAAATATATTGGAAATTTAGAAACCGAATTAGTTATATAGGCCGTATATGCAATTTGACCTTTCACCCCAGGATCTTTGTTGATAAAATAATGTTTTATATATGAACTAAACAAATTTCAATTACAAGTTCTCCGTCTATTATCGAAGGTTATAAGGTAGCGAGCCGGGGTGAAACTTTATTTTGGAGGTAGACGGACAAATATTTTTTCAACCATACAGCTAGATCAATATATTTTCTTAAAATTGTAATATGGCATAGAACGGCATATGGCATAAAAGAGATTACTGATCCCCAAATGTTGGCGAGCATTTCTACTACGTTAATTCTGCGCATGGATGTCTACATGTAACCGCTTGTCGGTATCTGCTTGTTGAACATTCGAAGGCTCAGTTTACACAAGCGAGCTTTGCAGACTTGCAGTTTGCAAAACATGCTGGAATTATACTCCCAATAGTTTACAGTGTCAAAGCTTAGTTTCTGTGGTCGGAGTCACGGTAAAACTTTACCTTTTTAATCGTGATAGCTGTTTTTTAATGTTTTTATTGATTTCAGCGATTTTTGTTTGTCAGTATGAATTTCTGAGCACACGTACCATATAGTAACGCGGTTTCATCCTATGCGAATGCGAATTGCTTCATAATATTAGCACTTATGTGTACGTTGCTTGCAAATAAAAATTTTCTGACAGAGATCTCAACTCGGGAGAGAATTCTAATCGGCATAACCACGGTATAATAATGTATTTGTTTATCATAATATAAACAAGATCAAGTTTTTTGACACGCAATATTGTCATCCTGAAGACTACCCGAAAGATGGCTGGGGGAAGATAAAGGCACTATACATGTATTCACTCGCAGCATTTCACTTACAATTTGTAATCAGTCTAGTTCATACCTATACCTACATAAATTCTAAAAAAACTTTCGTAAAGTGTCAGTAACCCGGCCTAAAAATTAGTAGGGAATCGCGGAGATCAAATTAAGTCACGCAGAATCAGGCCACGCACCCGCGATCAGGCGTTATATTAGGCAGATTTAGCATGAGGACGTGAACGTAAAAGAGGACGTGAAAACGGCGAATAAATGGCGTGGCATGTCCATGTATAGACGCATCACGCCATTTAATCGCCATTTTCACGTCCTCTTTGACGTTCACGTCCTCATGCTAAATCCCCCAATATATTATCTTCACTAAGCCTCGTTCTCAGTCTCTTGCTCGTGCAGTCAACAATGTCAACGATTTGGGTAACATAACCCCTAACGGAAGATAAGGCAGCGGAAAAGGAACTAATTTGAGTGTTGGTAATTTCGCTAAGATCCTAATAAATTCGATTACCTCTGGACGGAAAGCATGATAGACCAAAAATGCGCGTTGCGTTTGAAGCGTAATCCTGCAAATTCAGAAGAATGAGGCGCTTTCGAGTTCCGAGATATCGATGAAACAAAGAGGGCGAATTTATGTGCAAATTTTCGGTTTTTTCCTTAAATTGGGGGCCTTTTGGGGCATACTGTTGAAAAAACGCTTCAGGTTTAGTTTCTCACTCCCAAAAGCTTGTAAACTACGTAAAATGGTTACAACTGCATGCTAACAGAATAAAAATAAGCTTGAATACTTACGCTTTGGCGGTATAGCAGTTGGATCGAAGACTAGAAAATAAAAAATTTAGAACACGATTATTTGCAGCAGGCTTCCAAGTGAGGTTCAACCAGGGGCACACATTAGGGCGTGTGTGTGGAAATGTCTGTGGTGAACTATTTAAAAAGCTGAATGCATTTTGAACTGAACGCTTTGCTCTTCACAGTACACTCGTATACCACACACGTCTTAGAACTGTTTACATGAAGCGAGTTATCCCAGCTAGGCGAGGTGAAAACTGCATATAATGAAAGACTAATCAGGTTAAGCCTTTGGTCTGATGCGCTTTTTACCTCGCCCAGCCGGAATAACTCGCTCCATGTTAGTCGTTGGCTTTTGGTGGTTTTTCCTATCAAATACAAACACTGGAAAAGTCGGTTCCTCAATATTTTCTTAATATGCGCCCCTGGTTTCAACTAATACCCATATATAGCAGTGCAACTAATGATTTAACTCCTTCGGGTTAGTTTTAAACTTTTTAGATTTCTTTGGAGGAGGGGCACAACGAAATAAATAATTGAGGAGGGGGTAAATTTACAGCGTATATGAATGGGCAGGGGTTCCAACAATGGTTCTGGGCTAACTGCTCGAATCTAGTCGCCGTCTCCCTTTTGCAAAAAAGTAATTAATTTAATCTTCCTACAGGAGCGATATAGGCTTTGCAATTCGTGGGATCTTCTCATTCTTCAGAGAATTTTAAAAAAAGCAAAAAAAATAAAGAGTCTACGTTTTGACAAACTTGGAAAATGTTCTTCGAAGTTATTGTCTTTTGGTATTTTGCTAAATTTAGCATTTTATCAGCCGTCTCTTCACTGCACAAGACATGATAAGTACTTTACACAACTTGGCCACTGGCCTCAAAGTGAACTGAATAACAGTGTGTACATATACCAATCAAACAAATCCGATTGCGATAGCAAGACAATAAAATCATAGATCATTCAAAGATTTTTGTGTTGTACAACCTACGGTCTACCTATGGTCCGAATTTCAAGAGCTTAAGCTAACATCCTACATTGGGCAGAGTAATTCAGAAAATGCATGACCCTTAACATAATCTCATGCAACATGGCAACGGCTTGTATAGAAAAGGAAAACATAAGACATAAATGTCCTCGTTATGATTTCACATCAATTTACTGAGGACTGCCTTCCATCGGAAATTTTGCTTCCACGTGTGTGCATTCAGTTCTATTCTTGCCAACAAAGGCATAATTACACATGCAAGCGGAATGATAGCGACATAAAACAACTCAACATGCACTTTATAGCAGAGAATGAATCATTCGATGTGGATAAACAATGAAGAGGAAACTTTAGCATGCATGCCTCATGCCTTAGCACGACCCCATCTCTGGTTCATTAGGAAAAATCGAACGAGGTTGACTAACTATAAAAGCATCTCGTTGAAGTTGGAAAAGTATCGATGACTCGAAACCAAAATAGTTTCTGTGCCCGAAACGCTAGGAATACTGATAGGTTTCTCCGGCTAAAGGGTTGCACAATACTGTTTACTGACTTACAGGGTTCGGTACATTTGTAACCAAGACATCCATCATCACAACATTTCTGAGTCCCAGGGCATTCAACATCAATCGAACAGGTAGAGGACGCTGTACTAGAACATTCAGTCCTTAATTTAGGCAATGGACATTTTCCAGCTAAAAGGAAAACAGTTCTAGTATAAGTTCAATGAATAGATAAATCATGTTTAAATAAGCTGGAACGGAGAGTTGCGTGTGTAGTAATCATGGACGCAGGAGTGCCAGAGGGGAAAAACGCCAGGCTATAATTGATTATTAACTTTTTTAGAAGTTATAGAATATCATTTATGTGAGGGTGCCATTGATCATCGCAAATTGATTCCTTAATTATTAATTCCAACAAAAAAGTCACAAAAATAGTACAGTTAGTTCGTGTGATTTTGACTACAATAATGTGACGATGCATCGCGTGAGATTTGGGAATTTTTGGGGGGGACAATGATGCGAATTCCTTCATTTGTGGGGTTGTGGTTTTTTGCAATATTATAAATATAATCCCACAGCCATGTGACAACGAGAGCTATACACGAGAATCAACGTTTCGAGGGCGTGGCCCTATCGTCTAAAAGTTGCTACAATGGAATAGCGAAAATACGGGGGACTGTGGGCGGCTTATCACAGAGAGAGGCGAGATCCGTGCAGACGGCAAGTTTTCCTTGACCTTGACAAGTTATCTTGACCAGTTCACTTGCTCGTGTGTATGGCCAACAAGTTTTCCTTATCAATTTATATTTGCTTGTGTGTACGCGACAAATGACAAGTTTTGACAATTTTTTCTTGACAAATTTTACGATAATATGAGTGTATTTTACGACACTATGAGCCATGCATAATAAAATGAGTATACGACCGAATCTCAAAACAAACAAAAATTCTTCAAAAAACCTGCTCGATTGGCTCGACGATATTGTTGCGCAGTCCCCTACTGCGCATTTCCTTGACGGTCGTACACATGAGCATTTTTCCTTGTTAAAAAGTTGGCATGACTAGCTTTTGAGCAAGGTTCCTTGTCAAGGTTCTTTTCGCGTACAGACGGGAAAATAAAACTTGTATGGGACTTAAGACGACGACGAGGGTGAGAAGACACCGAAAGGTAAATGGAAACAGAAGGCGCTCTTTCAATTTGTAAACACGAATATATATATATATATATATATATATATATATATATATATATATATATATATTATAACAAATTTGTTAAGTCTAACATCGACGCAGCAAGGGAAAATAGAACTGTGTTGATAATATCCAACGTTAAATTGAGTGCTGCACGAAATTAACAAAGTTAATAAACTTCTCCAATTTTATTGGGGGTAACAAGGTGCTGTGCAAAGACAGCCATATCAAAATAAATCATGTACTGCAACTGAGACTGCATCATGTTTAAAAACAAGCATCTGTGGTTTGAAACACAAAGCCGTTCGTTAGCGGTTTGGCGTTTGAGGTAAAAGCCAAACTTAAGGTCTCTATTACTCGACATGTCATGCCTACGCAGTCAAGCTGACGGACAATCCACCAAGACAGGTTACTATCTCCTCATACATACTTTTAACTCATACTGAAAGATGTGTAAAGCCCATGCAAAAAGACCTCAATTTACAAACTTTTGACGATAATTTGAACTGTGACTGAGCAGAACATTGAATTTACCTTGATTTTCGCAGTCGATTTCATATCGCAGTTTCCCAAACTCCTTCGAAGTTCGTTTTCAAGTTTGCACCGAATTCCGTTTGTGAACATGCGATTTGAGAAGTTCAAAAGTTCATAAAATGTGTTTTAAGCGGGCAAAAGCTAATATGCTTATTCAAGCTGGTATTTTTCACTATCTTGTTAAGAGCGAAAAATAATAGCACAAAATTAGCAATTTGTCATGCATTGATGCCGTCCTACAATTGAATAGAAATTCAGCCTTTGAAAACTCTGTGTGGACTCAATGTGCTCTGTGGGCAAAATCGATTTACTGGCGAAATTTCGAGGGGGATTTGTACACCCAGTAGATCACCTCTAAACCTACTTTAATTTTGATCAACTTTGTTTATCTGCATGGTTTGTATATATGGACGAATTCAACGTATTTTTCGCCGTAGGTAAATGCCGGCATCGGCGTGCAGAACTTGTCATTGTGTCCATGCATGTCGCCATGTTTTTTTTATTTTCTTCAGTTGAGTGAATTTCTATCAGTCAGTTAATTTGGACTCCCTGTATATAGATTATAGTAATTCGACAGTCATCCACGGTCCATTCGGTCCAGATTCAAACACGATACTCATATTCACGACGAAAATTGATAGCAAATGCCCAATGTCGATGATTTGTAAAAGCCTTCATTATGCCATCCATAAAATTATGACGGTTTTCCACTATAGGCGGAATTTTTCGAGATATTCTTTTCAATTATGAGAATTCGACCGTAGCGGATTCCCTTCACCGGTTACAATTGGAAAGAAAATCTACCGAAAAAGGGGTGTCCTTATACAGGGTGTCTCATGCAAAAAAGAGGACGCTATTGAATTCACCTATTGCTAGAATTTGAATGGCATAGCACTATATAAGTGCTCCAGAGTGTCGCTTAAATTGGACGCTGCCTAGCACTAAGCTGAACGCATGAAGATGCGTAAAACGACTTATTAAGGCGTTGAAATTTATGTTTTTGCCTTTGGAAATTTAAAGTAGCTTCGTGAATAATAAAAAAATAACCTTGCGAAAATGATAAAATTACAAATTAATCCTACGACCAGTTCGGGAGAAAATAGTTCAACTGACCACAGAAGAACGAGTTTTTGTTGTTATAAATTATACGCTGACTAAAAGTCAATCGATTTATTGGTTTCAGGCCATTCAAAGTTCACTGAACAACAATAATAATAATATTTAATCAGGGTCTTTCCTCAACAAGTTTTCTTGACCAGTTCACTTGATAAAATGAGTATACGACCAACGACCGAATTTCAAAACAAACAGAAGTGATAAAACTTCAAAAACCTGCTCGACTGGCTCGAAGATAGTTGCGCTGTTCCCTATACTGGGCAATTCCTTGTCAAATTCATTCTGGAGCACTGATCTTAACTCAGCCGTATACTATTGAATCCCTAATTGTACCCGCCATGCATCACTTGATTACCCTACCTATATAAATTATACTAATTAAGGCTAAATTAGTGCGTAAATTACTTGATAAACAAGTGCAACCTTTGATATTATAATAGATCAGGACCATATGAAGAAAAACAATGACCAGCCGACAATTCAAAAAAGTAAAGTAAAAAACAAATTCCGAATAAACAGGGCATCTTGAGAGTCATATGTTGGACCAAATCACTGAACAGGCTTCCTTCCGTGTAGATTAATAATAAATATAATATAAATAGTAAAAAGTATACAATAAAAAGTAATATAAATACGCTCGTCTATATAATGAAAGTCATTTACACAAAAGCCTTTTTAACACTTGGAATTTTGGTTCCAGGTCTGGGAAAGCGATTATAGGCCTATATAAAAATTCCCGAACACATTTTTACATGCATTCAGATGAATTTTAATAGCTCATATATTCTCGCAGTCGCTCGCGATTTACAGTAACAATTAATAAAGTATACAAATATAACGATTGAATCTTTGCGTCGCTGCAGGTTTAACCATAAAACGAGAAAATTAAAACAAGTGTTCAAGCTGGAGCATAAAAATGATCTAAAAATGCATTAAAACAGTCAGTGATGACAGAATTAGTTCACACTTTCACACATGCATCCTAGTTGAACACACGCAAATGTAAACAATGCAAGTAGAGTCAAAGTAATTCAGTCTGAAATCATTTTTTTCACCAAGCCAGGCAATCGCCATGTTTGTATCAAAGTTGCGGTTATTCATCGAGTATAACAAAATAACAATGCATCGTTTGTATAAGACACCGTATTACCGTATACAACGGTAGACAACGGTATTATTTTCTTACTAAGTCCTATAGACTTAATAGGCTTTCCTGCATGATAATAAAGTAAATTTAATACGGAATTAGCTAGATGAAAAAATCAATCCTATATAGGCGAGTTTGAGAAAGTCTCAACAAAGTCGAAGACGCCAAAGTCAAAGAAAGAATGATTTATCATCAACATTCTTTTCCGTTTAATATCAAGTTCCGTTTTGAAGTGCTTTGAGGCGTTGTCAAACATCATCGGCTTTCTAGGACCTTTCTTTGTGCACATATTTACAGTTTTTATAAACGTATAGCTACAGGCACAGAGGACCTACAGGCTATATTTGATTAATAATTAATAATTAAAGTTTTAGATGTCAAAGTTGATTTTAGTGAGCGCGAACTAGAACATTTCATCTAGTAATTACAATTCCTTGCATACTATTTTCTTCATTTTCATCCGATTTAAAAACGGAGACATGCCAACATACATATAACTAAACAAACGATAGCTATACATACAAGGTCGCGTGCACTTTTTTAATCCTTAAAACTTGTTTTCGTTCTATCACCTAGCGTGTTTTAGGTGAGTGGTAAGTAGGTGAGTGGGGTCCTTTGGTCAGACTGATCTATAGTACTCAGATATCATAATATATGTATAGTAATCGGTACATCTCACGTGCGCGGAATACATAAATGAAGTAAAGAGTATAGCTACTATCGCGGACAAACTAAATTTTCATGCAGCCATTTGTATATGTATATACGTATGGCTATCTATATCATCAGCAGACGTATATATTTAGGGCATAATAGAACCACAAACCCTGAAGCATAACGGAATAAGCAAGAAAATATTCTTAGATGTGCTTACGTCTATTCTCGTCTTGTCCGTGAACAGTTAGGATATGAAACGGAACCAAAGCGACGACGAGGGAGAGCCAGCGAAGCTGCGCCATGACAATATTTTAGGCGAGACGTTTTCACGTATGGTGACAGCAATATACACACCCGTCAGCCGGTATTCTGATCAAATGATCTGCAGGAGATGCAGACAAGGTTGAACCACGCTTGAACTGCGCTGAGTTATTAATCTGGCGCATGTGTCAACGTATAGAGGAGATCTGTTATTCTGGCATTATACATAGTTTGATTTTCAGTGACATCTGATATAGGATGTATGTAAAGTTATTGCGGAAAAGGACAGGTGGCCTTTCCCCGCAATTAGTAGGTGATGTGCTATCCTGCAACATGATACTAAGGATTCCTATTCAACAAACACAGCTAACTTTGCATGCCATTTATTTGTGGTTTAAGGTTTAGTGCCGTAATGTTCTCAAAAAACCCTTCAATTCATATTAACTGCGTCTAGACCTTATCACTTTATACTCTAATTTTAACTATAATGTTCTTTACTATCCGGATACCTATTGCATGTTGCCATGTTGGTTATTATCAACAGGCGACGAATTAGGGCCGGATTTGACACCATACTGGATTGTAATCGCAGAGCGGGCCGAACTTTGTAGGTATAGAGATTTTCAATGTCATGGACGCAAATAGATATGCTTATAATCCGTCAAATCCATGGGAACTTGCTCACCGGCAAACGAAGAGATGTCGTGACCAGTTGAGTCCGCGGTATCGTAGATATAGTCTGGGCTTAAATAGTTTTTTTTTATTTATATCGTTGGATTATTATTTGTTGAAGACTCAACTGAAGTTGGCTATGGAAGAGGCTAATCAACACATATCTTGAGGGTGTCCCCCAAGAATGCCTTACAACATATTGTGTTACATGCGCAATTATATACTTCAGGGCTTTATATTCTAATTTTCTCACTGCGTGCGTTGAATAACAAGCATATCAAAGTAAGTTGATAATCAGTTGTATAAATTAAGAAGAATGTGTCGTTATCTGCAGGTGTTCAAACACTGTAGATTGCACTGTTTTAGTTGACAGCAAGGTCAGCTGCAACATCTTATGGTAAATACATTGTACAGTATGCATATTTCATTAAGATGGGATATTTCAAATTTTAGACAAAATCATTCGACCGACGACTCGTCAATCATATGCGCGTCCTTGCAGATCAGTTTGACCACCCCAAAATGGACCCCCTTTTGAAAAAGGAATGAATTATTTTGTGCAGATATTAACTTTATAATTGGAAACTCAATTTATTCTTTAAATAGATATTTAACAAGCAATATAAAAATATTACAGAAGGTTGAAAATACAGAACGTAAATTTATTATTCATCCATCTGGTCCAGTGGTCCTTCTAGTTCTATATTGAAAGCTTTGCATCAATAATATTACTAACTACGTTGTGTATTCCCAAACTAAAATGCAATAATATAAATTTTTATCATATAATTACATATTCGAATTTTTATAATATTATACTTTATTATTATACTATGCCCCAATTTCAAATCCTCGCGGAAATATTATTATATTTGCACGATTAGCAATAATACAGAAAACAAAATTTAGTGAAAGAACAAACACTAAAGTCTAAACTAAAATGTTTCATTTGCATTTCCTTGCATAGATAAAAGAGTAGTCTATAATGCAAGTAGGTCTATTGGGACATCAATTTCGTAGTTGAAAAAATCCCAAACTAAAAAAACATTTAGCTTTAAACCGTGTCTTGGTCATGTTTGTAACTGAATAATACAATGGAAGTAGAAAGAGAAATGTAAATGGCTTAACTGGTCGATTCGCCGGAAATTTGCCAAAAATGGCGCGACAACTTTATTAAAACTTTTAAAACGATCCTGCATCAGATAACTGACCAGATAGCATTGACATTCTTTTGCAAGCCATTCATTGCTTTATTTCGCTGCGCGGTTATTCAAATCCACGCCAAAATAATTAAATTTTAAAAAATCATCGAAAGGACCGGATTTTCAATCCCAAAACCCGACAAGCGCAGACCCTAGGCAAATTTGGTTAATGAAAACTGCGACTATCCAATTTCATATAATTGGAAATTTTGATTTGCAGCTTTTTTCAACCAGCGGCATGCAGCGGTAACAGGCTTTTTGATGTTTTTGTTATATATATATATGTCAAAGTTCATCGTATATCTCGTCGTAATTCGACTCAAGCCTATTTCAATATAACACGTTGTACATAAAATTACGACACAATATGACGAATTATTGCGTATGCAGGAAATCCATGCAGCCATATACGTTATAAGTAAATCGGAAAGAATTGGTAATCACGGAGATAAAGGCAGGACTTGCATGTGTATCGTTGAACTTCATGCAGTAGCAATTCTGCAACAGTATTGGTGGCAAATAAACATAACTAAAAATCGCTGAAGTTTCATCCGTTGTAGTTTGGTGCTGGATTTAGGAATCCTACAAACAACAAAAAATATCCAAATATCCAGAAATTGATTGGAGTGCATGAAATTGAAAATATATATACATTATAACAGAAATTGTATAGGCACGTGGCGAATATTACTAAATACTGTTTTGCAAAATAGAGAATTTGTACATTTGATACATGCACTTTACAAAATATTTGCTATACATATATATAGTAGCTATATATATATACCTTTAAATTCTACCAAATTTTTTTTTGGAATTTGTCTTTTGGTTTTCTGTTTTTTATATAAACCTATTCATAAAGAAGAATGAACAGCATTAGTCACATTTGTCTAAATTCTTGCTTAAAGGGACGTTGTTGATTTTACACCGCCCTGTGTCTACACGGTGCAATTTTTCTTCAAACTTGCAATTGCAATTCTACTTTTATAAGAAGCGAAAATAAGTGAAGAGCCTTGAAAATGTAAATGGAAGCGTCCATAGAGTGTAATAAACATAACGGTCTTTCAAAAGTAGAACTGTATTGCATGTTGTATAAAAATTGCAGCAACGTGAAACAGGGCCCTTAGGATTTTGTGTCAGTTCACTCGATGTGGGATAATTGCTAAGCGTTAATTTCGAGTGGAAATCATACACAACTCAGGCCAGGTTGTAGAAATGAGTTAACTATTGGTCCTCCGCAGGAATAGAACCTACGCCTTCGTGATGCCAGTGTAATGCACGTGCCACTGAGCTAAAGTGGTAGCTGACAAAGATGTCAGTCGTCAGTGACGTCAGCTACCTATTTGTAGCTCAGGGGCAAGAGCAAGAGATCAAAAGTAAGTTTATTTGCGAATTTAAATCGCTTATGATAACATTTTTAAATCGTTTGACTGATCCGTGATATTGATTGCATGAATAAGAATTGACTGCATGACTATAGTTTTTGACGAGATATCGTGCCGGTAATGTAAAGTTTTCGGTTTTCCGTTAAAAATACGAAATTACTATCTGCAATGAATAATTGTTAATATGGGCTTGTGTCCTGTTGGTGCATGGAGAGGATATTACTGATATCCTGGCCGCCATCTTGTACTTATGGAAAATTAAATCTTACCACGCTTAGGTTGGAATAAGCTACTGTCACTGAATGGATCACCTTGTCTCATCTTTCTGAAATATAAATGTCATTCATTATCCAGCAAGATATTTGTGTGCACACAAATGGAGCTTGCTTATAAATATAAAAACATTACCATACAGCCATCAAGTTGTCACTCCAAATTGCATGGACAGCGATTCTTATGGATGGTTTGGACGAAATGTGCATGCATGTGCATGCAAGGCTACAGCTGATTATATCAAGGTTGTCCACCTTACTTCAATAAAATCCGAAAATCTGACCGGGCAAAGTATAATAATTTTATCATTACTGATGGGCAGGCCTAATTAAATTAGCCGTGAAGTTGAGAACACAACCTACTCTCAGGTTTGTGCGGAGGAATCTGATTTGTCTCTCGTGATAGTGAATCGAGCGGCCCATGCATTCGCACGGCAACAATCCATCACAGAAGTCTGCGTGGGTGAATTGTGGTGAAGACCGATATCACACGGGGAGTGGTTGTATTGGCTATTTTCAGTTCACAAACCTGTTTAACGATGGTTCCTTGTATCCTTTAAAACCCTCATACATATTTCTTCTCCTTAACATTCGTTTTTCAGCACGCAAGGCAAACGCTGGCGAGATTTGGGGGCTATCAGCGGTGAGATTAGCTGCAAACCTTGAAATTTTCACGTCTATAAGAGGAGAAAATGACATGGACGCTATGTTGCAGAGTTATGGTCAGAGTAAGAATCAATGTAAGAATCGGAAGATATACTACACCTTCGGGCGTGGTCGCAGATCGACGGACAGAGGCCCTCGTGTATCGAACAGGAGGACTACAGTCAGGGGAACTCAATGAAGGACACTGCTGAACAGAATTTGTAACATGGGAGTCTATGTTCATTGACCCCGGATTCATATATACACTTTCCGTTGTGCTATTGCGGTCATCGAGGCAATCCATTTCTTCGCCAATTTCAGTGTTTTGTGTGGATTCGAGGATTAAGTACAAATCGGAAATTTCTACAGCTGCATGGCGGTCATCAGCATTGCTGGATGGATAAGGTGTGTTGGTAGGTGGGACACTCCATGTGGGGCACTGTTTATTATCACTTGCAAGATGAGGGTCTAGCTCCATCGACCCAGATTGGGTATATTCACCCACACGTGTGCTGCTATTGGTGTTATCGTGTTCGGGGTTCACTTCTCCCTCAAGCTGGTTGTCCTGCGGGGTTCCGAGATCTAGACGCAAGTCTGGAATTTCGAGAGGCGAACGGCGGTTATCCATTGTGCTGAGTAGAGAAGGTGGATTGACGGATGGCGTTGAATTGCAGAGAGGATCAGGAGTCGTCATCTCACAACTGTCCGACATGGAGGAGGAGGATGATGGGGATGGTGTAAAATTTGTAATCGACATCGCCGCTTCTTTGCTTCTCTGCATTGAGTCATCGCATGAGATTTCCAACGGCATGGGACTGTTCAATACAGGGCAGATGTTATTGCTATTTATAGCAGAGTTTGCCGAACTGGAAACTGGCTATTTTTATGTTTTGAAGATCATGATGAGTATAATCTTTTAAAATGTCAAGGTTTACGCAAGCTTTACCAGCGGACAATTCGCTTAGATATACGAGAAGAGCCATCTTTCTCAAATTATGTGAAAATTTTTTATCATAAGAAGGTAGAAAACTCTTGAGTTGAGTTGAATTTATTCGCCATTTTCACGCCCCCTTGCTAAATCTACCTATTATTCGAATAAACGTCTTACTCGAATTAACGGCTCATGGAAAAGCAAAGGTATAAAGGTATTGCAACCACTGGCACTGAGACTGAGCCATTGCAACAGCACAAAGGCATATAAGACGCCACATCTTGAAAGCTGCTATCAACGCTTTGTGCGCCTCAACTATACACTAAATTCCACCGGTCTGTTTGGAAGCTTAAAAAAATATTCATGTTTTCGATGTCTATGGTGCAAGGATCGGTCTTAATAAGGCTTTTCAATAAAATTGGCTGCAATTCTCCTCTTTTAATAGATGTGAAAGAGCGAATAGTTGTAGATGTTTGGATGTATATGTGTGTGGAATGTGGATGTATATATTATTCACATATTATCCACATTTAAAAGATCAAAATCGCATCTAAAATCGCTGCAATAATTGCCGTTTTAAACAGGCTTTATATATTACATGATACTGTAATGTTGACGCCACCACTGAGTTGTAACTCTTCAAGTCTTCTTGTGAAATCCATGGATAAATCAAACAAATTTATTTTGAAAGCTCCTGGAAGCTTTACTTATAATTGGGGGATAAAGCCATTTTTGGCCGGGTCTGATTCATTTTCTTTTCAAAACGTCACACTGCCACTGAGCTAGACTGGTGGGCAATCTTATAAAACCGTATCACTTACCTACACACGTCAGGGCAATTTTGACTCTCGCCATTTAGTAAACGGAACATTTTATCAATCGACTCATCTATTTCGCCAAGAAAAACTGTCGACTCCAGCAATTTTTCCGTTGCTCTTTGGATACTCAAACGCAATGATTGGCATTCACCCTGCCGAATTGAGAGTAACACTTGCAAAATTAAACTTATTATAGTTAAACTTAGTTAAACTTATTATAACTCTACGCAGAATGAACCAAGCAATCATAAAAATTTTTACAGTGGTGCACATACTGCTCTACAAGCTTCAGTAACTCAGAGTCAGGCTGAGCATGCATGCAGCCTCAGGACAAGGAGGGGGAGGAGCAGGGTCGTGCGACCCCCCAACCTAATAATTCCCAGAATCGGTTTTTTGATTTGTCCTAATTCAATTATAAGGCAAGTTACAACTTTAAAGCTTTACTAAAGTTAACGAGCAAACGTTCTGATTTATTCTAAAATTTGAACTGTCAAAAAATTCTTGAAGCACCACTGTTCAGTCTTGATTATCGGTGGGTGATGAGGGGGGGGGGGGTGAGAGATGGACTTGACCGACTTGATTCATCTGGATGAACACAAATACCTTTAAAGTGTTAAGGTCAATAGCCTGCTTTGAGCTGTTTTCTTCCTTAATTTTCTGTAGCTGGTTATTCAACATCACGCATTTTCCTCTTAATTCATGCTGATACTTTTTAAATTGCAATCCCTGATCCTCCAGCTCTGCAATACGTAATCTGGCCTTACCTAAACAGATTACAGGTTAGGGAGCATTTAGCATCCTGTCCATGGGCCACTTTATACATTGACTAAAAGTAATTTTCTTAGTGCTAATTCCTGGCCTGGCCCATATACAGGGAGTATGCACATCACTAGAAATTTTCACCCACTGTAAAATTTTCACAAATATTCCCCCAAAAATTAATAGGAAACTTAATCAGTTTCTACTGAGATTTTACAATCTTTAGTATTTTCCATAATTATGTAATTTGTGCTGTTGATGGAATAGAAACCACAGCATCTCTAAAGAGCTAGGATTCACTTGCTGAATGTGGGCTATGAAGGATCTTCCCACCTGTAACATAAAAAATTACTTACCTAATGCAGTGGCCAATTCACGGTTATTTTTAATCATCGTCAGGCTACTCCTTTGGCACTGCCCTGTAGTGAATAGCAATCATTTATCAACATGTTTCTTTTCCTAGGTAGATTTGTGCTGCAGTACCAGCAATATTGTTGATTGTTAATTTCAAACAAAATGCTTGATATGATCATTTTTTGGATAGTCGAGGTTCCTACAGCAGGTATTTTTAAGATAACTACCCCTAATGGGAAAAGAACATTGTCAAAGTTCAAAATGATAGTCGCAATAATAACTAACCAATCTCTGCAATCAACCATTATATAATGCTAGATGCTCTCATTCCCCACGCCTAGGGCCTGTTGTTTCAAGACATTTGATTGCACCCTTTTTTCAAAAATAGGTTGAAATTTGAAAAACTCGACAATTCAGTCACAATTTATATATAATATATTGCTGGCAAATTGAAATATTGCAATTTTTAAATCGGTGTGCATGTAAAATAATTTGTAAACAAATTTGACTTCAAAAATTTACTGTTATTTCTCGTTGTCCTTGATGTGACGTTTGCACTGTTGTTAATGCTCGTTTTTCGAGATTGTCCTGATTTATCAATGGTGCTTGATTTCCTCTAAAAAATGAAATTAAAAACGTTATTTTGCGTGTTAATAGACGATGATGATCGAACCTGAAATAATATTGTTAAAGATCATACACCTGCTTCTTGCTCGCTACAAAGTATAAAGACGAGCGTTTTCGTTTTTCCTGGGATTGCATGTCGATACTTTTTGTGGATACAATCTCAACAATGCTTTTTCCCTTAGCTATTTTTCTACTTTTCTCTTCTACTTTGAGACAGGTGTGGCAATATTAAATATTAGCTTTTGCAACTTTAAACGGTCATCCATGTCAACAAACGAAAAAAATTCAAATGGTCGCGCGTTTTCCGCGAAATTTTGGCGCACGCGCGAAAGCCCCGCCGAGCAGGCTTCCAATGATGAAATTTATCATGACCTTGATGACCACACATGCCCTGAAGACAATTATTCTTAGCTAGGCCTAGTGCAAACAACTAAACCAGACTCATCTTAGATTGAAAAATAACAGTTCTGGTGAAGAGGCTAGAAAGTATCGTCTACATGGCTGGATTATATTGCATCACCACTTCAGATGAACACAATATAACATCACCATTCACTAGCGGTTTGAGCTTTAAAGAATACACTCTGTTTTATAATAGCAGTTTGTACTATAAACCGCTTTTAGTGGGTATCACTCGTTTCATAATCGTGTTTAATGAAATTTGATCTATTTAGATTTCAGTAAATATTAATTGTGTTTCAAGCTAAATTGTCTTTCATTTATTGTTGTCCATAGTCTTGAAGCGTGATTGTCTGGAAAAATCTGTGATTTAATCAAGATCACCATGGAGATCAGTTGAGAACAAAGCAACCAGCAAATTTAATCCATCAGTGATCAGTTAGCATCAGGCGATGGAATTTTTAATTTGTATGAAATGTGACGTGGGGCTTTATTTATATTATTTTTATGCGAGTGAATCTCTTCTTTCGTGAAATACGTGAATATAATCGCCTGTATAAATATATATGGCTGCCATGATCTTTTATAAGGGAGGGATAGATCAATTGTAATCGGAAAATGGCCACTTCAAAGCAAGGGCTACATGGTCGGTCGTCGTTTCGTTTACGACAGCTTTATCCAGCTATTATTGGAATCAGCTTGGGCTTTGCTTTCTCGATGTTTTACATTCCTGTCACCTTGGACGAAGAACAATGTGTATTGGACATGCAAGTCACTGAAGAACAGGGCACAATGAGTTACCGCTCAAACAAGGCAGAACGTGAAGAAAAGGTCGTGATCGGCGCGACTGTAAAGCCCAAGCCGTCGAAATACGGCCCGTCATTTCGGCCTTATTACGTGGCCAGTGAAATAACACAAAGAGATCGCATTCTCGTCGGCATTCTGGCGACGGAATTTAATTTAGAAACATTAGGAACGGCAATAAACAACACATGGTTACCAGATTTACCCAAAGCAATACTTTATGTACCATATTCGAAAGATCCAGACTTTCACGAAAAGTATAACAAAGTTCTAGGCCTTCCCATAGTTCAGTTAGCCGGTGCAGAGGAAGACCATTCATCTAACACCAGAGTTTCATTTAAAATGTTAGAACACATGCATAAGAATTATCACAATAAATATGACTGGTTTATGCGAGTTGAGGAGGCAACATATCTTGAGCCAGGTAGATTGATTAGGTTGGTAAATATGATTAATAGTTCAATGAATGTGTATCTGGGTCTTCCTGCACCATACAGTGCTAAAGATGACTCTCAACCTACTGACCTGTATAATTCTGAACGATACTGCCAAGGAAAGGCTGGAGTGATACTCTCCAGGGTGACCCTCACTACAATTGTGCCACATCTGGATAGCTGTCTTGAACAGGCAATAACAGACGAAGAGGACATTGAGTTAGGTCGTTGTCTTCATAGGCACTTGCATCTTCAATGTACTTGGAATTATGAGGTTAGTTTCAAAGTGTATTATGTATTAAAACAATATTATCCATACCATATAGTATAAAACTGAGAAAATAAATCAGATTAATCCACCTGAATGTATAGATTATATTTGTATTTCTACCCTAGTTTTTTTTCATAGCATAGACAATTAAATAGAATTCTATTACTCTACTACTTAATCTTGTTTGCCATTAATCATTAATTCATCTGCATCACATAGATGGAGCAGTTATTTGTTGAGGTCCCAGAATCCTTAGAAACTCCAACATCAGTTAATGTGAAAAGTTGGTTGGCAAAACCATCAATGGGAAAGGAAGTGTCTCTGTTTCCAATGTCATCAGCAAAACTCATGTACTACATTCATCAGTATTACACTGAAGTGGAGCTCAAGTGGACCTTCCAGGAGACAAAAGATATACAGGAGAGAGTCAAAAGTTTGTTGCCCTTTCTTCCTGATGGTATGTTTTCACATTTAAGTTTTGATTTCTAGTTATCCTTTGCTGATGAAATATTGGCAATTGCAAAGAAGATTAAATTTAGCGTGTGAACAGGAGGCATCCTAAACATCCATGGTTCGCCGAGGGTTTAGAAATGTTAAAATTTGGACCTCTATAGATTGTCAGAAACAGCCTTACCAGAGGCGTAACACTACATATAGACCATCTTTGAACATTGAAATGATGTGTCTTACCTGTGGTAGATTGTATAATCACAGAATACCTATCAGAAGTAGAACTCCTGTACTTTTTTCGTAAGTGTGATTCGTCATGATTCGTCACTTAGCAAGTGCATTAAATTAAGGTAATCACCCCCTGCCAAAATTTAGCAATATCACGTGCGCCATATTGCTAAATTTTGGCAGGGGGGTGACTACCTCAAAAAAATGCACTTGCTAAGTGACGAATCATGACGAATCACACTTACGAAAAAATAGTATAGAGTTATTCTTCTGATAGGTATTCTGTGGTATAATACCAATAAATCACTAATACTGCAGTAAAGTATAAAATAAGGTAAAGAACAGGCATATCTGGATACAGCACAACACCAGCCCGCCCCCCCAACAATTTTTTGCACATATATAAACAATCTAAAAAAAGGGCCTGGTGGAAAGTGGGGTGGAAAACTTGTCCATCCCATGGTGATGCCACTGAATTTGCACCCTGTTAATTGTTGCATCTAGGTTTGGGGCTTTGGACCTTACCACTGTAGGTAATACGTACCAGTCTGATGCATGCTGTACACTATGGACTTAATGAATTACTGTTCACCCATTATATCTTCAAACAGAAACAAAAAAATAGTCGGATATATAGCAAATAGATTAATGTGTACTCACCTAATTAGGTAAGCAGTTAGGAACAGAACTACATCTATCATACCTGTACACATCACTACTGTAGCGATGTGTACAGGTATGATAGATGTAGTTCTCTACATATCTGTAGCTACATCATCTTATGACAGGTGTGATAGAAAAACGTCCAACTTGGCCCATCGCATTTCCTCATCCCTACGTCCCGAAGACAAGATTCGGTGTGATTGGATGGCAGTACTTTACACGAACGCACATGTATGGCTTCACCGACGACAACCCGGAGATCGCACTGGAAGGCGAGTACAAAGAGGATATAGACGAAGTTTACGAAACCTCCATTAAAATGCTTCAGGATGAAATTGGAAGCCAGTACAAGGTATTTCGGCTCATAAATGGTTACCGGAAGTTTGACATGCTACGAGGTACGGACTATCTATTGGACATCGGCTTGAAGACCTCGGCGAGTTCTAAAGATGAGATCAGAAAGCGCGTTCAACTCTTGAGACCGTTGACCATTCTGGAGAGTGTTCATATGCCGCATCCGGCCACACAACGAGGCGTCTATCTTGTCTTGCCTGTCAAAAAGTGAGTGATACTTAGTCTCTGCAGATTCTGACCTTTTGGTATACCAGCGCTGCTTTCGCGGCCCGGGTTGTCCACTTGTTTGAAGGAATTTCTTTAGCTGTTAAAAAGAAAGAAAGTCAGACAATAGTTTCTTAGACAGTATTATAGATATAGAGTCTAAACCCACACAGCCTTTAAAGAAAACGGTCCTAAGTGCGATGCTTGTCTTTGGAGTATGAAAAGCACTAACTGTAACTGACGGCTGGGATTCTTCATTAAACGAAACGTGCCATTTTTGTTGTTTTCAGGAATGATGCTCATCGCTTGGAGCGGTTTCTTCAGATGTACCAGACAAACTGTCTTCAAACTGGTGAAAATGTCCTGCTTCTGACGGTCTTTGTCAACCTGCGCGACTCGTCAACTCAGAAAAAAGACAATGTTTTTGGCGATGTTAAAGCCATCTTAACTAAGTAAGTTAATAGTAACCGAAGTCTCCAACCATAAATATATTGTCTGACTAAAACCTAGATGTTTTACTTACTTTGTCTGTTGAAGTTTCAGTACACACATATCATTTCGTCAGTATATATAAAAGAGCGTTAATAGAAATTAATATGATTGCATAGGTTCAAGGAAAAATACAAGTGGGCTCAGGTTCCGTGGATACAAGTTGGTGCAAAGCATTATTCCACTCGCCTGTTGCTGGATATTGTCTCCATGAAGCTTCCAGCTAGTGCCTTGATATTTCTTGCAAGCCTAGACATCGACTTTACAGTCAGTTTCCTTAGCCGCTGTCGTATGAATGCCGTCGATGGCGATCAGGTACGAAAAGACAAATTATCTCTCAGGCAAAGCCCCTGATAGCAACGTATACGTATATGTACAGAGAGTGTACATCATGCATGTGTATAATAATTATTCATATAGCTATATAAGATTATATAATTATGTGAACTTATAAGTTCAAGGTATAATTCCCACCATCTGGCCGGGTCCTATATATCTAGAAAATTCATTTTGTCATTCATTCATTATGACAGACAGATAACTTTCCCGCATGTTCTTTCCAGCGTGGCGCAAAGCGAATAACTAACTTGATGCTATACCTCGCGTTATGAAACATTTCTGTTCATTTCACAGGTGTTTTTTCCAATTCCGTTCGCGTATTTCAATCCTGAAATAGTGTACCGCAACAAGCTCAAACCTGAAAAGATCGAAGTCAGCAAGGACACTGGTGTTTGGGACACGCTTGCGTACGACTTGATCTGTTTTCGAAACCAAGACTACAAAGAATTACGGGTCCATCGCGACTCGTTCCTGCAAGAAGGGACGCCGGAAGACAAGGATATCCTGAAGATATTCCAAGCCAGCTCGTTTCGTATTTTCCGTGCCACGGAGCCGGAGTTGCGAAGAATTTTCGAAAAGAAATCGTGCCGTGAAATTACTGATCGCGCTGAAAACGAAAAGTGCATGGACTTCTTGAGAAAACGAATGGGAACACGGTCGCAGCTTTCAGCAATCCTACTAGAAAAAGAACCTCAAATTCACTAACGCAAGCATGCGAAGAAAATATTTACATGCTGCCCAAGAAAACGAACCCTGGAAATTCACCTAATTTGTAGGATTTTTTACTTGAATATCCTCGTTGAAGCAACCTGGTCACTGAGTAGTATATTAAAAAATTCTTTCAGAAGTGTTAAATGCAGGGAATTAGTTATTTTTCCAAAGGCATGTACGCTTGCATACATAGCTAGAACGTGTTTATAACGGCTACAATCAGGCATCGAAATTAGAACATGCAATGGTGAATTTCTTGGGATTCGCTTTTTCGGGACACCTGTTATAGGCTATTTATAATTATATGCACACAATAACTGAATAGAATTTTTTTGTTTCTGTAGTGTTTCAGTTCATCAATATTATTTACTTCTGTCAGGCGCAGTTGTACATAAATTTTCAGAATATCACTTTATTTCAATTGATTACTCGGGTCTTTTACTTAGCTTTAAGGCTATGTCAACTGTAAGATACTGTTAATGCATGGAAGGAGATAATAGTGTTTGTAGTCGTATAACTTTGACAGAACTGCTCAATTCAAATATCCCGCCGCACGAAGACTAAAGACGAAGACTATACTATTCCCAGTCAACCTCGGCCGAAAGACGTCTTCGTACTTCGTTGCCTGGCTCAAACTCGCTCATAGTAGGGAGTGGCGGACATTTACAAGGTATCCTGCCAGCTCTAGCCAGCTTGATGATTCAACATTTGAATATATGGGCCCCTATAGTTGTAAGGAGCTATATGACTATACTTCACTGGTGCCTGCTCATTTGGCAATGGCTATATAATGTGCATCACCTGTTAATTCGACATGTGACCTGTGTAACGACTTTGTACGGCCTCTAAGGCCACATTCATTTCTCTTCTTTCACTCCAGGTTTACTGCTATATTCTTTGTTTTGGTTTGTTTTGGGTTCAATTTGGGCTTTTGAACGAATTGCTGACGGAGGCTAATAGCCAGATCGGCGTCGATACCTCATTGGGAAAATATTGATTCAAATCACTGTCAGACGATTTGTTTTGAAAATGTACTCGACTATTTACGCGTACATGCAGTTCAACAAAGAATAACATAAAGCTAGGTCGAAATGGGTCTGAGCACCAGAAGGCGGTTTTATTCACTGACGTTTGTTGTGGCTACGGTAACTATATATTTGACAGCCGTGGTATGGCTCTTCGTCCCAAAACCGGGGAGCGAAGTCTTAATTGTTGATGAACGGCTCACAGAGCACAGACACGGAATTCGGACACGTTCCCAAGACAAGGAGGCCAGGACAATGCGACAAAATATACAGGCCTTTGAGAGGGACTACGTTGTCGTAAAACCTCGGAAATATACCAAGGAGCGTTTTTACGAAGGGTTTATGGGCCTTGACCCGGCAGCATTAAAAAAGAAATTTTTTGACATGTATAGTTTTAATTTGTTGGAAAGCTCAAAAATTGGACTTGAAAGAAAAATACCGGACAATAGACCTCAAAAGTAGGTGACGTGTTGTCTTCCAATTCAGCCATTAGATTCCGATTTTTGGGCTTCTATTTTAAAATGGACCAAAACATGTTTAACACTGTTCGCTTTGGACCTGGCGATTGTTTTTACGATTGCATTGTTCTTTTCACTTGTTTCTGTTTTGCTTTGTTGTCTATTGTGCATTTCTGTTGCCTGTTAACAGGCCATGAATAGATTTGCGTAAAATGTGCCATGCAATACAGTGAAGCTCATTTTCCACTGACTGGGCAAATTCGCCAAGACGAACTACGAACTTCGTGATTGGCTGGCGAAAATTCCATTTTTAACTACTTTTTCGCTGACAAATCACGTTGCCGGATTTCGGTTCCATTACGCGAATTTGCGGCGTTTCAAGCATTTCAATTATTTGAGGGTTTGTCTATTTTCTTATAGGTGTTTCACACTGCAGTATCCAGTGATCTTACCTTCAGCAAGCGTTATAATCATATTTCACAACGAAGCATGGTCGACTTTACTCCGCACCATTCATAGTGTTCTCTCGAGATCGCCGCCTGCGTTTCTGAGACAAATCATTTTAGTGGATGATTGCAGCGACATTGATGACGGCTTCGGTAAGTTCGCATGTAAGCACGAGCAAGTTAAACCCTAAAAACCGTGAATTCCAAGTTTACCCAGCTTTAACATAAAAATGAATCATATATATAGGTGAGGCATAATTATGGGTGAAACAAGGGTGGTCTATAGACTATATAGTGCTCGCAGGCGGTCTTCAAGCGCAGTTCTGAGTCTCAGACCAATTCTAAAATGTGGTGCTGGCCAAGTATAGGCAAAGTACTGTAGCTGAAAAGGTGAAAAGAAAAGAACATTTGGCGGAAAGCATGCAAGGGTAGGGGGGGGAGTTCAAGCTGCGAGGGTAGAGTTGAAAAACAATTGCGACGAGAATGGAAGGTCGTCTGTCTGAGAACCAAAGAAGAAACTGTGCAGGAGGCAAACTATGGCAGTGAGGGGAAGGAAGGAAGGCGAACTGTAACATATCGAGGGAACTCAGCGAAGAGTAGCTTGGTTGTAGGAAACTATGGCAGGGATGGGAGGGGAAGCAAACCAAGGCAGTGCATAGGGATAAGAAATCTGTAATGTATGAGGGCGGGGAAAGAACACAGTCGCAGTGCATTTGAATGTCAAACAAATTGTATACAAATATTTGTGATTTGGAAAACGTACAATTGCAAGGAAACTTTACTCAATAATCCATCTATCTTTCTAAGTTCTCCTCCCACGATTGGGGAAGCCTATTCGTCTCACCATGCACCCGAATTTGGATAATGTCAACGGTCAACTCTCATCATTGTTTTACTTACAGGGCACTTGGGATCGAAACTAGACAAATATCTAGAAACCTTGCCCAAGATCCACTTGTTGAGATCTCCCCGACGCGAGGGGATCGTGGCAGCTCGAATGCGCGGGGCAAGTCTGTCCCGAGGGGATGTGCTGGTGTTTCTTGACTCACATTGCGAGGTGAATAAAGGATGGCTGGAGCCAATGCTTGCCAGGATAGCTGAGGATAAGACACATGTAGTTACACCTGACATTGAGGTGATTGATTTCGAAACATTCAAATATGCGGAGAGACATGACCCAAGCATTGGGGTATTTAACTGGGAGATGCTGTTTAAATGGCGTAAAATGGATGCGTTTGAAAAGCTTACAGAAATCCAAGGGCTACCTTTGAGGTTTGTAATTTTTTCTTAATCCACCACCCTTCGCACAGCATGCAGGCCACTGATTTGTAAGAGTCCTTATATTCGAACATTGATACAATATCCGCTTGTTATGAATGGAGGAAAATTGTAAGGTAATCGGAAAATTTAGAAATTGAAGACTTGAAGTAAAGGCTTTGATGCTTTACGCGATTGAACAACCTTGTTCTAGCTACTTATAGCATCGAAAATGATCTTAATTCTTCATAGCATTGACATGTCGTCAATTAGAGCAAAATGAGATTTTAGTAAAAGATATGTAACATTACTTAACACGTATACGTTTTACATCAGAGCATGTATACTGAATGTTTAGTTTGTTGATTAGGTTTAATTTTTACTCTATAATCAAGTTCTCTATATATAATTGGTAATTATTGTTATTGATATAAGCTGGGTTGGATGACAGTTCAAACTCATATACATACGCTCTTGTTTCAACATACAGACACTTTTGCACATCATGGTATACATATTATATTTGAATTTCTGATTTGCATGCATTTCGGTCTGCATGCGCTGAAAAAATGCCACAGGCCTCGCCAAAGGTTAATCCTGCCCTGATAAGTATGCATGTGCGTCTATAGGTCACCGACTATGGCAGGAGGTCTGTTTGCAGTGTCTAAAACGTTCTTTTACGACTTGGGAACTTATGATACGAAGATGTCATACTGGGGAAGCGAAAACCTGGAACTTTCGTTTAGGGTATGTACATGCACGAGATTCGTATAGAGAATTTCATAGTCGCGCTGTAGTTTTAGGCTACGTGCACACCGGAGCGCCGTTTTCGAGCGTTTTCAAGAAAAAGAAGATTTTGGGCACTTCACGTTTGAAAACAATACAATAATTTTTACCAGGGCTAGGCTTCAGAAATCTGGCACTTGTTTTGAAAGTTGGAAATGAATTTTGCCCTTTCGAAATATTTAATATCGAGTTACCATTTATTAATATACGTATAGATATGGATGTGTGGTGGCACGATAGAAATTATGCCTTGTTCAAAAGTTGGTCATGTCTTTCGTGACACAATGCCGTATAAGACGGGGCCGGGAACAGCAGAAAGGAACATCAAGCGTCTAGTTGAGGTTTGGCTAGACGATTACAAATCATTTGTGTATTCAATGAAGTCGCAGCATTTTCGGGACATGGACGTCGGCGATCTAACGGAGCGACACGAATTGAGAAAAAGATTGCAATGCAAGAGTTTCTCTTGGTATCTTCAGAATGTCATTCCTGATTTACGTATCCCCGATATGAATCCTTTGGGAAGAGGAGAGGTACTCAACGTTTCCAATGTTGTAGGCGGTGCAGATTTACTAAGCTTCAAAAAAGCGCTTCAATAGAATTACAATTTTATTTGCCAATAAAAATAATCGTGCACTGTTGCTCGTACAATTCGGGATTAATAGTACTTCTCTTTAATTAAAAATTTGGCCAATTGAAATTGGATTCGCCCAAGCGGCTCGTCCAATGTTGGCAAAATTTAGAACATCGTTATCCCATGATTATACTTCATAATTTGTCATTTCATAAACTTCCTGTGCAGGTGATGAATGAATTTAATGGGATGTGCATAGACACGATCGGAAACAATGCGGTTGGAGGAAAAATGGGATTGTATAGTTGTCATGGAATGGGTGGGAATCAGGTAAGAATAAAGCCCGTCTTCCAGACTTCCACTAGGCGAATTGATTCGCGCGACGCGAAGCGATATCTGAAATCCAGTGATGTGATTGGTTAGCGAAAAATTTCGCCGCGAATCTGTTCGCGCGAATCAATTCGCCTAGTGGAAAACGGGTGTAAATATGGTTCTTTCAAACAACCTAAATTATTGTTGCATTTATAATAAAAGAAATATAAGAATCAGCAAGTATGATCCTTTCAATACCGAAACCCAATTTAAAGTATAGGGTTAGATTGGGGTTGAATTAGGGTTTCGGATACAGTTTGGTTTTTGGTATGGAATAAGTGTTATCATCGACATCGCCCGATCCTTCACATCCAAATCGCGACCAAACAACATTATCCCCTGATATTTTAGTTTTTCATCTATGGAAAAGGCATGGGGTTATGGCACAATGATTTTTGCATGGGCGTTTCGAAACCTGAAACGGGAACAAAAGTCGTGTTGTTTAAATGTCGCACTGAAGATGTGTTGCAAAAATGGGAACATACCAGGGTAAGAACTCGTATATATAAATACACAATACATTAATTAAAAACGCGCTACGAACGAGTACGAAGTCTCAAACATTTTTATCGCACTAAACAGAGCTTCCTGCTGAAGCACCCTATATACTATGAAGGTGTTTGGCCATTTATCCCGAGCACTATATACAGGTGCATGCATGCATGCACCAATCTGAATCTGAATGCATGCTAGCTTCAATCTGAGCAGTCCGTCGGTCCCCATCATTATCCGAACATGTCCAATACCTCTTCCGGCTCTGTAAACGTCCATTGGACATTCCTTTGTTCATCGGATCCATTGGACATAGAAATGTCAATTGGACATTTTTATATCCATCGGATTCATTGGACATTTTGCCTATTGTTGTATATGAAGTAATTCCGTGATGAGACCCCGTGTGGTCATGAGAATGATGCTTCATATTTAATGTACATTGGATCCAATGGAAATTTCCAATGGCAATGGACACTTCACTAGAATCAGTTTTCAGGTCTGCGACTAATGCAATATCGTATCTATAGCAATTTCGTATCGCGCAGACGGGTTTGCCTGATACTGCATAAGATTGGTAGCTGTCTCCTTTTGCCGGAAATTATACAAGAACAGAAGAACTCCGCTCCGCCATTCACTGGCAGTTACCGTTTGCACTTGGAAGAATGTTTCCAAAACATTAGCAATTTTTTGTCCATTATTCCATATATGAGCGGATTTATGGAATGAGACCCAGCAACCCTTAAAACGCCAGCAAAGTGGCGGATCCAATCATGTCTCATCAATAGCCTACCGTAGCCGGCAATTTTTAAAACACGCTTAACACATATGGGAAGAATTCCAACTCCGTAGCAAAGAACAGTGACCAAAGAAACAAGAAAAGCTCGTCGATTTTGAATGAAGTATGAGGTATTTAGATAAGAGCTACAGGTAGTTTGTGGCCGCCCTTGTGCTTGACCAGAAAGCAAGGTTTTCATGTGTTTGTGTTGTCTGACCAGTGATCGACATGTTCTATAATACAGTACAGCCATACACGATACAGGAGCGCAATAAACGAACAGTGAAAATGAATAACGGGTCATCCAATAAGCTTCTCTCCTGGTACGTAGCAAACATTCAGGGACACCTATTCCAAAGCCTGCCAACAAGCCTATAACGTATCCCGAACCACAGCAAACGTAAAATTTCCTTCGGCTAATGACTGGTTTGAGGGGATGTACGGTGGCGCGATAACGAAGCACTGCAATGACCAACATCATGTGGACTCCGGCAAATTGAAAGACGTGTTGGGGCAAATCAACGCAGAAACAGTATAATGTAGAATAAGATAAAGTAAGATCTTTATCGACAAAGTGACGGTTACTAACGATATCCACGAAGTCTAAAAGCACATAGCCCAAATCGCTGATTGCAAGATGGAGAACGAGAAAGTAGTAATTCTTCTTTAACAACTTTCTTTGGATGAGTATAGAGATGACTAACAAGGTGTTGCCGAGTATGCCAAATACGGTAACCGAAACACCCCAATACCTGTATCCATCATTCAATTTTCCCATTCTTAATTTTGGACTGACGCTTGTATATTTTGCGACATTTTATGCGAACAGCTTGTTCAGTTGTTTGTGCGTTCATCACGAGACAAAATGCATGTGCAAATGTTAATATGAGAATATATGAATTTGTTTTATTGCATCTATATACCAGATGTATTCTGCCAATAGGAAGTTAACAAGCGTAAAAAACTCGCTCTGATACTATAGTTAATTGTTTTGAACTGTCATGCAAATACAATACATAAAATACAATAAAAACACTTTCACTTTTGATTACTGTAAATATAACACATGCTGACATGATTATTATATAGATACTCTTTTTAGACAAAGTGAATAAAAAATTACACTAGCCCCATAGACCGACGCGGTAGCTATATAAATATCTGAGAATAGAATCTTTACTGGAAAAATCATGAAAATTTTGATATACGCCGATTTTTTACGCTACGATAAATTTATTAATTTAATGATATAGTTGTTTGTGCGTTCATATCGAGACAAAATGCATGCATGTGCAAATGTTAATATAATAATATATGAATTTGTTTTATTGCATCTATAATAACACAAATACCACACGTATTCTGCCAATATAGGAAGTTAACAAGCGTAAAAAACTCGCTCTAGCTGATACTATAGTTAACTGTTTTGAACTATCATGCAAATACAATAAAAACATTATCACTTTTGATTACTATAACACATGCTGACATGATTATATAGATAATCTTTTTATACCAAGTGAATAAAAAATTACACTAGCCCCATAGACAAAATGCATGTTCAAATGTTAATATGATAATATATGAATTTGTTTTATTGCATCTATAATAACACAAATACCAGACGTATTCTGCCAATATAGGAAGTTAACAAGCGTTAAAAATTCGCTCTGAACTATAATTAATTGTTTTAAACTGTCATGCAAATACAATACATAAAATACAATAAAACACTTTCACTTTTGATTACTATAACACATGCTGACATGATTATTAGATACACTTTTTATATTAAGTGAATAAAAAATTACACTAGCCCCATAGACCGACAGTAGCTATAAATATCTGAGTCGGAGAATGGAATCTTTGCCGGAAAATTATGAAAATTTTGATATACGCCAATTTCTTACGCTACGATATATTTATTAATTTAATGATAGTATCTATAATCGTTTATTTAACATTAAACTAAAATGATATTAAAGCTTAAAATTAATATTTCATCCATGATGCAGACAAAAAAGTGACATGTGAAGGAGTACAAGTCTCTTATGTGAAATATTGCGTAGACACTCGAAGATAGTTAAATCATAATACACATACCGCGGTCAGAACCGTCAAATTTTCTTTTTTAGCGTTTCACAAACGATTTGTGCCAATTTGTCAGGGACTACTGTTCAAATTTGATTGTACCTTTTCATTTAGCTAATGGTGACCAACCTCCAAATGCATGTTTGCTTTTATATAGGGCAGAGAATCTGCATACTCAGCTAACTCCGTGCATGATAACTTAGCGCCAGGCTACAGTATATCTATATTATATACAAAAAGTATTGGTAAAGAATATGAATTTGGTAGATAAACGAGTCGCTGTTTTTAAGCAAGCAGAAAATGCGGTTTAAGTTATACGAGATGATATTTTGGTCCAGTTCCTTGGTCTAACATTGGTTTAAATCTGAAACAACAACCAACGCTCTCTCGGCTTCGACTTCCACTGCAGTCAACCTTTTTCTGTTCCCAGTTGGCTCCCACCTAAAGCAAAAGATTCCTTCTTTCTTGAGGGAATCTTTTGGTTTTAGTGGAAACTAACCGGGAAAAAGTGTAGATCGTATTCGTTTTATAGATACGACAAATTTTAGTACCCGAAAACGCAAAACATCTTATTGATTGGAGAAATGCTTAAGTTCTAACTATATTTTAACTGAAAGAATTTTCCATTTTACCATTTTATCTAGAACGAGTTTATTCGACTATCTGGTCATAATCTGTGTATGGAGCCTACTGTGGAACGCGGCATTGTATTACAGCCATGTACGAATAGCGTTGAACAAAAGTGGACATTTTCATCTTATCCGTATTACGAGAACACTCAATCAAGACATTGACGATACCGAATGAAGCTGTAGTATATATATATAGTTAGTAATATTGTTTCGTTCCATGCATCGACTTGATGACATCAAGTTAATTGCAAAGTTCTAACGTGGATTCGTTTGAATTATAGACCTTTATAAAAAGTGGATGTTGCGACGAAGCATGTTTCTGATTGCTTATATTCGTTGATCTGGCCTAAGTGCCCAATATAAAGTTTAACCTCAAATCCAGATGAACGGAATGGTCGTTTTACCCTACTGAGGGAATGGTTGTTGCAATAGTAATTCTTCTCAACTGGTTTATGCAGTTGCCTCAGTGAAAAAAAAAATGGCGTGAATAATAATCCAGTGTAGATCTACTGGATTGTTACCGTTAATTAAAGCTTTTAAATCATGATACGTGAATGATTCCTTCTCTACGGACGATTTAAAGATTGACAATATTGACCAATTATTTTGGTCAGCGAGCCCGCGACACGATGCACCAATGAACACAAACAAACTTGCAATATGAACTTAGTTATAGGAATAAAAGTGGTGATTTTTTTTTAAATCAGTGTTTCCCTTAGTTAGTGACATCCTGTCACAGTGACATTGTGTCACTGTCATTAAGATCCATGGCCATGCCTAAAACTTAGGTGATAATGATTTTAATTGACCGTTCTTTTGAGGATATGGTTCTTTTAGCGTAGGCCCTGTGCATGGTGGACGCGTAAGGTGTTATAAAAAAACCGGAACCATGTACCAATATAAAAAGTGAGTAATTTTATAACTTTTTAGCAATTGTGTCTTCATAAATCAATTTTATTTGTTAAGGAAAACAACTAAATAAAACAGTTTATAGCTAAGTAAAATGCTATAAGTGACGATAATACAGGGTATCCCAATGAAGTACCCTCAGTTATAAATAGACCTTTGTTTTGAACGTGCGCCGTGACACTTCTTGAAACTCAAAGTGAATATTAGAATTACTGTAACTTCCCGATCGGCCAAGTAACATATAACACTGCGAAAATAAAGATTTCACACACAAAAAAAGTAATGTTTTTCTCCTATAGAAGACAAATATCCATTGCTCTGTACGAAGAGTTTGTGATTTGACTTTTTTGTATTGCTACATTCGTGTTGAAAGCTCTAGTAAATCTCCGAAGGTATAACTATAGACATGTTCGCAAACAAATGTCTGATTTAAAGAGGTTACTTCTTGGGGGAGACCTGGTATAACTAAACGATCACATGTAGTTTCTCATGAAGTATCTCTAAGTGACAAAAACTTTTCCCCTACTGTAATAACCATTTAAGTTAACACGACCAGCATGTTTACAATTATGTCGGTTACTTTCAGGAATGTCAGATTCACCGCTACAATAAAGAAGATTTATGTACATCCTATGTAACTCTATCGTGTTATCTGACTCAAAGTTTGCCATCTTTACTAAATAAGAAATCTATATAATTATATTTTATTCACACATACTAAATCAGTTAATTGAGTGCATGTTTTTGGTCCAGATTCAAGCCGATATACACCACATCGTTACAAAACGCCACAGAACGAAAACAAGATTTTAGAATAAATAACACACTGACATTTTTAGTTGTAAAAAGCATGCATCTTTTGTAATTATAGACCCTACTTAAGAATGGTTCGATTCTCAAATAGAATTGACTGAATATCACTGAAAAAGAACCTCGGCTTCATCTGGAGCAGACATCCACCTCGCTTTAGATGAATATTAGTTTTATAAGTATGATTATAAATTTCAAGCATTGCTTACCCTCATCACGTTCCTTCAAAGGAAAAACAAAATGGAATCCAGAATCACAGGTATAACTTAATCACTTACAATTACATTGTTTTCGTTATAAACATTGAAGATTTGATCTTTGAAACAGGACTTCTTCCACCCGAGAACTTCCCTTTTAAAATACGCCAGAAACTATTTCATGGTTTACTCTTCCACTCTCTTCGTAAAGTTCTCAGGAAAAACGCCTTTAACTCTCGTACTCTCTAGAACACCCAATAACCACCCCTCATCCTACGAAAGGGAGAAAAAGATGAAAAAAACAAAAGGACTTCAATACTCCCCAAATCGCCCTAATAATCTAAAGTCATGCAGATACCGGGTTTAAAAATGAGCATGCATGCGGTGAAGTACATATAAGCCGAACAATGTAGCCTAAGTATATTTGAAGCTATCGTATCAATCCTGAAGGTATCGACCCTGTTTTGCTTCTCACACGAAACAAATGATAAAAATATACCGGATCATCGTTTTCAGTGTACGGGATAACTTGAATAACATCTCCCTTCTCGAATGTCAACTCATCGTCATCTTCTCCAGTGTAGGGATGAGTGGCCTCGACCTGCAGGTAACATTTTAAACAAGTAAGTGGCGAAACAAATCATCTTTGCTAAAATTAAGTTCCCTCACTTTGTAAAGCACCCGGGATAAGTCAACGTCGGTTTGTTTTTCTTCGACATCCTTTTCTTTCTCGCCGTCATCTGTTTTCCCGTCATTTCTAGGGCCATCATCTTTTGCGCCGTCTTCTTTTTCGCTGTCATTCTTTTCGCCGTCATCTTTCGCGCCATCATCTTTTGCCCCGTCATTATGTTCGCCGTTATCTTTTTCACTTGTAACCCCCGTTTCAATCTCAGAAGTGTCTTCAACCTAAACAAATACTCCCTTATTTTTGAAATAGAAAAAAAATTCTAATGTTTATGTACTTTGCCGAACAATTTTCAGCAGCCATCTTGTAAATTCCGAACTCACCGGGTGAGTAAGCGCGTGGGATCTTGGAGAACCTTGGTCGCTCTCATACAAGGTGTGAGATAAGCCGCCAAAGCTCGCATAAATCCTTACATGTGAACAACGAATGGTGCATATTTCGTCGTTCAGTTTATAGAGACTTTAATAGGGACTTATCACAAGAACAAGACAAAGCTTCTTTTAACATCACACCTGAAATATCGCAACGCCTGAAATTTTGCTTAGTTTCTTACGAGAAAAAAATGTGCGCATAACAGATCATAGAACTTCACATCATCTATAAGAATTGTTTAAACGCGTGGGGAGAAAACCTACCTTTGTAGTATCAGTTGACTCAGTTTTCTCTTCGTTTTGGATAGATTCAGGTGTGTCAACAACCTCTGGAATGTTTGGTGATGGAGGCCTTTCCACAGGCTTTGTTTTAACCGCCGGAGGTCGCGGTGGGGGGATATCATTTTTTGTTTCGACTTCCGCCGGAGACCTGTCTGGTGGTACTTTGTCTATCTCATCGTTAGCTGTGAAGTAAGGAACAACGTTAGGTGTTACGGCCATCTATGTCGAGCGAACAAAATCATAGCTTGTATGAAATGAATAGCAATTCATTGCACGTTCACCTTCTCCATTTTCTGACGTTTCATTTTCAGAATTTTCATCCGTGTTATCTTCTTTCGCCGCTTTGCCATCATTCTGATCGCATTTAACAAAGTTTTCAGGGGAGCTGTCACCATCGGAAGATATATTGCTATATAGAAGTATGAAATAATGACATTTACAACCCCGGTTTACAATACTAAAGACCACGTAAGCCCCGTTTACACTACACTCGATTTATCGGCACGGCACGGCTAAAATGAGTACCCGTGCCGATTTCATTCGTGCCCGGCCTTTGTTTTGGTAGCCTGAACACTATTAAAATTGAGCACGGGTACCTATTTTAGCCGTGCCGTGCCGATAAATTGAGTGTAGTGTAAACGGGGCTCTAGTTGACAGATGGAGTCACCCACGCAATGTGGCCACCTCGCTTCCAAGGCAACTTAGAATGTTGGAGAGAAGTTGGAAAACACACTCGCCAGAACGTCTTGGAAGTAGCTTACCTAATTCCACTGAGAGGGCGTCGTGTAGAGTAGGCTCCTGCTGATGTTTCCTTCGCCAAAACGTCCAGCAAGTCATTCATTTCAGTTTTGATCTTTCAGTAAGAGGATATGTCGAAATGAGTTTTGCCCAAGAAAACGTTTTCTTGACAGCGAATTTTAATGATCCCAATGATTGATTTGATTTGAAGAAATGCAATGCAATGTAATGTAATACAATGTAATGTAACGTAATGTAATGCAATGCAATGTAATGTAATGTAACGTAATGTAATGATGTAATGTAACGTAATGTAATGATGTAATGTAATGTCACCGAGCTGTCGAATATTTGTAGAAAAACCAACCTTTGAAGTTTCTCGATGGAAAACTCCTTCAGCAGTGAAAATACTTTGAAATGACGATACATAGATGGATATGCGACTGAGAATAAAAACACAATTATCGTGACATCGAGAAATAACAGGCACGTAATTCCTCTAGTACAACTGCACAAAATCATTTCCGCATATTGACATCTTGAAAGTTTTTTTAGTACCGCAAAGAGAAATAGGGATTTTGTCTGTCCATGAGATGCTTATATATATACCTGTCATATAATGCTGGCAGCTCCTCGTACAGGTCTGAATGAAGCTGTAAATAAGCGTTTTTCGCTTGATTGTAGTCTTCTTCTGCCTTTAAATAGACGAAACCATGATTCCACAAACAGAAAGGATGATGAATTTCACAATGGTCGCACTTGAAGTACTGCATGTTGTATGGTTTACACCATAAATACCTGAGATAATTTCTTAGGTTCACCAGTCTTTCCACCTTTGACTTTTAGGGTCTAAAAGGGGAGAGAATATATACTCTAGTTGTTATATACTGTAATTTTCTACCCAAAATAGCTGTGTATATACATTCTGTTTGTCTTACGTATATTTAAATCTATAAAACACTTATTTTCAAACATAAGAAATTTCATTTATGAAGTTCGAACTTATTTCCAACATTATAGAACGGTTTTTTCACCATACAATGCGCATCTGAAGATACTCTTTGCAGTTCAATTTAGGTTTTTCACCTCCAAATGATGTCGATGCCTGTCATAGTCAACCACTTTGCGACTTCGTTTAGCAATACGAATCTATAGAAATAAGAGAATAGCGGTTTTCTGTAGTGAAACCGTGGGCGGAACCAGAAAATGTTCTCCCAAAACAAGAGGGAACATGTATAGGTTAAAACGTCTCTCATCATGCATGCGTAATTATTTACGCGTCCTGCTGTTCTTTTACAAAATAATACTAAATTTGATTAAAAAATTAACAATTTCCTTCCCTAACACAAAGAGTGGTGCAGAGGATATACGTAATTTTAGCGAGAATATGCATGATATACGTCATTTTAGATAGAATATTCATGATGTGACGAAATAACATATAAAGCACGAAGGTAAATTACGCCCATGTAGGCAGTCATAAACAACACCACGTTTGTTATGTTATTATCATTATTATATACAGGCTTCCATAATAAACTCTATCAGAAAACCAAATGTTTTAAAAAACAGTATTGTATTCGTTGACGTTGTATCTAATATAAAATCTCGAGATGTTTCACATTCCACCAAAGTTCAATTTATGTATATTTATATATACGACGATGACTCAGAATATGTGCCAGAAATCATGTCTCACGGCTTTTTTCAATAGACGCTTTTTGTCAACAAAAAAAGAGTATGTATTTTGCCTTGAATTGTATTATATAAGTAGCCATGTAATAAAATTCTAGTGGCCGTAATTCAAAAGGAAAAAGCCAATATGCAGATCGGTTTTAAAGATGCAAGTGCCAACTGCCTTTGATGAGCGATTCCAGTCAAAAAAAACACGACAACATGTATGTTAATCACCCAATTAACCTGTCATTAAGTGGGAAGTATATCGCCCATATAGTCGATAATTGCTTATAGTTGAGATCGACATACCACGCACAAAAACAAATATATTAGTTGATAAATAACCGATGTATCAGTGAGTAAATTATGTGCACGCTCATTTCAAACAAGTAATGCCACCATGTCCAAAAATTTTTCTTTGTTACTAATAAATAGAAATGGAAATAAAAAACCAAGTAACAATTATACAATACAAAGCTTTTGATCTTTCAAGATCACACGTCTATACGATGCGTAGGATGTACTTCCTGCCCTAAACTAGTTACCATAGCATTGTTAACAAAGTCAAAAAGTCTTTTTAAAATTTTTATCATACAGGAAGATTTATCAACAAAGTGAAGCATACCGATGGTGTTGTTTACTTAGAACCAGACTTCGTCTACAAAGAATATAACATTAATACACTGGAATAAAACCCGTTATGCCGTCATTTGTGTCGTTTATCGCGGTACTGCTAAGTATCTCGGTGGCAGGGGGAAAAGTCCAAAGGGAAAAGAGTTCTGAAGAAACTTTCGCTACATTAAGCGTTGAAAAGAGAGAGATATGCGCCAACAAAGGAGACTCGATGACGATCAGTTGTACGTTGGTAGTTCATGACAAAACGAGTGTAAACAACTGGACGTTGTCTTGGTTCGCCGAGGATGGAGAGGTCACGAAAAATGTGACAGAAATATGGAAAAATAGTTCACATTTAACATCTTATTTGAAACTAGATGCCGTTTGGTCCGGCGAAAAGTCCTTTACGTGCGTTATAGCAAGTCGATTTACACATGATGATCAGCAGCCAGCCAAAGCTGCTTTAAATTCAACAACTGTTGTAAAAGTTAAACCACGAACCAGCTGTGACATAATTGGCTTTCGCTACCTCGAAAAACCGCTAGCGTCGTTCTCAACGTTTGAAGTCTACTGGAAACCAATGAAAATGTTAGATACCACTGCGTACACGCTGAATTTTTGCACAGAAGCGGCATGGTTTGACTTTGACTTACCAACCCCGTACGTTTGCCCGGTGTATTATTCAATAAACGGCTCGTGTTCGTATCGTAAGAAGAATGTTTACAACGTGCCTAATACAAAAGGCTTCACCTGCATGGCAAGCGTTTCGACGACGTCCTACTCGTCATTGACTAGACTGTTAATGGAGTTCGTGACCAGTCGAGCTTACATCGGTTGCAAGGGCGAAGGGGAAAACTGTGAACATAGGTGTAGCAAAGAGAGAAAGTTCATCCTAAAACGATTTCATGCACTTTTTGGACAGGAGAACGATGTAACTGAAGTGGCCCTTATCCCGGCTCGCATTGAAGGTCTTAGTGCCAGTGTAGCACACCAGGTAAACTTATTTCACCATCCACATGCATGCATGGCCAGCATGGGTATATAAAAACGCAAAAATTATGAAAACTGGGGTTGCTCTCTGTTGATAAAAACACCAATACTGCATGTTGATGAAAACAGGAATATGCTGTTCATGGTCGATGTTGAAACAAATTATGAAAACCAAATTGATAGAAACGGTTGATGAAAACAGGAAAGCTGTTCTGCCTTTCCCTAAAAAGTAATTGTCAACAACGTTGTGAGAACTTGTCGACGCCTGACAACAAGTTGTAAGAACATTGTTCACAGGAATTCCAAATGCATATAATATAGGGACACTAAAAGAGCTCTTATTTCACCTCATTCACAAGAGTACAGCGTGTGCGATATCATTGAAAAGCACAGACTAATATTTCTGGGGCATATATAAGTATTGATGGTCTTTTATCCGATTCAAAAATACCACTGTTTTGTTCCGTTCTGACCAAGTCCTTTTAAAATAATTCTAACAATAAAATAGTTTGTACAATACAGCATCAAAAAATTAAACATTATATGCTGTTGTTGGTAACCTGTAGTTCTTGAAATTTCGACAAAAACAATTGTCGTCGTGAACTAATTGTTTTCTTAATTCTTATTTATATAGGTAGCACTGAACTGGTCAGATTCGCTCGCCATACACTATGTCAAATCACGGGAATACGCGGTGCGTTACAAATGCTCAAGGGACCTGACATGGAGCAACACACCGTATTCAATGACGAAAAAGTTGACATTAAACCGGGACGACTTTCAAAACTACCGGCCCTTTGACTTGTGTCGATTTTGCGTGGTGGCCAGAACGATGGCGCAACTGTACGGGGGACTGGAATCGGAACCAGTGTGCATAAACGTCCGACTTTCGGAAGAGCCACCGAGTAGCCCGCCAAATATATCGTGTCTTGATGACTTGTGTCAGTTCACGCGCGATGAACGCGTGCAGAACGTGTCGATCACGTGGACACTGCCGCCGCGCAGAGACTGGAACGGAGTGCTAACAGAACTACGAATATCTTACCTTGAAAAGTTTCAGGACAATGCTGCAAACTTTTCGGATTCTGTTATAAGAGTTCCAATTGGTAATAACTCAAGCAGTGGAGAAACTGTTCTGACAGGCCTTTCGGTGGGTCGGACATATTGGATTGAAATGGTAGTTTGCAATAAGAAAGGTTGCAGTCGCCCGGGAAAAAGATTGAAAATTTCACGTTTGCCGGGTCACCCATTAATCACAACGGAATCAAATGAGAAGAGGCCTTATATTCTAGCACCGTGCATCGCCGGTGTCTTCGTGGCGGCGTATCTCGGGTATTTAGCGTACACTTACGCAACTGCCCGACGGCAATTGCAGCCTCGACTCGAGTTGACACTTTGCGAGCAATCAGGTTATGACGTGATCGTGGAGAACACGAAGAAGAACGAATACGACGTGCTTGTCGTGTTGGACTCGGCGACAAGGCAGATGAATGTTTACACAACAACACCTGTGCGGTGTGCAGAAACGTAGCGTGTGGGACATGGGTGGGATGCCACTCACCCACTCGTAATAATTGTTATCACGCGAAATGGGTCGGCCTAGTTAGGCTTCAGTCGCCCATTTATTCGATGGAAATATGAAAGCTTTTTGCACCATGAAATTGACAGTGTTGGAGCATTAAGGCATTCTATAGTTAATCGTTACGTGTCGACTCCCTATTGAGATCTATTGATATGGTCCATGAGAGAAACATTCACGAAACATTCATCAACGAAATTGCTGTCATTTTTAAATGAAAATTTCTCATCTCAATCGACATTCTTTGAAAACGTTTCCCAACTGCGTGTAAGATCGTCCTAGCTAGCTGCCTTTCCTATCGCGTTTTGACATGAAAGTTGATTTATATATTATATCAACCCAAAACATTTAATGTTATAAGTTAGTCAATTTTATCTAATTTTCTATCTATGCATGCCTATGGGTTGCTTACATTTGTTGAAAAAATTATATTTTAATGTGAATTACAGCCCCATGTAGCTTGGGAAGCAGGGGTTTTTATATTCGGTAAGAAATAAATTAGTTCTTTTAACTAAACATGATCACAAAACTTTGACTAGTTTCATAGAATACGGTAACAAAAGATATAATCGATCAAATATTGCAGAATGGATTTCTTTTTCGACAAGCGCTGATTGGCTAAAAGACGAGCGTGAGATCACCTGGTTTTTTGTGTAGCTATAAATTATTGGAATTTGTATTATATGTGTAAATATATTTCGAAATAAATTATTGCAAGATCATGTACATGTTACTCAGCGAATGAAATTATTGAACAACTTAAACAATTTTTACAAATTAATAATTTTTTTAATTCAATACATTTTGAGTGTACACTCAATGACGTAGTAACGACACGCATGTATTGACTTACTTTTGTTTCGGGGAACTGTACTTGATAGGACGTCAGTGGCTCCAAAACTTCATCTTGAAGTTGCTGCACCAAGTTTGTCCAACTGTGGTCCAATGTCTACACGTATGTACAGAATTTTTTAATGAAACAACAAATGAACAGAATGTGTTTCAAAAGATACCATAGGAATCCCAAGGGAATATTTTTGAAATAATAAAAGTTAGTCCAGTTGATTTGTGAGTTCAGTGACGTCAGTGATCGCGCAGCATAAGATTTTGTGATCCCTGACGTCACTGAACTCACAACTTCAAAAATATTTCTTGGGATTTTTATGAAGATACAACAGAATGTGTTTAAAAGTTAGACCATTTCTTCGCAGCAATGAAATAAACGATGAGGTTGGCACTTGGCAACACTTAATTTTAGATATTTTGTTTTTGTTGATTATAGTTATAAGTTATTCATTTACACTTTTTGATAGTGAAGACATTAAAAAGAGTTGCTACTCAGTACTCATTGCTGTGAATCTCTTGGTTTAATTAACAATGAATGAAATTTCCACTTGGAATTGAGAATATTTATTCGATATGTACATCAATAATAAATCAACAGAAGATGATCGATAGGAGAAGTATGTAAACTTACATCCAATAGTTTGACAAACTTTTCCCGACCTGACCAATCAGGCTCGTAAACCTGCTTGACAGCTTCTCCAAATAGTTGGTTTGCATTCAGCATTGCTGTTTGAATGTACGTACAAAATCAAATCAAGACAGTTCATCGCAGTTTGTAATTTTTAATCTATTCTGCTAGTTGCTATGTCTAATGCTATTAATTATGTGGCACAAGAATTTATAATTTGCTTTCATCTGGCAAAAAGAAATGCTATATATGGAAATAAGTGCACATGCATGCATGACTGTTTCACTTCACAAATATCATAACTTTCATCTATTGATTTCATAATAGTATCATTCAGGAAGTTTATAGACTCATACATTCCTCTGGGTTTCTAATATTTTAGTACATACAGAATCATGCAGCCTCTAACCTTTTAGACAGTTTATATAATTCTTGAGTTCTTTTTGCAACCGTTGCACTGCATCCTGAATGGACAATAAAATAAAAAAATAAATGATATATACTGAGGTGAATTTAAAACAAACAGCAACTTTGATCACTCTATTGCTTTCTATTATATGACTATCAACAGATGACATTTTATGAACTGTTTTACAAAACAATTTAAAACTTGCCTGTTCATAAAACTATATCTTGTATGCATAAAATAAAGTCACTTTTTTTACTTCAATTGTGGTATATATTTAAAAGTAATGGTGCATGACTAACTGCAGTGATTAACAGCAGTGACAAAGTGCCTTGTTGGCTGATTCTCTGGTCACAAACATATTACATGCAATATATGAAGCCTGTGTGATCGGAGAATTGCCCTGTTATTTTTTTATTGTATAACATATCAAATCAAATTGCATAATAAAATATATATTTAGCTAACAAGGTGCAGATACTAATTAATCAAAGGAGGATTTTTGAATGTGACACATAATGTGTCATATTTAAAAGTCACAACTTGAGACAAAGGTTATTAGTCTGGGCATGGCTAGTTCTTTTAAAAAGTTGAAGTGATTAAGTAATGTTAAGGTTAATATGCCAGGAGAGTTAACATTCATTAATTGCTTATATAGAATGGAGATCCCTCATGTGCATATTGTGAACTTGCAGGAAAGTCAAGGCTGCTTTAAACAATAATGTATTGCTTCCGAGCCTCAGCCCTGAAAGGCTGAAACATACCTTACTGCTACCTTACTGCCATTTCAATACATTACCAGGCAAAGCCCTGAAATTTCACTTCAAACATTGTTGAAGGTAACTGTTGATCAAGATCTCAAAATCATGTTAATAGCAGCCAGCATCTCAAAAATCAACTAGCATGAAGAATCATATTATCAAACACTCTGTAAAAATGTATATGGTTGATACTCTCCAAGGCATTGCTATGGAGAGTGAAGACACACCTGTTGTTTGTTAAAGTTATCGACAAAACGATCGAATATTTCATCTTTGGTCTCATCAGATTTTCCGAGCTTTCTTTTAACCTACAAGTCAAAACCACGCATTGGTGAGTCAACACAATTGAAGTGTATTCAAACACCGATGTCAACACATAGGGTATCTTTCGCCACCATGTATACATATTATAGAGCCGATGTCACCTTTTCCTGTGCTCGTTTGGCTCTTTTAGTTGTGTTTTTTGCTGTCCGTGCAAAGAAATTCTTCTCTCCTGCTTTGTCGCCGCTTGCTTTGTCTGCCATTGCGATTATATAAATAGTTTATATCGCAATGAGCTACCTCCCAGTTGAAGACAGACGTCTTTCTTCGATCCCAACTTTAGCAGGAGGGGAAATGTAGAATATGTGATTGATGATTCGAGAGAATCAAAAGAAAAAAAATTATCGTAATTCTGCTGAATGGGCTTTATTCAAATGAAGACCTGTTCAGTAAGATCACAATTTCCATCAATCTTAAAGCTATTTTGGCATTTTGCATACAAGGCTTATCAAATTATATTATAAATTGTCAAATTTGACACGGTTGTTCCAGAATGACAGCTAGTTCGAATTAACATCTTTCTCCCCCCCGAAAAACTTTTGAGTTTTGAATGCTGAGCTAAAATGGCGGACATTTCAGAGGCATCTTCAGAAAACGGAAGCTATTTTGATGGCTGTCTGCTGAATACGATGGAGATCTCGGTGAAGGACATCGAGAAGAGATCCGGAGAAAAATTGAAGGAGCCATATATCGTGTACATGATCGAGACAAGGTGAGCCATTAAAAGATATATGAGTTATGAATACATAGGTATAATTTTGTTTTGATTCGAAATTCATGTGATCATTCATATGATACATACATACGCAGCATTGAGTGAAGAAATATTGGTATACTTTTTAAATTGCACGAGCTACGAGATTTTTTCCATGTTAAACCGAGTTTACACTTGCAAGCAAGGCTTAGGCAGCAATCTTGGAAATCATGAATCACTTCGATCAGTTCGACGCCACATCCGATCAGTGACATCCCGATAGATGATTGATAGATTCTTCCTCCACGCAAATTTTTATGTCGCAACCATACAGATAAGAAAGTTCGCAAATGCGAGTGTGCAGGATCTACCAATTTAATTATGCACTCTAGCAAAGCTTTACCACAAGTGATCATGCTCAAAGCTTTAATATTCACATATTATATTGAAAGATATATAGGAGCTGACAGCCTGACACAGTGTTACTTTAGCGTAGATTATGAATGCGAGCGTGTTTAGACAGGTAGTGTATTTTGGATCTGTCAAGTTGACTGTTTCCTAAGAGTCAACATGAGCATACTGACTCCTAAGTAAAACTCAGTATGAGAGATGTGTGTAAAAAAAGGGTGCTGGGTAAGCACAATGTGCACAAACCCCAGGAAATTTATCACTGTTTAGCAGCATGCTGCCAGAAATGTGTACAGAGTAATATCTTGGTACCATGACAAAACCTAGAGGCACAATGAATTTTTCAATAAATCTTTTTGTACCTCTTATGCAACCTGGGGGGCAAGGTATCATTACAAACAAAAGACAGTTAGAACCTTGAGGTACCCCAGCAGGTATATATTTTTATTTAGTTTAGCCCTTGACAGGGTAGCCGAACAGCCACCCTACCCAATATGATTTTATACAAATAAGTAACAATTTTAGAATAGAACATTGAGTAAGAACTTCCCTATGCATTAAACTGGGAGTATATACTATATGGACTAACAGGACTAAAAAATAATATGTTTGTCTCCCCCCACCCTTTGATAATATTGTAGCATGTCAGTGTTAAATTTAATTTATATTTTTCGCAAATTTAAATCATGAATGCAGTTAAAAAGAATTTTTAAATGTTTCTTATGTCACTTCAATAGCTATGTTAAATTGAAATTTTTTTCTCTATGCAATCTTTTTTTGCATAATGTGTATATGCGCTTTGGACTAATTTTTTGTCTTGACCATAAAAAGGAAATTTCGTACTAAATTTAGAAAAAATGACCAGATTATTTGGTTTGTAAATGTTGTGAAATGCAGGAAATATAGCCTTTCAAATTGGGAAAATTTTGTATACTTTTATGTTGCATGGAGAAATGTGTAATGTAGCCTTTTTTTTACTACTGAGACTATAAGCCTCAAGTTATAAATTAAAATCATATAATTTTGATATTGACTCATAATTTAAAACAAAATTGAAATATCATTAGTCATTCATTCTTATCTGATAATATTTTTTGGGTGATAATTTTGCCTGCCATCAATTTCATCTGCCAATCATGTTGAATATTGCATAATGATGGTATTTTAGTCATATTTTAGTTATATTAACATTAGCATGAGATTAAAACAATAAGATCTAAACCATAATTTGGGGTAAATGCCTAGCCTAAAGTTTTAAACTTTTGTTTTGAAAAAGCCTCTGAGGAAGAATGAGGGTAAATGCTGCCATGCATGGCTAACATTTGAGTTTTTATTCAAATTTATTTGTCTTAAAGAATTCATGCCCTATACTTTATACTTTATACTTATTTTTCCCTGACTGTCCCACTGTTAGTCCTTTTGTAAAGAAAAGAGACTATTTAGATATTTCAATCAGCATTCTGTTGGTCTCTTTCAACCATGCTTTGGGCCTGTTGTGAAATCCACTAAAGTACCTAGCAAACCACAGCAAATCCCACAATGCTTAGTACTGAATACACGATCAATTGTAAAACCAGACGCTCATCCGGCCTTGTATGCAGACATTAAAAGCAATAACATTGATATTTGTTTTATATCTGAAACTTGGTTAAATTCTTCTGTATGCAATTCTCTTATATGTCCCTCTGGGTATTCAATCTTAAGAAAAGATCGAACTAATCGTCGTGGTGGTGGCGTGGCAATTATATGCCGAAATGATTGGAAGATGGAGCCGCTACCAAATCTGACAAATAGCTTTGAGTGCCTATGGGCCAAAATTACAACTGAAAACTCAAGTTTTCATGTGGCCTCTATATACCATCCTCCCGATCATACATACAACTCTGATGATCTTGTTGAATTCTTGACTGACTCATGCGAACAGCTATTATCGTCATTGCCTAACATTAAAATCATAATTGCAGGCGATTTGAACAAACTGAATATTTGTTCACTATTAAACCAACAATCTCTGTTCCAGATAGTTAAAAAACCTACTAGAGGAGATAACATTCTAGATCTTTTTATCACGAACATTCCACACTATTGGAAAAAAGTAAAAGTTGTAAAAAGCTTAGTAAGATCGGACCACAAAATGATTATAGCATACCCTCGAGATGTTGTAAAAGCAAAAAGAAAAGACTCATATATCAGAGATGTAAGGCAGCATAGAAAACTAATTATGTGGAAAGAACTAGAAGATGTTGACTGGAATGATATAAATAAGGAACATTCATTGGACGAGATGGTCGAAAAGTTTTACAAAATTATCGAGCCTAAATTTGAGAAAAGTTTTCCGACGATTAAAGTTCGCACATCCACTAGAGACCCGCCGTTTATATCTCCCCTAGTAAAACATTTATTAAAACAAAGGAAGAAAGCAATTAAAGCCAGAGACAGTGAGGCTAATATTCGGTTACAAACCCAAATAAATAAACTTATTCGAAGAAATCAACTCCACGCCGTACGGAATGAAAATAAAAAATACAAATCTGGAACAAAAGACTGGTGGTCAAATATAAATAAAATTACAGGAAGAACTGATAACAAAATACCAGTTACATCTTTCATCGATGCCGATGAGATAATTTCTTCCATGATGTTTGTACCGACCCACTTTACACGGCACCAGAGTTACAAGAAATTCCAGAAGGTACCAGAGTTCCTAAGTTAACAGTAGAAATGGTCTCCAAGTTTCTTCAAAATCAAAAACGTACATCGGCAGGCCCCGACGACTTACCACATTGGTTTTGGAAAGAGTTTGGAGTCGAATTAGCACCAACCATCACACAAATATTCAATTTATCTTTGAGAAATGCTAACGTCCCGAGAGCTTGGAAAAGAGCTGATATTGTACCAATACCTAAGGAATCGACTGTAGAGAATTGCAATCGGTTAAGACCCATCTCCTTGACCGACATAATCATGAGAATATTTGAGAAATGTATATATAAAGCCGAAATTGCACATTCTATTCATGACATTATTGATTCAGACCAATTTGCTTATAAAAACGGCCACAACACTATAATGGCCCTGATTAAGTGCCAACATATGGCATTAAAATGGCTGGAAGACGGTGCCAGATATGTGAGAGTCTTTTCATTCGACTTAAAGAAAGCCTTTGACAGTGTGCCGCATGACATCCTTTGTAGCAAATTGAAAAACCTTCCTCTCAATCCATATATTATTAACTGGATTATTAGTTTCTTGGACAATCGTCATCAAAGAGTAAAGGTTGATGGAATTAGAACAAACTACGTTAACATCAATAGAGGAGTTCCTCAAGGAACTGTGTTGGGTCCAGTACTGTTTTCGATAATGGTAAATGACATTAAAACAGTCAATACCCAAAATGAATTAGTGAAATTTGCTGACGACTTGACATTAGAAATCCCCGGGTATGATCATGGAGATACATCAATGATTGAGGTAAGCAATATTAAAGAATGGTCCGAAAGAAATAGAATGCAGCTCAATATGGAAAAAACATATGAAATGGTCATACAAAGTAAAATCCCAACACCCTTACCGACTCCCATTCCAAATATCGTACGTAAATCATGGCTGGAATTATTAGGAATAACGTTGGAAAATGTACCTGATAAATGGGACTTACACTTTAAGGAAATGATTAACAAAGCAGGAGGAAGAATGTACATATTGAGAGTTTGTAAGTATTATGGTATACAAACCAAACAGTTAGACCTTTTATTCAAAAGCTTAATAATGTCGTTATTTGTTTACGGAATTGAACTTTGGGGAGGCACCCATAGCAAGTACATTGATCAAATCGAAAAATTCATTGGCCGTGCATATCGAAATGGTTACATATCAGAAAAGTATGATTTTACTCTTTTAGAAAATTTGATCTAAGTTTTGGTGTCCCGCAGGGATCATGTTTGGGACCGCTGCTTTTCATCCTATATACGAGTGAGTTGTTCAGAATTATTGAATCTCATTTACCCAACGCGCATTGTTTTGCTGATGATACTCAACTGTATTTATCTTTTAAACCTGGAACTATGTTGGATGAAGCCTATGCTGTTCGAGCCATGGAAGCTTGTATTGCCGAGGTACATCAGTGGATGCTTTCTCAAAAACTTAAGCTTAATCCTGAGAAAACAGAGTTTATGATCATTGATACAAGGCAGCAGCTGGAAAAGGTTAACATTGATTGTCTACAAGTGGGAGACAGGCAAATTACGCCCTCATCTGTGGCGAAAAACTTGGGATCTTGGTTCGATTCTAAATTAAACATGTCACAGCATATTAACAAGACATGTAGCTCTGCTCTCTTCCATCTTTATAACATCCGTAGAATACGAAAGTATTTAACTCGCCAAGATGTGGAGTGTTTGGTGCATGCACTTATTTCAAGTAAGATTGATTACTGCAATGGATTGCTTTATGGTATTCCAGCCGTTCATGTAACAAAACTCCAGCGTGTTCAAAACAATGCTGCAAGATTGGTCACTGGTATTTCACGATTCAGTCACATTACACCTGTCTTGGACGCCTTACACTGGTTGCCTGTTGCTTACAGGATTCAGTTTAAAATTTTATTATTAACTTTTAAATGTATACATGGACTAGCCCCGAAATATTTAATGGATCTTATTAACATTAGAAGGCATACTAGGTACAGTTTAAGATCATGTGAAAGCTTGATACTATTGCCACCAACAGGAAAATGTTTGACGACTCTTGATGGGAGAGCATTTAGATCAGCTGCTCCAAAACTCTGGAACGTTATGCCAGCAAATATTCGAAATATGGACAATTTAAATTCGTTTAAAAAGGTATTGAAAACCTACTTATTTAGGATGGCCTTTGAACACTGATATATATTATGAACTGAACTCTAATTTTAGATGTAAATAATTTTAATATAGTAACTGTAATTTAAATCTTAGATTTTTATGTAATGCGCATATGAACATATCTGCATGCTAATATGCGCAATATAAATTCAATTATGTTAATGTTAATTTTAAAGAAATTATTGTGGACAGAGACAGGAAATTATGGAAGAATATTACAAACAATAAAAACAATGCATTACAAGAATTGTTGCCGAATAAGTTAAATAGACAATTAAGACAGAGGGGACATGAGTTCGAGTTACCTGTAATAAGAACCGAACGTTATAAACGCACTTTCATAAACAGATGCCTTTTTAAATTTGTATAATAAAATACTTATTATTGTCTTGGTCTTGTAGATTACAGCCAATTATCGTCTTAGTTTTATAGTAATTAATAGTTAAAATTATGTAAATAACAGTAACAATATATTTAATCTTAGAAAACGCTGTAAACTCAAACGTGTGTTTTGAGTACTATTCTTGTAAGAATAATAAAGAATTCTATCTATCTATCTATCTAAAAATGTCCAATTTTTCATTTCTGGAAAACATAAACAATAATTATAAATAGTAAATTTTTTGAGAATGATATAATTTTAAGCAATACTACTTATCGGTGATGATTGAGTACTGCCTGCTAAATTGCTTCACAAACTCCCTGGATTGAGGTAGATGTTTAATGTGTTATTTTTAAAGACATCAAAACCATGTAAAATGTTGTTGGTTTTGTTTCTCTGACATAGGTGTTTCGGTTCATCAGATGATGAAAATCAGTCCTCGTGTTTGTGGAGAAGATACAGTGAATTTGATATGCTCAGGAATTATCTGCAGACAACATATCCTGGTGTAAGTATTGTGTAAGATGAACTTAAAGACGAAATACGCTGTGCCATTCAGGCTGTGAATATTTGCCAATACTATGTGAATGAAGTTATAAAGTGTTGCCCATTTCAGACATTTACCACACTAATTTAGTTTGAAATTATATTTTCTCAATCATCCTGTCTTCTTTTTTCACCTGTGTACAATTTTTTTAAATGGGCCACATATGAAGTTGGCACTAAACTGAAATTGTGAAAGTGTGAAATTGAGTGAATTAAGGCCAGTAGATTGAAAACAATGAAGTTGTGAAACAATGAAGTACCGTACAGTAATAATTGGTCTTCTTTGTTTTCAAATTTTTATGTAATTTATCAAGTGAATGTGTATGTATATTTTAAAATATTAAATCGAAGGTCGAAATATAACACACACCTTTGCTGTTTTTTATTTTAAAGCTGATCATTCCTCCACTACCAGAAAAGAAGGTTTGTTCAAATTTTATTTCCTAGCTTTGATCTTGTATCATGCAACTTCAGGCCTTTTTAATTGTTCCATTTCTTTGTTTTCAGACAAATCTTGCTGCATTTAGACTTAATTCTGATAATTATAATATGGAGTTTGTAGAAAGGAGAAGAAGTGGTTTGGAAGTGAGTATCCTAAAATCCCAAATTTCTCAATTTGCAAAAGGCTCAATGGTGAAGTGTGATACTGATTTTCAGTTCGTTTTCTTCTTATATTTTTAGTTCTTCTTGCATCGCATTGCAAAGCACCCACAGCTTGGCTTGGACGAATTCTTCAAGTCCTTTCTCATTCAGGTCAATGAACTAGTTAACATTTAGGAAATAGAAAACATTTTCCATGTTTCTATACAGTTATAGAAACACGCGTGGGAGTTTGGGAGAAGGAGAAATAATTAGTAGAGACCTTTAGTTTGACGTTTACGGCAAACCGCTAACAAAGTTTGTGTTTTAACTCCACTATCTTTAAGTGTGCGGCAATTTCGCTAAATTACAAACGTTCTACATAACACTTGTGATGTTCAGCAATAATGTAAGAAAGCAATAGGCTATTTCTGATGTATTTAGAAAAGCAGCAAATTCAGCTTTGCCGTATATGTTTCACGTTCGCCGTATAAAATTTAATGCTTGAACGGCTGAGGGTGTATGTAGTCCCCCCCCCTCCAGTCACAAAAGACAAGTTTGGAGTATGTACAAATGGGCAATGTTATTATTGTTATGTGTAGGAGGAAGGTTGGAAAGATTCGATTATTGCTACTGGATTTCAAAGTAAGGTAAAGTAAAATTATTCACTTCAATATTGTGACTATTTGTGTCTCAAATGATAGATACATTGGCCATTTGAGGCATCTTATAATATAAATTTAGTTCTGGCTAGCTTCTTCGCTTTTCCTCCCATCCGGTCAAAAGAAGAAAGTTGCAATAATAATCACAGCAAAAAGTGTCAGCCGGCCTTAAGAAGTGGCAGTAGGTTGAAGGCAAAAAGAAGGCGATGATTGACGGATAGAATAAAATTAACTGAAAAATTAATCGATTTGCGCATTTTAGGCGGATTCAAAGTTGAAAAGCTTAAGTGCATCTTTCAGTCTCAAGAATCCAGATAAGTATGTTGCTGCTGGGTTTATTAGGATCTATTCTTAAATTGCTATGTACCATCATTCGTGAAAACAAGCATTGTGCAATTTGTTATCGACATTATAAACGGCATGGTTTTGTTAACTATAAATGATATCATATCTTTTTTTGTTAGGAAATTTGAAGACATTAAGAATTATTCTCAGACACTGCAAGGAAATATTGCATCGCTTCTTAAAGTACAGCAGGTATATAGTCTACAAGAATTCAACATTTCCCATAAGGTTCGTATAGGTTTAGGGGGGGTGGGGGCGCAGGTTTAGGGGACGCATTACTACAAGTGGCTATACATGTAGTAATTAGTTTAGGGGCGCAGGGAGCTTCTTAATTGAAAATTATTACCTTTAGCCTTTTGCTTATTGAGACAGAAAACACAAAATGTATGTATGTTTAAACCTTCTCAGGAAGAAATTTAATAAAGATATTTAATTGATTTTAAAACTTCTCGCCAAACTTAATTGGTCATACTCTTTACTTATCATACTTTTTACAGCAGCAGAAAGTCCTAAAGCGTGCAGTCATCTTTTTGTTTCTTTCGTTATCGTAGAAAATTTCTGAAAAACAGTATAACATTCATAAAGAACATGCAAATTATGGGAAAATATTCAGGTACGAAAACCTAATTCTTGCATGGTTCACCTAATAGTAAACCGTTTCCGATGTTCATTATCCGAGATGCATTGTCATTCGTGCATGCACATTTTTACATGCATACTTTAATAAGATGTATATTTTTAGTAAAACTTTTCTTCAAAATCCATGCTATATGGAAAAATGATATACCCATTTGTTTCCATACTATATCCATAGTATGGAGATGGAATTTAGTATATGGTATTATAAACTTCCATACTATTTCAACTGCATGGCACCACACTATTTCTTTAATATGGATTTTGAAAGAATTTTCCAGTGTAGCTATATGAGTGACTGATAGAATTTTCCTGCAAGCGCTATAGATTATGAGCGATCAACATGTAATGATTTGTTTCATCACAAGACTCAGTGTTATGTATAGACATTTCTAGCGATTTCAAACTTAGAGTTTTCTATTTTAAAATTTCTAATGTGATCCAAAAATGTGGACAGTCCGTGGACCGAGCCCAAACCGGACCGTACAATTCTCCCGTTTGGGCTCGGATTTTCCATTGTTCCACAATGAATTTCGACATATTATAAGACTCACATGCATATTTCACTTTTAATAATCCTAGTTTTGACTTTTTATTGCATTGCATTATCACATGTAAATAAGTGAAATAAGTAGCAATCCAATTACTGTTATGTATTTATAGCGAATGGAGCAGCATCGAAGATGAAATGGGACACGCTTTACAAAAAGCTGGTCATTACATGGATAAGTATGTTTTTAAATGTAAACCATACAGACGGGTTCTCGCGAGCCCGCGAGACATGAGGGCGCGATAAGTATTTTATAAATAAGTTTATTTATTGAAGCAAGATGATATATAACTGGTTTCCAAACGCCGCTGTATAGACCAACCTTTCTCACGGGTGGTACCCGCGTGCCTGTAGCTTTTTTGCAACTCTAGGGGATCAACCATTGATATCCCAATGCAGTCAGAAACGAAGCTGGGACATAATGTGTTTCACGTTATACTCTTTGTTTCTTCAGCTTGGCGTCAGCTATTGATGATATCCAGGAAGAAGAGGAAAATCATTACGTTGACAGACTTAGGGAATATTATTTGTACGCTGAGTCTATCAGGTAAACTTTCTTCCACAGTAACTACTGGCTATATATGGTTGTTATCCATACATACATGCATACATTAACAATTTATTTAAAGACGCATTTCTCATCACCATTATATTGATGTTCCTCCTGAGAAGCAATAAAACATATTTACAAAAATGAAGACATAAAAATTGATAAAAAACAAACAACTTTGAATAGAAGGTTTCTTGGAATGTCTTTGATAATATGTATTGATCAAACTAGGCTTCAAGATGCCTTTTAAAAGCACTTAAGGTAGTTGATAGCTTTGCATCTGTAGGAACGAATTCCATGTGCATTATTATTGCATGCTGGGACAAAATCTGAATTGAATGGTGTAGTAGGTGTGAAGCTTACTTTATCGAATCTGCAGGGTAATGACTAGAAAACAACAGTTACGTCATTACAATCTCGAGAAAGCTGAGGAAGTTGTGTCTGCAAAAAGTACTCAAAGAGAGGAACTTCTGAAAGCGGTAAATCATTTTTAAAGTTTTTTTAGACATTTTTTTTGTTGTCCATCATAAAATACTATGCCCCTTTACAGTCAGTTTTATCTTTTTGAAAGAGGTAAGAAAAAAGAGCTTCTTCTTTTCAACTTTTCTCGTTTATCATCCATAGGGTGAAGACGGCGAGGCGGGTAAGAAAAGTGGTGGATTGTGGTCGAAGATATTCGGCGGGGATACACCGGAGGCAAGGGAAGCGAAACTTCAAACCTTGGAAACTCAGATTGAAGAATCTGAAAACGCTGTAAAAGAAGCACAGGAGGAACTCAGGTTTGTTAATGTGCCGGCTTTTGACGTTATATAATCAAACACTACGTTGACAAATTGCCGAAACATTTCCCGCGTTAAAGTCTGATGTAGCTTTGTATGTAACATCAGACTTTCCGCGTTTGACGATACCGAGAAAGTTTATTGCATGTTGTATAACCTATAACTGCTTTGATCTACGTTCAATTCGCAGTTCTTTCACTGAGACGGCAGATAAAGATTACGACATGTTTCAAAAACAGAGGGATGGTGACATGAAGAAAATTTTGATTGACCATATCAAAACGCAAATGAAGTTGTGCAAGCTGGTGAGTAGAGTAAAGTATTTTTCCATATTTTATGTGCGATTTTATGTGTGATTTTCGTCTTTTGATAGATGTTAACGAGTGAATAAATTAACATCATTCTATCAAAAGAAGAAAATCGCACATAAAATTGCAGCAAAAATCGCGTGTGTAAACGCGCTTTATAGAGGAGAGTGTTTATTTTAGATGAGTAAGAAAAGTATCGGTACTTGGGAACGTACGGTAGTTCCCAGACATTTTTAGGGTTTCGCAAAAAAATTTTCAGAAATTGTATCATTGGTAATATTTCTGTGAAAATTGTGATGCCAAACATTCAGTATTCCACCCAAGTCCCTAGGAAAAAAAACTGCGATATTGTATATATTAATTAAAACATTTTTTAAAACTGTGAGATCAGTCGTTCATAAGCCCGTAAAGCCCTGTTGGAGGGCCCGGGTTAAAGGATCAAAAACTTTCCTGCAAAATACCTGCGCGTGTGCTCTAACTTCGGAATAACAATTATGTAAAACGATTTTTACCGTTTCCTGTTTACATCCGTGCCACAAGGTTAAGTGTACGTACGTACAACAATGTTATATAAATTTAACCTACGTTCCTTACTCTAATTGAGAACATCGTCTTGTAAGCCCAAAATCGTAGTTTAAAAGAATAAGAATTTTCTGCATGGTTTGAAAATGACTTTGAAATACAGTCGAAATATCGTTACCTTTTAATTCTTAATTCGAATCAAGTTGTTCTTCCAAATATGCTTTATGTTCGCTGCGCTCACTCGTGACAATTTGCGATATTGTCCCTCGAGCGATAAAACTGATATCACCTCACCTATAACTTGTGGTATTAGGATTAGGAAGTGAATATCTTCGTTCGCAAGTCATATTCTAGCCACGGAAGTTCCTTGTTAACCTTCACTTGCTGCAACGCGCTTGATCCAATCAAGACCCCGCCCCCACATAGTGTTGAAACCAAACGTTTACCAACAACAATTGCTATCGGTGGTGCTACTGAACTACGAGCCAGTAACAAACTCTCTATTTCCCCCTACATGCCATCTAAGAGGAAATATATATATAGAGAGCTTTTAGAGGGGTCAATCAATGATCGGCGAGATATTTAACGTTTGCTAGGGTCACGGTAATTCCGGTGTTTGTATGCATGGATGATATCCGTTTTATGATTGCCTGGCCTCTTGTCCTAACGTCATTCGAGGAGAAAACAGCACGAGCGGTTTTAACGAGTATTTTACAACATGCCTTTTAAAGAATACATAACATCCGATAAACCTAGGCTATACATGTATAGTCCTATACCAAACCAGAAATTTACATAATATGCATTTCCTTTAGCTTTATCACTCAAGTAGGGATTATGGAAATTTAGATAGGAGCTGAACAAAACGGCGCTGAAAGCCTTAAGTAAACACACACACATAAGCACACACATATAAGTCTTTATTACAACGACTGCCTGTTGTGCCTGACCAAATGGTAAACAATAACTATTAATTGATTCTTAAAACAAAAAATAGGCAGCTATCACTACCCTTTAGATAAACTAGTTTAGAACACGCACAGGGACGTCGGTGCGGCAACGAACATGTGGTAATTTATTGGCAGTGGCATTGTTTTCACAGTCAATGATCACCAAAATATTAGCATAGCATGACTAAATTGTCGGGCTGGTTACGCCACTGTTTATTGGAAGAAATTAGATCTTTGTTCGCACGCTATAGTAATACCTACTAGCTTCATAATAATAGGTCGAGATGGTTCTTTCATTGCACGTTAGATTTTTCGTTCCGCATTTGGTGGCTGCAACCTGCTGCGTCTTCGTCATGACAATTCCTGTTTATGATCTTGTTCGCCAACATCGCGCTGAAACCACTTAATCCATGATTTCCTTGTAGAGCAAGGGGAATCATTTCCGGTGCATGTTTGCGTGAATTCGTTATAGTCTTTTGGCATCTTGAGGTAACGTCATTTGATGCAACAACCGCACGAGAAAGAGAGCTCAGAAGTTTCTAATAACATTTATTTACGAGATGAAGTGGCTGCTTGTCTGTCTAGCGATTTGCTCATTGTACGCTGTTGTTGGTAAGTTATGTAAGATATGTATATTGTTAATTTGTTATCTAAGTCTCTTTCAGTAGCACCCTTTAACTTCTGTATCTCTGCCATGCAGCAAATGCCTCGGGCGAAGAAGCAAAAGTGAGAAATCGTCGTTATCTGTGTGGCGGAAAATCGTACAATCCGACATTCTATATCTGCTGTGGTGGCCAAGTTCTTAGGAAAGGAAGTAGCACGTTTTGCTGTGGCACTAAAAACTACAATCCAACATTTTATATCTGCTGTGGTGGCCAAGTTCTTAGGAAAGGAAGTAGCACGTTTTGCTGTGGCACTAAAAACTACAATCCCACATTTTATATCTGCTGTGGTGGCCAAGTTCTCAGGAAAGGAAGTAGCACGTTTTGCTGTGGCACTAAAAACTACAATCCCACATTTTATATCTGCTGTGGTGGCCAAGTTCTCAGGAAAGGAAGTAGCACGTTTTGCTGTGGCACTAAAAACTACAATCCCACATTTTATATCTGCTGTGGTGGCCAAGTTCTCAGGAAAGGAAGTAGCACGTTTTGTTGTGGCACTAAAAACTACAATCCAACATTTTATATCTGCTGTGGTGGCCAAGTTCTCAGGAAAGGAAGTAGCACGTTTTGCTGTGGCACTAAAAACTACAATCCTTCATTCTACCGATGTTGTTCAGGAAACGTAATAAAATTCGCGCGGTGTTAAAAGCAGTTTTTAAAATTGACATTAGTCATTACGATTGTAATAGTCATTGATAACATTTTCTGTTAAACCATAGCACATGTGTGCATGGCTGCAAGTATTATCTGTTTTTATTATATAATAAAACTGTTTTTTTTAAACTTTTTTATCCCCCAGGGATGGATCTAACACGATAATCGCACATGTGTTATTATCGCTTTTCATAATGGCGGATTCGCCTGAGTAATGTTCACGATTCTTTCACGTATGAACGTGACTTTATATTCTCGCTGCTGACTGCTACAACTGCTACACCCTTTCGTGTATATTTTCACAAAGCCCAAAGGTCTGTTCACACCATCCAATTTTGTCAGATCCAATTCACTTCTGATGGATGTTTTATATAGTCATGTTTTAAAAATTGCAATGTTTGTTTGTGTAACATTATCTGTTTGGGTATAAGTATTGCCTATTACTATTAGTCTATCGAATATCATAATATCTGGTATTTGTTTTTTTACAAATCAGCAGCGGGGAATGCTTTCCTTCGATCAGAGGCCAGTTGTTCGAAAGGCGTTTACCATAAACGATGAATGAGCCAAAGTTTCAAAATACTCTCAAATATCAGCTTTTTCACTTCTTCACGTTAGAATATGGACTAAATTATTATCACGATGAATTTTAGTGATTTTTAATAAATTTAATGCATGAGGTATTGATTGTTCTTCGCCGTTGCTATTAAAAATTATAAGACCGAACGTTGCCTTTGGTAAAAAAATAACCGGACCGATTACCAAGGACCGGTAAATAACACATCGATATATGGTCATGATATTGCGCCATACTCCGCTCTGTCTATTCGGCGAAGTTGTACAGCCATTCTGTGAGGAATGAAGCCAAGGATATTAGGGGAAGCCGGGAGGGAAACACATTTTTGGCAATCGTCCTACAGGATTTGGCCAATATTGTTCCTGCATCAATATCAAGTGCTCTAACCGCTTTAGGACTTACGTCTTGTCAGCACATGAAAACATGCATGTTTTCCAAAGCCTGTTGTATTTTTGCAGGCCGTCACGCCCCGTGAACGGACTTTTACATGATCCTGGCTTACTCGTATTCCTGAATTTGGTATTAACGCGGAGAAATTCGCCTATATACGTGGTAAACGAATCTCTGCAAGCAATACTGTCTTACTGCAAACAATGATATCACCTCAATTTCCAATACAATGCAGGTCTTGGATTTGTAGTGTATAGGGGAGGTTATAAGTTCTGCATGTATTTGTCAAAATACATAGTAGAAGTTAGTTGTGCATGTTTTGTCGAAATTTTTTATCTGCACAATAAATCTATATTTGGAGTACGCAACTTATTTTAAATTATATCTGCTGAACATGACAGAACATATACTTTTTCTTTATGTGCAAAATACATTCCTGTTCAATTTAAATCGTATTCAAGAAAGAGGTTGGAGCCTTGTTTTTTCTCCTGAAAGACACTTTGAGCAGGTCAATCCCACTTAAAATCAAACAAAAGCCGTATTTGAAAGTCGCAAAAATTGGAATTTTTACCAAGTATCATTGACGGTTAGCTCGATGTAAATATATCCTTGGCACCTACGGTGGTGCTATTTTAACACTTCAAAATTAACAGTGTTCTTTTTCTTCTAGGGAATTTCATCTTGGGAAAATATGAAAGAGACTTTCGAAGGAATGGCCTAGCCGAAATCCTATAGTATATAAGGAACCCTTCTTCGTAGAAGAATCGTTCATGCCCAATTATTGTTTGGAAAAATGGTGCCACTTCACGCATTGAGAACATTACATAATTAGAAAATTCAACTAAATTCTATTTTTAAAAAATGAAGTTATATCGCAGTACACAGTTGGTGTTGATGTTATCAATCTCTAAAAATTTCGATGGCTAGTTGTGATGAACTATCTTATCGTAGCGATCGATGAACAAGCCGCTAAGAACCTATAAGAATAACGAAATCTTTTTTGATGTATAAGATACCAATAGCGAAAGCGTCATTTTCGGATGTGGCGTGCGATGTTTCGCCGTGGTTTAGGTACACTGATAGTGTTACCATGTTGACCGCCGCACTATTTAAAAGCGTTCCCACATTTATTTCAAAGCAATGTGTAAACATCTATAATGCCATAATAATTTTTCAGAATATACAAAGCAGAATATATCAATTTCTCATATTTAAGAAAGCGTTCTTATTTTAAGCACAAACTAACATCGTTGTTCGCACAAATCTTATGACCTATAGTAAAGCACGCGACATTCATCATGATCGCTTAATTAGAATTTTTTGACTATTTATATTAGCACGTCAAGGACCTTTCGCAAGTGCCCTTTGGACATGAGCTTCTTAACAGTCTGGGGAGTGGTTGGCCACGTATAAAACATAAGGGGTATTGTCTATATTGATGCTTCGATAAAAGTGATTACAAAACACAATTTAGGTTTTTCTTGTTAAATTTATTAACATTTCAATCTTTTACGCTACAAGTGCAGAAGCTGTGGATGATTCACTAAAAAAGAAAAATAATTAAACAAATTAAATTAAATCGATGTTCTAGACACCAGTCTCTTATTTCATCTCCATAGATATATATATATATATATATATATATATATATATATATATATATATAATATTATATATATATTATTATATATATATATATATATATATATATATATATATATATATATATATATATATATATATATATATATATATATATATATATATATATATATATTCGAACTGTTACAACAAACACATACTATTTCCAATTTGGCGCGAGAACTCTCTTCGTCTTGTAGTATCGTGCGAGACGATGGATTCTACTTTCGATCAGAATGAGCCGGAATTTAGCATCTTTATCCTAAAATATAGTTTTATATACAGTACAGTAAGTCGCATATTCGATTATTGTACTATTATTATTATAAATTATTGTACTTTTATTATTATAAACGGAATTGTTTCCCAAACTTCAATGGTTCAAAGCAGTGCAGTTGGAAAAGTTGCACTTGCTTGTTTTTCAGTGGTGCAAAACAGCACTTATCTTCAGGAGAATGATCAAATTTTGATTATCAAATTTTTTGTATATAGAAAACCTTGCGATTTCTTTCCAAATGCTTCCTAACTGACACAGCTTTCTTGATTAGATGGTACAAATCTTCGGGCAAAGAGGGAGCCATACCTGCAAAAAATTAACAATACCAATTCAGCCTTCTGGTGGTTATCTGAACACTACATTTGAATATTCTAAGAAAGCTCATTGCTTTAGCAGGCTGGCCAAAGGACAAATGCTTTTTGGAGCTAAAGATCATACCATTCTTCTTTAAAATACGCAATATTTTATTTCCGGTTATGTATCGAACTTGAGCTACTCCATGAGAATCCCGAAGTATAACACCTGCAAATGCAAAAAATGAACCATTAGTTAAAGGACAGTAAGTTTTGCTGACAAGCCAGATACCATTAGGTCCTGCTAAAGTGGAAGTAGATTAAAAATAAATTTGGCACTACTTTGACATTGATTACCTATCTGTGATGGTGTCAAGCCTTTCTTAGCAAGCTTATAAATTTGTTCTTTTACATCATCAGAGCTCAATTTCAACCACTACAAAAACACATAATACCCAATATATTTGTCAAAAAATAATTAGAGTGTCTTATATTTAACCAAATGAAATTTATTCTTACTGTTGGAACTGTCCTTCGATACGGAAGTGCTGATGATGAAATACCTTTACTAAAAGCAACAGCAAAATTTTAGTCTGACTGTAGTTTATTTTCCAGGGCAACCTCCATGTTCACATTGCCTCACAAAAGATTAGAAAGACATTTGTCAAAAACTGACATAAAATGCATCAGACAGGATAACATTTACCTCCTTCACACACCTACTCAAACCATTTTGTGTGGCAATGTGGGTATGGATTTTACCCTGTAACTGCTAAATCGACCCAAAACCAACCATATTAATATGGTTTCAATGGTAACATTTGTTATTGCCAGAACTTTTGCACCCTTGCACAATAAATGTACACTGGCAACAAGTTCACAAAACATGGTCAGTGGTCAATCAGTTGAAGTGCACTCCATGTTGCTCACACCAAAGATCTATTGGGAAGTAATTTTAAAACTGCATTGTTATCTTTGGTGTAAAATCTATATTAAAAGCACCACTTTTCTTTAGCCAGATTATGTGATGTTGAGCCTTTTCGAACCAGCACATATTTACTCCATTTATTGTACCAAGTACCGGCGTAAATAACTGACCACTTAGTCTGACGATTAAAACGGCAAATCAGACTGATATACAACGTGTATAGTGTTGTTGCAATAAAATCACGTGTACTTGGTGTATATCTTATAAAACACATCAAAACTTGACGATAATAATCGATTTATTCGCCGATCTTTTGATATATACTAAATGACCTCGGGAAAGAATATTAGTTAACATACCCATGGCTGTGCATGCGACCCATACTGGCGAGTAATTTCTCTTAGAAACGTCCTGAAATATGGATTAAAAAACTTCCAAACGACGAAGACTAAAGAAATCTTGAAAAGATCGAATCATGGTTTGTCATTCCCATAAACCCACGCTGGAGTGTTTCACCCCAGTCTCACGCGCGTAGGGTACGCTGTGTGCACTCTGGCGAATCCATCCGTAAAATTAGCCTTTCTCACGATGACGTTTTGGGGTACTTTCAATTTTCTGAAATGGGTTTAAAAATTATGATTTAACATGAAAAGCAATTTTTTTAAAACCAACAGACCATTTGAAGAATAATTAGTCAAATTTACGAGCTTGGTAAGACCATTAGACAATAGCTATCAATAAAAAAAATGGCAGTATAAAGAATTGGAAGAACAGAGTGATTGTCTGGTTATTTATTACCCGAGTGAAAATAAAGAAAATTAAAATTCAACATACTGCAGTTCTTTACATATCCGAGGTTGTTCTATATTCTGATTTAGCGATGTGACTGGCAAAGCGGGATCGAGCCTTTAAATATATCGTTTCGGTCTCGTTTGGTGTGACATTATTGAGACACAAATTAGAATTGAGGACGGAAACATCAAATTCTACGTGAAGATGGCTGGAAAATAAATTACATAAAAAGCCTAAATGCAACGCATTCAAGCGGCCATTTTAGATAGACGCTACATAGAGTAATCTCTTTCAGTAAGTTGTTTGAAAGCTTGAAGCTTTAAATATTTCCGGCCCATTTTTTCCGCCTTGAGAAGTTAACGAGTAGGCCCAAAGGATGATTACGATGCTTCTTCCTTGTCGACACCCCTCCCAATATAACACGGAGAGCTTTTCATGTTTTTTTTAGCTATGACTATGTGCCGTAGGATTAGGAGCAGAGTTGGATTTCAAGTTTTGAAAACCTTCCTCAAAATGACGTTACGTCACTGAGTAAAGTGGCAGCATAAAGAAATATTGGGTTTTTTGGTACATGCATGTGATCAATTAGAGTGTTAAACTTTGAATCTTCCTCACAAACCTCATTCAAGGCAAACCTTCCTTCGGATGGAGCCCGCGCACCGCAGCTTTTTTGCAACTCTGATTAGGAGATTTTATCCTGGTTGCCAGCCAGTACTTGTATTATTGTATAGATCTGTATATTACGCCATCAAAATATTGGGGAAAGCCAATGATAGTGATAGGCGGAAGATACACTTTTGCAACTACCATACCTCTGCCAAACAGAGAAAGCGAAATGAGGTTACGCTTGATTTGATATACTTTTGCATGAGAATGGTAGATTGGTTCATGCCCCCTCTAAATTTTTTCGACGTTGCCTTAAATCAGTTAAATTACCCTTATGTGTCGATGAACGTAATACTCGCCTACTTTTCTAAGATTTGGCAATGGTGATTGGTCCAACTCAAGACAAATGTCGTGATGTCTAAGTGTCAACAGCTACAAGCTAAGTCGTTTTGAATTCATTACAGTCAGATTACTAAATATGGACATATTTTTGTATCGTTAGCATGCTCACAGGAACTTCTTCGCGCGTGTACTACACGAAAGAAGGCCAAGTGGGAGATTTGTGTCCACACCTACCAGGAGGCAAGCACACAAATATATTTTGGCTTTTCAAAATGAATCCAAAATGTGCTCGTTGTGATAAGACAGTTTATCCCGTAGAAAAACTTAATTGTCTCGACAAGGTATTGTTTTCATTTGACATTCTTCCTCTCAAAGTGTGCACGCGAAGGATATACGATGCATATACAGATTGTTTGTTTGCCTTCCCTGTGCAATATTGACGTTCACTTTTATGTAGTACTGGCACAAGAAATGCTTCACTTGCGAAGTTTGCAACATGAAACTCACGATGAAGAATTACAAGGGATACAACAAGAATCCCTACTGCAACGCGTAAGTACGATAAGCTGGTGATTGATTGAAGCTTCTGTTATGACTCGATCGAGTTTCACACGACAGGAAATGAAGCGAGGGAATTTCGATTTACAAGTAACAAATTAACTAATTTATAAACAGTTTTGTCCGACGAGAATATGATATGTCAAAATGAAATGATATTCCGATCTTGCCACACTGTTTATTGCCAATAATTTCTTTAAGTTTTTAATAATTGTTAGTCATGAAATGCAAATACAATGGAACATTCTGGCCAGTTGTATATTCAACATTGTTCTTGTTTACAGTTTTAAAGTATATAGCCTGACATTTGTCTATGGCTATGATAATATCGACAGAACAATCTGTAAATTTTGTAAAAAAATAACCAAATATTAAACAAGGTAATGTCATGGAGGTGATTGTGCAATTTACTGGTGATTCTCTCAAATGATTCTATATTGAACTGATGAACTAGCAATATGTAATTTATTATACAATTACCAACATCAATGGTTAATTACTGCATGTTATTGGTTAGTGTGATACTATTTGCAAATGTTTTGCCTAAAGTGGTAAAGCTAAACCTGTGAAAGGTACAATTTGTCTAGTTGACCTAGTTAAGACTGTTCCTCAGATTTCTTTTGCAATTCAGAATAGTTGAGCAGAGTTATTCATTAGGTTCTATTTAATCTAGACATTACCCAACAACAAAGTTTACAGCAGTGGCAGATACCCCTGAAAATAAACGACTTTCACAACAAACAAAATCACAAAGTCAGGTGAGACTTTTATTTAATATGTTTATTTCGTCTGGTTTTGAACTGTGCATCCAGATATGCCATTCTGGACCATAGTATTGCTGTGGCTATTTACCGGATTTCACCCTTGCATTCTAAGTGAGAACAAAAGAAAATTACTGTATACTGAGTCAATAGACACTTCCTGAATTTGTTCTAACCATCCCATAAACAATAGATTACATTGCCTGCTTTTTTACCAAGCTATTGTTTTGTGTGCACTCAAACAAATTCAGCAAGTGTCTATCTCAGTTAGTTAACAATCTTGGGTGGCGGTCCCAAACATGGAGTTTTTTACCACCTAATTCAGGCTATAATGCAAAAGGTCTATTGCATAATTGTATAAATTAAAATATGAAATAAAATTATAGGTGGAGTATCATAAGAAATTTGAGGAAGAAAAGGGTCATTACACAGCAGTAGCTGATGATCCATCGACAGAGCGTGCAAAACGAGCTATGCAACAGCAAAGTAATGTTGCTTATACAAGAAGAGATGATGGTAAGACAGTATGCGTGGTAGTGCTTGCATCAATGTACATGAAGCTAGCTAGAGGAATATGCTGCAACTTCAAACTAAATACAATAAATAAGTAATTAAGAAAATTGTTGTGGTTGTGGGACTTCATATCAGTGTATGATTTAACATATCAGACTGTACATAGTTACTCAAAATACTGCTACAGCCTACATTCATAATGCTGGTAATGCAAGAGATGCTAGGCTTTTTTACTTCTCTAATTTATAAAAAAAAGATGGATGTCTATGGAGTGCATTAATTTATTATGTGTGAAGTAATTATTTTCCAGTACAGATCAGTTAAATTATTAGTCAGTTATTTTCCATGAAAGTTTGATTTGGTTTGTCTGTTTTAGGTGATGATGGTCATGCAGGGTACAGACCACCACCATCTCACGCTCAACCTGACCGTGGATATACAGCCCCTGCACCTGCACCTGCACCTGTACCTGCCTATATACCCGAGCCTGAACCCACTCCACAACCTGCACCTGAACCACCAACTCTGCAGGTATGTGTATATGTAAGAAAATGTAAACATAATTCACGAAATAAATGACGTACCTACTAAGTGCTAACGGAATTGCATCTGCTATATATATATATATATATATATATATATATATATATATATATATATATATATATATATATATATATATATATATATATATATATATGTATATATATATATATATATATATATATATATATACACCCATTTGCAAAAACGTTGGCCGGAGATAGATATATAGATAGATACTCGAAGTAGGAACATCTTACATGACATAACGTACCTACTAACGCAATTGCATCTGCTATTAGAATTTAAGTGTATGTTATAAGGTTAGGTACTAATAACAGCTGAGATCGCAGTACATAACTCTTAAGTCATAAACACCAAGCATGTACGCGTTTATTGGTATGCCAGGTAGCGCAGTTCAACAAACACAGTTCAAAGGATGCATCCTATATGACCCATCTTATAATCCTAAAATAATTTGAATTTGTTTCACTACCCCCACCCTGATCACCGTCAGAATTTTCCGTTACCCCAACCCGGATGATCAGCCCCTAAACGGTAGCACGTACTTTATTTAAGACATATTCGTTCTTTCTGCCTGACTGATTTCATTTGTGCGTATCTACGCGTTTTAAGGCCCGTTTACACTTGGAACATTGGCTGCGGTTTTCGATGCGATCTTCGTCTTTTGATGATTGTGAACGAGTAATTAGTTGCAATTGAGTTGATGCACAAGATCTCTTATTTCAATATCTGGAGCTAATGCACTCGTTCTCATCTATCAAAAGAAGAAAATCGCACACAAAGTCGCAGCAAAAATCGCAAATGTAAACTGGCCTTTAAAAAAAAAGGAAGAAACGTCGTCCAGGACAAAACTATGATTTATGGATATGAACCTCCCCCCCCTAATTATCGCTCTAATTTCGGCCCCGCCTGCAGGATTGTAAGATCCATGCGCGAGGTCGAGAGATGTTGTGAGACTTTCGTAAAGCGGAAAATATAGACGAACGGTATAGGCGAGTTTTTTTTCCGCTTTCCGAAATTCGAGTAACATCCTAAGTGCATGGATCGCAAAATCCTCGCACAAGCGAACCTTTTCGTATTTTTTATAAAATTATACTAGAATGAAACAACGGTATAAAATCTTTAAAGTTTTAAAATGCCATGCATCCGTAAAGGCAACGAAACTCCTCGTGCTATTAACTCAAAAATTGGATTGCGTGTTTCAAGGCTAGTTTTAGAAAATTCTCCTTTGGATCGGACAGGATAGGAAAGATTACTTTGTATAAACGCCGCCTGAGAACTCACCGACAAAGGAAATTTTCCTGTCCGTTCCGATCCAAAGGAGATGTTTCCTGAGTGGAAACTAGCCTTCACTATGGTTATATAAATTATTAAAGATGATCTTTTCCTACAAAATCATTATAGTTTGTCATATTAGCTAGTTACATATTATGTCATCAGTGTTAAACAGAAAGAAGATTCTATAGAATATAGGTGTAAAAGCCCCTAAGTACGAGTTATTTCTCCTAGTCCTAACGTTAATTTTGTGTTTGCTCAATTGCCTTGTCACTGTGCACTTAAATAAACACTGCCTGAGAACTCACCGACAAAGTAAATTTTCCTGCCCGTTCCGATCGAAAGGAGATTTTTCCTGAGTGGAAACTAGCCTTTACTGATGAAGTTATTGTTTTTTACAGCCTCGCTACCGCGCACTGTATGACTACACAGCTGCTGACGAGGATGAGATCACTATTGCTGAAGGTGACATCATTATTGATGCAAACATCATTGATTCAGGATGGATGGAAGGCAGGAACCAGAGAACAGGACAATTTGGTATGCTTCCCTCAAACTATGTGGAGGAAATATAATTGATTTGAACATTACATTTACCGGACGTGATTTAAAGCTTTGTAATGGAAGTCGTGTGTAATTTACGACCCCTTAGGATATACTTGTAGGTGTAGTAGAATAATGTAGCAATTTCATCAAAGCATCTATACTGTAGTGTGAATTTTTAACAAGTGATTTAACATTTTGGTCATCGTCAATCGATTAATAATTATATACATCATTTTTTCTTAATCGTCTGCGTACATGTGTCACTGTCTATAAGTTCCAGGACTCCGACCTTGCCGTGACAATAAATTTTTCACAAGTGGCGTCGCCACCTTGAATAATCACGAGTCATTATATAGGGTTGTGCAGCCAATACAGGGTAAAAAGGCGAAGATTGTGATTTGTGAATAACATTTAACATCTCTCAGTTCTCTGCCTTTACTATACTCTATAGACGGAAATTTTAGAGGAAATTTCCAATTTAAAAGTTGCTAAAAGTTGCTAAAAAGGTACACTTTCTTTGTTGTAATCATGAGAGTTTTAAGCTTTTACGGTAAAGAATTACATTTATGAGGCTTGTGTGCAAGGATTTCCTTATTTCGAGATTTTCCCCCTGTATTTCCTTTTAAGAAGCAAGCCTGCCACTGCACTGTGGCACAGTGGGCTCTTAATCTCCCTGTGTCTTGCCGTCTTTGGTGTGGCGCGCTGTACTGTTTTGTATAATTGTATTGCAATATTGCTACCTTGTTTTAAAGAAATCTATAAAAGTAAAACGGCTAAAATTTTGCCAATAATCCCGAGAAGGCCATGAGCTCCAAGTGTGCTGGTTGCACGAAAACGGTCTACCCCGTTGAACAGTTAAAATGCCTAGATCAGGTAAGGGTTGCTTGAATTGAAATATGAATATATCACGCTAAAAGTACGGTTCGCATCGCGCCACGATTTGCTTCCTTGAATTAGTTGCCTTCATTGTTACGAAATTACAAATGTTCAACCATCCACATTTAGATCTGGCATAAGAAGTGCTTCAAATGTGCTGTCTGTGGTATGACGCTCACAATGAAAAACTATAAAGGATACGAGAAAAGGCCGTATTGTAGTCCGTGAGTGTGTTTGAATCTTTCGGTATTGACTATTGTATTTACCATATGCCCCTTGATTAGGATTAATTATGTCGAGAACTGCCGGTTATATTTTAGAGGTTTGGCGTAGAATGAATGCAAGCGTTATTGCATTTACTTCTGACCTATTTACACGTTAAATAACACGCGTGAAAACATGGGAAAGGAGTTATAAATTTCGCCATATTAATATTTACGAGACGTGACTATTCTATCGAGAACAAAAGCTAATTTGCATGTTGATATGCGACTTAAATCGGGCAAAATGTTCTTCGATTACACAAGAATGTATTGGCTAGTTGTAGACGCAAAAATGAAAGGGATAGAAAAGACCACGCTGAAATTACAAGTGCTTATGGGCATTTTGCGAGCAATTGAACTTATGAAAAGCCTACGCCTTCTTGAGATATCGTATGTCAACTTGTTTGTGAAGTCTCAATTCACTTCCATTTACGAAATTCTTGCTAGCTTATGAATTATTTAATTTTAGAGCCTTTGGCTGTATTTCGCTAAACGCATTTCGAGTATCTGTTCCGTATAAAAAGAACTTTCATAAACCATATGACCAAGTTTAGTAAAGTACGATATTTCACATGAAATATGCACTTAATATTAAATAACAATATCGTGTCAAAGTGGGATTTTGTCACAAAATATAACCTGCTTTCCTGTGAAATGTGCGTGGTAATATTTAAAACGGCATTCGTATGTGTAAAATTTAGATTCAGCTTGGTCATTCAGCCAGTGGCAGCATTCTAAAGAAGAATTCTTTACATACCGCGAGTGCAATAACCATAACTATACTGTAGTAATTGTGATCAGTGTGGCCCTGAAGGTTCTGTTTTTAACGTTTGGATTTGTGCGTTAGACTGAGTATTTGTTTTAGTTGCAAAGTTTTCAAAAAAATGCATTATTAATTAATGCTTGATCTTTCATATATCCTTGGCAAATATTAGCAAAAAAAGATGCAGAGTGCTGTTATTGGGGGATTAAATAATTTTCTTACACATTGCTTACATATTGCACTTGTCAAATATGGGATAAATGGGAAAAAACAGTATGTTGTAATTTAATGTTCAAACATTCCAGAGATTTTACTATCTGTAAGCTCAGAGGCAGCAACATACACATAGGTATTTTTATATGTAATGAAACACTCTAGATCTTTTATCTTTCTTTGTATTACCTTGGCCATCCTAAAGGCAATGTCAAAATGATTAAATGAAGCATTTTGGAAACAATTTCGAACACTTGTCTGTGCTCAAAAAGTACATGTCAAAGTTGTCATGCACATGAAATGTGTTCACTTTTGTCTATTAGCCTACCTCAGTATCATTGCCAATGCCCATATTTTATTTCAATTGCCAGTTAACTGTTAAAACAATTATCTGCCAATGTAATAAGCTAATGCCAGATTCACCAGGACTAATCCTCTTAAGAAATTGCCCTGCCTACAAAACAGGCTATGTTACCTTTATAGACTAGCTTAGCCAAACACCTCTTGATTTAGCGAGACCAAGGCTCCTTTTTTGTACCATCTATATTCCATGTAACCATCTATATTCTACCCAGCATTCCTTGGACCCCTGGGGGAGAAATAATAATGTTATACATAGAATGTATACAGAAGAGGCATTTTAGCATGAGAAACAAGAGCATTTCATGAAGATTGTTGAACATTTCTAGGCATTATCCAACCACTAAGTTCACTGTTGTATCCGATACACCGGAAAATTTGCGTCTTGCAAAACAATCCAAACAGCAAAGTCAGGTAAGTGTCACATGGTTAGAATTAGAGATCTAGAATATTGTTTGGAGTGCTGATGAACAGAGTTGTTTTTCGTCTTAACCGAAGCTCCTCTTTTCATCTTTGTAAAGCCCCCTCCCCCCGGGATGTTGCAAACGCTGGGGCCTCGCGGCAATCGGGTATGAAATTTCTTTGCATATTTGCAAATGTAGGTTGAATATCATAAAAAGTTTGCCGAGGAGAAGGGCCATTACACCGCCGTTGCAGACGATCCAGAAACGGAGCGGGCCAAAAGAGTTGCAAAACAAGCTAGTCAACTTCAGTACACTGCTGATGCCAGACAGCCAGCTGAAAACCGACCTGCCCCAGCCCCAGGTAACTTCTTTTTGTGCGTGTCAATATATAGCTCTTACTAGGCTATAGTCACCATGATCGGAATAGTGTCAAGCTATCAGCTTTTGTAACTACTGCATGTCTAACTATTATCTAAACTAAGAACCAAATCAACCAATTGGGAGTCATCGTAATTTTAAAATAATATTATTATGCCCAGCAAAACGTTTAAACGTTATCTTTTCCATTAAATGTCTTAAATGTAATTTTGCTTTTTGCTGGACCATAATATTTAACTGAAAAAGTGTCATTCAGGGGCCGGTTGTATATCAAGCCCGTTTAGCTTAAACGGCGGATAAGTCAAAATGAAATAAGACTCTTACATCTCTTTTGCAACTCAACTTGAATTTTCTGCACTGAATACATAGTTGTAAACAGTATCTTTGATTTAGTTTGCTTCTTGAATAAAACGATAGACTTGCTTTCTATTTTGAACTTAACCGCCGCGTTAAGCTAAACGGGTTTTATACAACCGGCCCCAACCCAGGTGTTTTAGGCTGTTTCTTAGTGGCGCTACTAGTTTGGTTACCTATATGGTGGGACTATATGTTAATATTTTTTTCTTTCTCCCAGCCCACGTTGAGCCACCACCTGAACCTATGGCCCCGGTTTCAGTGAACATTCCAGCTCCTGCCGATCCTGGTCGATCACCACCTCCAGTACAAGTCAGTGGACTTATTTTCAATCCTTTTTATAACTACTCCAACATTTTTATATCTTCTTATCTAGCTTTAAAATATATAGTACAGTATACAGTAATGCTAGAAAAGGCAAAAAAATTCAAGGTGATATTTCCGAGTCAAAGCATATGGTCAAAGTCATTGTCGAAACTGAAGACGACGTGTACCGCAATAGAAAAGTCGAAATTCCGCCTAGAATTTTGTTGTCTCCTGAACAATTTACCGACACACACACACAATTCATTACTATCAATACTATTCATACCCACTCCAGCCTTCGTCACAATCGGTCTTTGCATGTATGGCCGAGAGGTAGATGTTTTTTCTGCATTAAAATAACGTTTGCTAAAATTTTGGTCAAACTGATAAAAAACGCCGTTTTACTTTTAGGCGTAGGCAGGTACGGGCATGTTTATCTTCGACTTCGGTTATATCATTCTAGTTTTAAGAACTGTTATAGCCTTAGACAAGTATGTGCATGTTTATCTTCTGCTTCAGTAGAAATTACCTGTAATCTTCAAAACATATTCCGTTTTCCCGTCTGCACTTGCAGGAACGTTACAGGGCAGTGTATGACTACGATAAAGCAGATTCAGATGAGATTTCTCTAAAAGAAGGTGACATGATCAGCGATGGGAAGATCGTTGGTGAAGGCTGGATGGAGGGTACCAACATGCGTACAGGCGAGACTGGAATGCTGCCCTCAAATTACGTCGAGAAAGTTTAAACATAGGCATAGGATCAAGTACCATTATTATAGAGAAAAATTGTATGAAATTTATTTTTGAAACATAGTGTGATAGAAAAATCAAATTATATGTTATATTTACGAGAGAAACGTCTTAGACTAAGAGAATTCTGTTTGACGCTTAAAGTCAAAAGTTCTTTATATACATCGTATAGACTATATAGTCTATAGTGATGACAAAACTTATAAGTGAATATTTCTTTTCAAATACTTGGAAAGCAGAATAGTCACATAGTAAACAAGAGCTTGACCGTCACATTGTTTGAGTTTCAAACATGTATGTATTACTAGCTACTATACATTGCCATTTGCGTAAGTGTACGCGTAGACTTGGGCACCATTGCCAGGACACATGTTATAACTGTTATAAAAAACTTATTGCGTTCGACGAAGGAGAACGCTTCCTAGCCGTGTCATATGGAGATTTGCGATGTCAGATTTGCCTCGTTCTGATGTGTCGTCATAGTAACTTGAGACCATGTGCTCGCTCTATTTTGAGTTAATTAAAGCATACGAGCCATCACTGTTGTCAAATTACTCATTTTGCGGGGAACCTTTTGAATCACATACGCTGTGAGCTTGCATTGTGACGTTATAATGCACAAAATCAACACATTCCGATCGCACATCACTAATCTGTGATTACTGCTAGTTATATTGAATAGTTACTATTGCGAATATTTACAATTTTACAGGTTTTATTTTTTCATTTCTTTGTCTATCTCCTTTTTTAAATTTCTCGCAAAAGTTTTTGCAAATGAAGATACTGACATCGGTGGTTCTTCTGATGATGGTTTTCCTGTCTCAGATATATCTGTTAACTTTTTCATTCCTAGATGTGAGAAAGACCATCAATTTAGGGATTTTCATTCGTCCATATTATATATTGTCTACAAATCATGGAAGAGGAAGCGATTGCTATGCCTATGGGATTGTATCAACTGATAACTTCCTAAGAAAGAAAGGACTATGCAAAAGTAAGTCCTCGTTTATACCGTTACGATTTCGACCGATATTAATGGTAAGGGTGAGCCAGGGGATTTAAATAGGGTGTGCGGAAAAGCTATGCATGGGTTTCAGATTTTGACAGCCTACAAAAGACCCTGGGTATGAGGTTGTCAAGATTTATGGTGACACAGTGTAAAAATAGAACTTTCTTGCTGGTTGACAATAAATATGACTGCATGACAGGTTTTTATAACTTACTATTATGGTTTTAATTAGAGTTCAGAGTTGGCATAGGCCTGTACCTTTTTGATATGCATAGTGTGTTAGCTGGGCTCCTCTTCGGACAAATGGTGTGTTTGCCAGCTAAAGAAATGTGATACACAATATGTATGATTTAAAACCAAGAGGCAAAAATTACACTTCTTTTAAAAAATTAGTGATAGAAACTTGAAACTTACTAATTTACAAGGTGATTACAAAAATTCTTAACTTGCCTGTTCTATAATTCCATCATTCGCTAAATACCTGGAGAAAAATTCAGTAAAAATCTTATTTACTATCACTGAAAAATAAAATGACTAATTAATGTAAAAGTGCATTTTAGCAAATTGCAAACTACTATGTGTCATGGCTATTCCAAAAACGTGTATGTGGGCATCTTGAAATGTGGTAGTAGGGAAGAAAAGAATTAATTGCCAAAAAAGATATGGAAATCACAAATTTTTCATAAAAATTCCTAAATTCCAGCATTTGCCCCTTGGAATTTTTGCGATCAGTCAGGCAAAATTTAAGACTGATTACTCTCATTTAAAAAAAATAGAAAAGTTGAACTATCTAGATGGTTCCTAAAGCACCCTCAACCCAACGCAAATAACATGCCACCACAACCCTAATCATCAAAGTGTCAATTTAAAAATACATATGAAAAAAATAATGACAAATTGCAAAAAAACAAAGCTAAGGGAAAACAACTGAAACAATCTCAACAATAAATAGTATTTACGTTACAGCATAGTATTTAAGTTTTCAATGACAAGTTTCTCCTTAAGAATATTTTAGTTGTATACTTTGTCATAACTAACCACGTTTTTTGCAATTATTTAAACCAAACAAAAGTTTATAATTTTTTGTAATTGGCCATAGGTGTGTACTCATTGGTTATTAAACTTAATATACAGGGGCCGGTTGTATAACTACATTTTAAGTATTTAAATTGTAGTTAACTAGAAAGTACATTATTCTGATTGGCCAATTCTGCCACTAACTATGGTTAAAAGTTTAAAACTACCTTTTTATACAACCAGCCTCAGTAGTTCTGCTAGTTCATGCCAGTTGCCAGATGATAGGTAATAGGTAGTCTATATAGACTTGCCTCTCAATTAGAGTGCACCCTTTCATCAAAGCAAAATGATTTGGAGACTGGCTTTAGTTAGAGAAAACACAAATGGCATGCTCAATTATAGATCAATTCAATTTCTTAATTATCGACGAATTTAATTAATATAATTTTAGTTTGAAAATTTGGTAGAACTTTTTGTGATTACGTGACGATTAATCAAAATTCAATCCCATTGATAAACCAGTTTATCATTAACTGCATTTTATATAATAATCGATTCATACTGACACAGAAGAGACACTATCTTCTTTGTGTACTAACCTCAATAATCGTTTTAAAGACATGATGCAACAAAATTGAATAGAATCCAATGACAATGGGCAATGGCGAAGGTTTAAAGCTATCTTTAATAACTCGTGTAAACTCAGGAAGAATCACAGCAAATTGTATCCCATTGCGTTGTTTCTTTAAAGAATCTACCTGATATATAATCTATTTCCTTTCTAATTTTCCTGTTATTTATGTTAAAATGATCATTTGTTTATATCGAGTTATTATCATTTTTATATGCATTTGTCGCGAGATTTTTTCGCGCGTCTTTTTTGTCGCTGATAATTATCGCAAAATGTCGGCAAGAGTTTTCTGTAAGGTTTTTTTCTCCGGGATCTAAAATCACGCAGCGTTCTTTCCAGGGGCAAATATTTTGCTTCAAAAATCAGTTGTTTTTTACATGTACTTGTCGGTGACGTACAGCGGAAATATTGTTTGTAAAAATTCGTGCGTACGAACAATTTTACTGTTATCGTGCATAAAGATGCTTATGTCAGACTCAGTCACTCAGACAAATTTTTACCCTTGTGGGTCCCAACAGAGTGCTTAAGCATTCAAATTCTAGCAATTACATTGTTATTGGTGATTTCATTAGTTTCGGGGGACATAATTATTATACGTTACAGGGGTATAATTAATAACGTATAATTATTTCTTCTTTTCAAAAGTTCTTTTTTTCTGTTGCCAGTAAACGTTATTCCGTTTTCCTGTGAAGACAGCTATATGCAAATAAACCCTCAGCACATTGCCACATTCCGTCAAAGCTGCGAAGTTCTCTGGTTTAAAGATCGCCATCATTATATGAACTCAATATTTTGGAGCCAGGAGCGTTTATCACAATACAACAAGCGTTGCGTAGAGCAAACGGGATGTATTGGAGAGCCAAAGTTCATGCAGTTACAGGTATTCCTTTTTTTAGTTTAAACAACAGGCTTTTCCGTGGTGTTTTATTTATCCAGGGCGTTTATTTTGTTTATCTCTACGTCGTCTTGCACTCGATCTTGGCACCGAATACTGAATTGTTCATCCAGTATATCATGGAGGATGTGTGCCGTAAATAGGCTAATATTGATTACTAGCATACATTTAATATACTAAGAGTAATATGACCAGCCAGCCTATTTTACTGAACTTGACAAAATTTGACGAAATGTGATACGAAGTAATCCTTATATACATAAGCATACATATTAACGACTCGGGTGATAAAGTGCCGACTGATTATTGCTGTTTCTATATTGTACCTTAGGTTAGCAATATATTGTGCTTGGCCTTGATTTTATGGCCGCAGTCTGCATGGCTTTGACATGCAGGCTGAAGTGCGTTCACACTTCTGAAGTCAATCTTTTGAAGTCAATATACAGTACAGGGTGTCTCTCAAATGACCAAAGCTTTTAAGTCCAATAACAATCGTTTTCTGCCTTCATTTAATCATTTCCTCCTCCTTTTCAAATTTTGCATAGAAAAACACAAGACATGCCAAGTTCTTGTCATTAATAATGCGTCACAAACTCATCACCATTGTAAATTTTATATGTGTCGATGAAGCTACAGCGTGTTATCGAAAGCGCGATAACGGGATCTGCAGCCTGCTCCGGCATGCATGCTATGTAATGAGGCATTCCACCCTGTATAGTGTCCCTAAACTACCAAACTATTAGAATCGCATCTTCTTAAAAATTTAATACCTCCCTCTGTGGCGAAGCTATTAATGAGTAAAAACACGCATGCATTTGCATTGGGAAGTTATCCGTTATATCAGTTGACCGTTTTCTGGGAAAAACAAAGTTTTTTATCTCGACGTGTCAACACACAGCCAATAGCAAACCGATATATGGATACACACCCGATGTCATGAGACAGTTCATTGTATAGCTTAATTAATGCACGTGCAATTATCTTTTCTGAGAAGGTTATTCTTTGTCGGGCCTGTGAATTAAGACAAGATTCTACAATATGGTTTCGGTGCGGTCGTTTTGCTGCTGGTCAATATTGTTCTTAGCCGTAATGGTACAGTCTATCAACGACAACTTGACATTGAGAAGGCCAGTTAACCGAAGAAGCAAACGTATCTTACCGCCGTTCGCGACAGTTAATACCAAAGATCCGCAATGCGCTCTGTTGATGAATGAGAGTGGAATTACAGAAGTTATTAAACTCGTACAGCATGAGCTTGTTAACATAGTGGATCTTTCCTTCTCGACGAGTTCCAACAACAGGCTGTTAGCGAACAAGCAAATAGCAATAGTGAAACCCATTGGTGAACAAATTTTGTATGCGCTTGATATAAATGACTACAACTACGCTATGTGGTCCTTGAATGTCGGCCGGAGAAGCTACAATTTAAATGTTAGGGAAGATCCAGAGGAATGTTTGGGAGACTCTTACGACTATGTGGTTGCGAATACTTTTAAACGAATCGTTCTCCGAATGAAGCCAAATCCAACAAATTACAAAATCTGTTATTTGCAAAGGACAAACCTTCGGAAATCACGTCAGATCTGCTGCCATATTACCAATCCTGATCCTACGAACTTTGAGTACAGATGTCCCAAAATACAGTCACATCATGGTACTTATAATTTTCTTTGGGTCATTGCGATTTTTGGGACGGGTCTTCTTCCAGTTATCTTCTTGATCTTCCTTTATTCGTTTCTGTCTCATAGTGTCTTTGACGAAAAGTATCCGCTTTACCACAAGCTACAGGAAAGCCCAATGTCTCCGTCCTCTATTCTCTTTGAAATTTTTTGGAGTGAACGCGGGGGTATAGTAACCTTTATTCGTAAGACTTCATTAATATCGGTCTTGTCATATATTATCTACCACAGTTACAGAAGCAACCTACTAAATATTATCGTACTTTTACCAATGATCGCCTTCCACGCTCTTGTAATATCTCCTCTCGCTGCCTTCCAAATTGGAAATAAGGGCGATAAAGAGTTACTTATCGAAATACTTCAAGACGAAGGATTTGTCGGGGGAGTCCCTTTTTTGAACCACTTGCCATTCAACATTAAGTCTTGGCGAAGAAATGTTAGGGACGTAGAAAATTTCATTTTTACAATCCCAAATAAATTTGTTAGACCAACCGTTAAGACAATTCCAAAATCAGTTGCACTATATGCATGCTATTTACTTAAAGTGGTACTCTTTGTTTTTTTCCTATTACTTGCCCCAGCTATTATATATTTTTACGCGATATTATTCCTGACGCCGCACCTCATCATGCAAATTTTACAATTTGAATATACCTATCACCGAGATAAATATTTCTACCCGTCACACTGCGAAATGTTTGATGTTTTGTGCGCAGTCCTTCTATTGACATTTACCTCCTATACGTATTATATCCTGGTTCTCGCTTCTCAGTCTTTCTTGTTGGGATTGTTCTTAAATATTGCTTACTTCGCTCCCTATGCTGCACCGCTTGCCGTAACCGCATTCTATTGCTGCACTTGTTGGAAGTCTATGGAAAGAAAATACTACTACTTGAAACAGCTAATATACGAAGAATGCGGAAAAGAGGAAATCAATAATAATTCGAACCAACGTCTGCAACAAAACGAAAGGTTGTTACCCGTTGTGTCCAGAGAGCTTTACGAAAATATCAGAGAGAAATTATTACCCTACGATACAAACTTGACTTGGCTTGGCTTAAAGATTGGACTTTTGCTTGGATATTTGTATTTCGTTCTTATGGTGTTAGATATACTTCATGAACACAATTTTACAATTCCTGCTCAAATGTGGACAATGATTAGTGTCAGTATCATACCGTTTATATTCAATACGTTAGCATTGAAAGTCAGCGGTGGAGAAGGAAAAGAACCATGGATTAGGGTCCTAGAACTGAATGTGAAAGAAATGGTGCCTAAACTCTGGCAAACCGATGGAACTCGTTCTCGACTAGCTCTTAGAGCTTTGGTAGTGAAGGAAAGCAGTTCAAACACAGTTTCTGTCGATGTTGTTGATTCTCAGGTAACACCAGAAGAGAATGCATCCATTCAAGATGCACAAAATTCACACAATGAAATACAATGCAATAATTCATTTAACGTCGAAACAGAGAGAGTGGTTACCCAATCTCCCGAGGGAATGGTTACCCAATCTCCCGAGGGAGTGGTTACCCAATCTCCCGAGCCATGCAGAGGTTAATGGTAAAAGTGCACGACACAATAACAAGCAGTATGTAACGGCTATGTGATCGTTCTAAACAGTCATCCTATTTTATTGTTTTTTATTAATACGACAAACATTTTAATGAACGGGTTGAAAACATGTGGAAAATGTGCATGCGGAAAATATACGTAGTTGAGTTACTAACATTCAGTAAACGATGTGATATTATTTGCATCCCTATATCTATCTTTAATTTCATATCTTTAATTAAGTATATGTCCATAATAAAAATATTGTAAAGGTATGGATCTATAGTTTTGCATGTGTCTTAATATCATATTTTGTGGTTGAAGACGAAGTAATGCATTGCTAGTGGAGACACTTGTATACTTCACGTTGTCCATACAACTTGATATAACTAATAAAGATAAGAATTCAAGCAATTTCATTGGTCGAGAGCAATTATCTATAAGAGGACAGATGAACAGACGCTGTTATCAGTAATCTCTTGTTTTATTCTGTCAGGCAATCACATTTTTTCACGTGTCGTAAGCTAGGCAATAAGCATTTCTCCAATTTTATAAATCTTGTAGCAAAATTTCTACTTTGACAATTTTCTACAACAAGTGTTTGGGAGACTATTTGCCTGTTTAATTTCGGAATTTTATTGATATTAATATGTAAAACAAACAGATAACATTGAACCGTTGTCTGTTCAATTATAGATACACGAATGACGTTATATGTGATAAAAACAACTCACCCCGGCGGCTCGTGGCCACTTTGCTTTGTTCTTATCACTGACACGAATGGCATTATCCGGTGAATCTATAACTGAACAGACAACGGTTCCTTTGAAGGATCGCTGGCTTCGCTGCTACGACTACGAGATTGGCTATAACTGAATAACCGACTAGCCTGCGTGCAAACGTAAGTATAAAAAAATACGTCTGCGTATTATTGCAACATTTCCTGTTTTGCGTCATATTGTCAATTGTTTATTTAAAATGGAATAGTCCACTAGCTAACAATTACAATTCTCTGAATTAGCACTGATTCTCTGCATCCTAATTATATTAATTTGCACATTTTTATAAATTATATGGGCCTATAGTCTCCATTTTGTTGTAATTGTCTTGAACACATCATCCTTATTTCGCTGTTACAGAGAATGATGTAGTATTGTAATATTCTATTAAATAAACTATCTTGAGATGTTCACGACAATTAGCTACGACTAAGTGGAAGCCAGGCTTTATTAAAACTGACGTGCATGGTAGGATATCGTATGTTTAGGAGTTACGCCCGTCTTTTCCCCATTCATAGTTTGTTAAGAATGTTCTCAATGGGAGGAATCAACGTCACTGCATGATTATGCTCTTTCGATTCACTGAGTAACCACTCAATTCTTTTGTTGCTAGATTTTATTTAGCAACGTCGTCATAATTAAAGGTATAGATATGCGCTTTCAAGTCAAATGATGCAAAATGCTGATTATATTTTCTTTTGCGAGGAATCGCTTGTCGAAGGTTGCAATTCAATCGACGATGTTGTGCTCGGCAGTTTCCTTGAGGGACGACGACACATTCCCACCAGAGAGAACCACCACGATTGCCAGAGGCGCCTCACCTTCTGTTTTCCGATAAGAAGTATTAATGTGCCAGCTTGAAAGACGATTCCAGAGAGCAAGAATACAATTACCAGCCCATAGGAGGTTTCATATTCAAGAAAATCTAGAGGCAAGTCGTTTTGTCAAAGTTAACTAATATATACAGAATGCGCACTTATGTATATATGCACGAGTTTTAAGTTAATCTTAAAACAGGTATAAAAGTTTTTTCCCGGCGAAACAGCAAGTTTCTGAAGTTCCAACAATTTTGAAATGACAGATTTAAACCTACTAAAACCTATTAAAATCTTTATAACGAAATAAGTCAAAATGCACGCGGTGAAAAACATCACTCACATGCATGCATGCATGCACGGTACGCGAATTTACATCTTCCCTCATGAACAACTCACAAGCAACGTTCTCCGTATAGTTTAGTATTTAGAGCATTGCTCGAAAGTTGCAAATTAAGGTGTAGGTCGATTATCTAAGTTGCATTTTTCGCAACGGTTACATTTGGCTTTAATACTCGTATGTTTCTGTCAACACTGTAAAAACAGGAAACAGTTCAAAATTGGTTACATTAAATTCCTTTATTGGAATACTTTTTTATTGGTTAAAACAACTAAAAGTTTGGTTAAAACATCCAATTAGTTGTCTTTGCCAAATAGGTAAAAAAGAGATGAATCTGAGACAACCAATTTTAAAACTGTGGTGTAAGTTCTCATTCCCATTTTTATACACTTTTGTAAAACATTAGGTCCCATATAGTTAACAACGATATTAATACATGATAACACTGAGCTGTACCTCTTGGACAGTTGTTACTAAAGAACAAGCATCCGAAATATTTTTTCAAGGACATCTCGTATGCTTCTCTGTTGCTGAGTTGAATACACAACAGACCATAAGTGAGAAATACACACACGATATATGATATTATGACCATAATGAATTGGGAAGCGATCTTTTGCATCTGAAGTTGACGTCTTCTCGCTTGATTGGGAGATCCTATCAAACTGGATTTTCTTTCCTAGAATAGCGTCCACAAAAAAACTAGTATGCATTTCGCATACACCTCAGAAATCATGATCGCGACTCTAAAATCTTTTTACCTTGATAAGTTTGAATATCACCAACATCATGCACGTTATTCCAACACTTATGAAGAGCTGTTGCGGCAACAAAGACGAGTAAAATCCTTCGTCGGCATTTTTTTGGAAGCAATATCGTAAATTAACCACAGTGTAATTGCTGCCAAATTTCAACACGTAAACGACGGGTATTATCGGAAGTGCAATTACTACTAGAGACAAGACTACCAGGAATGTTCTGCTGTGGCTTTCGTTTGGGCGCTTGTCGATAACAAGGCGCTGAAACAAGAAATTCATAATTTTTCTTCCATACTCAATTTTTCGAATCAATTTCGATCCGCCGTCCACGATGGCCTCACCTTCAGCAAAACCGCATTGTAGATCACGAACAACTCTCCGATCACAAAACTGACATACTGAATTAAGGCACCTTGTGCTTCACAAAATGTTGTAGGAGTCTTTATGGCGTCGTCAAGAAATTCGCTTGAGCAGAACAATTTTGACCGTTCTCTCAGTTTAGGAATGATTACCAGTATCCCTTAATTATGAAAAGAACTTTAGTACTCACGTGCTCCTGTAAATATCAATTAATCGTTTGTGTGACAATGGTGCTGTATCAATTACCATGGAAAACATAATTATCAATTTAAATAACTACATGAGCTAAAATATTTCAATAATAGAAGTACATATATCAAATGCACAAGATATAGGTTCAGTGATTAACAAGATGTATAAGAGTAGTTTTAAACTTAGGCCTTAGCCTTATCCGGCACTGTTTAAGCTAAAAGCCTTTCGAGCAACCGGCTCCTGACTGTAATAAACTCCTAATTTTTTATCTATAATCTAACCGTTAAGCTATCTTTGTTTGCGTTTTCCTTGTAAATAATTTCATGACATTCTTGATCCTCTTCGAGAACAACCTGCTATAATGGCTGTTAAAGCCAGCTTGGAAAAATACCAGAAGTTTAAATGGCAGTAGCTACGTAGCTACAGTATATATAGCTTTTTCTGTTGAATTACCTATAAAAGCACTCATTCCAGCCATTAAGAGTATTAGGAGATGTGGAAATTTCATACTACAAGGGAAAACATCAAGCTGTTATTTTGAAATTCATATAAAACGTACTGACGATCGTGTGTTAATTGGCTTTCGACACTGGCTTTCGATTTAAATTTTTTCTGGTTTGAAATGAATTTATTGGAGAGCAATACGCGTTAAAGGTAACTGTATTTACCACTTAACATTGCCATGTTAATAGTATTGTTTTTGTCAGAAAATTTTTCCATATTTAGAAGATTATTAATAGGAATGGGAAATAAAATGTAGTAAAAAATTTGCTACTGACGAATGTGAAAATTTCCATTTACAATTCTGGTAGTTTCAACCACGTGGTGAACACGAGGCAGAAGCATGTTGTACTAAATACAACCGCAATCCAATCGGCTATCGACATTCCTTGTTGTTCCTTTTCGCTGAATGACAACCAGTCGCAGGGAGGCTTGCAATATCCGGCTTGTTTTGAGAGGATCAGAGGTGGATTGCATGGGAACGAAGGGGTGATTTTTAGCATACTGTAATAGAAATTCACTAAATTAATATATAATAGAAAGACCTAAGATCAAGCCGAAGAGCGTTTAAGACGACGTCTTTGCTATTTACGATGCGGCATGGGCGAATATTCCGGTATACGACTTTAACAAGTTTGAATATACCACTTCCGGTATATTTAACTTTACCAGAACCGAGGGTATCATATTCCGGTATCATATTCGACTTCACCAAGTTTAACGAAACCTTGCATATCCAGGTATATTCGACCTTACCAAGTTTAAAGATACCATAATTATTCCGGTATATTCGACCTCAAAAGATGGAAAATACAATATTCTGGTATATTTAACAGTACCAAGGTCAAAGTTACCTTATTCCGCTATCAATCTCACCAAGTGATCAAATTCCAGTATATTCAACCTTACCAAAGTCGAATATACCAGTAATACGGCCACATCCCGGTATATTCAACTTCGATCCCATAATTTCGGTATATTCGACCCTAATAAGTTTGAAGATACAATATACCGGTATATTCGACCTTAGACTTGTTGTGGAACGTCAACATTTTCCAAAATGCTTACTTTTTTCGGAGTTTCTATTGTTTTATATATTTTATCAACATACTCATGAAGTGGTTCCCGTAAACGAGAAAAACGGCGCGAAAAACGAAGTGTTTATCTTTGTTCATTTTTTCTTACTTAACTGTCAAACTTGTCATGCATGAGGGTCAGATTTTCGTTTTATTTAACTTTTATGATGGAGGCTTTTATTTGGATGCATACCATGCAGAGAGTGTTTGCAAAATATTTGTAGTTGAACTTCGTATAATCGTGCTTTATCTTTAATTGTTAGATGATTTTGGTGTCTGATGGTTTTCCGTCAGACGATTTTGACTCGTATACTGGCTACCTTTCTATCCTTGCTTGCTTAAGGCATTACTGGTGCGCAGACTGATGATGTATGCATGTATTCAAAGTGTGTAGTATTCAATTGACAAATGCTCGGACAAATGTATGCACTAGCTCGGACAAGCATGCCCGGGCATGTGCATGGGCTTACATTTCACCCAAACATCTTCAGTTCCGTTCATTGAGACGAACTTTAAACAAGATTAAATATTAATGCATGATTTCGTTGACCAGTAAATGTTTTGTCAAATGCATTCGGCTGTAGATTTTTTATACAAATATACGCAAAAATTACATATATTCCTTTTTCCAAGGCAGCTCCGAGTTCTAGAGTAACTCTCGTTAATCGTAGCAATTCAGTAGACGTGCATTGTTCTGTGCACGATTCATTGTGCACAATTAAAATTAAACACGATCTTTTTCTCGGTAAAAATTAGAATTAACATATATATATACAAATACAGGAATTGTCGGTATGTTGTTATTCACTGTACCTTATGTTACCAGGATTCTCGCTTTTTGGCAACTCTCGCGGGTTCAAATAAAATAATGTAGGTAGAAAGCAAATAATCCAAGCGGTGATTATGAGGACTCCGCATAACGCGCGCCAGGCAACCTTCTGCGTTATCATGTTGTTGAGTCGATTGACGGGCACTGATGTTGCGTGAACATTTAATATATATATGTCTATGTATGACCGCGAGAGTATAATACTGGAGCGTTAATTAAAATTATTATACCCGACCCGTGTATTTGCCTTCAGGATGTTTGTCTTTGCCCATGGTGTATTGGAGTCAGCTTTCAAACAAACCGACAGGGGTTTGCACGGGTCAATTAATAAATACCGGGAAAGTCAATACCGCTGAATTGATAGTGTCGCAACTGAAGTACGTTAATTCCTGGAAAATATAACCTTGAAAAGATAGCCATGCGATAGCTTGTACTATTACGGGTTATTGTTACGAGCTATGCGTGCATGTTTGGGAGTTTTGCAAAAATTGGAAGAGTTCCCTGGGCGAGTTCAATTAAGCAACATTTTCAAAAATTAATATCATCATTATATATATTACTGTATCTTCAAAATCCTCATTATCAAATGCATTTACTGTCTACTGAAACGTCTATCTATATAGGTCTTCTGGCATGGTCTTCTATAACGTCACAGTGACTTGTCAAAGCCAACTTTTCCAGACTTCTAATATTTTGTATACCATTGTTAGTATTTTATTCAGCGCTTGGTCTCTAATTTCTATGCAGACGTTTCCGCCATTTTGTTTATTTAGGAAAGTCTTTAATTGTACCACCCCTGATTGTACCGAACCGTGCAATATAATGTATACTCCTCTCAATTATATAAATACACACAACTATGTGATAGATATAACTAATATAAATCATTGTAAAAAATTGGTATTAGCTGAATGCAGTTTTGTTCTGTATCATATAATTGGTAAAACACCTCATGGGTCGAAACGAGCTTGGTACACTAGTTTTGAGTTCGTTTAAGCTCGACTGCTAGTTAATCAGTAATCAAAGCTTTTCTCTGAATAGCTCAGTATAGAGGTTTCCAGCAAAGTGCTCATTTAATTGCCCAACATATCCCCTGAACTAATATATCAGTGACTTCATGTTTGTTTTTTAAATCAACAGTCGCCCCTTCAATATAAAGTCTACTGATGTTAGAAAATTCCTTTCAAAATATTTCTGTTTTCCTAATAGTAGTTTAGATCTACTTAAACATCCAAAATCATAATATCTAGGCTTAATTTTCGACCAAATGTGACTATGAAGTCACAAAACATAAATACGTATAAAAATGCATTTGTTTATATATTTAAGATGAATATACATGTTAAATTCGTAAGCGTGTGACACATACACATACACTGCATGTGGAATATATCAGTATTCATTATTCAACAAACTTTTATGATGCACGAATAGTCGAAAACCTCCTAAACTCTAACATTTCAAAACCTACAGTATAGTATAGTTTAGCCAAATTGGATCTCATTTTCATGTCCCAAATTGCAGGAATTGCAGGATTTTATAGCACTTATTATATCCATTTTAAAATCAATGGTGTTTCCTCCAATCTGATTGCATGGCATATACAAACAAAAGGTGCATGCATGTCAGTGCAAAGTTTGCATGTCACTTACCTATATATAGCTACAATCTTACAATTAACGAATGCATGCATGCATGCTTCTTACTTTTCCGTAAGTTGTTTTTGTTTTTACTACATATATATTATGTAGATATAACAGTATATTTGCTAAGGCTGTTCTTTTAAAACACTGGTCTTTTTAGACTCTGCGGAGTATATGTAATGGATAATGGATGGATTCATGTTTAGACACGTAAACCCGAAATTTGCCGCTTTGCAAGATTGGCTGCATGAGACGATACAAATATTATACAATATAGAAGATAATTTTGCCCTAAAAGCAAAATTCGGTTTAGGTTGCATGGTGGCCTGATGTCCTCGAGCTTTGCCAAGTTGCATACTTTCCAACATCAGCTATGGCCTATGCCTCTAGCTGCTAATTTTTATAATTTATAGGTACACCCTTTTTTATACCTAAAAACGTTAACAGTAATATGAGAAACATTGGACAATGGCAAACTTCACTGAGCGAACGTGATGAAAAATGCAAGGAAGCAATTAAACATTTTAAGATGAAAAATAATTCATGTAAATATTTGATATTATTACTTGTAATAATTTGTAATAATTTCAAAAAATAATCAGCATTAGTTGCAAAGCCATAGATATAATCTATGCCAAGTCCCAAGAAGTGTGCCAAGAGTATTCAATAAGTCGCGCGCTTAGAGAAGCCTAGAAACTAGGTTGGAATGGACTCTGGCAACTCTGGCTGGATCTTATAGTACGCGAAACACCTGGGAACGAAAATATCGTCTATTTCGGAAAATTTATGTGGTTTCAGCGTCTGATGCTGTGATCTAGAGCTCTGAAAAATAGAGTAAAATGCCATCAATATTGAAAGAACTGGGACTGGAACCAATTTCGAACGAAGGTGCCCAATCATTATTCAGTTATGATATTTTGTGTTGATTTTGTGTTGTTCATTGATATAGATTTTGAAGGCAAATGGCATTATATGCAGACTGCAACGAAACCATTGTCTGTTGATACAATAAGTCAAATCAATGATTCAGAAATTTCATATATATGCATGATATGTATTGATATGTATATGTACATGTATATCAAAAATATATATTCAAGTAATATGTATATATATACATATATAAATATGCATATAGAAGTTCAATAATGACAAGCAAACTTTGTTATTGTTACGAATTTTATAGTGTCTTAGTGATGGAAAGCTTAAATGATTGTGCGGTTATATCAATTATATACGCGTTATTTGACAAAAACGGCAAAGAAAGCTGGCGTTGTTGGTTGCAGTGGCAAATCATTTTGTGACGAGCTAATTCCGGAATGCCAAGTTCATTCCGGATTAAAACATCTCATCTTTCATCAAACAAGAGGATTTAAAGCAACAAAGTAGCTCATATAGAATCTACGTATGTTTTTCCCATCGTTGAGGCTTAGTATAAGAGTATAGCGACATTTGAATGAAGCCGCCTTTGAAGCGAATTCTGGGGCCGGTTGTATCAAGCCCGTTTAGCTTAAACGGTGGTTAAGTTCAAAATAGAAAGCAAGTCTATCGTTTTATTCAAGAAGCAAACTAAATGTTTTTAACCTTAATACAAAGATACTGTTTACAACTACATATTCAACCTCGTTCCCAGGGCCTTTTGGGACTTTATAGGGAGGGTTGAGGCTGCGGGGGGGGGGAGTAGAGGACCTCTACTCCCCCCCCCCGCAGCCTCAACCCTCCCTATAAAGTCCCAAAAGGCCCTGGGAACGAGGTTGCTACATATTCAGTAAATAATATTCAAGGTGACTCATTCAAGAGAGATGTAAGAGTGTTATTTAATTTTGACTTATCCACCGTTTAAGCTAAACGGGCTTGATACAACCGGCCCCTGATATATAGCCTAATGTGAATATGTGATATATCTCTTAGAATTTTATTAACCTTTCCAGACGACGGATCCCGTCATTCGGGCTTTGAAAACCTGCACTAACTTTGACACTAAAACTCCACCTATCGATTCGGCAAAAAACCCCTGCCCTTCGTTATAGCCAAACAAATCGTTTTAATGCATTATTTTGTAGATCTCCGTGACTTTGCAGTTTGCAGTCACATAGATTTATTGTTACCGATAAGGTAATTAAATATTCATCACCTTTGTCCATCACAAATAACTTGATTTTATAAATACCATTCATCTCGTTGCTTAAGAATTGTATCTACTGCATGAGCAAGTTTCTAAGCGCCCATGCTGAGCACGCTTACAAAGAACCCTAGCTAAAAAGAGATCCAATGACTGCGTTGCTATGGTTTGTCGAGGCTGCGTTCGCACGGTACCGGATCCGCTCGTCACGACATCTTCGATCGTCTGCCGTTTGGCGTCGTGAAGCAACGATTATTAGAAAACGCTTATTATGAATTATTAGGCAGTCTTTATCAGGCTTTGACCATGGTCAGAGTGTAACTTGTTAGGAACGAAGACTCTTCCTGTGCCATTTTACATTGCCTTCTTGCGTGATGAAAAAAATATTTGAAAATAATTGGTTTTGAGTAGCCCGTGCATAGAACAAGACGAGTCAAAGTTTATTCCTACCAAGTCATTACTCCGATTTTGTCGTTAGCTCATTCGCAAGAGGCAGTCAATAGAATCGGTGTATTCAATTTTCCTTGAACTCTGTCGAACGTTAATTCTGACCATCATTTGTTTATTTCTTCATTCCATGTTCAAATTTAAGAGCTGACCTATAGCTATATCTATAAGTATATGCTGATTTGAACAGAAGGTTGCAATTATAGTTCTTATATAACTATATTCAGTTCTTGCAATTATATATATACTTAATACGACTATTACTAATGATTCCCTTTAAAACGATAATAGAACTTTTCTACTTTTATAGACACATTGTTTCTTGTTTACGGAAACACAAGGCTAGTCGCAGCTAAAGATAAACTACAGAAATGGTTATCTCTTCTGCCAGACAGCATAACGGCCCCAATTGATGCAGCATTGCGACAGGAACGACCATTTCTTCCACCGGACATCACACCAGAGATGATGGCAACAAAAAATAGCATTGTGCCATCTATGGCACAAATGGATATACTTTATGTAAGGAACGTACAGTGATATATTAATAATGTAATTATTAAGACCATTTCCCTCATAGCTCATGCATGCAGTGCTTAATTTTACCTAATTATAAGCTCAGTTGAAGTAGAGTAGTGCGCCATAGAGATGAGTCGGCCACACGTTGTTAATTGTTTTATGTTTTTTGATGGAAATTTCCCTCTACCATACCCTCGATCGTCTTGCACGTCGAAAACAGTGTGACCAAATCTGTTCAATGTTTTTACTAGATCCGGTCGGATGCACATAAACAGCCCCACCACATTAATGACAGAACATGCAGAAGAGGACATGCGGTCTAGCTAGATTTAAGCAGTTTTGGTTAAAAAATTCATATATATATAGTCACATTGGTCGAAAAAATACTGGTTTCCAGTGATTTTCACGTCCAAATTGCCAGTGAATGTTTTCATTTTTCTTTTCAGAGATGCATAGATTTTGCTTTCCAAGCGGAAGATTATAATAAGGCGGCGTGTTTAGCATACGTAGTTGATCGAGCCACCTATTGGTCGGGTGCGTCTAAGAACCTTTTGCAGGTTGTTGACATGATCAAGAAGGCTGATCCACTCGTAGCGATCGCCCCACAGATACAAGTGAGAAAAGCTCGGGTGTTAAAAGACGAGGGTGATCTTCATGGTGCGATGAAGGTACTCAACGACATTCTTGAGCGTCGTCAAAATGAACAAGGTTGTGCAACTATGCAGACATATTGTCAATAAAAACATGCATATAAAATTAAGAATTGCATGCAAATTTATCCCTTTTGTATACATTTTGGAACTCATGCTTTTCATTGAACCTGGTTCACACAGCAGCACAATGCAACGTGTGGATTTTATTTCTTTTTAGGTGAATGGAAGTATGTTGATGAAGACCAATATGTCACTACTAAAGCTGAAATAATAAAAATTAAAGGTCACATTCTCTACAACATGGGTAGGTCAGCAAGTTTATAGGACTGCATGGGATATAATGAATAGTTGCTATTCAATTATTAATCAATTTATTGCGTTCGTCCCCTGAGAAGAACGATGTTTGGTTACACAAATATAGGAAATTAGGCCATAGGCCATAAGACAAAAAACATAAAGTGCTATTCCTGCATGATTCAGGTCACTTCATAAAACGTTCACACTTCACAAATCCATTCGCGTAATTGCCTTTTTTTCACCAAAACAGTAAGTGCATGCAGCCGTTACATAAACGTTTCAGTTTGCATCACAACTGTAGCGTCATTCTTGTGACATGGTTACATCGCATGTATTCTATTTCTTCTTGTTGACTTTTTCTTGTTGACTTACACTGATCATTGTAGGATATGCATCAATATTTTGAAATATATTCAGGGATGTTCAATGAGTCCGTCGAGCCATTTCTTGACTCGATCAACTTGTTCGCGTCTCTTCAAAAGAAGGACGAAAAAGGGATTGCATCCTGCCTTGGTCTTCTTACAAAATGTCTCGGTAAACTCTCGCTTGAAGAATTTGAGAAAGTTCGACAGAAGTTTCCAAAAAATTTCCAAAAAGAACATCCTTGTCTTGAATCGTACGTGCAAGGGATTGAGGCAGTTCGACACATTGAAAGTCTGCACGAAAGTCTCTACAGTTCAAGGCATATGGTACTCATGCATTATTCAAAAGTATAGCCATTGGCTAAAATCTTCTTGCATGCAACTAACCATAATTGATTGTACCAAAAACCATAACCAGCTGACAATGAAAAGAAGTAAAGTAAAAGACATATGATTCAAACAACATTCTATTCTGTCTAAAGATTACTTTGAAATAAAGTCGAAAATTTACAGTCTCAATATCTGCGTCTTGTTTGAATCGTATAATGATTCTCAAGATGTCTTAGTTGTCCACTCGGAATCTTTTTTTACTTCATATTGAATTGTAGTCAACTGAAAAGCTGAGTTTTGCAATCGGAAAATTTTTCAGTGTATATATACTATATTAAAAATAGATCAGATATAAAAATGAAACCATAATGATGTTTCACACCACACGTAGATATTAAGAAACCATGGTATTTCATCTAATCAAACTACTCATGAGTATAGTTTGAGTCTACGCTTTGATTGCATGGATTTCAATTTCATTTGCTTGAAAATCTGAGCAGAATCAGTATTTCGTTGGGGAGGGAGAGGTTCGAACATTTCTTCATTTCATTTCATTGATTTTTTACAGCTTGACGCTGATACCTCGTTACTAAAATATGCCATTCTTAGTGAATCCCTTGCGGAGACCTATGAACTGCTGCAGACTATTTTAGAAGAAATGAAAGGAAGTCTTGGGGCTCACAAAACCATTGAAACACTCGAAAGCTCAGAACAGTTCTTTGAATTTGTGCGAGCTCTTTTTATGATCAGCCTCGCCTTGGCATTTTCTCCGGTGGAACAAGATCGCAAACTGGGAGAGTATGTACAACAACTAAGCATTGAGCTCTATTTCCACCTCTGCAATCATAATTTCAAAGTTCAGTCCAAAGAAATTCAAAGTGTGGCAAGACTAAGTCACTCTGCGAAATCGGTTACGCTGATGAACACGTCCCTTTCTGTTCTTGGATTACCGAGCCTATTGGGAGTGTTAGAGGAAGAAGTAGGGCCAGAAAAGAAAAAATCTGAGGAAAACCTGACTGTAGGCGAGAAGGATTCTTCAGAACACTCGGAAATGTCAAAAATGAAAATTGAAGGTATAAAATACAACAAGGAAGTTTTCATTAGGAACGAAGAAGCTGAAACAAGTGGAATACATCACGATTGCGACGGTGATTCAATTAATAATCAGTCCAACAACACAGGTACTAGTACTACCATCACATATCTAAATTCATTTACATGGAGCCAACGAATTGAATTTATTTATAGCCAACCTAAAGCAAATTTTGTGTGCAGTAATAACACATATGTGAACAGGAAGAACAGAAATGTAACCGATTATGAGTTTATAGCCAGTTTTTATAATCATTCATACGCGTTTATTATCAGTTTCATCCAAAACGTTTTCAATTTATAATTTTGCAGATATCCGTCGACCAGTAGAACAGGTAACTACTAATCAGGAAAAGGAAATATTCAGTGGATGGACGTACAATTTTGGGCATGTGACACGTGTGGAGGACAATGTTTATGAAGCAAGAAAAGGCCATCTGACATTTCCACTTGTCAACCATGGAAAGCTATTAGACCCGAAAAAACAATGGCAGACGTATAGACACAAGTGTGTTGGCTTGCCTGTGGATCCTAACTTCTTTGCTTCGCCTGTGCCTTCCAACGAGAGAACACGATTATCAATTCCCCAAATTCCATCCTCCGAAGATGAAAACCAAGACTTAGCAGCCCTCGTAAATTTGTCCGTGCCTTACATCAAGAAAACTTTGGAGAGTAAAGCAGCTACAAACGAAAGCGTTGCTTCAAAAAACCCCAGCAGTTTAGTAAATCGTGAGAAAACCACAGTTGGTTCTGTGAATTCCGCCGAAAACATAATACCAATGCATCCCCATGATTTACCAGACCAACCAATGAGGCGGAAGTGCAGTAACGACGGCTTCAGACAGGGAAGCGACTTTGATGCTTCAAAGTTCGCGCCTCTAGTTGATCTTGGTAAGGCAAGCATTAATGATGTACAGGATGCTGACGTTGGGAAAAGTACTTCTTCAAGTAGTACGTCGGAATACATAAACAATTGGCAACCACCGAAAGCGATTGGGCTTGGTGAAGGAAGCCGTATTCAAAGTGAGTATACACGCAAGCTTATTAAAATCAGCGACTCTAGACCATGCTCTAGACCTTATTTATTACTCCTCTCTGCAAATTGGCCTCGTTTCTATGTTAACTTACTAAGAATATCGCAGGAGACATGTTAACGTTCTCCTGAACGATTTCTTTCTTGCTAATTTTGACTCAGGAACAAAGTTGTTTTCAACCGTGCTAACCACAAAACATGAGTAAACACCTCCTACAAAAACGATCACTATTATTTTGAAAAAATTGAATTCAATTGATATTTTCTAACGGTATACAAGGTGGTAAAAAAGTTGTTGGGTGGTATAGTTTTTATTCTAATCTTTCTTTTAAGCGGCATTTGGGTTGAATTTCAACCCGGTAATTAACCAGTGAATCGATCGCGACCATTTTTCCATGTTAACGTATCTTAGAACATCGCAAGCAGATAAAGTTATCTCATTTTGAGTCAGGAGCATGCAAAGTAATTTTCAATCCTGCTTAGCACAAAACATGAATAAATAAACAATTACCGAAAATTAGATTATAGACTAGAAAATTAGATGAAATTTTGTGTCTACGAGTATTGAGGGAAGAAATTTGTAGTGTAGTAGTTTTCATTATAGTTTCTTTTTTAAGGAGCATTCGTGCTGAATTTCAACCCGACGACCAGCGTGTGGACATCCCAAAGTACTTTAGCTTTCCTTGGCGATGAACTTGATTTAACAGAAGACAACAAAGGGAATTGCAGGGACGCTTTTCGTGTCCAGTTTCTTCATCAGGATGAACCTAGAGGAATGTAAGTTACTGTAAAGAAATATACAAAAAAAATATAAGAAAAGTACCATGTGTGAGTACAAGTTAGCTTAAACCTTAAGCAAATCTATATTGTTTTCTAATAATATGGTAACGTGAATGAAAAATTATTTTGCGACTTGCGAAAATTCAAAATTGTATTCGTCTTCCTTTCTTGGATACTCTCATACCATACCCTATACTGCAAGGAATTTTCAAGGAATTTGAGTCAAAGATTTCTATTCAAAGATGTAAAATACTTACATTACTTCGTGTACAGGTATGTGGGCAAGAGATATCGTAATGTACGGCACCACAATCCTACGCAATACATGCAAGACGTTGTTTGTCAAATGATGGCTGGCTACTATGTCACAAAGTTCAACGAGGCTATGCAGAATTACAAACGTGATATCCAAGTGCAGTTCCTGCCAGTCGCTCATCTGCAGCTGCTGACTCCGTATGGTGATCTGGAAGACTGCATCAATGTTGAGCCATACCTATATGGAGACTTCATAAAACTGACGAACAACTTTGACTTTGCGAATAGGGAAAACCGCGGTAAAGATTTGGCGACCGCGCTGTCTCACTTTTCTTATTGTGAATCAAAAGGGACGCTGATGATTGTGGACATCCAGGGCTGGCTGCCGAAAGAAGGAACCGGGGTTTTCTATCTTACTGATCCACAATTTCACACGGTTGGCTTGGAAAAATTCAGTCCATATGATCACCAAGAAGCGGGCATTAAGAAATTCTGGGAAAGGGTTCATCCGCATTGCAATGAGATGTGTCGAGCTATTGGACTGGAAAGATTGTAGGAGATTGTGAAATTCTGAATGATTTGAAAAGGGGGGAAATTATGATTTAAAATTATCAGATTAGTAATGATTGCTCGCCTTATCTTGTTGAAGACAGATCAACCGCCTGGACGAACTTGCATGGGCAAAGAAGGAAAACTGTCGTCTCGGATAATCGGCGAACAATCGGTGTAGTTCTTCTGTTTCTATACTGAGGGTATAATCAACTTGTTTGTCTGCGTTTCGAAAGAGTACACGGACCAGTGAACTGTAATATCAATTGGAACGCTAACTCCTATAGTTCAGCGTAATAGCTACTTGGTTGAAGCAGGGCGCTTACATAGAGCCCTGGTTGAAGCCATAAATTGAAGCAAAAAACTGAGTTTTTTACTCGTATAAAAATTAGCAAATGATTAATTGTCTTTAACATAGTTCTAAATATTCCTGGATAATTACTGAATATATATTTTTCCTGGATATTTAAAGAAAATCGTCCACAACAGTGATGCTTTTGGTACGTCCATAACTCATTTCCACAGTTAAAAGGCCTATATCCTCGAGCAATTAAGCAGAGATTTTCGCTAACACGCGAACCAAACCCGTACATGTTAGTGCACCCGAAGTATAACAAAATTCTTAGCACATTGAAGGCGAAGACAAATACTTTGGCTAAAAAATATGAAATACACCATTATATTGGCGTATGCGCTTTTTGGAGATTTGAAAGTAAAATAACTTATACAAAATCAAAATTTGAAAAAATATATTCCGTGACAGATTGCGCATGATTTCTTATTATATAATGTACGTGCATGATAATCTTGGTTAGTCTTTGGTCATTCAATGAGTGTTTTACGACTGATTGTATATGCATGTCATCTTCTTTGTTTTCGAAAAACTTCCGCAGTAGCTGTCTATACTAAGCATCAAGATAACACCAATATACCATAAAGTCTTTGTGAACAGACAGTCATATGAGAGATCTCAGTTTAATTCTGCCTTTTAAAGAGTAGACATATTCAAACACAAAACAAAAGGTTTGAAAGAAAATTGTTAAGATTTACATGTGCAAAACGTGTGAGAACGTGTAATAGAAAGACCTCTCAATGTGATGCTTTAGAGTATTGACCATTCCTTGCTTCTTTTATCAGGTTAAGTGCGCACTTAAGGTATGAATGTAACGGAATAAATTTTCAACAGAAATAATGCGATATGACCTTGAATGTACACCACTGTACATTCTTAGCTACATGCATGCACGTATTGTAAAAATGTATACGTTGTTTATTTATACTATAAGTTATAATTATATCTATATAGTACTACTCATCGTCGGGTATTTTACATGTTCCCCATGCAACAAGAATGTTTTAAAAGCATGCAACATTTTTTAATTATATGCATGAAGAAACTGTTTTTCCGAACTTATATTCATATTTTGTCACGTTTTCTGCGTGAAAGAAGCAGCTAGAGAAAATCTAGTTGCTGCTGATAACAAAATGCCCATCACACTATATCTAAAGATTTTACAAGGCAAAACAACCCAGCAAGCCAAAACCGTGCATGCTTCACTGGCTTACGATGTTGAGGTGAAAGAGCTAGCCTTCAACTAAATCTATTAACTTTGCATATTCCGAAGTGAACTTACATATTGTTTGCCAAAATGAAAAATAATAACATTATATATAGTAGATATATAGTAGATTTAAGAAGCAGCTATATAGAAATTGAGGTTTACATATAACAACAAAAGCCGTCAGCCGCTCACAAAAATAACTCTTATTCTTAATGACTAAAATATATCAAGTCATTTCCTGAAATCGGATTTGACTTGCGTGTCATACCATCTTTGTTGTGGAAAAACTTCCGCAACAGTAACTATAAATGGGAACTTATAAAACCGAACAGCTGTTTAAAGGTAGTTTTGTTGGTCATCAAAACTCACTATAACTGTAGCCCACGAGAAATCGGAAGGAGGTAAGTCCGAAAGCTGTTTAAACGAATAATATACTGCATGATAACTAATGTGACAATTGATTCTCTGCGATTTTGACAAAGAGAACTGCGATTCTTTTTTATTTGTAGAAATCTGAACGGCTTCGAAAATCTGTATCAAAATGAAATTGATGTTCTTGTTTGCGCTAGCTGCGTTTGTTTCGTTTTCACGTGAGTATATAGCAATTTACTGAGCTTGGACGAAGGGTTAGTGAAAAAGCATGTAACTATTTGCACACAATAAATATATGGCCGCATGTGTATATCAGTTGGGTGTTTTATTTCGACTAAATAGATATATCTGTTCCAAACTGAATGTCTTCTTTTCCGCGCAATGTCTGTTGCAATCAATATATATATCTATATAATTGTGATAAATATATATATATCCATAACAAACATGATACACATTTATATCATATATGCGGCTGGTTTTCTCGGCGTATATAGTACATGCACCAGTGAACTAATGTTGCCTGTATGCAACCTTCAACCGATGGCGATAAGGTGTATTTATTATAAAGGCCTATACTTGTTGTAGATGTGATCGTAGAGGCGTCGTGTCCTACCATAACGTTTCCATGTGATCGCATCCCAGACGTCTGTGACAATATGAGAGACGCCATTAATAGCGGCAAACCTTCAACCCTGAACCGCATCACAAACCCAACGGAAATTGCAAAGAATAGACGTGACTCTGGCTGCCCAAACTTAATAAGAGTACCAGGCGAAAATTGCGACGAATACCCGTTTGCTTCAAGCCGACAAGGTAGGGATGATCTCTTCCTCTATGCAACTCCCCGCGGCCATCTCAATTTAAGGAGAAGTTTTAGATTGAAACAAACGCTAACTGTTGTTGGTCAATGCTAGAAGTTGCCTTGTTTTTATTTAAGTTTGGATGAAAAATTAATAAACAGGGAAGACTAAAGTGTTTTTATTATAATTTTAACCAATCCAACTCCATGCATCATCAGGCTAATGACAGGACTGGTTAGTTGTTATTCCCTATATTTACATCGTGATATTAGGTGTCGAACAAACGCTGCTGAACATACGCTCTGAATTTTTCACACAATGTAGACACGTTAGCCTGATGATCGCTTCATAGCGTGAAACTCCGAGTAGCTAAGCCAGTTTTATAATAAATAAATATATATTTCCGCTCTGCGGGTAATGGTATTGAGCGCTCTTCAACCATGCATTGTCAAGTTCTGTGCACTCTTTGTTACAGTCAACTCTTTGTATGTATATGTAAATTTATACACGTTATAGTGAAAAATAGTAACTATAAACAACATGCACTGAACATATTAGCTGCACTAATTGAGCGCCTTATTAAATCATATATCATATCTACCACACAACTTTCTTAGAGAACTATTGAGGGTTTTCTTTTTTGGACATGATTACTTGGGATGACCCATTTTGACAAAATAAAGGATTTCATCATTTTGTTTAAAATTATTGAGGTTTGCATTGGATATAATTCACCCAACCATTGACTTTTTCCCAAAGAGATAAGTTGCCACAATTTTTTAAGCTAACGTTTTTTAATATGTCATAGTGATCAGCGGTCGAAGTTCCTAATATTTAGATTATATTTATTTTTAGGTGGAAGAGGTGCTGCAATAAGGAATGTTCCCAAAAGACAAAACAGTATTCAAGGTGGATTATTGGGAAGTTTCTACAAGGATAAGAATATTGGAGATGGTGATTGTTACACAGTCGCCCTTAGTCGAAGTTGGTCCATAAATATTTCTTTAAATCTTTGGCTTATTTTGGCTTTGACCCTTCAAACTTTTCTTTGGAATTGAATATCTCTGTGGTACTATTTTTTCTAAAATTGGGTACGAGTACCGTACTGTTACTACCGTATATATACCAATGAATTAATTATAGTGTAAAAGGGGCTTATATACCTCTATACTAGATTACCATGTAGTTGAAATATACGTCTTTCAGTTCTAACAGTTTTGTGTACTAAAAAATCCGCCTAATGCGTGTAATCTTTACCAATTAGTGAATATAGTTCTAAATCTGGATCGCAAAAGCAAAAAGCAGTACAAATATAACTACGTGAACAGACGAAAGACCGGAGGCTCTGCTTTTTTTCAGACTCCATCGGATTGTGCTGTTCTGAGCGAGGTTCAAATTTATTTCACGAATATGAAGCGTCTAAAATATAAATGAGAAAAGATAAAAATTAGAAGAAGCGACAATTGGATGAGGCATCGCCTAAATGCCTTTACTGGGCGCTAATTTTCCAGGGATTTACACCAAAAGTTCGCTTACCTGATCTTTGCTACTGAAAGAGAAAACTCCCGGCTCCTCTCCGTTGACAGTCAGGCGAGTAACGAAACCTTTTATTCCAAAGATTGAAATAACTTTCAAGTTTGGTGGAGCACAATCCATACAACCATGTCCATGATGTGTGACCTTCGTTACCAGTATGTTCTGAAGTATTGAGCATTTACATTTATTATAAAAACACATATATCTCAGTATTACATATATCAGTATCACAATTGACCATACATGTATGTTCCGGGAATAGCGTGACAGACCGCATGGACAATCAGCACAGTGCTTCGTTAAAACTTTTTTAAAAGAGGTATGTATATCAGTATATGACACAAGGTTGAGAAACATACTAGGCCGAATTTCTTTTAAAATAGCGTCATATTATAATGAATTATTACACAACATTCCTCTGAATTATCTCACCTTATCAACTTCGAATTCTATAATGTAGTACTTCTTTCTTTCAATTGTATCTGTTTCGATAAAATAAAACAAAGTCTGTTTTTGCTGTAGCCTATACTCTATAGTGATAACAATTCTGCTGTAGTCATCGCTTTTCGTCAGGACTATAGCTATCCACATGCATTTGTTTCAAGAATTTGAGAATTTGAATGGCAAAATATTGGCCGGATCTCCAACCTACCAATTGACTCTCCGTCGTCCCAAAAAAGTTGTCCCGTTGCTTTCTGGTCGTCGTTTAACCCCACAAGCAGTTCCATCGGCTTTCGGCGGCTTTGTTATAGAAACAAGTAAAAATATATAGTTGTGTCCAGATGAATCAAAACGATTTGAAATTATATTGCGTGGTATGTACAGTATTCATAGCTCTACTTTGCCTTTGGTAGTGTATATTTCACCTTGACAAAAATGCAGTTCTCGTATGTGCATGCATGCATTTAATTGCATCTTTGGGATTTAGTCTTCTTAGACTTTAATTGTATGTGAACATACCCGAAAACCGTGTTGTTAGCAGTTTCTTGGAGTGGAAGAATGTAACCACCTCTAACGTGTAGTACAATTGAGTTATGTGGGGCATCAAACTCAGACCAACGTGAAGACGAATCATGCTCTTTACCCTAAAAAGAGAAATCAGTAACCGTGTCTTCATTAATTAACTATGTATGATTCTATGATTAAGGCGTTCTGCATGCCCACGCATTGAAAATAAGACTTTTAAAACGTGCCTTAATATTTTGAGGTCTTTAAAGCGTATACTGTACCTAGTTTTAGCTTACCCACTCAAAGAAAATTAATTTATAGTCTTCGTTTTTAGCTGAGCAAAACATGCAAGTATAGCAAACATTGCAAAGACTAGTAGATATGGGTAATCGTATGTTTGGAGTTCTTCCTATACCGTTTTGAAGTCATACCATCGCCCTTCAGGGATATAACCACGTACTGACGTCTTTGTCTAACAAATCACGAAAGAAAATTATTAAGTTATATATACTTACATAAAAAAACTAAACAACCCGCCCCAGTAAAAATAAGCAGCTATATATTACTTATAAAATACAGCGATCTTGTACTAAACATAAGTTTTGTACTTGAAATATTGTTTTCACGAAGCTTTATGACGTAGTGCATGCATATATATAAGAAATGAAAGCCATTAGTTTTTAAACTTAGACCAACTTCATTTTTAAGCAACGAAAAAGGGGTAAAAATCTCTAATATATACGAATTTCGTATTTTACACAAGAATTACATCCATGCAGTCAAAAAACCTTTTTCTTATAGTGGAATTGATGCAAGATAGCCAGGGTATGAGATCTACCTTTTCAAGAACGGCAGTGACAAGAAGTGCTGGGCCCCATAAAAATTGCTTGTCAATCGCCCAGGTCTTTTTATCGTTCGTGAATCTAAAATAACAGGTATAGCTGCCGATCATAACCCAACTTCAATCAGCTAATAATTGATTAAAGTTGGGGATTTCAGGTTTGCCGTTTGTCATCAAGAGTCTAGTTTGTTGTTCACGTCGTGAAATTCAGTTGATAGACTTGTTTGATATTTTTTATCGCACGTGGCAAATGCGATTGAATAATGCAGCAAGAGCAGCCAATCATGAATAAATTAGCGTGCAAGGTGCATCATGCAGTGCATGTAGGTGATTTAGACTTTAGCAACCTGCATGGTGTCAACAATTGACATTACAAGAACAGTTTTGAGCAATGTTCGCTTCTCTTGCCCCCCGAAAACATTTATTTGACCTCCAATAGCCCCCCCCCCTATTTATTTTAACCAGGCGCAGCCACTGACATTGAATTCCCATGGGTGGGAATATGTGCATGGTTTTCGACAGACGACTTTTACTACACGATTATTTATAGTTACGACAAGAAAAAGGTATTCTTTGAAAGTCAAATAACTCATCTTTCTTGAAATGTAAAAATTAAGTCGATAGACTCGACATATAAATGCATTACGGCTTGTTAAAATTCGATATTTTTGTGAGACACCCTTTTGTTTAAGCTACAAATCAATAGGCTTTTTTATTAGATAACTTTCACCGTAGCACGAGAACGAACGAATAGCTTCATTAATATCATTAATATCATTAAAGCACACTGGTGCACTTAACACGCATACACGTCACTCGTGACGATTGTCACCTGCACATATTCCTCGTCTGCGGGGACCAAATTGAGATATTCTGTCATTCGTGTCGTAATATCCAATTATCAAACATGTTTGATATTTTCTATCACGCGTGACAAATGCGCCAAGTGTGCGCTGAACAAATGCGATTAAAACATACAGCAAGGAATATGTAAATGTGAAATATACAATAAACAAACTAAACATGGAGTATGAAAGTGACGATTATTTGTCTCAAGAGGAAAAAATTTTGCTTTTCCTTTTCCTTTTGCTTATGCGTCGGCGCCGGAGACGCCTAAGGGTAGCCAATCGTAAAATATGGACGAAACGATGGATGGACGAAATGCTTTTTCTCGTAAATCTCTGTTTTTGAAATCTCGCGAGCGTACATTGTAAATACACGGATAATTGGATATTACGACACGAATGACAGAATATCTTAATTTGGTCCCCGCAGACGAGGAATATGTGCAGGTGACAATCGTCACGAGTGACGTGTGTGCGTGTTAAGTGCACTAGTGTGCGCTAGGCTTAACGCGACGAAAGAATTGTGAAATCCTCATTCCCCAGAGGTTGGCTTTTGTTATGTGATCAAATGAAAATAAGCACAGCTGTTAAAGCATGGACATCAGTATACATAGCCAATTTATAAACAATTGCATGACAAATCAGCCTGGCATTAATTATAAATAGTGTTAATTTGTTATACAGCGATAAATACTTCTATAGGGCCAGTTGTAAATAAGCTTCTGTATAGTTAGTAGGTTTAACCATAGATGCGTGGTAACGTCAAAAATAGCGTGTACCTGGTTTGACAAGAAGAAGAACTATGAAGATAGTAATTTAATATGCCAAAGGCATTCAAAGTTAAATAATGCATATTACTCAGATTTATTCGGTACACATGCAATGGCCCATTCTATTGTCTCCTGTTGTCGGTATTCTCGTTCGTATTTGTTTTATCTCGTTCATATGTGCATAACGAGCATAAAATTCTATGCACAAGTAATTAAAATTCCTGCATATTCGTTCGCTCTCGTCCTACGGTGAAAGTTATCTAATTTCGCTGCATGTTCGTCATGCATGTCCCATGCATATACTGCATGGATAAGTAAAAGGTTTTTGTTTTAGTTCATGCACCCGTATCGTAGCGACACGTGCAGCAGAGTTGGTAGATATGCAAATATTTGAGGCCAAATTGTCATTAGTGCTATGAAGAAAACAAAGAAAACAAAAGGCAAAGACAAAGGAAAAGTGTGATGTTGTTTGGCCTCAAATATGCAGCTATCTACCAACCCTGATGTGCAGTTATCGTTGTTCTCTGCGCACTCAGTGTGAACTAATGACTTTGAAGCATCTTAATAATCAAGCTATACACGTTTTGCAATGACACGGCCCGAAAATGGTCTTGAGGTGACTCGTTTGAGAACTTGGAGAAGCAGCTATAGCTTCTGTATTTGCGTCTGGTTAAAGTTGATGATAAAGCCTTTATGGGATGTGGCAATATACTATATATACGTGAGTTCGAGATGACATTCAACACTCAAATTTTGGGTCATTTGGATTCCAAATCGCAGTTTATTTAACCAAAGGTATGGATTGATGTGGTCGTGTAATGAAAGGTAGATTGTAATCGAATAAACCTGTGGTTTTCTATGATAAATTCGGCACTTCAACCAAGTATTTTAATCAAAGCCATGCACTTTCATAAAGTGTTATCTTAAAACTTCTTATACAAATACTCTATTTAAAATCTAAAAAAACTTACTCGTGCATCAGTGAGCGTACAACTGTGGCTCCTGTAGTGTGTGATTGGTAAAATAGCGTGTACAAATAAGGCAAAAGGCTGTATCGTGTTTTCATGATAGGGCGAACAAGATCAGCGAATTCTTTGCCAAATGACCCTGGGTCTTGGGGCTAGTACAGAATAGAAGAAACGTAAACTGGTATTTATACTAGAGGTTTGGGTGTAGTAATATTTTTTCAGTCTATTTACCTGTCTACCTAAAGCATTATGGTTTCGGCTGAAGGGATAGAAGGCTCCCAACTGCATCCACCTAGCGCATAATTCTGGTGTGGCGTCATCGAAAAACCCACAAATGTCGGCACCAATCTGTAAAACGGCATGTTGATTAAATGGTCAATTTTCTTAGTCTGTGATTATATTATGTAAAGCCAAATGCGGTACTGTTTTACCAGGAAAAATATTTCATACGCGTCTTCAGTTCATTATCTCTTGTACAGACTTTCGATCGTAATGTTCTCATGAATCACAACATCCCACATGTGTGTGGGATGACTTCCCAGCTCCCGTCTCGAAGCATAAAGTATATCGACATGTTATAAAGTCATCTGAGTGTATATACTTACATAAGGAATGCCAAATAAGTTAAACTCCAACATTCCTAAAATGTGAATTGAAATTACAAAAATATAAGAATATAACTGTAGATTATAGTTGAAATTATTAATTATCCGACATGCATTAATTAGTCAATAAATTAAATGTATAGACCTTCTCGAATAGTAATTTGTTCGGTGTAGAACTTGGCAACTTGCAAGAAATAAATTATTTTCACAGTGGAACGTTGAGTAAAATGTATTATAAATTAAACCCAAACTTGACGGTCATGAAACAGCTATTCCCGACCACACCCCGATGACCTCGAATCCGACCGTAACCTTCCTGGATTGCATTTGCTTATCAGGATAAAAATTCGGCATTGTATATCTTATATTTACCAATGATAGATTTATGCATTTGATTCCATGAACTCTTGTTGTCCCCCAACCAGTGTCCCGTTTTCTTTCCATCTCCAGCAAACGTGGAACGAGAAATTACAATACTTCGTTTGCCAGTCGCTTCACGAGCAGCCCTGAATGTAAAAATCAACAGGCCCTCGATCATATTCACAATATTTTTTTGTAAAGCATGAAAGTTCTATAAATATGACAACTTATTCAGAGTTGGAAAACTTCACCTTTGGGTAGGTTTTGATTGACTCCATCCATACAAACTGTGAACATTGTAGTGAATGGTGCCGCCGCCAAGCGCCTGAATCGCATCCATGCAAATTGTTTTCCGCAGCAAGTCTTTTATTTCGTCTTTGTCTAACCCTACATCAGGACATTCGCGGTTATGATAACCAAATATTATAAGCGATTGATCTATATATATTATAATTATAATTTGATACGTTAGTTGCAATAATTTGTGTTCCATCGTAGAGGGATCTTGTCAAGTGGGCTAGAGCCTACGCCCGGGGGGTTTACGCACTGTGTCAAGTTGTACTGTGCAATCATGAAGTATTATGGTGTGATGCTTTGCAGCTCTGTGATGATAAGCGTTGTAATATTAAAAAAAGGCTTCACCAATTTTTCTTTTCAGCCCAATAGCTCGTTTTCGCATTAATTGTTTTTAGCATGTTAGAGACAGATAGAGGTGATATTACCATGTTTGCTTCCTTAACGAACGTGTTTCTATCCTATATACGTATATAAGCTCAATAACAAAGTAATTTTTAACCCTAATCGCGCAAGCACATGAGATCTGTTTCATGTGAAATTAAATGACTATATCATTATCAATTATACAGCCAGAATTAAAATGATACGAAATGAATTCTGGCGTAGAAATAAACATAATCTATACTTATGCATGCATGTGCGTCTTTGGTTGGTTTTACGAAATTGAACATTCTTGAGGTATAGTATCTTAGAATTAGGGGTTAAAACTAGATGATGAAAACTAGAAAATTTAAAAAGCAGAATTAGATCAGAAAAACGTACATGGCAAATACGGAGGAATATTATAGCTGTTGTTTTTACAACCATCGACTGAGCCTCTCACAAAATTAGAAGGTTCGTTCATATCCTGCAGAAAAAGGAAATAATTCAAATTAAATTTCGGCATTAAAGTTATTGTTTCAACCTATTGTGATTATTTTTTTGGAATATCAGGAAGAATTATATAGAGAATATATTTTTAAAAAATAACGAAATATAACCGTTCGTACTGGTTTTACGTTACGTGGTTTTACGTTTCATGAAAAGATTGCCTGATGGCAAAATATTCATTTTTTTTGGGTAGCTCTAAAATAATTCTAAATTTTTTTGCAAATTTTGTGAAATACATTCTATCTTCAGTTATGGAGGTTGAAAGCGTCTTAATTTCGAGTGGAATTATATACACAGTTCAAATTCAAGTCAGGAACAGTTGATGGAAAAATGAGTGAACTATATCGGTCCTCCGCGGCAGGAATTGAACCAACGCTTTTGCGATGCCGATGCAGTGCTCTTGCTAAGACCGATAGTTAACTCATTTTTCCATCAACTGTTCCTGGCTTTAAAATTTACCTACATCGAGTGAAGTGCCAAAAATCATAATTGATTTATCTTCAATTATGGCATATTGGATATAGTCGATATTATTATACTTTTTCCGCTCATGCATGCAATCTAATTTATACCATGTTTGTGCAGTACAAACTGACATAAATTTGGCTGCAACATGCGACTATATGGTTACTATACTTATACAAAAAAAAACAACAAACTCATACAATCCATATGCCATCAAACGGAATTGTTTTATGAAATTCTTTGATTTCTTCTATCCACCATTCTTGAGTTGAGGACTTGAAGAAATCTGGGTAGGCTCCAAATGCGCTATACCGCTATGAAGATGGTAAAAAGTATTTAATTCATGCAGGACGGCAACATCAGACCTTGGTCAACTGAGTTAACATCTGTTTTAGCAATTGTCTCAACGGTTACCTCTATTTGGGTATCCCATGGAAGACTTGTATTGTGTTCTGTCACGAAGGGATAGGCTGGCCAGAGCTTGATATGAAAAAGAAATTTACTTTTTTACGAATTTAGTTAATTGACTTAAGCTTATTAAACTTAAATAATTCTCCATACTAGTAAACTCAAATCATTCTCTAGTTTTATTTTATCTGAGGAGACATAAGTAAGTTCTTGGTTATTTGCTATTAATTCACGATCCAATGCAAGATCATTACCATATATGATCAATACAAGATAATTGATACCTTGTTGAATGTCATTGATTTTTATATTATCATTGTTCTGACGTGGTGTTCTGTTGTTTGTGAACATGTGCGAAAACGTTTATATTCTATTGTCAATTATTTTTCCTTGCCTTCGTGTTGTAGCATTTAACTGTCTTTTTTATATAAGTCAGCTATATGTTTGCCACGAGTGTGTTTGTAACTGTGATATTTAAGTATGGCGAGTATAGATTTTGATATCCAAAAAAAAAGTAAAATAATTGAGCATAGGACATCTCAGATTTCCACTTTTTTGAAGATGCTTATACTTAAAGATTCTCGTGACAAAGGTCGAGAAGATTTTCATTCAATTTAGGCAGTTGTTGCATGCACACTATTAAATCATGAAAATGTCCACCTTGTTTTAAGTGTTGGTGGAGATTAAGTTGTTGAAATGCCTCTGCCAATCCTGTTACTCGAATGACTTACCTTCCCAAGTAGGGTGTTATTGTCGCTGTTTTTAATCCACACATCTTTTGCATTTCCCTTTTCGTATGGAGGGTACTTATCCGTCTCGTTGACACTAATGACTGGATCCTGTGAATACGTTGAAAAAAACCTCTTAGTTTATGCAGGGATCAAGAGCAGGGATTAAGATTAGAAATCAACCGAATTCTTCAGAATGAGGAACCGGTATGGAAATTAAACCCACTCCCACGCATCTGACGCCGTATTCCTAAGGCTCGTTCAGTTAAGGAATTCGAATGGGAAACAGTGAACTCCACGTTTTAAAGTGAGACGCTATACTAACACGGTGATTACGTTCTGTGGCTGGATAACGCTGCTTTTTTAGGCCAGGGCGGCGAACTTTCCACTTCATTATATATATAGCTATGTTTAAAAATGTGAATTCAACAAGTTTTAAAAAAGAAATTTCGGAAAACAATGTCAAAGGCTTATGCTAAAAGGCTTATACTAAAAGGCTTGTGATATATAAATCACCATTCCGATATTTGAGAATATTACCGACAAAAAAATTTTCAGGTGCGCAAAATATTAATTGGCTAAACACGAATGCATGTGTGATATTGTTGATTAAAAGTAAAGGACACGTACAGGCTTTCCCCGGGATAGCGGCTGCTCGCTTAACACTGGTTTAAATTGTTGATGTTGTGTAAGTTTTTGTAAATTTTGTAAAATTTTTAAGTTTTTGTTAAATTATAAATTAATTGCAATTGAACAATGTGTTTCGGGCCTTACCAAAATGATAATGTAATGCATACCATCATCTTGCAACGACTTCACGAAATCAGGCAAGCCATCATACGTAATTCTGTCGTAGGTAAAGTCAAGTTTGCGCTCCATGTAATCAATGTCTCCATATTGAACATCCTAAAGGATTAAGCAAGATACAATAAACGAAAAGAATATCGAGCTCACGGGTGTATAACGATAATACACGCGTGGTCAAAACAAGCGGCACACTCAATCGTTTTGAAATCATTAGCTAGTCGAGTGAGTTCATGATTCATACAGTTTTATCAATACTTAGTTCGATTGCGCCGGAAATGTTAAAGAAATCGATCTGCATGCTATCAGCTTTTTAACTTGCCTGGGGTAAATCGTATTCAGCCATCTTATCCACGACTTCTTTTACACGTTTTAAACTGTTGTATCCCCAACGGGAGAGTTGAAATCCTAGAGACCAGTATGGAGGCATGAATGTCCGACCAATTAACTAAAAAAGTAGTAATAACTTGATTCGTATGGAAGGCGCCACGAAAGAATTCGGTCAATCAATTTTTATTTTGTATATCCATCTTATTGCTATATGTCTGGTACATTATTCTTTCCAAATTGAAATCATGCTTGGTGGCTTTCGATTCAATAAGTAGCTACGTGTAATGTAGCTTCGAAAGATTGATAACATTTTTACTAAATTTCTACCTTAATAACTAATTACCTCACGATAATTACTAAATTTCTACCTATAATTAACAACTAATTACCTCGGTGTATTGCTGGACCACGTCCTCAGGTGTTGGCCCCATAAAAATATAGAAATCCAAGATTCCTCCAATCGTTCTAAATGTTAGACCTGGACTCGGTTGCAACTGAACGTCTATTTATATGTGTAATGGAAAACAAAAGAATATGCAAGTTAAAATAATCCGCCAATAAGCCGACCACGTTTTGACTTATTCTTGGACAAATTATTAAAGTGAATTTCGTGATAGTGACGTTTGATATTCATTAATTAATGAGCACATTCCTAAGGTTGAGGGTGATATGAGGATTGAGTATGATAGGAAGGTTGAACATGGTATGAAAAATCAGAGGCTGTGAATCAAAATCAAATACCCATGGCGTTGCTATTCATGAGGAACACTCCATGAGCCTTTCCACTCTCTTCTAAACACATGTAAAATGGATGAACGCCATATAAACTACCCTTGTTCTATAGAATAAAACAAAAAAGGACAAACTTCACCCCCATGCATGCAATGCGGGAATACCGGCATATTGATTATATATAGTCAAACCGGTCGAGTATTACAATACACACATCGGTATCTTTAACAAGGAGTTTGGGAGGAAAGCTAGTCTTATTTATTGCAATTCCGTATTTAATTTTTTGTGCTTGTGAATTCTGACTGAATCCGCCGCCTTTGTTTAAGATGTTAAAAACCAGATACATACCAATGAGCTTAAAAACTTACAAACTTAACTTACGAATGAAAACTTACGAATGGAAATTGATCCCGAGTGAACATTCCCAGCCTTTGCCACTTAAGCTCATGAAGGAATGACTCGTGTTCTTGTTCACCAAATCCGTAAATATATTTTGAAGGGAGTCGTGTTGATATTTGAAGATACTGATCACTGAATATCAGAGGTCCCAGCGAAGAGTCCCAGCTAAAAAAATGTCAGTGAAACGACATTAGCTGGCCCAAAAGAGGATGTGCAGCAATTTTAAAACTATATACAGTGCTGTGCAAACGTTTTAGGCCCCCAGTCAAATTGTCACTTGTTAGTAAAATTCACGGTATTGCAAGGCTGTTGATCCAGATGTAACAAACAAGCTCGCTGGGTCAATGAGTAGACATTGTGCTGCAATAATGGTCTCTCATGGTGGCTGTACTAATTGCAAGTTGATCCAGATGTAACAAACAAGCTCGCTGGGTCAATGAGTAGACATTGTGCTGCAATAATGGTCTCTCATGGTGGCTGTGCTAATTGCAAGACAACTACGCAACTCTTTCGGTACCTAGCATGTCTTGCAATACCGTTAATTTTACTAACAAGTGACTATTTGACTGGTGGGTTAAACTTTTGCACAGTACTGTGTATTATATATAAAAATATTGAAACTATAAGTAAGCAAAAAAGGTCAAACGGGACCAAATGATTGTTATAGTTATTCTGTATCGCTAAACATCTTCGTGTGAACTAGTTTTCGAATGGATGACTAAAAAGTGGCTGCGAACTGGTAAAAAGGCTCAAGTTCACTTACATTGAAGAATCGCTGTTTTCTGTCCTTGAAATTTTGAATGAAAAAGGTTTCTTGATAACCTTTACCTTAGAATAGTCAGTCTCGCTTGGCGTTTTTGAAATTTTCGGTAGGTCCATTGGAACTCTATAACGTTTCTTCTTCGTGTCTGAAAACTATATATTGTGTAAACGGTTTAATTTGATTATTTATCGCGCTCGAATCATATCCCTTTTACAACAGTAATTGAAGATCTGCATGGGGCCAGCATGGCATACTCTATTAGTGAAACACCTGAATTATGTATATGCTATATAGGGCCGTTTTGAAATTATTTGACACACAAATGAATATGTCAACATAACTATTATATAAGAAAACTTGTAAACCGAACTTCTACAAGAATTCAGATGTTATATATATAACTTAAATTGTCCGTTACGAAGATGTCTTATTATGGAGCTTCCTAACATATAGCGTGGTAACGGTTATATAGGAGAACAGAATACGGAAAGTATTTTAATACTCGACGTCAGTCATGTTGCCTTGCCGTGTGTGCCAAACTCGTGTGACCATTTTTTGTAATAAGTTTTAGTTTTATTTCAATTGGAATATTATGCGACTTATATTTTTCACTGCATGCTTGCGTAATTTCCGTTTTAGGATTTTACCGTAAAACGAAGCCTAGTTCTCGTCTGATATTCTACATCGAAATCAATCTCCTGAATATCTTTGCCAAACAAAGTCTTGGAACCAATCTTTGTCAGCCGTAAGTGTTGTCCTAATTTCGTTTCGGTGAGATCTCCATTAGCGTTGTATCCGTGACTAGAATCAAAATAGCATCTTGGGGCACCCTGTTGGAAAGAATTAAAAGTCATTTGATTAAAATAAGCAGTGGCTTATGTTTAACTTTCTTGCTTCAATTGCTTTTTTTCTTTGCAATACTCTTACATTTCCCCCATGTACGTAAAACTTTATGTATTCAAAATATTTAAAGACCAATATTTAAAGATTTTGGTCCATATTGTTCCCTTATGGGCGCTTTCCTTTAAGCAGCCATAATAGTCAGACCGGTTATATTTTGAATTGAAATAGAGTATTTCGTTAAAAATATAGCGGTGAAACCGCAATTTCCTGTACCAGGCAGATGTAAATAAACAAAAAAAAACGTGAATGCAGAGTTCTTGAAACACTCTAAAATATCAATAATCTGTCTGTACTTGGGTGCGAGGAATTGCAGGACCAGTCTGACCGTTTTTACCGTTTTTACCGCATAAAGGAAAGCGCCCTATGTCTTCGGCAATTCTGTTTTGTAAGTTGCACGCATAAAGCTAAGAATTACAGGCTGACTCGTATAGAGCTGTGGTACGACCTATAAAAGCTATATGTAAGACGTTTTGTCGATTGAGGCCGTTATTTTGCACGACCAGACTCGATGGACGAAGCCGATAGCGAGGGCTTGTTCTGGACAAATATATACAGCAATAATGTGGCATGCCTAAAATTAAACAGGTAAACCAAATTGGCTTGTGGTAATTTGATAACATTATCCATCAGACTAGGATGGACGAAGCCTAAAGCGATTTTGTGAAGAAGTATAATTACATTCAGTTTACATGTGTTTTGGTTTGTGGGATAACGAAATTACTTTTAGCGCTTGTCACAATGATATCAAATGAGAACAGAATGATTTATGATTAATGAATCAATTTGTACAAACCTTGACCGCGGCTCTGACGTGTATCTGTCCCTATAAATTGCTAGCGCTGATTTAAGTTATTAATTCACCATGCAAAATTTCAGCAATATCAAGTTGATTTATGTTAACAATCTTGTAAAATGCGCAACCACGCAGGTTATTCTTATAAATATCGATGCATTTTACCGCTCGCCAGCATTTTTGACCGATGAGCAGAATTGAATTGCGGACCATATGAGACGTAAAGTCTGGCCGATTTTAAGGCCGAATCCAAAGCCAACTTCAGTTGTAAATTCCATCTCGCAAAGCATCACTATGCAAGGATTGCATATTTGCATATTGTGATTTTTCTTTGCATTAGCGATACCTTTGCACCATCGGTTTGAATTTTGCATAAAATGACGAAACGTTTTCGCTGTTCGCTACAGACGACGAATGAATTGACCTAGATATGAGAGAACATATACATATACGACGAAAGCGTACGTACACTTATAATACATACATACATACATACATACATACACTTTATTTAAACACGGAAGGAAAACCATCAGTACATTTGATATTTACTAATTGATATTGCATATATCAAATTTCTTGCAAACTGATTAATCCTAAAAGTGTGTCGCTGTACCTACCTTTAACACAGTGTCATCTGCCTGCCACACGCAACCTCTTCTCTTGCAAATGCTTTCAGTTTTTACTTTGCGGCGTTCTGGAATACAGTCCACTCTGTCGGTCAATGTTAACGCGCAAACATCTGAAACGAACCTTAGCATCGCCAGGAGTAGGACAGCAAACTGCGCACCAAAATTCATTTGAAATGTTGATTCTTTGTTACCTTCGTTCCCGAAGCCAAAGGTTCTTTTAGATGTAAGAAATATAGATGCAAGTACACACCGTGCCGACTATGAAGGGACCAGGTATCTCGTATTAGCTCGTGTGGTATAATCTTATTTCATCAATCGACATACGTATACGGGTATAGAATTACAGATATACTAGAATTACTTTAAGTGTCTGCCTATAGTTTGACAGTCTTTGAAAGGGATAGTAACTGTATGTTTTAAAAAATTGTTCATTTTGATATTCTAAGCCATGTGGACATAAATGAATTTACTTTTTTAGAAATATTATTCCTTCCTACATTATTTCTTGCATTTTATTTGTAAATACCACCCGTTGGTAAAATACATGTATTCCGCTAATTTTTTTCATGGTCGAGTTGAATTAGTCGTTTTCCGCCGAACTCGACCATGGTCGAATTAGTCATTTTCAGGCGAATACGACCATGGTCGAATTAGTCGTTTTCCGGCGAATTCGACCATGGTCGAATTAGTCGTTTTCCGGCGAACTCGACCATGGTCGAATTAGTCGTTTTCCGGCGAACTCGACTATGGTCGAATTAGTCGTTTTCCGCCGAACTCGACCATGGTCGAATTAGTCGTTTTCCGCCGAACTCGACCATGGTCGAATTAGTCGTTTTCCGCCGAACTCGACCATGGTCGAATTAGTCGTTTTCCGCCGAACTCGACCATGGTCGAATTAGTCGTTTTCCGGCGAACTCGACCATGGTCAAATTAGTCGTTTTCCGGCGAACTCGACCATGGTCGAATTAGTCGTTTTCCGGCGAACTCGACCATTGTAAGATCTTTGAGAAAACAGTATTTGGGATTGTATCCATAGATATTAAGAAAGCTTTTAACTCAATAAATCACCTAATTCTGCTGACCAAAATGAATGAGCTATTTGGAATTAAAGGAATTATCGAGCTAGAGTGGTTTCGATCTTATTCATATAGACGAAAACAAGTATGCCTAGCAAATGGTCATACCTCCTCACCTAAGGAAATAGTATGTGGGGTTCCTCAGGGATGGATTCTGGGGCTTTTACTATTTTTATTATATATTAATGATTTGCCTGACTGTCTTGAGGCTACTACACCCGGTTTATATGCTGACGATACCGAAATATATGCATCGTCGAGAAACTTTAATGAACTAGTAAGTAAACTTAATCAGCTAGGATCTTGAGAACATATGCAAATGACTCTCTAGTAATAAATTACAACTCCACCCCAAGAAAACGAAATTAATGTTTATCGGCTCAAATTATAATCTTAAAAACAAAATTGATGATGCACAAGTTATGATTAATAATATACCTATCACTCGTTTCACTTCCTTTGGGTGTTTGGGGGTTCAACTTGACGAGAAGCTAAATTGGGAAAAACATATTGAGCACATTTGCGCCAAAATTGGATCCGGAATCGGAGTAATGTGGAGAGCTAAACCATTCGTAATGAAAGAAACTTTATTGAATATTTATAATTCAATAATACTACAGTATTTTGATTATTGCTCGCCACTGTGGGATAAATGTGGCAGTGTGTTAAGAGATAAACTCCAAAAGCTTCAAAACAGAGCTGCAAGAGTTATTTCAGGGACATCTTATGAAACTCGTTCCTCTGATATCCTCCAGGCTCTGTCTTGGAAAAATATTGAAGAAAGACATAACAAAACTAAGGCTATTTTAATGTTTAAAGTATTAAATAACCACATTGCTCCCAACCTAAGGGCGTCCTTTATTAGAATGAATGATATGCAAAATAACTATGAATTACGAAATAGGGAAACTGATTTGATTATCCCCAAACCTAAGAGCGAATATCTCAAAAAAACCTTTAAGTATAGTGGGGCTGTAACATGGAATTCGCTCTCTACAGATGCAAAGCTATATCAACTACTTTAAGTGTTTTTAAAAGGCATCTTGAAGCCTAGTTTGATCAATAACTATATTATCAAAGACCTTCTAAGAAACCTACCATTTAAAGTTTTATTTTTTTTGTAAATATGTTTTTATCTTTGTGACGCTTCTCAGGAAGAACATCAATTTAATGATGATAAGAAATGCGTCAGTAAATAAATTGTTTATGTATGTATGTATGGTCGAATTGGCCGGAAAATGGCGAATACGACCATGGTCGAATTGGCCGGAAAATGGCGAATACGACCATGGTCGAATTGGCCGGGAAATGGCGAATTCGACCATGGCAGAGTTCGCCAGAAAATGGCGAATTCGACTATGGTCGAGTGCGCCGGAAAATGGCGTATTTGACCATGGTCGAGTCAGCCGGAAAATGGCGTACTCGACCATGGTCGGATTGACCGGAAAATGGCGAATACGACCATGGTCAAATTGGGCGGAAAATGGCGAATACGCGACCATGGTCGAATTGGCCGGAAAATGGCGAATACGACCATGGTCAAATTGGGCGGAAAATGGCGAATACGACCATGGTCGAATTGGCCGGGAAATGGCGAATACGACCATGGTCGAATTGGGTTGAAAATGGCGAATACGACCATGGTCGAATTGGCCGGGAAATGGCGAATACGACCATGGTCGAATTCGCCGGAAAATGGCAAATTCGACCATGGTCGAGTGCGCCGGAAAATGGCGAATTCGACCATGGTTGCATTGGCCGGAAAATTGCGAACACGAATATGGTCAAATTCGCCGGGAAATGGCGAATACGAATATGGTCGAGTTCGCCGGAAAATGGCGTATTCGACCATGGTCGAGTCCGCCGGAAAATGGCGTATTCGACCATTGTCGAATCAACCCGAAAACGGTGTATTCGCGACCATGGTCGAGTGTACCGGTAAACGGCGTATTCGACCATTGTCGAGTCTACCCGAAAACGGCGTATTCGGCCATGGTCAAGTGTACCGGTAAACGTATTCGACTATTGTCGTATTTGACCATTGTCCAGTACGCCGGAAAATGGCTTTTTAAGGTGCTTTAATTTTAGGTTCTTTCTTAAGTCGGAGGCCCCTTCAGGTCAGTCGGGGCCCGGGGCCCCCCAAAATGCTCCCCCTGCCCCTCCCCTCTCGGCGGCCCTGATAAATATAGTTGCACGAATGAGAAATACGAGTAATAAAGATTAAGATGCATGGTCGTGCATATCATGATGTATTTAAAATTCGTATTAGTGTATATATGGTTCATGAATACATGCCTTTATCAATGCATTTCATCGTTTTTTTTTTAATTTTGACCTACAAGAGACAGTCACCATGCAGCCAAAATATTTCTTTATTCTGATCAACAAATCTTCCACAAGATCGAGAGGAACAATTGCGATGATTCCGGCAATGTTTTTTTGTTATGTTCTCTTCATAGCGCCTGAATTTCAGGTTTGATTTATCAATCAGGGACATAACATTCACGATCCTCCCTTGTTATTAGTGTACTAGTTAATGCATATTCCAACCTAAAGCGGCGAATAATAATACAAACTATATACGGCAGACTAAACGTTTCATAATAAATGAGATATTACATATCAGGTTTCTTATTTTCAATCCTAATCAGAATTTTCTGAGGAAGAGCCAATTCCAAATGCTTTGGATACGATTCTGTAGGACGCTTTCCAAGGCCACTCTCGAATAACGAGAAAACAGCAGCAGCAGCCAAACGTGAAGACCACGGTGGTGAAAAACAGGCAGGCGCCAAAAGCAATCCATTTAAACACTTTATATAACTGTTCAATGATGCGAGGCATGCATTTTTGAACAGGATATAACAGACAGTGATAGAAATGCCACTTATAGCAGGCACATGAGACCACGAAGAGTACTATCAGGCACACTACGCCAACTGCAACCCAAATAACAATGCTAAAGTAATTAAAAATGCAAGTATATATATACTTGGCATTGGCGCAACAGGCGGATTTGGGGCCCTGATAGGTATATGTTTGGTACTGTGCAAGCCCCATTTGTCAGCAATTATTCTTTACTCCTGGTGAGTTTCTGCGTCTGCGACCCCTAAACGGCCGGGGTTCCTAAGTTCTTTTTATATAGTCCTGCCTATTAACTTGCATTACGCTACTTAAACGTGTTTGCTAATTGTTATTTGTTGACTTCTGGTCTAATCCTTTAAAAAACTCTTACCACACTGCTTCTGAGTGTTTTCCAAAGAGTTCAATTTCAACGCACGCCCTAACAACAGAAAATTCGTAGGCAAGTCGGTATAATGATAGAATGCCTAACTAATGAAGAGAACGGGAATTAAATAAACAAGTTATATAGCATCCAAGCTTCTGTGCATTATGACTAAACATATATGATAGAATTGGATTCAAACAATTTAAACGATTGCTTGCTTTCTGCTTAATGACCCCATGCGCTAATGCCTCGTAATTTCCGATAAAACATGGCCACATTGTCCTCAAACATCGCAGGTCAAATCACAATAATCCACAGTTTTACCCTATAAAAGCTTTAACCCAGTCTGCTCTACCTTTCTTGGACAGAATTTCGAAACTGAATCAAAATACCTACTTTGAAATTCGATATTAACAGTGTAAAGTAGTTACTCATCCCGTGAATTCTAAGTGGATGTCGTTTTTCCTGAAGCTGAACAACTATATATATTAACTTGGTTTACAGCATGAAAATCGGACAAATTGTAAAAGTTTGGCAGCACTTGTAGCGGATTTTCTAGCTAACATACGTTGCAATGAAGGGGAAAATACTTTTTAATAGACCAGTAATTGTCGGAAAACAAGTAGTATATCATCCAACTCAGTCTTCAGCTTACATCGAATGAAAAGATCGTGTTGAACCTTACCTAATTTTTACTGAGTTATTGTTATGAAACAGCAAACCATGCCATTTTTTTTACTTACTTCGGAATTTTGACTTTTTCTTCCTCACAACATATTGGCTGGCCTTCATCCATACAGCATTCTGTCTTGGAATTGTCATCTTGTGGTCCCGGGCAATACGATCTTTTGGTCGCATGTTTGTCCGTGCAGTTGTTTCCTCCAACAGGGCAACACGACGGTTTGCCATTGCTTACGCAGCACATTTTATGTGACAGTTTCGTTAGTCGATTTGGGCATTTGTGAGATGAAATATTCGAGTCTGAACATGGTGTCACTGTTAAGCGTAATATAATCGGTTACGTGCTCTTGAATGCTTATAGACTACAGAGTGTCCCAGTAAAACCGGAACCCGAATGAATTAACTATGTATTCGCTAAAAATATTCTCACACTGAGGTCTTTCTACTGTGAAACTTAACAAAGCTATGCCTTTAGGAGTTCAAAACACGTGAACGCCCATATGAATTAATTCGGGTTCCGCTTTAACTGGGACACCCTGTATGTAGTACATATATAGTACATTGATCATCGAACGAATTTGGCAGCATAACAAAGACCTTACCTCTAAAATAATCAACAGTAAAATTTTCCATGATTCTCGTTCTGTTGTTCACCTTTGATACGAACTCTATTCTCAGAAATCTTCCACTGGATGACAGCCTGCGCATGAGTTTATGAGTACCACAATATTTGCCGATCAGTGTTGAATTGTAGCACTCTCCATCTTTGATGGCGAGGTAGGTGCATGTGCATGCACTGCTAGCGTTGGTGCAAGTTGCCGTTCGAAGACTACTAATCATTATGTCAACCTGTTTCCCCAGAGGTGCCTCGATCTTCCACGAAGAATTACGATACGTGCTGTTGTTAGTTGCCATTGCTTGTCTGAAAATAATAGAAAAAATTCACCGTCGTCAATGATATAGCTATGTCTCTTTTGATTTCAAACTCGGCAAAATGGAGTTCAAAACTTCAATCCAACAGTCTATATGTACACTATACCAGTGAAATCGATTTGCCATATTTATGCATCAGCACAGACAGATATATAGATCCAGAACGAATAGTATTACCATTCAGGTAATTTGGATTTAAAATTTTGCTGCAGTAATTAAATAAATTTTGACTGTGCAGTAACATACGTAATGCTTACTTCTCTTCCATGGGATGCATCCGCTGTTTTTTTGGTATACTTACTCGCTGCTGAATTTAAAACTTCCGTGTTCATCGTTGAACGTCACATCAGATTTACAGTCCTGTGATTTCGTGGCAATGGTGTTGCACAAGACTAGTAGCACAAACACTGAAAAGCGCATGCAAACCGCAAATTAATCCAGGCATTGTTTGTGCATGTTCTACCGTCTCGAATGATATAATTTTAAAACAATTAGCCAATCCCAAAAATGAGCAGGGCACTGGGTCTGGTCGCGAACCGCAAACATGTATGGACTGTTTGGAGGAACAAATGACTTACATTTCCGACTTACATTTCCTGTTCCTCTAAACAGTCCATAGATGCTTTGCGGTTCGCGACTAGACAAAGTACCCGGCTCGGTTGGGAAATAGCTAATACTATTCCTACATATCTAAAAAACAAATCAATTTAATTCTGGTTTTGAACAAACACTCTTGGAACAGGTCTTGTGATGATAGTTCATGGATGTCCTGCTGTTTCATGACGAGTTTAAAAGCAGTATACGGGGTGGGATATGAGCAGGGGCTATAGAAAAGTGGCAAGAGAGAGTATTCATATATTCATGTTTTGTATTATTGTTTTCGTTTCAAATTGGACTGCTTTTAAAGTGTGCTATCAAATTATCACGAAAATAATTATATGAATATAAGTCTCCCTCCACTAAAGATGATCCATAGCCCCTAATGCATGGTATACGAAACATATTGAAACAAATACTGTTTGGGTATCGCATTAATATATGCATGAAATTTATACTTGCATGGATAATGGAACAAAATTTCCATCTAAAAAATTAAAATTTAGACATAAAAGCATTAAAATTCAGATACTTACGTTCATAATTCGTCTTTGCCATATTATCTGAAATGAGGAAACTTTTTAAAATGAAGTTAACTATGATTTTTATCTATTAATATACTAACTTATTTTGTTTATTTCCATCAGTTTTAAAGCATTACTGACGAGCGACAAAGTATAATTAATATTATAATGTCGCCGAACCAATTTAGTAACTTGAAATTTAAAGAACGCAACATGGTATTTTGGTGATGCTGTAATTACATGACAGCTTGTAATAATTACAGCAATTTATCAGCTTTATTACTAAAATGGTGAGCATTCATCTGTTTGCAAATGACCAAACATTCCGTGCCGCTGTCATTCATAACCTAATTAAAAAAAGTGTGTTACAGGCATACAACTTCTAAATTATATATTATAATATATTCTCGAAACTTCCATTCATTTGAACATCGTCGTAAATTTTTTTTTGGGAGATGAACATGCAGACTGCAAAAGAGATCATCTTACGAACGAAGTATATAATATAGCATTCAATTAACATTCAATTATCATGCCAGGCATTGAAGAGCTATAAACATAGATATCTCATCTCGAAGCCATTTCATGATATAAAGGCGGAGGGGGGGGGGGGGAGGCAGCTTCCCCGGTCTTTGTCTAATAATGTAATGAATTTAAAAAGGCTACGAATTAACATATACTCCATAAGAATCGCAATAAATATATTTCAAACAGTAAAAGTTAATCCAGTTTATTATTTCAAAAATATTTATCGGGATTCCTATATGCATGATTACTTCGACCGAGATCAGCGTTATCGCCTCGATGCAAAAGCTGAACAATTAAAACAGAACAAAAATTCGACGGTTCAGTCAGCTCTTTTCATTGAAATGAAAATGCTGTTTCGCTACTTCATTTCGTACTTTTGTATTTGGAGAAAATTCATCTTCCACCATTTTCTTAATTTGCCCTGCTGAAAATGAATAAACTTTTTAAATAAACATTTTATTAACCTCGCTAGCTCGGTCTTTACTGAGAAATATCGGACCTCGATCTTTTTGTACAAACCTCGCTCTATGAGCTCGATCTGTTTAAAAAGACCTAGGTCCGACACTTCTCAATAAAGACCTCGCGCTCGGTTAATAAGAAGTTAATAATCAACTAAAATTCGTTTTCGTAATCTTTTAACGTTTTTCGAGAGGTTCGACAGGTTTGAGTAAAACTCTATATTTATAATATATAACATTCAAAGCACGTCGGCCCTGCTGTCAAGAAATGTATTTCTTTAACACCGCTCGCCTCGCGGCTTAAACACATAAAAAAGTGATAATTCAAGTAAGCGAAGAGGAAATTGAAAAAAATAATTGAAGTTGGTACAAAAAATAAAACAAAACATTTCAAGAGAAAACTTTGCAATTCGCAATGTCTAAATAAATTTATTATTGATAGTAATAATAATGTGCATGTTTGGTTAAAAATTGTAATTAACGATTGCATACGATTGCACAGTCGTTATCATTAAGGTTGTCACCTGGAAATAATATATATATAAATACGTAAATATCGATCACGTGATTGTACTGCATTGGGAAATCGTTCATTGAGAAATACTATATATATAGTATCTATACAGTATGCGTGCGAAAACTTTAGGTTACGCATGATGAAGTGTAATGTGCTTTTTGCTTGGAAAAAATTAAATTCTAATCACATTTATATTTAGACATTTATGGACGAGGCTAGAAGCGAAGAGCGCTCTGGGATGTTGATTAAAAGAAAGCATTCTGGCTGAATTTTAAATTTATATGATTATGAATGATGTGCTTTCTAACTATACTCGTGCATATTCATATATTCAGGTCTTGTTCACTTGTTGATTGTATCTGAAAGAAAAACGAGGAAATAATATATGCTGATTATATTTCGGATCTAGTTTTCATTGCTGAAGCAAACATTCCAATTAAAACCCAGAACAAAACGCGTTGTGCGTCTCTAACGCAATTATTTAATACAAGACTAATAACATATTGATCTAATTTATTTCAAATTGTAGCTCCAGTGGTAGAAAGCGTGTATTTAGCATCATGATTTGTTTTTTCAGTTTTCACCAAGCAATTTAAAAGATATTGAGGTATTTTGTAATAGACCTTTTCGATAACTACATCACAAGATTTTAACGTCACAACGTTTTAAATTCAGAACCACATTAAATGAAATGGATTTCAACTTTTACTCTCACGAGCCACGTGGAAAGACGCAAAGCATCCTTCTTCAACACGCACACGAATTTTTCTTTTATTTTGATCAATAAATGTGGAAATAAGCCATAACACGCGAACGAGGCTCAGAGGCGAAGACCACGAGCCCGTACTTATTTATCTAAATGAAAAATTATTTTTCATGCATGTGTTGAAGAAGGATGTTTTGCATCTTTGCACGTGGCTCGTGTGAGTAAAACTTGAAATCCATCTCATTTAAGGTGGTTAGAAATTTAGAGCGATAGTGTTGTGACTTAATTATCGAAAAGGTCCATTGTGTTATGTTGGTGAGTTTACGACGGATTTCTTTTGCAAGTGCAATAGCTTGCAAAAGAAATCTGTCAGGCCGAACTGAATATACGAATAACCCCCTTCCCAATTCTTGATCCAGTTTCGGCCCTTACCACATTTATCCAATCGAAGTCAAGGCTTTAAATCTAGAATACGAAGATGACTGCCAAAGATTGAATTCTTAAGAACTGAAGTGCGAAATCCAAGGTTATTTAAATAGTAGATCTATAGACGCGATCGAATATTGGTTGGTTAGAACATACCTCGGTGTTGATACTTTGTAATATGTCTGCACATTTAGGTCGATCATTAGCATCATACTCCCAACAAAGCTCCATCGTTTCGTAAAGCCATTCTGGACAATTTTTTGGTTGGGCAAGTCTATTTTTCTCGAGGTATGATAATATCTGGCAAAAGATGAAATTTAGTACATTTGGTGAAGTATGGAAATTTTTTTACATATAGCAGCAGTTCATTCAACATTTCTTAGACCGTTTGCCAGTTTTACCTAAACTATAGCACAGGCTAAATCGTCGCCATATAATATCAAACAGTAAATTTTCTAGACCTCACAAATCTTTTATCCTAGAGACTTTGGTATGTTTCGCAATATTTTAAGTTATTTTTCCTCATGGATTGCCAGATAATGGTAAATTTTTCATTTGATAGAGTTGTCTACATTTTTTATTTGATTTTGAAACTAGCACTTTGATATATCACATGCACCAATATCACGCATGTACCTGCTCTTTTGATTTCAAATCATGATAGGGAAGGGAAGAGGCCTTGTTGTTTTCTTCGTCATAAAGTTCTTTGTCGTCATGAAGAGCTATGAGAGTGAACATTTCCCAGATCAACACGGCGAACGCCCACACGTCACTTGCTTCGGAATACTTTCCATTAATAATTACTTCTGGTGAACTCCTAAAACCATAAGATAAAAACATTCGTAGTCGACTCTAGAAAAGGTATTTTCAAATGACACACCTTTTATTTGACTGTTATTTGACACACGATGAGCTTCTACATAGTTGTGTATGAAGCGTTTCTTTGAGAGAGTTATGCTACATTACACCCCTTGGTACAAGATGTATTGTAGAACATATCTTGGTGTGCTAGAGGACACACGTAGGACGTGTGATTTCCAACACACATATATAGCTAATGTGTTATCTTTATAAGGTGCACGAGTTTCAAGACATACATTTGTTTGTGAAAAAGGAATTTACCTACCATCTCAAAATATCACCAGATGGGATTGGAAGATCAATCGGTACTGTCAATGACTGGTCGAGTACGTTCGGCTTCAGTCTTCGTATGCGAGAAAAACATCCCAATTTCGCCTAAAATGATATATTATTAACTCCGAGTTATTGATCAGATGAAAAAATGGCTTCAATTCTTGTCAAGGCTAAGAAAAGTAACGTAAATAAAGTAACCGTTTTGTTACCATAAAATGCACCCCAAGAAGTAAGATTCGATTTTGTAAAAGCAACAACCTTAGCGTGGTTTGGAAACCCGAGTACAAAATTGGAATTTCGAATGATCTAGTGTAATTCATTTTTAAACTCCAAACTCGCCAATAATCAACGAACCCATAAACAGTTTACAATCAGTGAAACGTTATTATCATATATGAGTGAAATGTTACAATTAATTTCGGGTGCCCCTGTTGAACCGCTGAACCCCTAAATAAATATATCGGTCGTAATTATTATATGTTGTTTTATTGAACTGATTGGGAGACCGAGGTATATAAACATGTTCTTAACACATTATTACCATACTATATAACCACCGGTTAAAATACATTTAATCCTAGGTTTGAACAACACAGCTTTAACCCAGGTTTTACTAACCTATAGGGATAAGGATTTTAACCCAGGTTTAGCACTAGCCCAGGGTTAAATTTAACCTGCTTTTGAACAACCGGCCCAGGGCAGGTTCTATTACCGTAAATCTCTATTACCGACTTTAATGTCTATACTGTCTGTTAGCCCATCATGCATGCGCACTACACATTTTTAAGATCACTAAACAACTACATATATACGCCGGAATGCAAAGCAAACGTATGACATTTAATTAGCCATATAAGGAAGTGTTCTTTTACCTACCTGCCCACTCATGAAAATGAAGACCGATGTCGCTCGTAAATTTCGATGTATGAATCTGTTCTTGTGTAAATACGATAGGCCTTCCCCGATATCTGAAAGATAAGTCTTGGCATTTTCCAACGGGCAACCAACTTCGTTGATAAAACTTTCCAAATTAGAGTCACTAATTTCTGTAACCTAAAAATATTTCAAATCGATTGTAGTTATTGTTATCTGATTTCAAATTATTATCTGATTGCATGCACGTGTTACAGTGTAAACTAGGCAAATCAAGGTCACCAATTTCTGTAACCTAAATTATTATCTTAAATCATAACATCTTAAATTAATGTATTCTTCGTTATACGCATGCCTATTATAGAAACATGAAAGAAAGTTTTAGAAACAATTTGTAATTTGTTTACGAAATCTATTAACATGTTGTTTTTTAGAGAGTCTTTCTCCTCCTGATCTACCACCACGATTACGAATGAATAACACTCCAAGTAATAGAGTATACGAGGAAGTCAGTCCCTATGCCTCAACATCTTAGATTAGTGACATCTTAAATTATTATCTGATTGCATGTGTTACAGTATGAACTACAGTATGAACGTCCGAGATATTGCGATGATCCTTGAAAATCGAGATAATTCTTAGTTCATTTGCGGAATCGATTAATATATAATACGAATTACATTTTAATTGTTTTTTTTTTGTTTATTTTGTAGTTATTAATTAAGAACACTTTTCTCATCAACAAGGTGCATGATCACCAATTTATGTATAACCAGAAAGACTTGGAACAGGTCATGGAATGACAGGGAATTGTTGCATGCATCTCATGCATGATTAATAGAGAATTTGGTCATTACCATTTCCATATTTTCATTATGAACAGCCATGTTTGCAACTTCTACCAATGAAGAATGCTTAAACTCAACAAATTTCAGGAGATCGGGTGATGCAGGTACAAACTCTTTTATACAATCAACAAGTTTCTAACGAGCAAAAACAAGGTATAGTAGTTTACATTTGTTAAATATGTTAAGTGAAAAAAATCCCTATAAACTTTCTATTCCAAATCCATGGGAGAACAAAACTGCTCTATTTGGTGCTATATATACGTATCCAACTACTTTAGGTTATGGTATACAGTAGGGGGCAAAAGTTTGAGTCCAGTCGTTGTTGAATTCCAGTATTAAATCCTGGCAGCGTATTCGAGTTAAGACATGCGTGCTAGTGTTTCAGTACTGTAAACCATATTAATTGCACATTGTTTTGGTCCTAATGATCTAAATTAAACAAAATAAAGCTATTTTTCCTTTACACTGCCCAAGATGGGTGGGAAAAAGGGCAAAGTCATGGTACACAAGGACAAATGGTTGCATTAAGTATTGAAGGATTCTTTCCTCGTAAGATCGCAGAAAAAGTGTGAATTTCAATTGGTGGTATGCCACCAACCTTGGAGAGATTAAAAGAAACTAAATCCTAGTATCCTACTCAAGCAAACTTTTAGCTGCTTCGGTCCTGCTGGGTTTGGCAATATTGAAAGGACCCTAATTAAAGAAAATTATCAACCAAATCTTCAAGGACATGGAATTTAATCTGGTACAAAGATGATCGCGCGTCTAACTCAGTGATCTAACTACATGATAATCACCCTAAGCACATGCACATCTTCTATGTGCCAGAAATTTAGAAGCAAACTCGTTCTGGTGAACTTGTTCTCATGGCTTTCCACCTCAAATTCCAGATCTAAAACTTATGGAGCACTTGTAGGGCCGTCGTAACCGGAAAAGGGCGAGGCACAGACCCACCAGCCAGGATGACTTGAGGCAAGTGGTCAACGAATGCTGGCAAGGTATTGAACGTGCGACATTAAAAAACCTATGGAATCTATGCCAGCAAGAATAAAGGCTGTTTCAAGAGCAAAAAAAGGGATATACTAAGCATTGACATGTAATGCATGTTTGCACATTAACATACGTTAAATGAACATCATAACATCTCATAGTTGTTGTACAGCATGTATTTTTCATTTCACTTATTTGCTTTTTTCTAGTTCACTTATCGGTAAGGTTTTCTATAGCATATTAATATATGCTGCTAAAACAATGAAATACAGTCACTGGACTCAAACTTTTGCCTTCTACTGTATATAGAATGTGAAATGCTAACTTTGAATCTCTTGATGGCGTCAAATTTCCTTTTTCCATGAAGCATTATTATAGCGACAGACCTATACTCTGACTCCTAAATTTGCACAATGTACTTACTCCATCAACGTGTACTTTCGTAGGAATAGCAATGCCCGAAGCATTTAGACAATCACCAAAACAACCATCCACGTTGAAACCAGTTGTTGGATTTGAAAATTTACCACTCTACGTAATAAATGTAACAGTATTTCGCACAACACAAATGTGTTTAATTATTAAGAAGCGATACGACTTTCGTTTAAAGTCCCTACAACATCTTTTCATTAACATTTTAAGTATTATAGAAAAATATTTTCGAATGTTCCATCTATAGTTTTGTAAAATATTTTTAATATAATAAACCTTTCTAATTTATAAAGAAACTGGTTTAGTATGGGCAAACTGTGAGCATAGAAAATAAAGGATAAAATTAGGTGGTGCATTTCATTCTAAGGAAACTCAGTCCTTTAGCAAATAAAAATACATTTCTTTGAACCAAGTACTATAAAATTTGAAACTTAAAACCGTCGTGATTGTCCTTAGCTAATTTCACCGCATTTTCATTAATAACAGAGACTAAAGGTAATATATATATGATAACACATTTCTTCATACACAAAACTTACACTGTAGGATTCAGCGCTATGTGATATCCTGTAATGCGCTGGGTCATGGTAGAATTCTGAAAGGGAGCACAGATATAACACTCACTTAGAGCACAGATATAACACTCACACTGAGAACTTTTATGTAACTCTATTTGATGAATACAGTATAACAGCAACTTTAATGCCTTGTTATACCCACACGCTGCAATAATGTGGAAACGTACGTGCGGTTATTGGGACTTCTTACAGGATTCTTACGTCTTTACAGTACCAAAGCAAGGTTCGCACCACTAAGCTACATGCAGGTGTTATTTCAATTCTATTTGTAGACCGTGTAGACTGAATGGAGGGAACTAATTTATTTTAAGTTCTACCAAGCGAAGGAAGACTTACCATCCCAGTTGTTTTTCTCCACGATGTCCATCAGGTTTCCTTTCAAGGCTGAAAACGTTGGCCTGCGATCTACGTCCATCATCGTATACTGAATCAGCAGTTGAATTTGCTTAGGGATCTTTGGATGAAGTTCGAGTCTTTTTCCGGCAAGAACCTGAATAACATGAACATGCTTAATGAGGATGTACATAAGATGATATATATTACTACGAGGCCGCATGGCATGTGCAAGGTGACACCAAGCTCACGCACAGCCATTTTCACATCGAGTTCATATTTTTGTTCATGCATTCCCCTTCAAAAATGCTACATCGATCAAAAACTAAATCACATACAACTAAAACAATGCACTTGGTACTCACATAATCGTGAACCTCATTCTCGTTGTCCAAAGTTAGACCACTTGGCATGTTGGTATATGGCTTGCACCCAAGTGTAAAAATCTCCGACAACAACACGCCAAATGACCATACATCAGACGCGCGACTGAACTCGCCAAACTGGAGTACTTCAATGGCCAACCAACGGAGAGCAAATGTGTTTGGAATGTCTTCTTTCGATTTTGAAGAATTTTTGCGACCAGCAATACCATTTGGCGACTGCGGATCGGAATATGAAAGAATTGCGAGATGGAAGTCACCAAGCTTGGTGATTATTTCCCCCTCGTTCATAAAAATAAAGCAGTTCTTAGCGCGCAAATCACGGTGGATAATATCATGCTCATGAAGATACACCATAGCTGTACAGACATCCTGAGAAATTTGATGCAGCACGCTGGCTCTTGGTGGATTGGAAAGGTCTTCGAGAAATGAGAGGAGATCAGCTTTAGGCGTTCTCTCTATGATCATGTGCATGGGAGCATCAATGCTTGAACCAAAAAGTTGGACTATATTTCTTGGTGATCCTTTGTTTGTACTCAAAATTCTGAGAATCTGGATTTCATTTCGCAGAGGAACAGTTTTCAAAGCATCGGATCTGAGCAACTCTTCTTTTGAATGTTGATGTAGTTTCAACAAGCACTTTCTACCACTCATCAGACAATTGTAGGTAATCACGCGATTTTTTGCCATTGGAATTCGTGATTCTGCTAAGATGACGAAAATTTTATCTTTATATGATGATGTTAACTGAAGGGTGGATAAATTCTCAATGAAGGGTTTTTCATCACCCCTGGCATTGCAGTTGTCGGTAAGGAATTGATTAAAGATCTTGGGATCTGCAATGAATACAGCTCGCTGACATAGTTTTTCATGATGCATTAAAGCAAGCAGTTCGGTATTTTTCTTCGATATCGATTTTATGGCATTAGTTGTTTTTAAAATGCCACCACATCCTTCATGGCCTGCCAAAACTTGCTCAATGATTGCTGAAAAGTAAGAAAGACCTCATAAAAATCTTGAGAAAACATAGGTTACATCAACGATGAAACAAATTTCTGATGTAGTCGGAACGTACGTTGGAAATAATTATTTAGAAAGCCATATTGGATTGCTTTTTTGCAAAATTACTAGATTTACGATGGTTAGTGGTGGGTGCTTATCATACATTCAGCTTTAGCACGACGGGCAATCGCGCCTATACAAGAGAAATCCTTCGCGCAGAATGTTATATAAAAATATCCACCTCATCATTTATCCCATCAAATTATATCCCTGATAATATGTCAACAAGAAAACTGTTCCTGCTATGCAGATATAATACTGAAACAATCTAGTTTTGAGCATCAAGTTTAGAGTAGCGATTATGCATGCGAAAAAAAACGCGAAAAAGTGATTAACAAACCTTTGCTAGTTGATGTCCTAATCAATCTAAGGGTAACGTGATAAACCAAAATCTCAAACAGCCACTGCTCATTCTTTTGATTTCTTAAAAGGGTCCTAACTCTGGTAGCGCTACAACGCTTACGATAATCGCCAACCAACATCTGTATCAAGATTATGGGCTTCTTGTCGCCTTCAAACTGATAAAACTGTCAATATAGAAAAACAATATCAAAAATGACAGAAATCATCAAATCACACATTACACGAACATTTCAGGATATGCATGCAATGCAGTGTGCCCTAGGGTGGTATATATGAAGTTAAAACGGTACGGTGTGTATAAAAAACTAAAAGTGATCAATTTATGTATAGCTATATTTCGGCTGTTTTGCATATTGGTTAAAAATTTAAAGTAATTTTAGGCTTTTCAACCTAATGGAAGTTTGGTCAAATAAATTGATCTCCGCATATAACGATATATTTTGAATTGCACGGTGTATTTTTAATTTCCACCTAATATGAGAATATGTGCGCCACATATCTTGCTGGAATTACGACATATTGTTTTAATCGCGGTTTCCTCCAGCTCCTTTTCAGCTTACCTTCATCAAATCTTGCAAGAAAACCAAACATACATGAAGATCTAGCCAATTTGAATCAGCTAGGCTTTTACTAAGCTTCAAAATTTCGCGATCTTCCAACTGGCCATTAAGAGTAGTTTCGCACCTTTTGATGTTTTTCTTCAGAGATTCACTTAAATTTTTCTTCTCAGACGAGTTGATTATTCGTCTAATGCTCTCTCTGGCGAGATAGATGCCATACCGAAAGTTATTGCGTTCGCTGTATTCTTTGTCAGTCTGCAGAGCCTCTAGGACTTTGTCGAATGCCCTAATTTTTGGCTTAATTTCATTGAATTCATCGTCATTGCACTTTAGAAGGATAAAGGTAACCAGCCAAGCGTATGTCGTCATTCTCTGGGTTTTTGCCTTATCATGATCAACCTCCAAAAATTTCAAAAAAGAAGAGCGAAGTTCTTCCTCTGCTTTCAAAAGGTTATGGCAACGAACACTGGAGAAGTCAGAAATGCTTAGGAATATCTCGTGTAGAAGCGTATCGAGCGCTTTCTTGACTACATGAGGACTGCTGCAGCAAGCAAGCATTGCCATTTCGTCAAGTCTACCGCCCAATGTTGGATATTTGTTTTTACTTCTTTCCAAGAGATGAACGATAATAAACGTTTCCTCATCTGTGCGTATCTCGTCTTTGGTACTTTCAAACACATGTAAAAACTCTTGCGGATTGTTTTTAAATCGATGAATTTTCTTGAAAGTTTCTAAAGAGTACAAATTTTTCAATTGTAAATGATTATTGATTGTAAAGCTAACATAGCTTCAGAAAAGTGTTCGTATAAATTAAAGGTAAACCGTGTTTTTATACACGCGTGGGAGTTAACGTGAGAGTGGGTGAACGAGAAATAATCACTGGGAAAACGAGCCCGTGTGAGTTTTCCCACCATATTTCGAGTTCTACCAAACTCCCACAAATGTCTCACACAGGAAAACTGTTTTCTCTTTTTTTTATACTGAACTGTATATAATATAACTATACAAAGATTTTATAATTTTTTTTCAATTTGATCAAAATATAAATTCGCAAAGCTTTATGTAGACGATGAACAGCGAACCATGTGTTATATTTTGTGCTTTGTTACTGAGCTGAGTCCAATAGATAGTCTAGGTCTCCATTATTTAAACTTATATAGAAACTACTTTAATTTTGTTCCGGGGTCCCTCTTCTAGCGTATTTCTAGCGTCTCTTATAGTGTATTCCATACAGTTATATAGAAACACTCATCTCCACCTATCAGCACAGGTGTATTATATTATATATTATAATTCAATACATTACCACCAGGATCTGTTCTTAGATAGTAGTTACTGTAGTCGTAACTATCTCTTCTAGTCGTTGTATCTATAACAGTGTAGTCATTTTCGTAAGAGTCCGGTAGACCTCCTGTTTCTCTTCTACTTCCTCTTCGGGTATAAATAACAGGATCATATTGTAACGAAGAAGACGGAGTCTCGTAGAAAGAAGCTTGTTCGGATTGTGAGGATTCAGAATATGATTCAATTTGGTTGATATCTTCGTGAATTTGTCCAAGTTCTGTTGAGGCATAGGGACTGACTTCCTCGTATACTCTATTACTTGGAGTGTTATTCATTCGTAATCGTGGTGGTAGATCAGGAGGAGGACTCTCTAAAAAACAACATGTTAATAGATTTCGTAAACAAATTACAAATTGTTTCTAAAACTTTCTTTCATGTTTCTATTATAGGCATGCATATAACGAAGAATACATTATTTTAAGTCCTGTATCCTAAGCAAGACCTTTAAATTTAAAATTGAAATACTCATGCAATCACTATATATGTGGATTCTCCCCGGTGAACTCAATTGTGATTCCCTATTAAACGGCATGCTCCTATATCCTAATCATCATTCTACATCATTTTTTCTGAACTTGGTTGCCCATTAGATACAATGAATTGGCTGCAAGAGTTAAGTTAAATCACGCCCAAACCACTCGTTTTCTTTAAGCTAACATGAGAGAGCCATGTTTGAGGTAACTCTCTCTCGTTAACACGTATATAAAGATGCTGACGAGTTTTCTTACTGACTTTCTGTGTTCACGGTTCTGATTATGACGAGAATTATCTGCCTAACCGTTTCTTTCTAGAAGTCTTCTTATCTCTTTTGAAATGAGAAAGCAAGCTTGGCTTTGCGATAGAATGGTATTATTGTCAGAGTGACCAAAATGTGGATGGATTAAGAAATATGCGTAATTAGGCCAAGGGTAGCAGTCTCGCGGGCAACTGCAATACTGCACAATTCCTGAAAGGAAATTCTCTTCTATTTTTCAACATCTTTGTTCCCTTTTTCTTGAATCCTCACATATTCAAGCGGTACGTTTTGTCGTTTAGCTTACATATTTCTATTGTGGACCAAATGATAAATACCGGTCCGCTGCATGTGAAACGGCTTGACCATGCAATCATATAGATCTTAATTCATTTCCACATTTGACTGAAAATAAGTTGGCTTATTGTACATTCTTCTAATATTTATAATATACTTACCGCCATTTCTGTTCTCTGCCATATATTTTCTGAAAATTAAAGGCGCTTTTTAAAATAGAAAAAAACAAATTTTACTACATGCATATTTTTTAAGGCCCTTTTGAAGTTTCGCTGTCCGAGACAATGTCCTGATAGAATTGCCTATCCTTCTATCACATGTTTTAGAGCATGCATGCTATATAATATGAATAAACCGTCTATCGATTCGAAAAGACAATCCTAGCTTTCACCGACAATTTTGTAGAGAAAAATGTCGACGTATTTAAAATCCTTATTATCGACATTAATATCTATAACTTGAAGTTTTCTAAAAGATGCTATATAAGATGAATTGAACTTTGAATTAACCAAGAGACTATGGCTGGATTTCTACATGCAGAGAAATAGTTCGCTAGCAAGATATTTGCATATTTTCTTTTGAAATGAGAGCAGTCAAGCTGAATCAATTTATTTATTCTGCCAAAATTCAAAAGAAAATATGCAAATATTTCGTCAGCGAACTTTTTCTCTGCAAGTGGAAATCCACCCTAACTCAGGGAGGGGGAGAAATTTTGGTTGAAGTAATCTAGGTGATAACTAAACTATCAACGGCCTCACTTTGCATGCTTCGTTTTCAGCTACATTCAAAAACAGCAAAAATAATCATACAAATGTATAATAGTTGAGACTAGCCTATCAAAATAAAGGTTTTATCTATCTATCTATCTATCATAGTTTGCCATACAAGTTCTTCGTCTAATCGCAACTCGCAACTCTCAAACGCTCTTTATTGGAATTTCAAACATATATATTTAACTTTAAGCTGAATGTTTAATCTAAAATACAGCTGATTTTCGCTTTCATATATTTGAATTTCATATTTTTTGTTAAAACTGATTTTCAATAACATATTCGTTCCGGTATATATGACTTCATATAAATAGTAGCATTAACGCCAATTTTTACGAATATATATAGATAAATATAAAATTGCTATAAATCAACGTACATGTTCGATCCTTTCACCTACCTTATTTTGATTACGAAGATCGCTCAGCTTACTATACTTCGCGTTGAAATCGATAGTTTGATCAGTGCTGTAAAAAGTTAAAGGGAATTATAGTCTCAATAAGGGAAATTGCCACAGAATTCCCCACCTACATGGCACCCTGTGGTTTGCTTTGAAATGGTAAAAAAAACAAAATTGGGAAAGTTATATTTAAAAATATTTACGTTTCGTTATTCCCCTTTACCCTGTACCATGGTTTAATAATTCTCACATAATATAGTGGCAGATTTTAGAATGCATGTGCTGTATAGATAAGCACCTAACTGAATTCCTGGAAACCAGCACCCTTCTTTTCAGAAATTAATTTTAATTAAAAAGGCCGTCTATAAATTGGTACTGATGAAAGAAACAAGGTGCATGGAACTTCGTTTTAAACTAATCAGCATATTTGTTTACATTTTTTATAGGCAAACCTAATCAGAATGGTGAGCAATGTACCTTTTGACCAGCATTATAGGCAAAATTTATAAAATACTCATATACTTTGTTCTGCTTGAAGGATTTCTTTTGAAAACGCGTACACGTAGAATAGTTGTATATTCAACATATTTACTATGCTAAAACAGTTCTAGCAATATTTGCCAGCTTATCGGTGGGATTAGATGCTGATGCCTTATACTGCTAATTCGCGTACTGTATAAGCAACCAAAGTTTTGTCCTGTTTATTCATTTGCATTTTCATTTGCATGACCATGTCGTAATTTGGTTATGACCATGCATGTCGAAATTTAATGTATTTGTTTTAAATCGGTTTTCATATGTCGCATTTCGCATAACAGCGAATTACGATAGTGTGCCTTACTAAGACAAACAGAAATTCACTTTTCGTTTGGAATATTAAACTGATAAGCATATAAACGTACGTCTGTGATCATTGAAATGGCTCATTGCATTTTGTTTGTTTCAGCTGCATATATTTACCCCAAGTTGTTATCGTTTAAATATAGTCGAATGTAAAGCATCTTTATATAATACTGTTTGTTTTGAAAATTTCCACTAATACAAACCTCTTACATTAGCTATAGTAAAATGCGAATAGAATCGGGAAAAGGTTACTTATAACTTCATTGTTAGTCCATTAAATTTTGCAGTTTTAAAAATTATGTACAGAAATTGATTCGTGGTATATATTCGAGAGTATTTCTACCCTGGTATATAATAATAATAATTTATTAACCTATATATCTTCAGTGAAAGGAGAATGGATTTAGAGAAGATGGGTCATAAAAAAGTGTAAACAAGATTTACTACAAATTACATATTTACAGTATTTTTATTGGAATTGGTTAGTAACATATTTGTTCTGTTTGTTCTGGTACGACTTTGGTGTAATTCGTGCCGTTTTTAAACAAATAGATATAGATATATAATATATTGCTATAACGTAGAAGTAACGGCTTTTTCCAGCCTACCTTATTTTGATCAAGATGATCGCTCAGCATTCATTTCGTGATATATACCGTTAATAAGCTCGTTTAATCAGTGCTGTTCAAAGTGAAAGAATTATATGATGCGAAGGGAATTCCCACATAATGGATAATGCCTCGCCTATATGGCTATGGCTCCCCGTCGTTTGCTTTGAAATGTAAAACAAAATTGGGAATGGTATGTTTTAAGATATTTTACGTTTGGTTATTTCCCCTTTACGCCATATCCAACTGCACACAGTTATACGCCATGGTCACTTTTGCTGGCGAATAAATTAAACTGTAGGTCATTTTGCAACCTACAAGCAGGCTACTCGTGACCTTATTGATTTCTTGTAGTAACGTTATATTGTTCGATCAGCACCAACTTGTAAACCAATGTATAATAATTCATAGACAAAGCTTTTATAATGCGCTGAAAAGAAAAACAGATAACAGAATTCCTTGAAACTATAACACCATGCTTTACAGAAATAATTTTTTGCTACCGTCGAATGAACTTTATAGCAATTCTATTGACCGGATGATATTAGAAAGTCTATATAATAGAGGCCATTTTTGTATTAAAGTGCCCATGTCATAAAATTGGAATTTATCTCATTAGAATCGCCGTGAAACGTAGATTACGAAAATAGTAATCACATTTGAAATTGAGTTTGTTTTCGCGGAGAAATAAAGCGATAAAGTTTGAAAATTTCAAATTTTAACGGCAAAAGTTTTTGAAATCCGCGACAGTCGGAAACTGGTAACTAATACGTCACAATAAGAACTCGCATTTTGTGCCTTTAGATAAATAATAGTATGTAGTACAAGAGAAGCGATTTTATGCCAGCTAAATTCGGTTATTAAACGTGGCAGAAATATGTCTTCATCAAGTTTAGCTATTGAGAAGTTACCAAAGGAATGACACCGATTAAAATTGTTTTCCTGCCAATGCAATACTAAGAAAGAACAAAAGTTAAGACCATGAACGCGGGTCAATGTCAGCCATGTCGGGCAGTAAGAACACTTCGGACCATACATTAAGGGTCCATTAACGAACCAGATGCCGATGATAAGCTGAAAAGCTATCGCGAAACGGAGCAATCGTGCAACGATCATGGCATCGAAACTACAACGAAGACTTGATCGTCGGCGTCAGTAAATAGCAAATGTTTTCTTATTATCTTGATTGCGCGACTTGCTTTTCGTGACCCCAGAACATAATATCATTACGCTATATAGATATACAGTATTCAAATTACAAATAGATTCTATGGTAGTAATCTGGCAATTGTACTTAACTTAATTCTAAAGTTTCGTCCTAGTTGATCGTCATTCGTAATTGCGCACATACAGTTCACCCGGGTGTAGATAAAAGGCGGACGCGGACCCCTAATACATTTCACTGCCCTATATAAATATTATATTATATTAATAGCATTACGATTGAGGTTTTCCTGTGGCTCATGAGTGCCTGTATTTCTACAATGTGTTTATGTGTAGTTAAGTCACGCATGCCTGTGTGATTCTCTGGTTTATTTTCATTACAAATCAACTGAGCTAGAGTATGAGTGGAGTTTCCATGCGCTTTCAAAAAAAATAGTTCAATGAGAGACTGAGAGTTATCAATATTAACTGAGAAATCTAACACGTCTCGCGCAAAAGAAACATATCAAATCATATATGTGTATATAAATATAACTCTACATTTCGCTTTTATTATGGCATCTTTTTTACCAACATTCTTTAGCTGTCTTTACTAAAATGTGCGCACTCGCATCTTTTGAGACGTTATTTACCGAACCTTTATCTGTTAACTGAAACACTGCCTAACGTGTTTACAACACAGTGACTCAATTGGTCATGACTCACGGCGTATTTGCGATTATTGCACGACTGTTGCCAGGAACGTACAATTATTAAAGCCATTTCACAACACATTTTGATAATATATGAGTCACTTTATACAGACTTGTCTGTTAAGTAAGAACAACCACTTTTTTGCGCGGTTAGCTTGTACTTATTACTCCATGCAATAGAGTTACTAAATTGTCACGTCGAACGAGTTCCTATTGTGACGTCAAACACCTTGTTTCGCACCAGTCTCATTTGCGCGGTTTTCAGAGTTTTCATTCCACCAAAATCAATGTTTAGATGGCAATAACTCGAAAAATAAAAATCCAATTTCAGTTTTAAATTAGAACTTACTAACTCATTTCAAACAAAGATTCTAAAAACCTAAATTCCAATTTAATGACATGGGCACTTTAATGTAGTACACATTGATAAAGTAGATAAACAATTTGGCAAATCGTCAATAAACACCAAAAGCAAGAGTGGTATATAGTACCTAAATCGTTTCCTGAGAGATACCCCACTGAAGACTGCATTTTCCCCCGATCTGGTGCAAAGTGCCGGACGAGGGTACTAATTCCGGGAATGCAAATGCGAAATCGGAGTGGTCCGCCATTATGTCATAGACGTTGGGCGTTTTTGAAAGTTATGCGCATGCGTGAGTTAAAAATGGTAATTAGCAAACGTTTGCAAACGTGCGATTGGCTAAATTAAAATTTTGGTTCGCGTCCGCATAACCACAGAATAAACATTTTACCAGAAGCCTAACTCTTTGCATTTGGCGTCGGAAATTTTTTGAGAGTGTGACGCCACCGAACGCAAGCCAAATATACGCGAGCACACGCAAGCATTATGGCGCTTAGTATCCAGTTTGTATCTTGCTCACGCAATCCTATGGTGTGTGCAGGAACTTTTTCATGAGGTACAAAGTTAGTTTCTGCACACACCAGGATGGCCGAGAATTGCGTAGAATGACGCGTGCGCGTCTGAAAAATTTCGGACACGAAAACATTTATTTAGCAAAATCCAAAGAGTGAGGCTTCTGGTATAATGTCTATTCTGTGACATAACTGATATTTTGAATTTTAAAACTTTTTTAAATAATATTTTTCATTTGGATGATCTTGAAAATATACGAAATATTCTGACTCGTAAAATGGATGGTAAAAAATCTACGATTCGTAAGCTTTTTTAGAGAGTTTTTGAACAGGTAAATTGGGTAGATTTTGTATTTTGATTATAGTTGAATTTGATAGTTCGAGAGTCGACTTTATAATTGTACTTGAAATAGGATTTTACTTAAACAACAATATCTCGTGGTCGACCGTACCAGAAGCCTTATTAGTATTGCCGCAGTCGATATTGTAAGCCCAACTATCTTTTACTTGACTTGCCTCAATTAAGGCCATAACTGCTGAATGTACATGTATAGACTGCATGTAGTTAACAAAGCGATGTATTTGCAAGTGCAGCAGTGCGCATTGATTAAGGCTCGTATATTAATTAGCTATAAAGTTTCATATGGCTATATACGTATTTTATACTATACATATGGAATCACAGATTTAAAGCATTACAATATATGTTAACAGCGATAATCTATGTTCTAAACATTTTTACTACTATTTGTTCTACTTTAAAATTATTAGATTCGCAAAAGTTACTTAAATGTTATCCGTCCAATATTTGTAGACCGGTTCTCACAAATGACTCCTTTTTGTCTTTGGTTCAGGGGACGGTTGTTCAAAAATCAAAACCCGGTTAGCTACACCTTGGGTTAAAGTAAATTTTTAAATTAATTTTTTTAAACCCTTGTTTACAACGTTGAATATCTTTTTTGATAATATTTTCTGGACAGATAGAAGTAATATTTTCTAAAGCTTAAAAACGAACAGTGGTTCAGAAGCACATTAACAAAAACAGTGGGTTAAAATTTAACCCAGGGTTAGCGCTAACCTAGCTTTGAACAACTGGCCCCAGATGTCTGTACTATTTTATTCACTTTAACTTCAACAGTGACTGATTCAAACTTTGATTCGTTGTATCTGGCCACATTTTTACTTGACCACGACGATTTGCTTGTAGAGCGAACTGGCGTAGCAGTATTGGTCAAATCTGTCGTAGATAACGCCATGTTGTTTACACCCGGGTTTTCTCTCTGCGGATTTTGAGGTTGAGGTTGCATACGACGTCGAGCAATGGTGGTTTTTGCTCGGATGAATTTTTTGATTTGTCGTCTCGTTCCATCGGGCAAGATGCAAAACAGGATGAACACGAAAAGCCCTTGGAGGGTATTGAAAATGCAGAACAAATACTGGAATGCTAGTTTCGCGTCGTCAATCGCGAGGACACCAAAAATCCAGGTCAAACCAAGGAGAACCATAATCGCAATTCCCTGTCGAGTCTGCTGAAAACCTCTTCTTTTGAGATCGGAGGTAACGTCTTTGCCGGATTTGAGCAATGATCGAAGAATGAAATAAAAGGTGATCGTATTTCCAACGAGGATGAAGGCAACAGGAGTGAGTAATGCAACAATGAACGGGATGCCCTGGAGTCGACAACTGAAAGAAATAATTAACGATGCTAGAAACACAATCATTATAGGCTACCGGCATTTATACCCGGCAAGAATTGCAGATCCTTCTATTTTTGCGACATTTTGCGAAATGTTTCGCATAAATCGTTCTAAAAACTAGGCCTTACTGGTCTAGCTTGTCGTTATTTCACATTGATTTATCCAAAAAGAGGGAAATCCCGCTTTCTTTCTTGAAATCATGTGACAAAATCGATTAAAATTGACATAGGTTCTTCAAAGATGTCATTTGGTTAGAATAGTCAAATAATGAGAAAAATCCAAACATCGAAGTTCTCGTTATATTTGAGATTGTATAAGTCTATCTAATTGCACATCGGCATTGACATCGACATAAAATGGCATTTCTATAATTGTGCATCTCTTCTATTGAAACGCTTTTTAATAAGACTCATAGCTCATAATTAATTTAAATTTACCACCGAAGAAATGGTAAAGTAAATATAGGGCTTGTACATATTGGTGACTACTTATATATCCTATGTAATTAAATCAAATTAAATACAAGTATACTAACTATGTCTCGTCGCCATATTTATCGAGGGCAGCTGCCATTGTTATTGACACAATTACAGCAGGAGTACCTAAAACGCAAGGTATAAAAAGGGATATTTAGATTCGTAATCTTCTGCCGAATTGTGGAATTTATTAAAATTACTTTCGATTTTCGTGTTATTTATTTGGTAAAAAGTATTTTCAGACTTTCAGGTTTCAGGATGCCATATTCACAATGAAATAGCACTAATTATTCAAGGTCACTGCGGCATGTATTTCACAAAGCATAATTACCCCAGGCAAATAGACAGCACTTCAAAATAAACTTGGAGGAAGTCGAATTAGGAAATACTTTCACAAATGCAAGATACATATTGTACGCTTCAACTGCCATCCACGCAAATGCAGCTAACATGAAGTAATGCAACGCTATTGCGGCTGTCATACATCCGACCAATGACGACGTCTTTGACCTTTCAACGGCAGCCATGAAGACGATCAATGTTAATGATAATGAAATGCAGAAGTTCAACAAAATCTGACTTGGGATCTTGTTTCGGAGTTCCCTAAATTGTCAGAAGGCAGGAGTTAAAATCGATTTGCAATCGAAAGTGAAGAGATTAACTTTTTAAAAGACGATCTAGGTCCCAGTCCATCTTTGACTGAGTGTATTTCCCAAAGTGAAAATGAGGGCTTGTTAGCAACATAAGCATTTTCCCGCCATTTAACAATGATGGTGTAAGAAAGGCTGCTTTTTATGATTATTATTATAATTTGTGGGACATTGCTGCATTATATTAACTGTAACCACATTTGTAATACTTACTTCAATGCTAATATCATTATGATTGTTGATGCAAGTCCAACCAAAGACAAGGCGCATCCAACGTAACTAACAACACTGAGTACTCGGTTATTTGCAGTGGTTGGATTACAATCCTATAATTATAACAGATACATTATAAACATTCGTTTTTGCTATTCCAGGTTATTTCTAAAATGAAACGTTCCTTTCTCTCATTTTCTCCGAATTAATATTCAACTAAAAATATATCTACATGCATGCAGTCACTCGTCATTTCAAACAAAGCACTAACTAATTTTCAGAGCTAGCAAAACCTAAGCTGATATATGAAATGACTCAAATCAGTCGATCACTGCATAATATTTCTATTATATTACTCGGAAACAAATGTAGCCATAAGTAAACATTTTATGGACTCTTGCAGCTTGGGTTACGGTCAACAAAAGTTCGACCTTCAAAACATAGAAACAGTACAAAATCGGCTTCAAAGACCGACGTCAATGTTATTCTCCAAATATTTCTGCATACTAGTTTATTTACAGTCGACTTTGAAAGCTTTAATTAAAGTGACACTTGTTTAATCAAAATTCAAATTTACACTTTCAAAAACTTTTTCAAGATGTGATAGCTTTCTGCAGTCGGTTATGTCTGCAAAACAACATAACAAGTTCAAATTCAACTAAACTGCATTACTCCGAAACCCCAAATTACCATATGACGTAATCTGGGCGGCACAGCTAGAGGAATATTTTGAATTGAAAAGGTCAAACACCGTTTCATCCTATATTGAAGCCTTCCGTCCTCAGACGGTTGTTTGCGCACTGAAATAAAATCCTATCATAAAGACTTACCATCAACATTGCAAAATTCGTAAAATGATCACAGGTACAAAGCATTCGGCCATCATCAAGAACTTGTTCGAATCTGCATCCATCCTGTGACCAATTTCCGAGGTCAAAATTCCAGTAAGAACATAATGTACTGTTGGCGTCTCCTCGAGAGATACTCTTAAACGCGATTTTAACAGGTTTTCTCAAGTTCTTAACTGATAAACCTTTGATACTTCCAGCAAGAACCAAACTATTCAAGCGTCCCAGCTTTCTCGTCGTGTCGTCTGACGATACTCTAAAAAATTTTGTTTCTTTGTACAGTACAAAAATTGCCGTCTGGTTTCCTGAATTATCTGTGACAGCAGATTCTTTAAATATTGTTTTGGGAATGATTAGGGAAGATTCTCCAGGTTTCATATCAACCCCACCATATTCGAGCCCGTTAAAATTTTGCGTTTCAACTGTTTTTAACTTCATGGCGAAATTTTTTGTTTCTTTTTGAAGTTTGCCTTCTGGGCCGATAACCAATGTTTCTGCAAAGTTATTCAGAGCTTTAACAACCCTATGAAAAGGAGGAATTCAATTATTAAACAATTACTATGAGTGCATGAAGCCGCATGGGCCAGGGCCAGGGATTTTTCACAAAACAGTTTGCCGCTTCGTTGTAGTTGAAAAGGCATAGTTCATAAGTATCCGTGCATCTATATAGTATAGATAGAGATACATAGTTTATAGTGATCTGAAAGAAGGAAACAAACCTGCACAAGGCACAGAATAATGTTGTATATTCACAAGTGAGATTTATATTTGTATTAGTATTATTGTATTCATGTACCTTGAAGACGACTGACTTTCGATGATGTTCTCTTCACTAGCATCAAGTAAATTGTCTATTGTGGTGGCGAAATCATCAAGAATCTATAAAAATGCCCACGTGAGTAGCCTAAGGCATAAGAAATAGTGACAAAGTGGGGGAATGTTACATCGTCATTTTCTGACAGAGGCCGCCCATAAATCTTAGACATTCTCTTGGAAAATCACATTTTTTCGATACGCCGGCAATTTCCGATTGGTTATAATTAATTGCATAGTGATAAACATCCCATAAAAAATTACTGCACTCTTCGTATGTCACCTATACATACTTCGATCTCTTGAGACTCTTTTCCACTCATCGCAAAAACCCATTCGCGAGCTCGCTGCAAGTGCTTGGATGTAATTAAAAGTCCTTTATGCATGGTATTACCTCTTGTAATTATATATAGGTAATGTCATCAAAAAGCCCACCTCATTAGCTTTATCTTTGACTCCGACAATCTTCTCTAATACTGTTGCGATATTGTTAATGTCCCCAGGATGAAGGCTCATCTTTGGATTCGCAATAGACAAGTTTTTCATCTGTTTTGCGATTTTCGCGACGTTATTGCTGGTAACATTTTTCTGCAAATGTTGATTATAAAATATCAAGATATATTTGTTACTTTGAGGATGGGACGTGCCTAAACCTGAGCCCATATTATGGGACATGCAGTAAAAAGATAACGACGAGGTGCAGGATAGAGAATTGATCTTCGGTTCCATCAAAGTCGGGTCTCGTTTGGTCGTTGCTCGCCCCTACCAGATATATTTGTGGTCATTAGAGATCGATCGGAACTCGCGCCGAACAAAAGACAGGATAAATTTTTACAGCTTCCCCTCTAATTTTCATTGTAGAAACAAATAACGACCATTGGAGGTCAAATTTAGGAAACTGAATTTGAAAATCGGTATACCACTAACATTAGTGAAATCACCAAATCAATAGTGAGCAAGCGACGTTTTTGACAACACAAACGGCATGAGTAACGTGAAAAGACTGCGTCAAGGATTGTGATTGGTGAAAAACAAAAACTTTACTTCCGGTAAACGTACGTGTTGTCAAAAACGTCACTTGCTTAAGCTCACTACTGTCAGTCACCGACTGAGCCGTCGAGAGGCGACGCAATCCCGCAGTACGCGAAAAACCTGGGAACGAGGATGCGCGCATCCTGGAACAACAACCTGGCACGTCTCACGGGTGCCGCCTCCGGCTACTTGGATATTATGTGTGCATATTTAGGTCGCTATTTACCTGCACCAAGAGAAATATATCTTTGCTTCGTTTTTCTCGATAGTTGCATTCATTTAAAACAATTGAACCCCAAACACTTGTCTCGGGCGCGTACAAACATTCTCTGCTCGCAGACGACTCGTTGTTGTAAGGACAAGCGAGTGTTGAACGACTTCCAACTGAAGTTTTAGGCCACTTGAAGACTCCATACGCTTCGGGCGAACCGACTTCCTCACTTGGACAAGAATCTTTATATGGAAATAAAGCAAGATATCGATGAACGATGAATAATAAGACCATGCACCTTAAAGTACAAGTTACAGACGTGAATAAAGAAGGCCAAAGTTGAATATGTCACATATACACATTCATTTCATTTAAGGCAATAAATGCGTACCTGTAGTGGCATAGTAGATTGCATTAAAGTTTACATCTCGGGAATTTCCAGATTTTAATGCGATAAACAATTTGTTTCCCGAAGTAAGAATCCACCCTGTATCTGACGTTTCATTACAGAGACTCTTTATCAATGGTGCAGTATCGTCCAAACCATCATAAAAGTTAATGTAGTTACCATCCGAACAGCTGGGAATATTGATTGATATAGAGTTAAGAGAAACAACAAAGCCTTCACCGACAGTAATGGACCATGAGCAATACTGATAATCTGGAAAGTTCTCGGTTGAAATGGTTCCGCTATTGTTATGAAATCTGTAGTTGCATCCTAAGAAGATGATAAAACGCATGTACACTGAAAAAATCATGTCAGTTTTGAGACCGTGAATAATATCTAAAGATTTTAAAGAATATGCATGGTAACGGTTTTCTATCTAATGGAAGTAACTTGATCGCTTTGGCCACATGATGGCTTTTCGATTCCTGCAGCTATATATATGTCTTACCGTTATCTTACCTTCGTAATAACAATAGTACATCTTGATAACATGTTTTGAGAAAAGGTGTTCATCAATGGAAGGATGTCTCCCAATTTTTTTATTCGATATTCTATATCGTCCCCCTGCATCATAATATATATAATCAAGTGAGCTAATCGCCCCCTTAACTCTCTGGCAGTTTTTCGTAACGTGTGGAAATAAATAGAAAGGTATTTCCACTGGCAGCTCGATAGAATCGTTCCACTGTCCTTCATCTTGGCAGCAGTATTTGATTAAGGTATAGTCCAGGAAAGTCCCATTAGGCAGGATTCCACCGTATGCATTCATACCCCAATTCGAATAAAAACGTCCAGCCCATCTTATATACCCACTTTTCATGCCGTACGGGCATTGGTTCTTTTGATATATGCAATAGGATCCTAGGAAAATGGATATCAACAGTTCTAAGTAGACGGGATGGGATATTCCGTATTCATCTCTTCACTACGTTCTCTTTTAATAGGGATTTAAGATTTTTACTCTCGAAAGTACACAATATATCAATATATTTGCCATAGCCGGGTTGTAATTTTTTTAGAATTCCCATAATGTGTATTTACTTTTCTGCTGGAAAAGAGAATACTTGTAATTCTGTCACGCCAAATAAACGCTGTTAGCTTGTCTCGCGAGTCTGCAAGGTGTATGCAAAAGTATATATAAAGGTATAACTGAGTGAATATTCTCTCTATTGTCATTAGGTTGTCCTCATGCTCGCCTCTAAATTTTAGATCTTTTTGTAGTTTTGCCATGCAATGGATCATCATAATAACATCATTTGAAGCTTTCTGAAATTATTGTTTTGAATTCGAATGAAATATTGTATTTTTTGTACCAGGCCACAAACGTAATTTGCATGCTTACGCTGCAGCGCATGTGTTAGTGTTCAAGAGCTGTTTTTTGCTGTTTTAAATTAATCATATTAGAGGAAGTCAATAAATCTAAAGGTTTTAAAAAATATTGCACCGAAGTGGGGGAATGGGAATGATAAACAAATGATTATGCGATGCTAATTTAGTATTACGGCCATATGAGTGTCATATGCATGCATACCTGTAGGCCAAAGACACTTTTCATTGTTTAACAACTTGATACAAAAGCTTTGGTTTATGATGCCCGGATATATTGTTGCATCCATATGCAATTTCAAATTTGAAGAAAAGTTGCTGCTTGAGAAAAATTCAAATCCTTGCTGCCTCCAGCCTTCTTTCCAGTTTGCTGGACATCCTGTTACCGGCTTAGGTAGACCATACGTACCATGTGGCCAAACTATATAACAATCAAAATAGGCAAAACATAAAAATTTGATTTGAGAAGTTCATAAGACAGGTGTCCAACGATTTTGCATAAATTTAACATATGCAGTACAATCACGTGATCAATATTTACATATTTATATATATTTCCAGATAACAACCTTAATGGTAGCGACTGTATACATACATATATATTACATGAAAAGCGTTCTACTAAGTAGTTTTGAGATGGACCAAAAACACAACTATGCCCGCGAACATCAACTCTATTGTTATAGTAATCCGAGCTCGCTCGACTAATCAGAAGCCAGCATTTCAATAATCACCTTATTAATCACCGTAATTAAAATAAATAAATAAACATTATAATATATAAATATATACCGAACTTGTAACTAATTAATCATAATCCTGCCTATGTATATTTGAATTTGGATTTGATGAATTTGCCATAAGTTACATACTATCATTGTAAGTATATGACAGGATTTTGAACAGGACTTACGTCCCAATTGCAACAAAACCCTTATATACATGCATACATACCCACGCACGAAGACTGTCCAAGTGTTAATGCAAATAGAATAGTTCCAAAGATAACTATGACCATTTTTTATTCAAACTGGGCCTATACAAGAGAAAATGGGAAAGCTTAAAAATTTATGACCTGTAATAATTTTCTTATATATACTTTCCTCGTTAGTATACTTATGCGTATGTATTGAGACGTCTTTTCTTTTATTTGGCGAAACGGCCGGAATCATATATCACATTCTCGCTCTACACTTCATTCGAACTAAAAAGTTTTCCATAAAAGAATTTAAAATGAAAAGATATAAACCTACATTCATTCATCATTTGCCGCGGTTTATCATCAGGAAAAGCATATATATTGTACCATGCATTTCTACCATAATATTCGCGAAATCTCAGCGTTGAAAATGTTGAATTCATATAATCTAGCATTAGGCCGAAGATCAGTTTTTAAAAACGACTTGAAGCAGTTGCTGTTAAAAGTAACAGGGCATTCAAATTCCAATAAAGGTTGCATTTTAATGAATTTTACTTAAAATAAGTAGACCTGCTAGTCCCGAGCAAAATAACGGCCAGTGTCAGTCTTATAAACAAGCATCAAATGTTCTTGCTTATATTCTCCTTATGAATTTTGATGGATTCTTGGCAAGAAATATTGTCAACTTAAAAGATTCGAAAAAGCTTGTTGATATACACTTGCCAAAAATACTAATATTTCCTTCAACTAACAAAAGGAGCACGTTCGTATATAACAGACTCACAAAAAATGTATTTAGATCCAATATCTATAAAGTCGGGAGCAGTTGCTTTGTATATAAGATAAGCAAAGCTTATATCCTTGGAATGATTTTAGAGCCTATTTTTCTATTTACCGACGGAAAAGGCTTAATTGAGGTTTAATTTATCAATTCAGACAGAACTATATTACCTAATGCATGACAGGAAATTGACCGCAAAGGTCCACCTGTCTGTCTGTGGGAATTACACCCATACTCTCTAATCTCTACTAATTATAAAGCCAATTGAGATAATTTATAGCGGTAAATGGCATCTACATATACATAGATCAACAATCGAGATTAGGAGGAAAATACTTATACTGAGAAAGTGACTGTGAGAGTTCTATACAAACGGGTGGTGGCTATGGATCACAAGGTTAAAGGTTTTGTCAATGGGGTCCAGATTCAATTGTTGGTAAATTTCGTACTCAAAGGCCCAACAACTGTTTTGGCGATGGCGCGTAAATAAACAACGCGCGAGAATGACAAATCTCGTACTCGTAGTCGTAGTCGTTGTCGCTGCTAAAGCTCCCGTTTTCCATGAATTTTTTCGCAAACCAATCATTTTAGATACCGCTTCGCGTCGCTCGAATAAATTCGCCTAGTAGAGAACAGGCTTAATATAGCGTGAAAAAAACGCACGTAATAAGGCGTATATAAGCCGTATAAGCCGTAGATTCTCGAGGTTTGATCAATTTTCGTCTCTGAAATGCATCAAAACAAAAACACTTAACATCTGTAGTCGCCCTATAGATTCCCGTGTGGATAGTTAGGTGCAGACGGCAGACGCGGCACGAATGAAGTTCGGTCGCAGATTTAGTTCATCGGAAAAGAAAAGCCTTTTTTTCGCACGCGCACTCAGAAGCTTCCTCCCTTTGCGGTGCATGCAATTGCTACTGGCAATAGAAGCCAGTACGCAGGCAATCTCTTTCCCTGAAGCCATTCCATAAGGCGTGTACGACCTTTCCATAAGGCGTGTACGACCTTTTCTGATTTCAATTATCTCAGATCCTTCGTTTCTTTGCCTGAGAAAATCGCGGCCTCGGGGAAAATCAAGGCTGCAATATACTAGCCAACTGGTCACCAGGAACTAGGTGACCATGAGGAATTTAGGCAATCGCGGATACATCGCAATCATATAATAATGTGCGTAAATTCAAATTGGCAACAACAAAAGGATTGGAATGACATGTGGGGTTGTTCTCATACGTTTTTAAATAAAGATTTTAAATTGATTTTAAATTATAGCATATTTAAAAAAACCCAGGTAAAAATTCCGGAATTTAGGAAAATTAAATATGACGATCGAACACCCTCGGAAATATGATGCTCGCCTAATTGATATGAATTTGCCCTTGAATGGAATTTATGATAACATGCATGCTTAAAATGTCGCCTATATATCTAATCGTGACATTGTTAAGATATATATGGGAATGTCGCTTGGAGACTTTTTTCGGATAGTCACCATTTTAAAAATTATCCAACCTATAGGTATAGCCTTTGTTTGATCTTTAGTAAATATATATATATACTAAATGAATAACGCCAACTACGATCCCAGGAGCTACTATGATATATATTCTCCATTTGCCTTGCCAAAGGCAAAACAGGTTGTTAGTGCATCAGGTGGATCTGTGTAATCTGTCTTATATACGTCAGGATTTTGGCGACGAATCTAATATTCGTTAAATTCACTAGTGTGTCAGATTACGTATCTTGTGATAACTTGTGTCTTTGTGTCTGTGTATTGTAACGACATAGATATTAAAAATCAGATTGTAAATATTATACTGAATAACTTATATAACATTGGGCATTAGAGCTTGAAGACGGTGAAAATCACATTATTTCTTTTTAACTAATAACGCGTACACCTAAAGTTTAACACCTTTCAAGTTGTTATAGTATTAATTAAATCGGTTATACATTAATACAAAAGAAAAAGGCACCTTGTCGTCCATTTTTTACGTTTTAAATTCCGTATAGTCGCATAAAGGTTATCAAACTTTAATTATACGCGCAAGCAGATAAAATAAAAAATAGGCGACCTTCCTTTCGGTACGTAATCGAATTATATGAAGGGTTGCGCGATATGAAAGAAGGTATGCGCAGGAACTAATAAAAAATACAATGCTGGAGTTTGTTTATTGCAAAATGGGTATTATGATAATATTATAAATATAAGCCCAGTCGATACAAACCAAATAATACTAATAGGTGCACACATGCATGATGTTTTATTGTATTGCTTTTGCTGTCATATACTGTATCAATTGGTCTTGAATTACCACCAAAAACCATGAACACCCTTACAGCATTTATAGTCTAGTATATTGCTAGGTAAAGCATCAAACACCTTTATAGCATTTATAGTCTATATTGCTTACACAAAATCAAAGTAACTTACCCGTCAATAACGGCCGATTTCTGTATGAAACTGATTGACCAATGCTCTTAACCTGACACC